CACTGCCAAACCAAATGGTGGAATCGAACGTTCAGGCCGTACGATAATCACACGCTCACGAGCTTTAAAGGAAGCAGACAACCTACCACAAGGAATGTGGCCTGAAAAATTTCGGACTGCAGGTTACCTTATAAACCGGTCTCCATCATCTGTCATTAATGATGAGACTCCGTACGGACTTCTACTCCAGTCCCTACCCTCGCAGCTTCAAAAGCCAGAGCTTACTAAGCCCTTACTCTCTCATATCCGCGCCTATGGATGTAGAGCCTATGCACTCCTCCTTAAGCAACCAAAGCTAAAGAGGATAGAGAGGAATGCCCAAATAGGCTATTGGCTACAACTCTACAAACATCTTTAGAATATGGGTTCCAAATATTAAGAGGGTTATAGTAACCAGGGACGTTACTTATGATCCATCGTACAAAGCTACAGTTATAGAATTGGAGCTCCAAAAGACAGTCCAGGTTATTGAACTTCCTGACCTTTTAGAAAAGGAAGGAGAGGAATATGAAGAGGAGCGCGCAGCTCTACAACCTCTACAAGAAACATCAACTCCGTACGAGGCAGAAACAACAGATACAGCTCTTCAACAAGAGGAAGCAGTAGAGGTAGAACCTCAAAAGGAGATAGAGGTCCAACATGAAGAGCCTCAACTCCAGACACCTGAAATGACACCAGAGCGTTCAGAAGACAACGTACGGAGACACGACATCTACCTTGCAACCATTGCACACCCAGAAGCAAGGATAAGCCAGCACCAAGCTTTCATCGTTGGTACAGAGTTCCAGAAACGTAAGATACATCGTACGGAGCTCCCTGCTGCTCTGAAGTATTGGAACCAGCTTCAAACCACCCTCATAGGCTTGGTTTCAAAGCTGCGGCGGAAAAGGAAATAACAGACCTTCGGAAGCAAGACACCTTTAAATTGATGCCAGACAGCACTGTATGGAGTTTTGTTATTCCACTAATGTGAGTATTTACCTACAAATTTAACGATAATGGCTACCTTGTCAAATACAAGGCTAGACTTGTAGTAAGAGGGAACCTACAACGCTATTCAATACATGATGAGACATACGCAGCAACACTTGGTTCAAAGACCTTTCGAGCTTTAATGGCTATTACAGCCTACTTCGATTTGGATACTGAACAATTAGATGCAGTAAACGCCTTTACAAACAGCCGAATTGACGAGGAGGTCTACGTACGGTGTGCTGATGGTTATGAGGAGCAAGGACATGCTAGAAACTTAACAGAGCCTTATATGGACTCCGACGGTCACCACTCCTATGGTTCCGCGACTTTTCAGATACACTGAAGAAGCTAGGAGTGATGACGTGTAATGAATCATAGATGGTTGTAGCAATCGTTGAGTAGTATTGCTCTTGTTGTTGGTGTGATAAGCCAAAATATGTATAGTGACTTGTAGGTTTGAGGAGGAGATTTCCAAGTTTGCTCTTGAGTTTGATAGCAAACTGAGTGCAACGAATGTCAGTATGACACCAAGATGGTTCAAGAGTTTGGAATCACGCAAGAGAACACATATAACATGGATGAATCCGGATTTTCGATTGGGACAATGGAATCTACTCGAATTATACTTGATTCAACGCTTCGTACGAAGCATCAAGCGCATCCTGGCCGTCAGGAATGGGTTTCGATGGTTGAGTGCATCTGCGCAGATGGAACCATCCTCCCACCAGTCGGGATCTTTAAGGGCAAGAACGTTTTCCAATCATGGATTCCGCCCGCAGTCATCGACCAGTGGTTCTTCTCTGTGAATACGAAAGGCTCGACAAGCAACCTCCATGGGTTGGAGTGGTTAAAACGCATCTTCGAGCCAACAACACGTACAAAAGCAGATGGTCAGCACCGGCTTCTTATATGTGATGGCCACGACTCACACATTAGCGGGAGTTTCATTGCGCATTGCATGCAGAACCATATTGTATCTCTGATACTTCCCCCTCATACATCGCACTTACTACAACCACTGGATGTTGCGATATTCGGCCCGCTAAAAAAGTGTCTGACAGCAGCGCTCTCCCCACTCAACCAAGCGCAACTTGCGCGCATACAGAAGTATGAGTGGATGGAGGCATACATCCAGGCACGGCTTGATGTATGCAACCATCAGAACATTGAGTCAGCATACCGTGGCGCTGGCTTGTTTCCTTTTAATCCCCAGCCAGCATTGCATATGCTGCTCAATGCTGAACCATCAGTCGAGGCTGACTGACCAAAAACACCACATCAGTATGATATTTTTGACCGAGTCTTTATTAACAGCTCCCCCCCAGATGGGATGACCTTACGCTCTGCAAATGCGCTCCTTACAACTACGATTAATAGTGGTGGGGTGCTGTCAACACCAGTGCGGACGTACATCCAAAAACTCACAGTTGCGTCAGAGCAACTTCGAGCACGCAGCATTGTCCACCAACTCAATGCCAACAACCTTTGATCAGTTATAAAGCAACATACGGTATGTACAAAGGGGAAAAGGGTTATTCATGTTTCTACGCAAGAGTTGTGTGATGCAGTGATGGAGGCGGAAAAGGCGACATATAACCCAAGTAAGTAAAAGCGCAAAACAAAGGATGAGAACGCCTCCTCAGACATTGAAATTGACGAGTATATTGAGGAAGAAGCAGGGAAACAATCTAAGAGTGACAGTGGATCATGTATTATCATTGATTGTAGTTAAATTTACAGATTTGTTGTGTTCTCTTCAAAATTCCACCGCGTTACGCCATCCCCCGCGTTATGCCACGACTTACGTTACGGTAACGTGATGTCATGGTTACAGGACCAGGACCTAGTAACGTGACGTGTGAGTCACAGGGGGCAAGCGGGGTAGGCTGCCATGTGATGGGGCTAATGGATAGTTGCAGAATCTAGTGGATATTGGATAGTTGAGCTATCCGCCAACTGTCCAGATTACCCATGAGGCACGACGCCACTATATAAGTAGATAGTATTTCCTTAGATAGGAGCTTCATGCTCAACTCAATATAGTATTCTTTACAATACTGTAACGTGTTACTTGGAAAGCCTTTGTGTCTAATCCCCTGCCTCCTCTGTCAAGTCAACCTTACGCAAGAAACCTCTGTGTCTTCTATCATTTAGAAGTCAGCGTTACAAAAACCCATTTCAACGAAAGGGGGGAAATCAGGGGTAACAAGGGAAATCCCCGACTTTTACCATATAAAAACAGGAGAATCCCTGACTTTTTATACATTTACACTTACGTACGAAACTGTCACAAGAATGGCACAAGAATCACCAAGAAATCCATTGTCATTTCTGTCTATCTATACAAGAAAAACCCAAGCACCACAAGTCCGTACATCCAAATCCCTACTTAAACAGCATTCCTACCACCATTTCTCTGCGCAGCCTCAAGCGCCAACTTCCGCGCATGGGCCCGAGTCCGAGCATGTTCTCCAGGACGAGGAGTGTCATCCTTCGGAGGAGGGGTGGGCTCCCGATCATCTTGGGATGAATCTATAAGTGTTAGCTCGTACGGACTCATAAGAACGCTAAAAGGTGCATAAGGCAACAGGAAGGGAAGTACTCATGAAGAGAGCAGGCTGCAGCCTGGTGTTTCATGGCACAGGAAGCACAGGCACCACCCTGCACATTCCCAAAGGATATGCATACTGTAAAGAAGGGAATCTGCTGAGATCCCTCTTCTACGTATGCAGCATCACACTGCTCACAACCCATTGATCTCACCTGGGAGACCTGATCGACATTCTCTCCCGCTGCCTGGATGTAGAACCCTGCATTTTCTTGTGGGTGTTCAAGGCAAACATTCCCAGGGGTCCCGTACGGGACAGTCGTGTACACCCGAGGTGCCAATATAGGCAGAGGACGGGGTAGGGACTCCCGGGCAGCAGGAGGAAGGTAAATGTGGATGTTGGCATCCACAAAGACCTGTCCAACAGCAGGCATCTTGTCTCGTATGGAATTGCCGACAAGAAGAGAGAAGTATGGTGGGGTGTGGGGATTTGTGGGAAAGGATAGGGTATGTGTGGTAGGCAGGGGCAGATGGAAGAAAGACGGAAGATCCGAACCAAAGTGGCCAATTTATTTTCCGATTGGAATTGAGTCACTAGGTGTAGATGTGAATCATCGGGCATACGTGACTGACGTACTTTTATCACCGGCCCAGGTATAACCACCCCTTTTTTTCCCAAGTTCCTCATATTACTGTAAGGAGACAGGGCACCCAGCTCACAGTAATAGTATATGAGAGTGCGAGTCGGAGGCTAAATGGATGCTATCCTATAGGTCTACTACGAAGGATACAAAAAAGATGAAGGGGGAACCCCGTTGAGTCTGTTTCCTTAAGTACCTGAAACGGGCCTGACTCGGTTATCCCAACCCTAGCCCTGAACCTTCCACCACAACAGGTCTGCATCGACCCTGAACCCTACACCCTTACCGTCCCCCACTATAGTGTAACTCGCTATGTCTTCCTCTACTGGTTCGAAACCCCACCGAGTCGGATTCCATGCTTGTAGTGACCGTAACAGTTCTGAGACAGGTTCTTCGAGTATCTAAGTACGGAGGCATCCTTACAATTACAATTTGAGGCTCCTATGGGGATACGTGGGGGGGGTGTGTTGTAATAGTCACATGATCTCACGTGATCTCCATACAGATTATCGGTAAAGCCAAGTATAGGTTACATAGTCAGGAATATATACATTTAGTACTCAACAATGTCACAAGTAGCCTCACGTGCAGGACCTGTCACGTGCGCTATAGTGCCAAGGCGGAGGGTCTTCCCTCGATTACCTCGCACGAGAACGTATATAGTAGTAACGCGGGCCTAATCGGAAGGGCAGCGTTCAGTCTTCGTATCAATAGAGAGGTGGACTACGTAACTATCTACAACATGACTTCCCACTGCCCTATTCAGCCAAGGCTTTCTTACATTCTGAATACTCTACCATTCCTACGATTAGGAAGAATAGCCCAGAGGGGGAAACATGCCGCCACGTCAGACCTGTAGTGAAGCGGCTGCGAGCCTTGAGCGTGAGCGTAGTGGAGTGGCTGCACTTGAGAACGCACCTGAGGAGTCAGGGGCATCAAGCCCCTTATCCCAGGCTCACAGCTCCCCTGGCGCAGAAGTCCAGCTTGCTATGGTGTAAGGACAGTTCGAACCGAGGCTGACCTTTGAGTCTGCAGAAGTATCTGATATATAATGTGAAGACTTCGATGCTTGAAGCAGTAGGACAAGGTATAGTAGTTCAGGCTCCAGAGTATAGACTTTATACCACAGGGGTCAAGTGGTGAGACTAACAGGTTGGCCAAGTGGTTCAACTCGAAGTAAGGGAATGCAAAGTAAGTCGAAGCAGGAGGAATTGCAAGAAGGCCAAGTAGTGTATAATTTTCTAGCTAAAGATCAATAAGAGACATGAGCAATAAGTGCTTATATAACAGTAAAAATCCCTAGTGCCAAATAAGCGAAGGCACTCGGCAGGTGGAGGAGTCGAAGAAACGGGCGAGCCGAAGCCAGGCCCGGCTTCAGAACGGAGGTGAGCTCGTAGCTGCCGAAGCCCACGAGCTTCGGGCCCAGAAAGCCGAGCTTCGGGCCCAGAAGCTCGCAGCCAAAGAAGCCCGGGAGGCTCGCCAGGCTAGAAACCAGGCCCAGAAGCAGCTCCACCAGGCTGGAATTAAGGCCCGGAAAGAAGAGCGTTTCCGGAAGAAGAGCCTGGCTACTCTTCAGGGATTAGGCCTCCCAATTCCTCCGGAATTAGAGGTCCCAATTCCTGATCCAGAAACCCTCGAAAGTGAGGGCGAATATGAGAATGGGAGTGGAAATGGGAGCGGGAATGGGAGTGATCATGGGAATGAGGAAATGATAATTTTTTAAAATGGTGAAATTTTGTACCTTTACATACAATTTACTATAGGGAGGTACTTAGGACTACAATTTTTCTCGTGCGCGCACTTCGCTTCCCCTCCATTTCTCGTGCGCGCGGATCGCTTCCTCCAACCTTGAGCGAAGCGAAAAGTTGGTTACGACGATTAATTAACGACTCTATAAAGCGTCACAGTTCCAGTATACGGACAGACACCGCCGGTGTCCCGAATACTAAGCGAACAACATCGCGGACACCCCTAGATTTGTAAGCGGTTACGTAAGCAAAACCCCCAGAATCATAAAACGAGCCAAATTGATAAAGAAAGTCTAAACTATGGCCAACCGCTGCCGCTGTTGAGTAAATAAATGGCTATACGCGCGCACGGGTGTGGATTCACAGTTTTAGTGTGCGGTATAGTCCAGACTTGCGGACCTCACAGTGGTGACCTACGCAGGGAAGTCTCCCATCAGCACTCACAGTTCGAACCCCGGCCATTGCGTGTTTTCTGTTCGCTTAAACGTTATTATGCCCACTGTTCGGCTAGAGAGAGCCGCTTCCTGTTCTGTTCTGTTGTGGGTGACCAGAAACCCTCATGATCCGGGGGTCATTTATGTTCCGGGAGGGTTCAGGGGTGAGTGTTGAGTAAATAAATGGCTATACGGAGGCGTGTACCAAAAGTTCTTGCCGGGCTAACAGTGCCAAGGAATGTAGCGTTCGGGGCTAAAATAGGGGTAAAGTCAGTAAATAGGCATCATCAATTCATATTTTGTAGAGTAGAAGATAATACAGATATTAAATATGCCTTCATACTCTCTTGCAACGCGAGCTCAAGCTATAGGACTCTGAGCTTATGGAGCTACATATCAGCAAATTAAAGAGAATACAAAAATTTCCGAGCGGCAAGTGCGATACTACATGGCTGAAGCACGCCGCCGTGGATATAATCCAGATATCGACAAGCAATTACTCGATAAATATCTTATTGATGCCCCTCGAACAGGATGCCCTCGGAAGCTAAGTGCAAATGGCGAAGAGACTCTTATAAAGAGTATAAAAATGGACCGGAACTCTCGAGAGAAGACAGCAGCAACAATTGGTTATGAAAATGGTGTGTCTACAATGACTGCTTTTCGAGTACTACAACGGCATAAACTGATAAAACGAAAGCCAACATGGAAACCAGGATTAACTAAAGCGATGAGAGAAGCACGACTACAATTCGCTCTACGATATGCACATTGGACTCTTACGGATTGGAAAAACGTTATATGGACAGACGAAACATCTATTGTCCTTGGCCATCGACGTGGAGGATTTAAAGTATGGAGGACAAAAGATGAAAGATTCAAGCTATCTGTTATTCGCTCTCGATGGCACGGAGCGTCGGAATTCATGTGGTGGAGCTGTTTTACATACGATAAAAAGGGGCCATATCACATTTGGAAAAAGGAGACAGCAAAGGAGAAGAGAGAAGCAGCAATTGAAATCGAAGCATTTAATAATACAATTGAAGCACAATGCAAAGAGGAATGGGAACTTGAAAATGGAATATGTCGCCTTGGATTACGGAACTATAGAGGAAGGAAGCCAGAGTGGAAGTTTACAAAAAAGACAGGAGCAATGACCCGTGAGAAAGGAAAAGGAGGAATTGATGCATGGCGATACCGAAAAGCATCCTTGAGCCTTTACTTCTACCATTTGCACAAGAGTGTAAGAAGGAAAGGCCAAATACTATTGTACAAGAAGATAAAGCACCATCTCATGCGTCAAAGTGCCAAAAGGCTATCTTGATAGGTTTGATATTCAATGGCTATTATGGCCAGGTAATTCGCCTCCTACAACTCGGAAGACTGCGGAAATCGTGTGGAAAAAGGCATGGGAGGAGCTTGAACAACGGAGAATACAGGCGTGGATTGAGAGGATTCTATGCCATATGCAAGAGGTTATTAGACTCAAAGGAGGAAATGGATATAAGGAAGGGGTTAGTGATATATCTACACATGGCAAGGCACGTAGGAACTATTAACTATTATAATTGATTCTCATTTTATGAAGCTACAGGTGCAAGTATCGTGTGCTCATTTTGACAGGGGTAGGCTATACCCCTGCCCGGCAAGGACTTTTGGTACACGCCTCCATACGCGCGCACAGGGGTGGACTATGAGGTCCGCAAGTCTGGACTATACCGCAACACTAAAAATGTGAATCCACACCCGTGCGCACGTATAGCCATTTATTTACTCAACACACCCCTGGATTTGTAAGCAGTTATGTAAGCAAAAACCCCAGAATCATAAAACGAGCCAAATTGATAAAGAAAGTCTAAACTATGGTCAGCCCCTGCTGCTTCGTTAGATCTTACATGCTATAATTGATTGGCTATTAAATGTCAAAATTCGTGATTGGTTGCATTAGCCTAGGACCTACTTAGGGCCTTATGCCGCTTCGTTATGTTAGCCTAATCATTGGTTCTCAAACCACCACCTGGAGGCGGTAGCGAACTGGGACGCGAAAGCGATTATGGGACACTTCGGGAGCGGACTCGCGACACGACACGACCGACCATGAACACGACTGACAACATAACAATGCTGTAAATATATATAAGTTATAGAATTAAATAATTAAAAAATATTTGGATCAATATTGTCAGGTAGAGATTGATCATAACTGCCACCGTCACTTGCATCGTGAATCATGTTGTAGTCCAAGCCTGCAAAGTTCATGTACCCACTCTCCTCGATGGCTAACAGTCAGTCCTCCTCCTCCTTCTCCTTACGTTTCTTCTGCGTAACGTCCAGGTCAATGATTTCTCTATGTAAGCCAATTGGTGGCTCCGTGTCTGGGTTACTTTTTTGAAATTCATGTAGGTCCTTTTTCCGTGTACGTTCTGCCTTCCGTGCATCGATGCCAGCACGGAGCTGAAACCACTCGTAAATCTCAGGAAGAAGGGTTAGATATTCGAGTGGAACCAAGCCTGCTAGGAAGCCTTTGAGCTAGTTAAGAAGACTATTACAGAAGCACTAGTGCTACGACACTTTGACCAGACAAAACAGTGTATGTAAAAGCTGATGTCTTAGATGTAATACTGACTTCTAAACAATAGAAGACACAGAGGTTTCTTGCATAAGGTTGACTTGACAGAGGAGGCAGGGGATTAAACACAAAAGCTTTCCAAGTAACACGTTATAGTATTGTAAAGAATACTATATTGAGTTGAGCATGAAGCTCCTATCTAAGGAAATACTATCTACTTATATAGTGGCGTCGTGCCAAAGGGATATCCGTGGATAACATGGATAACATAATATCCATGATATCCAATGTTATCCTCACCTGATATTCCATGGATCCCCGTGGATAGCATGGATAACATAATATCCATGATACCAATGTTATCCATCACGTGAGGTTGCAGCCGTAAGCGCTAGCCATGGCACTAGCACTTAGCCATAACAAAGATGACACTCGCTAAGTGAAATTACGAGATATACGATAAGGAGTTACTTGTGTTACGATCACAGAGGTCATGGTGCCAGTCCAGGTAAAGTAAGCTAGATTGAATCTAAAGAGAGAAGAAGAAGAAGGAAGGAAGGTGAGGCTATTCCTTGTAATATACAATTGTCCGCTTAGCGGTTGTAGCCTTGGTGGCTAAGGCTGCACCTGTAATACCCTTATACCTATAACAACCATAATGTAACGCTGACTTCTAAACGATAGAAGACACAGAGATTCTCTTGCGTAAAGGTTTACTTATCAGAGGAGGCAGGGGATCAGACACAAAGGCTTCAAGTAACACGTTACTAGTATATAACAAATACTGTATTGAGTTGAGCACGAAGCTCCTATCTAAGGAAATACTATCTACTTATATAGTGGCGTCGTGCCTAGTGGACTCCTGGGAACTCACTCGAGTCCTCGGAGTCCTGGACTCTTAGGATTCTTCTCATCATCCTGCGAGTCCGTCACGTGCCTAGTGGACTCCTGGGAACCCACTCGAGTCCTCGGAGTCCTGGACTCTTAGGACTCTTCTCATCATCCTGCGAGTCCGTCACGTGATACTTTCGGAACTACTATTCCCCGCTGCCCCTCCAGGTACCAGGGCCAGTCTCATGCGACCTCCCTCCTTCCTGTCCTGTAGTTGGCCAGCCTTCTTGTTCCGTCGTAACACATAATAACCGTAACAAGCTGTGAGCTGTAATCGTAATAACTTGCAATTATTCAGTGCTTTGAAGCCTAGCGATCCGAAATAGAAGGCACTTTAAAGTCTCACGTGATGCCCTTCGTCAAAGAATGGCTAGAGGTAACTCACAAGGAATGAAGCCATCGCTAACACAACCCCTCTAATTGGCCATGAATGGCTCTATCGCTTTCGGAATCGGAACCTAACAGTTCAGGGTATCTACGCTTGCCAAATGCAGAATGCACAATTTAATGGGGTGTCCTACGAGGTGATTGAATGCTGGATTAATGCAGTTGCAGCACAACTTCAGGAACATTCATATACAGAGGTAATGTTCATAAGTTTTGTATGTGGATCCGGAGAATATTGGGGACTGTACAGGGGAAAGAGCATGGGTACGTGTAGGCTTGCAAGTATCTTTTAAACGCGTAAAAGTTTTTACTATATATAAATTTGTATGTAGGAAATATATACTCCTTCAACAACTACAATGCCTCATCTTACTCGCGATGAGCGGCTTCGGTGTGCAGTCCTTCGCTCTCAATTGGGAGTTTCAGGAAATAGCAGACAATATAGGCTGCACAGTTCGGCAGGCTCAATATGCTTGCCAGGGGCCACCAACTCCGCAACGGAGGTCAGGCAGGCCACTTATCCTTTCCGACGAGCAAGTTAATGAGGCTATTGAGTTTATAACCTCTTCTCGTACAAATAGGCATATGTTACGACGGAACAAGAAGGCTGGCCAACTACAGGACAGGAAGGAGGGAGGTCGCATGAGACCGGCCCTGGTACCTGGAGGGGCAGCGGGGAATAGTAGTTCCGAAAGTATCACGTGACGGACTCGCAGGATGATGAGAAGAGTCCTAAGAGTCCAGGACTCCGAGGACTCGAGTGAGTTCCCAGGAGTCCACTAGGCACGTGATGGACTCGCAGGATGATGAGAAGAGTCCTAAGAGTCCAGGACTCCGAGGACTCGAGTGAGTTCCCAAGAGTCCACTAGGCACGACGCCACTATATAAGTAGATAGTATTTCCTTAGATAGGAGCTTCGTGCTCAACTCAATACAGTATTTGTTATATACTAGTAACGTGTTACTTGAAGCCTTTGTGTCTGATCCCCTGCCTCCTCTGATAAGTAAACCCTTACGCAAGAGAACCTGTGTCTTCTATCGTTTAGAAGTCAGCGTTACAGCATATGTCATATGCAGACGTAATACAAGTTCTCTGGATTCCTTGCTCACGCCTTGTACTATGATGTGCACTCTCAGTTCAGGGCTACAATCAGAGTATGTATTCCTGTTGATTTACTACTACAAATACTAACAATATGTAGGGATTGCTATGCGGAAGCCAATTATATCTAAATCGACTAAATCGACTTGCATGGGCTACAGCCCATAGAGATTGGTCACGGAATGAGTGGAATAGGATACTTTGGACTGACAAGACCTGGGTTAAGGGCGGGCGTCATACTCGTACGTGGGTTACCCAGAAACCAGGGGAAACTTACGACGATTCATGCGTTGTTGACCGAGTGCAACGGAAGAGGTGAGAAAGGGCCCCTTTTACTATGTAATTTACTCATATATCTCTAGGGGTTGGATGTTTTGGGCCTGCTTTTCCGGTGGTCTTGGAAAGGGTCCCACGCTCTTTTGGGAGAAGGAATATGGCAAAATAGGGGCTGAGTCCTATATGGCTCATACTGTCCCCCTAATCCACGGTTGGCTACGCCTACACCCCGGCCTTACATTGATGCAAGATGGGGCTCCAGGTCACTGAGCAGGTACTACTTACGGAGGTAATGTTCATAAGTTTTGTATGTGGATCCGGGCAGGGGCCCCTGTGTAGGCTGGCTTGGCAATTTAGGCCGAATTAGCGATTTATTCCCACGCGTTGCACGTTAGGAACGAGAGGATTGAATTCTGTAAAATAAAGAGTAGAGTAGGTACCTAATTAACTATATAAAACTATACTATAAGCCTAGTACTCTGTGTGCATACCATTAGCAGCAATTACAGCTGCCATGCATACAGGCATACTGTCAAGGAGAGCGTCCAGCTCTTCTTGCCCAACTTTCTCCCACGCTTCTGCAACAGCTGCACGGAGCTGGTCATAGGACATATATTTCGGATAGTTGTCCTGTAGATAATTCTTCATGATATGCCACACTCCCACGGGATCTCAACTCCTCCATTGTTCTAGAACATGGACAAGTTAGGTTTTGGTGTTAGAGAAAGCCAGACTACGCGGGTCCTTGTTCTAGCAAGCCTAAACTAAAAGCATAAGAGCATAGTAGGCAAACAAGAGTGGGTAACCAATATTGAATGCATCAATGCAGCTGGTGCATCTTTAACGCCAATGCTTGTCTTTCAAGCTAAAAATCTAAACTCTAGCTAGCTACCTTCTGAAACGCCTTCTAACTGGCATTTTGCAGTTAGTTAGTAACCCTAAGACTCAAGCGAGCCTTTCCTGAGCTGGGTCTATCGAGTTCAGAATTGGCGAGATGGGCTGGAAGTAACAAGTGGAGTAACATCAAGGGTCCCTATTATGGCCAAAAACCCCAAGAAGATCCGGCTAGAACCTAGTGAGATAAAAGGGGTTCTTATCGATGTATGAAATTGAGGGCCAAGATCTCATATCGCACGGAAAATGCCCAATAAGGACCATGCTCGGCGCAAGAAGATATTGGAAGGTATGCTGCAGTTCTCTCCGATGATCATGGTCCGATTCTCTGAGGGAACATGCCAGGCGGATGTTCTAATAGATCAACTCTCTTGCCCGAGGTAGAAGTTGAGATACTCTTGAGAGGATTGATTCCTGAGCATAGGCAGATATTGAAATGACCACAGTTCCCCTCAACTATTGTTTCTGGAAAAGAAACAGATAGCTAAGTATAGTGGACCATGATGGTTATTTGCACTTCATTTTGGCATTGATGGACGAATCTACTCCTATGCACGAAACAGATGTACTTAAAATGGAAACTCAGGTGTGTGTAGGTATCTTGGATAGGAGTACGAGTCTCGAGTGCTTGCTGTAAACGTCTATATATTCGTACACTAGTTACCATACCGACAATATGCATACCGTGAACCCCTGACACACGCTCCAAGACCTGGGGAGATACCAGGAAGAGCAAGACACTCATTTTAAGACCAGTACCAGAGCTCACCTCTGCAAAATCAACGCCGCCAGTCGGTCTAGCTCTACGCCAGGCAAACGCATTAATTACTAACCTTGGTAGCCTTTGTAAACTCCATATCCGTCGTCACAGACCCATAGTTTGCGGTCCAACGATCTACGATATAATTCACTCTCGGTTTCCACGGGCCCTTATCGCCGGCGAGCGGCAATATGGACTTAGCCTTCGAAACATACGTCGAGTTCAAATCTATGATCGGTCTTGACGCCATCTTTGGCCCTTTCGGAACCCGGGGCACCGCATATGCCATGCCATTCTTATCCATGTGCTTCAGTAACCGGCAAACGTTTATCGCGGTGGAGTCGGAGCCCAGCGTCCAGGAGGCGTTGGTGTAGCCTATGATGAGAACAGCATTAGGGACGTCTTGTATCATCTGGCCGTTCCAAATATATTTCTCTGACTGAATAATAGGCTTCGAGTCGACGGTGATTTTTACGCTGCCCCCAAGTTGCAATTTTAAGCCGGTAGCCGTGACGATGATATCTGCATCCAGCGTCTTTCCCGATTCTGTCGTGATGCCCGTCTCCGTGACGTTCTTGATCTTATCCGTCACAACATCGGCAGTCCCCGCGCGTAGCGCCTTGAAGAAATCCCCATCAGGACAGACGCACAATCGCTGCTCCCAGGGATTATAGGCTGGGTTGAAATTTGGATCGTGGGGGACATTTTTCGGGAGTTCGCCTTCGGCACGTTTGCGAAGTAGGAAACGAGCTGCGTTTGGGTAGGCCCGGCAGAATTGGTAGAACAGGAAAGGTATTATGAGGAACTTCCAACGCACGAGTTTGAAGGCCAATGACTTGGGAAGCACCATGTGCAGCAACCTGCCAATCGGGTCGACACTAGGCTGAGACAGCAGGTATGTGGGGCTGCGTTGGAGCATCGTGACTCGAGCGGCCTTCTTGGCGAGGACGGGCAATAGGGTTATAGCAGTAGCGCCGCTACCAATGATTACCATCTTCTTGTCTGTGTAATCAAGATCTTCGGGCCAGGCCTGAGGGTGGACGACCTGTCCCTTGAAATGGTCGAGGCCAGGAATGGTGGTTTTGAGAGGTTCGTTGTAGTCGTAGTAGCCCGAACTCAGGATCAGGAATCGCGCTGTGATGTTACTCGTGCCTTTTTCTGTGTCGACGTCAAAGCTCCATTGCTGGTCGTCCGACGACCAGTTTGCTGCAACGAGCCGGTGGTGAAACTGGATCTTGCGATCAATGCCGTACTGCTTGGCCGAGTCTTCCAAGTAATTGCGGATCGAGGTTCCATCGGCGATGGTTTCCGGGCTAGCCCATGGACGCCATGGAAACCCGAAGGTATGGAGGTCTGAATCTGATCTTCATCGTCAAGTTAGCCACAAATCTTCAAAGTTTGTGCAAACGTGTCAGAGATATATACCTGAGGCCTGGGTAGCGGAAGAAATCCCACGTCCCTCCAATGGCACCGCGAGACTCGATGATGGAGTACCTATAATGGGGCAATTCGGACTGGATTCGATATGCGGCGTTAATACCAGAGATGCCGGCACCGACAATGAGCACATCAAAGTGGGAACTGGAGCCCATGGTACTCTGGGGCAGGGGATCTACGGAGGTTGCGGCTTGATATGAATGAAACCGAGGTGATTCTTGTAAAGCAGCGTGAGAGACTTTTTAAATCTGACCCCTATGGATTGGCATAGGAAATTGGGAATGAATGGAAGAGGTATCATACCTTATAGGAAGTTCGTCTTTTCCTCACCTCCATTGACATATGAACGAAGGAAGAAAGATACCGAGGCCCTTCCGAGGCCCCTTCTCACCAAGCTCGTGTAACCTGAGTCGATAAGTGCCGAGGCACACCTGTCAGCGCTCGTGGCCCACCCCTGCCCTAACGTATTTCACACAAGCGAGTCGGACACACATGCAGGTCGGACACTGAATTCCTCACCTAAAATCAAGAAATTTGCAAGGTAATAACTCAACAACAACTTAGTAGTATATTTAAAAGTGTGTATTCAGCTTTATCTATACACATAGATTCATTTACATGTACTTTTAGAGCAATTAGAACCATAGATATTGAGATATAACGGCCTAGTGTAAATTTCAGCGCCTACATTAGCCTTTACACTTAATATCTGAAGAATTAATGCATAGATTATTCCTAGATAATTAGGTAGGAATTCAACAAAGTATAAAAAGCTAGAAACATACTTTTAATATATATTATTAAGCTGTTGTTGAGTTATTACTTTGCAAATTAATTTCTTGATTTTGGGTGAGATACAATGTCCGACCCGCATGTGCGCTTGTGAAATACGTTAAGTTAACTTACTGTTAGAAGCTTACCTAATCCCTCGGTAACGAGTTCCAGTATTCGGACACCGGCGTCCGAATACTAAGCGAACGACATCGCCGACAGGGTTAGCAATAAAACTCATTAAACTGATCCTACTCATGAGTTTGAGTTCTGCGTTCTCAACTCACGAGTTAGATGAGTAGAAGTCATGTGATCTACAAATCGCATGAGAAATGAAATGATTATTCTATAGGTAACGTGGTCCATCCCTAAGTCGCGCACACCCCCAAGTCGCGCAGCGCATTTCACACCTAAAATCATGGATTTCGCAACTTAATATCTCAACAACCCTTTGATAATACATTATAAAAATATGTTCTTATCCTTTTATAAGCATTTAAAGTACTTTGTTCAAATCTTAAAGAAAATGGCATTGTAGTTACTAAGATATTGAGTTTTGACTCCCACTTTTGACCTAAATCTTAGTATCTGAATAACCCTAAGACCAATTGCTTTAAAATTTGAACAGAGTACTTTTATAAAGGGCTAAATATGCATTTTTATATTTTATTATCAAAGGGTTGTTGAGATATTAAGTTGCAAAATCCATGATTTTAGGTGTGAAATACACTACGTACGCTTGCGCCCCTTCTCCAACTGATTGGGAGAAGCTTCGAAAAGAAGAAGAGCGTCTTGAGGTAGAAGAGGAAGCGGCGACATCTCAGAGACTCACCTCTGCGCTCAAGAAGCATATGCCCGTCGCATGCGTCTTCGCAAACAGCAGAAGGCTCTCAAAACCTGCGGTGTTGAGATGCTGCGTCGTGGTCTGAAATCTTTGGACGAATTGGATGAAGCAGAGGAGAAGGAGTGTAGGGAGGCAGAGGTCAAAGGGACTCTCTTGCACAGCCCTTCTACTGCCGTTTCCGAGGGTGCTGCCCCTGACCAGGACCTTTTCGTGGCCCTATCTCCTGGCTTCTTTGATCACTTGGGTGTCGATGGCGAAACGCCTCGAGTAGCTCTGGACAGCTAAGGTTTCTTACCGTTTCCCATGAATTGTCCATAGGTTCATAACCTTTCCATTTTATCAAAAACTCTTCTTTGTGTCCTACTAACCTTCTGTCTAGGATCGCTTCGACTTCGTATTCAACAATCTCATTCTCTGGTTGAAGTTCTGTATCAGTCGCAATTGGGGTATTTCCTCTTGCTGGTTCCAGTAGTGAGACATGAAATACCGGGTGTAGTCTAGACTTCTTGGGTAGCTGCAGTCTGTAATTAACTGAGCTGACTTTGTTCAATATTTTGAATGGTCCCAATTTCTTGAAGTCCAACTTTGTACTTGGTCGTTTCGTTTTGATGTGTTTCCAGAGTAGATATACTTTATCCCCCTCCTTGAAGGCAGGTTCCATACTGCGCTTCTTGTTTGCATACGCGGCAGATCGTTCATTTAAGAATTGGATGTCTGTCGCGAGTTGTTCATGGAACGATTTGAGTTGTTCCACGGCGATCATAGCTTGTTCTGCTCTTGATTCATCTGGTCGTGGTTTTCTATATGCCTCTGGCTGATAGCCGTAATTGGCAAAGAACGGTTAGACTTTTGTTGCTTCGGTCATCGCGCTGTTATATGCGAACTGTGCGATGGGTAATATCTGAACCCAATTGTCTTGTTGGTGGTTGACATAACTCCGTAGGTGTTGTTCAAGGGTCGCACTCTCTTACACTACCATTTCCACCTGCTTCCTCATACCTGGGAAGTAGTAGTGTTGGGTGATTCGTTCGAAGGTGCGTGTTACTCCCTGATGGCCGTGTGCTGGTAGCGAGTGTTGTTCTTGCACTAGCGGGTGTCTCATTTTGTTTGGGACATACACTAATCCTTTGAATCGGATCAATCCTTGTTCATCGATGGCGAAGTCGCCTTCAGTTTTTATTAAGACTCGCTTTGCACATTCATCTGTTGCATAAGCTTTCTTGAGTCTTTCCTCCAACTCCGAGTTCTCCACAGTGGCAATCGTGGCTAGCAACTCGTTGTATTGCATTCCTGCATCTGTTTTTTTCAATATGGCTCTAGGTCTTTCCTCTTAGGGCCGATGTAGTCGGTCCTTCTGCTAAGAGCATCGGCTCTTGCGTTCTCAGAGCCCTTGCGATATGTAATTGTGAAGTTGTAGGCTGCGAGTGTCTCTGCCCATCGGACTTGTCTGCGGTTTAAAACCTTGGTTGTGGTGAAGTATATGAGATTCTTATGATCCGTCCATACCTGTACTGGGTAGGTCGATCCTTCAAGATATACTCGCCATTGCTCAAAAGCAACGACAATAGCTATCAGCTCCTTATCGTGGATGTCGTAGTTGAGCTCCGTGGGTGACAGTTTTCTTGAGTAATATGCAACTGGTTTAAGCTTCTTGTCCTTGTCTGGCTGACTTAGACAGGCTCCAATTGCGAAGTCAGAGGAGTCCGTTTTGAGGACAATCCTCTTTGCAGGGTCGAATCTGACTAGGATAGGTGCTTCTGTGAACTTCGTCTTCAGTTCCTGAAAAGCAGCCTCTGCCTTGCTTGTCCATTCGAACGTAAGGTCTTTCCTTGTAAGCTCTGTAAGTGGTTGAGCTACCTTGGAATATCCCATAATAAACCTCCGGTAGAAGTTGGCAAAGCCTAAGAAGGCTTGTATTTCTTTGACCCTGGTTGGTGTTGGCCATTCCAACACTGCCGTGACCTTTGCTTGGTCCATTTTGATGCCATGCGTTCTGACAATGTAGCCTAAGAATTCTACTTGATCCTTGTGGAATTCGCAATTTTTCTGGCTTGAGGAGTAACTGGTGCTCCTTTAACTTCTGTAATACCTTCCAAACATGACCAATGTGTTCCGTTGGGTCTCCTGAGTAGACTAAGATATCATATAGGTAGACGATAACAAACACTTTTCCAAGTATTCATGGAGAGCTGCATTCATGAGCCTCTGCATGGATGCTGGTGCATTTGTTAGACCAAAGGGCATAACCAAGTATTCGAACAAGCCATCGCGGGTGCGGAATGCTATTTTCCACTCAACTCCTTTCTTGATTCAAATCAGGTTATAGGCGCCTCTGAGGTCCAGCTTGGTAAATATCTTGGCTCCCTGGAACTGGTCGTGTAGTTCGCTTATCAAAGGTAAGGCATATCTATCTTTGATAGTGACATTATTCGTTCCTCGATAGTCCACGCAGACTCTTAGCTTCTTGTCCTTCTTTGGCACAAATAGTATTGGACTTCCTGCTGGTGATGTCGATGGTCGAATGAACCGTTTCGCAAGGTTCTCGTCAATGTATTCTTTCAGTATGTCCAGCTCTGCTGCTGACATCTGATATATTGGTCCAAACGGTGGACTCTTTCCTTCCATGATAGGTATCTCATGATCCCATGGTTGGTGCTTAGGAAGCGCCTTTTCGTTAGGGCCTTCCTGGAATAACTGCTCATATTCCTTATACTCCACTGATATTTGCTTCAGTGAGGATGCCTGGGCTGGGTCATAAGACTCGGTGGTCGCACATAACTCCTTCCGGTCTTTGGAGGTTTTCTCCTTCTGCAGCATGTCCGTTCGTTGTTCACATGCGCATTGGCTCATAACAACTTTCTCATTCCGCCAGTCGATCTGGGGGTTGTGTTTCTTGAGCCACGGTACACCAAGTATGCATGCATGATTGTCCATGTGCACGATATCAAACTGTATCGTTTCCTTGTGTCTGCGTAGCATGACCATTTCTAATGGGACCGTCTCGTGGGTCACCATACCGTTGTTAGTTGAGATGGGCTCTCCATCTACAACCATTAATGGGTATGGGTCAGTCTTCAGTTGCGTCCTGAAACTGTGTGTGTCTGCTACTTTCTTTGTCATAAAGTTGCCCGTTTCTCCTGAGTCTATCATAGCTCGGAGGTGTTGCTGTTGTATCTTAGCAACCACATATAGCTGCATGCCGCCCGTTGTGGCACATAGCTGGTTTGTACTAGGCCTCTTTGTGTCGCTCGCCAGTGGCCTACTACCGAGGACTCCTAGTTTTTTGAATCGTCTGAGGAATAACCGTCTGAGGAATATCCATCATATTCACCATATTCTAATGGTCATAGAAGTGGTGTCCCTTCTCTTCTTCATTCTGCTTCATGGCGTAGGCGTTCGTGTGCTTCTAACACTCGTGTTCCCCTTTCTTCTCTTGGGATGCTTTCCTGCTGGTGAGGGTATTCCGGTCGGCACCTCACTGTGCGAACTGCAACCCTCCCAGTATTGTGTAGTGTCCTGCCAGCTCATTGGTGGCTTGGGCACAGGAATTCTTTGATCGACCGTCTCCTGAAGCATGGCTTCCTTGAAGGTTCTTACTGCTCCTGGCAGTTGTTCCTTGAAGAGAGTCTTACTTGCTGTCTTCTCAAATGCTTGTAACTGGTGCTTTTGAGAACTAGTGAGCTCCTTGTCATCGTTCTTGTCTTCTCTGTTTGACAAGTGGAATTCCTCGAGATCCTGAGTAGTAATACTCCAGTTCTCTTTTCCTTTTAACGTGGCACATAGCTGTCCTCGCGGGGCCTTGCACCCGCCTTGACCTTGCCAAGTAGCGTTAAGCTGTTTGCCATACTTTCGTCCTCCATTCCCTTTCTTTGACTGTCTGCAGTTTCTCACTATGTGTCCAGGCTTATTGCAGTTGAAACAGAGCCGTTCTTGGAACTGTCGCTCCTTGTTGGGATTGTGGGGTTTGCCATTAGGCTTGAAAGTAGCGTCGAGTTCCATAGGTTGGGGCCAATGACTCTTTGTTTGTCTTCTCTTCTGAGTCCAGTGTTGACTAGGTGGTCCCCCTTTCTTCTTGAGTTGCCGTTCGTAGTGCTGATTGTCAATCTTCTGAGCCAATTCAATCATCTCTCTAAGGTCATCTGGTTTGTCAGACCTTGAGATTTTGTCCTTCACATGATCTTTCAGACCTGCGTAGAATTGGTCACAGATAGCCTCGTCTCCCCAGTTGGTGAGTGTTGCATGCTGTTGAAACTCAGCGGTGTATGCAACTGCTGACCCTCTCTGCTTGAGAGCCTGGAGTGCCCTGACTGCATTTCGTCGTTCATCGATGTGTCCGAAGTTTGCCTTAAGCGTTTTGAGGAATCCGTTCCAGGATACAAAAATTTCCTTTGTTCCTTGACTAGCTAAGGTGTTGCATTTTCCATCGGGTGTTCGATGGTTCATGTAGTCGGCGAGGTAGTTAGAGATCCATTCTGAGGCTGGTCCTCGAAAGAGTGCCACAGCCCATAGGACCTGTTCCACTTCTTTGTTGAAGTGTTTGGCGTTAAACGCCATCCATAGCTCTGTCTGGATGATGAAGCTCTTAAGCTTCTTGCGATCCCCATGAAAGGTGTCTGGGAATGCAATCTTCAATTTGTCCGAAGGGTGAGCCTGTGGGGCTTCGATGGTAGGTTCAGTAGCAACCTTCCCCTTCAATCCAACATTTGATCCAGTATCGTCTCCAGCCATGTTGCTTTGTGTGTAAGCTGGTACCTCGTAGAAGTGGTGCTCAAAGTGTAACGCTAACTTCTAAATGATAGAAGACACAGAGGTTTCTTGCATAAGGTTGACTTGACAGAGGAGGCAGGGGATTAGACACAAAGGCTTTCCAAGTAACACGTTACAGTATTGTAAAGAATACTATATTGAGTTGAGCATGAAGCTCCTATCTAAGGAAATACTATCTACTTATATAGTGGCGTCGTGCCTCATGGGTAATCTGGATAGTTGGCGGATAGCTAGATATTCAGGATAGTTCATGGATAGCTCAACTATCCAATATCCACTAGTTTCTGCAACTATCCATTAGCCCCGTCACATTACAGCCTACCCCGCTTGCCCCTTGTGACTCACACATCACGTTACTAGGCCCTGGTCCTGTAACCATGACGTCACGTTACCGTAGCCATAACAGCAAGTAGCAGAAGCAGAAGCAGCAACAGCAACAGCTTCACAGAGGCCTAGAACAACACCATGACTTATAGAGGAAGCTACAATTGAGGAAATAGACAGAGAGGGTGAAGAAGAGCTATATGACAGCAATTTTGTCATACTGACATTCGTTGCACTCAGTTTGCTATCAAACTCAAGAGCAAACTTAGAAATCTCCTCCTCAAACCTACAAGTCACTATACATATTTTGGCTTGTCACACCAACAACAAGAGCAATACTACTCAACGATTGCTACAACCCTCTATGATTCATTACACGTCATTGCTCCTTAGTTACTGGGCCAATATGACCACATAGCATATCTCTACAACCCTCTATGATTCATTACATGACATCACTCCTTAGTTACTGGGCTAATACTACACATGACATATCTCTATCAACTAGAGGCCTAGGAACATGACTGATAGCTCCAAAAGCTTCTACAACCCTCTACAATTCATTACACGTCATCACTCCTTAGTTACCCACACGATTGGTTAAGTTATGACATAATCTGTCTATAGGGGTACTCTGACCTTTGACCTCCTTTCACTTCCTATAGGCTAGGAACCTAGGAGATGGTTCTATGGGATTCTCTTACGTCGACTACAGTTACCAAGCCTGGTTAGTCATGGAAAGTCTTGGAAAATGAGAGAACTACACTCCTTTAGCATAAATAGGATTGCCCTTTCCTTAAGAAAGGGCAAGCAGACAATACAGTAAATCGACTATCACATACTTCCACGTCTTTTCCAAGCTTCCAAGCATTCATCTTGTTACTCCTTGTTTCTGAAAAGTCAGTGAGGTGTTAACCTCTGACTTACCCCTGAGTTCCCAGACTCAACATTTGTTGCAACTTGTCTGAACCACTTCACTACATCACACACCTGATTGCTGCGATGTGGAATAGTCTAAGCTATGACCCTTTGGCTCTTTTTCCTAAGACAGTGTGTTGTCTTAGTAAAATCATCCCTTCCTTGGGTGGCTAGATGCTCACATCTGGTGCACCCACCATTACATCCACTAATACAAAGGGTTGGAACAACTTACATGGCATCATGGCTAAAACGCATGTTTGAACCAGCAATGCGTGCAAAAGTGACAGTCAACAGAGGATGCAGCTACAGGTCGTTGAAGCAGAGGAGGCTACTCGACAAAAGTCAACAGCAACAGGTAGTAGAACTACAAACAAGGCTATAATTGAGCAAGGAGATGAAGAATCTATTGAAGAGGACTTAGGAGAAGTATCTAATTATATTTTAATTGAGGATTAGAGTATATATAATTTTATTTTTGTTGTTGTTCATGATGTTCCAAACCACCAGTATGCCACGACTTAAGTTAGTTCTTATGTCGGCTATATTATAACAATTTCTCAATTTTAGGTGGGAAGTTCAGTGATCGCTTCACCCGCATGATCGCTTGCCTGTGAAATACGTTATTATCTTGTAAATTTCTCAATTTAGGTGGGAAGTTCAGTGATCGCTTCGCCTGGGTGATCGCTTCACCTGTGAAATACGTTAATCATCATGACCAAACTTTTTGCTTCGCTCAAGGTTGGAGTAAGCAATACGTGGCTACCCATCCCGAGAGGAAACAATATGCTGCTCATCGGAACGTGCGTCTGTTCACCGCCACTCATCAATAAAACCTCCACCATAGTTGTCCATAGTATTTAGATAGTAATTATATGCAATTCATTTAATGGAAGGGACTCCTCTATCAAATGCTCGTGATTGGCTCCTAGAGAACCCCTCTGAAACAGCAACTACTGCCAGTCAGATTTTCAAAGTGCCTAAATCAACAAGCATCAGCCGACTAGCCCAGCAGCTCCCACACCGAGGGGGCCAGAATAAGCTACTCTCTACTGCGCAGACAGAGGCCATAAAGAAATGGATGTCGATACGGCACAGCTCTAGCATGACATACAACGCACCTTCCCTACACGGCACATAAACAGGGTTGTTACAGATGCAATTACAAACAGAATTCCTGTCAACATAGAATGCTCCGTGAGAAGAGCGTTCTGAGATGTTGCGGAAATAATTCTCACAGCGTGTTTCGCGGACAAAACACTCTCTTAAGAGGGGGGGTAGTGTAAGGATGCCTCCACCCTCAGTGACGGAAAGCATCAGAGTCGGGCAGGTTACGGTCACGTGGGGAGAGTTAGGGCAGGTTAGCCGAGTCGGACCCGTTTTGGGTACTTAAGGGGATTGACCCACGGGGTTCCTCATCATCTTTTTTGTATCCTTCGTAGTAGACCTATAGGATAGCATCCGTTTAGCCTCTGACTCGCACTCTCATGCTATTACTGTGAGCTGGGTGCCCTGTGTCCTTACATGGGGTGTAGAGCTCCTTTGCAGCTCGTGGCACAATTACACGCTCTCCACCTGGAATCCCAACCCGAAAGACAGTTTCATCCATATTCCAGATTGACTGTGATTTTATACCATGCTCTAGTATAAACCAGCCGTACTCTTGAAACCACTTTAGAACTGTATGCTCATCTTGAGCCTTCGTACGCTGCTGCGAAATTGGCTTCGTAGTAATAAAGTGATATTCCTTCAGCTCATTCCGTATAAAGTTTGTAAGCCAGCTTTGTGTTTTAGTGTGTGAAACCAGAGTTTGCTTTGTTCGCTCTGGGGTTCATTAGTGGTGGTCCGAGTGGACTCGAATCGCATCCACGAAGCGTCCGGGTTAGACTTTGCTTTGTTTGCTTTGGGGTACATTCCTGGTGGTCCGAGTGGACTCCGAATCGCATCCGCAAAGCGTCCGAGTTAAACTGTCCTAGGTATGAAAGGAGAAGTGGCCGCGCTAACCCGATTTGGAGTTCATTATTGTAAGCCAGAGTATGAGTACGTAGCCGTGCCCACTTCTTCTTGTTGTCTCCAACAACAACGCCAGCGACTACACGTCTGAGAACAGTAAGTGACCCCTTCTTATGGATTGTGTGGTGGTGTGCTAATCAATTGGATAGGACATTTACAATCCATGAGAACAAGTAGGTGATGGGAGCGCATTGGCGCGTGGGTGATAACGTGTGCTGGGCTGATGGAATTCACAGAATTCCAACTTGACGATGCTGATTCCGACTCCCGCCAGAGCTTTGTCGGGCGCGTTTTGTGTCCTCTGCCTGCGCGGCCTTCGGGCCAAAGCTCGTGGCGTCAGGGATCACGATTGTGTCTGGTTCCCCGCCTCCTCCAAGTGTGAGTACTGCACAGCGCCCCACTACACCTGCATTCCGGTGAGTTCCCTTGTGCTGTTCTGTTTCTGTTGGCTTTTGCTAACAATTTGCATAGCTGCCCTGGTTCCTAGACGAGGAATACCGTGTCCTTGCTGCCACCGAAGCAGCGGATCCTTGGGATCCCGCCGCCGTCGAAGCCACTGCCACAGAGGCAAACCGGGTGGCCCTTGTGGCCGCCCAAAGCATTCCAAAATTCCGCTCGGCTGCTGAGCGCGACTCCTATGAGGAGCTCCACGCAAGGCACCCTGCCCTCGAGGCGGGTCTGGCCGTGAGTATCCCCCTGTCCTGTGTGGTTTCGGTGCTGATTCGGTTTAGCAAATCCGGTCGTCACTGTGCCGTCTTTGGACGGAGCAGGGGAGCGTGCCGGCTCTTTTGGGGGAAGTGGTGGCTGCCGTGGGCAGGCTTCCTGCCGTCGCTGTCACCGCGATGGTTCCGGACCATGCTGGGGGGAGGAAGAAGGGGGGTGATGAGGGTGGTGAGGGTGAGGGGCATCGGTTTGGGGCCCAGTATGGGGCGGAGGAGGATGGGGCGTAGGAGGGAGGAGGCCCTGTGTCGGAGGGGACTTTCACCTGACTCTTCGCGTGGGGTCGCTTCGACCCTTCGTCTCTCTCAGTGGTAGCTGCTTGTTGCGACGCCGGTGAGACGTTTGGGAAGGGTGACTCCGCAAGAGTTACGGTGGTGAGTGGGCCCTGGCTCAGAGGGTATTTTAGTTTAGAGTCGTAGTAGATAGCAACGACTCTGTTTCTTCTGCTTTGTCTTCCCTCCCGTGATCGTAGTTTTGTTCCTCGCCCACCTCCCCTGCCGTAACCCATCCGAGTAGTTCTCGAGGTGGACAGAGCAGGTGTGGCTCGAGTCGGCTTCGACACCGACACCTTTGCCGTGTCTGTGGTACGTGTGGACGTCCTTGCGAGAGTGGGTAGCAGATTCAATTCGTTGTTCCGGCGCTGTTGCTGATCGAAAGCAGTAAGTTCTCAAAGCAGTAAGTTCTCGTACCATGGTCTGGTAGTCTCCATTCCATTGGTTTTTGATGATCGCGACGCGGCTGCGGAATAGGGGAGTCAACTTGTTCCACATGTACCGAAACCATTCCGACTCGGAGACTTGTCCTGTGATAGCTGCACTTTGGAAACGAGCCTTGAACTCTGGGAAGGTTTCGCTAGCATGCCCTTTCTCTCCCATTTGCAGGTCGTCGAAGAGGTTCCTGGCCTGTTCTGTCTCATTGCCTGTGAGGTAGTATAAACCTAGTAGATCCATCATCTCCTCAGCACTGTGGAACCCATGCGTAGCGGACAGGTATTGGGGCTCTAGGTAGGTCTTCACCAGGCCGGTCATAGTTCCCCATATCAACGCTCTTCTCGAGACGTCGGTAAGGTAGTGGTCCTCATTGACTACGAGTCAGTCCCGAATCGAAGCGCTCTATTGTAGGAAGGTATGTTCTATCCCATCGCTGAGAGGAAGGATTTTCTCAGAGATGGTTGATTTCTTATAGTGATTCGGAGGGTCCTCAGTGAGCATTCGTGACGACCCTGGAATCGATGGAGAACGAGTGTTCTGAAGAGGCGGCAATTGAACTGTCTCAGGGGTGTTTCGTGTGCGAGGCGTTCGTTGCTTTGTAGCTTCGACTGTGGGTATGGGGGCGTCCACCGGCGGTGTGGATGGGATTCTGGTCTGGGCTGCCGTAAGGGTAACTAGTAGATCCTTGACCTCCTGTATCTGTGCTTCGAGATGGGCCCTTCGACTCAGGATGTCTTGAGATGGCACAGCGGTCGTAGCTGCAGCGGTGGTTTGTCTGGTAGTCATTCTGGGCAGTTGACCGTCGTTGTCTTGGGGTATGTTTGATGTCAGCTTTTTCAACATATTGCCTCGGGTGTGTATCAGTACCGATATGAAAGAGCTTGACTTCCGGTAGCTCGTAGCTATCAATGCTCTTGTCCACAATTTCCTCTGTGCTAGGAGGGGGTTCTTAAGGATCTCGTATACTATTTGGCACCAACGCATCGGTGACTTTAGCACCTTGTTCTGAAGAATCAAACCCTGATCCACTGGCTGTCCGTGAGATCTCTGGAATCACGGCTATTTGAAGTCGTCAGGTCTCTCCTCTGAAACATCACCAAGTCGCAGTCGATGGTGTAACGGTAGTTCTCCTGAGTCGTTCCGGTGTGGGATATTATTTAAGTACGGCCGTCCCCAGCAGGCGTGATCTTTTGTATAATGTAAGGACACAGGGCACCCAGCTCACAGTAATAGCATATGAGAGTGCGAGTCGGAGGCTAATGTAATGGTGGGTGCACCAGATATGAGAATCTAGCCACCCAAGAAGGGATTATTTTACTAAGATAACACACTGTCTTAGGAAACAGAGCCAAAGGGTTGTAGCTTAGACTATTCCACAACGCAGCAATCAAGTGTATGATGTAGTGGAGTGGTTTAGACAAGTTGTAACAAATGTTGAGTCTGAGAACTCAGGGATAAGTCAGAGGTTAGCACCTCACTGACTTTTCAGAAACAAGGAGTAACAAGATCAATGCTTGGAAGCTTGGAAAAGACGTGGAAGTATGTGATAGTCGATTTACTGTATTGTCTGCTTGCCCTTTCTTAAGGAAAGGGCAATCCTATTTATGCTAAAGGAGTGTAGTTCTCTCATTTTCCAGGCTTGGTAACTGTAGTCAACATAAGAGAATCCCATAGAACCATCTCCTAGGCTATAGGAAGTGAAAGGAGGTCAAAGGTCAGAGTACCCTTATAGACAAATTATGTCATAACTTAACCAATCTTGTGAGTAACTAAGGAGCGATCACGTGTAATGAATCACAGAGGGTTGTAGAAGCTTTTGGAGCTATCGTCCATGTTCCTAGGCCTCTAGTTGGTAGAGATATGTCATGTGTAGTATTAGCCCAGTAACTAAGGAGTGATGTCATGTAATGAATCATAGAGGGTTGCAGAGATATGCTATGTGGTCATATCGGCCCAGTAACTTAGGAGCAATGATGTGTAATGAATCATAGAGGGTTGTAGCAATCGTTGAGTAGTATTGCTCTTGTTGTTGGTGTGACAAGCCAAAATATGTATAGTGACTTGTAGGTTTGAGGTGGAGATTTTTGCTCTTGAGTTTGATAGCAAACTGAGTGCAACGAATGTCAGGATGACAGCTAAACAGATGCTATCCTATAGGTCTACTACGAAGGATACAAAAAAGATGATGGGAACCCCGTTGGGTCAATCCCCTTAAGTACCCGAGGGTCCGACTCGGCTAACCTGCCCCAACTCTCCCCACGTGACCGTAACCTGCCTGACTCCTATTCTTTCCGTCACTGAGGGCGGAGGCATCCTTACACCCCAAGCCCTGAAAATCGTACGTCTATTACTATACTTGAGGCTGTGTCTGCAACTGGAAAAGTCATACTGCCTGTACTTATCATTCCGGGCAAAATATACATGGATTCTTGGTACCATGCCAACCTTCAAGGCACAGAGCTCATCATGCTCTCTGACACTGGATTTTCAAACAGCCAGCTTGCCTTACGGTGGCTAGAGCACTTTGCAGAGCATACTCCCTCTGAGGAAACGAAGGTTCTACTACTTGACTCTCATGTGAGCCATACAAGCGATGATTTCATCATTATGGCAGAAAAACACAATATTATCATGTACACATTCCCATCCCATCTTACTCATATTTTACAGCCACTAGATGTGGGGATCTTTCAGCCGTATAAGCACTGGCATAGAGAGGCTGTGCTTGCTGCCATACGCGATATGGATGTTACATATGACATACAGTCCTTTATGAGGGATCTTACCAAAATGCGGCTACAGACTTTTAAGGAGTCTACAATTATATCAGCTTTCCAGAAAGCAGGAATTTGGCCAGTAAGCCACGTTATAGCTCTCACAAATCTACGTATGTACTCACAGCCTGCTCCTATGCCTACACCTACGCCTCTACCTATACGGGTTTCTACACCAAAACCCTCGACTTTTAGGGGGCTTGAAAAGGGGCTACAGTACTGGAAACAACGGATTCCAGAGGGTTTTAGTAGCCCCTCGAGGGAGAGCTACAAGAATTGGCTCACAGGAACGGAAGAGGTTGTAGTAGGAGGCCAGCTTCAAGAGCTTGACCTACTTGCTTTTCGACACCAGGTTGAGGAGTCAAAGAAGCGGTCGAGCTGAAGCCGGGCTTGCCATCAGTTTGGAGGTGAGCTTACGGCAGCTCACGCTCACGAGCTTCAGGCCCAGAAAGCTGAGCTGGAAGCTCAGAAGCTTGAGGCCAAGCGGGTTCGAGCAGCCCGCCAGGCTGCCAACCGGGCCCAAAAGCAGCTTCGCCGGGCAGGAATTGAGGCCTGGAAGGAAGAGCGCCTCCGAAAGAAGGGGGTAGCAGCTCTTCGGAAAGCTGGCCTCCCAATTCGTCCAGAGTTTGAGGACCTAATTCCTGACCCGGAAGCCCTCCAAACTGAGGGCGAGGGCGAGGGCGAGGGCGAGGGCGAGAGTGGGAGAGAGGGTAGGAGTGGGAGCAAAGAAGTGATAATTTCATAGAATGGCTTAATTATGTACCTTTACATACAAATTACTATAGAGAGGTACTTACAGTCGCAATTGTGACGAGCCGCGTATTGCTTCCTCTCGAGTTGGGCAGCCCGCGTATTGCTTACTCCAACCTTGAGCGAAGCGAAAAGTTTGGTCACGACGATTAGTTCTATAATGATTAATGGGCAAATGTTTTATATAACGTCCTCCACAAGCGAGCGTCGCATACAAGTGAGTGTCGCACGCGACGAACACAATGCGCTCCTTATGTGTACTGCAAGATGCCTCAACAAGTTGATATTCCATCAACTAATCTTGAAGGTAGAATATATATTGCTATCGAAGCTATTAGATTACGCCAATTTAATAGCATTAGGGCAGCTGCAAAGGCCTCAAATGTCTGTCCTAAGCTACTTGAGAGGCGCCTAAAGGGAATATGCCCACGACGCGACATTACACCAAAAACTCAAAAACTCACTTGCTTGGAAGAATCAGTTGTTATTCAACATATCCTCGACCTAGATTCACGGGGGTTTTCGCCTAGGCTTCGTGCTGTTGAAGATATGGCCAATCAATTACTCGCATCTCGAGGTGTGGGCAAGGTTGGAGTTAATTGGGCTTCCAACTTTGTTAAACGCCATGTTGAGCTTAAAACAAAGTTTAATCGCAAATACGACTATAAGAGAGCTCTATGTGAAGATGCAGAGCTCATAAAAGCATGGTTTACACTTGTACAAAACACTACTGCAAAGTATGGAATTACCGATGCAGACATCTACAACTTTGATGAGACGGGTTTTCAAATGGGCATTATTACAACAGCAATGGTTGTTACAAACTCTGAACGGCAGAATCGACCTAAAGCAATTCAACCTGGAAACAGAGAGTGGGCAACAGTAATTCAAGGGATTAACGCGCAAGGATGGTCAATCCCACCATTCATTATTATGAGTGGGAAGAACCATCTCTCAACATGGTATGATGAAGATATACCACAAGATTGGATTCTCGCAGTAAGTGAGAATGGATGGACGACAAATGAACTTGGATTTCAATGGATCCAACATTTTCATAAGCATACAAAGCATCGTACAGTTGGTGCACATCGCCTGTTAATTCTAGATGGCCATGAGAGTCACTATTCTCTACCGTTTGAGCAATACTGTAAGGAGAATGGTATAATATTGCTTTATATGCCTCCGCACTCAGTTAGTTGCTTTGGACCACTTAAGAAGGCATATGGACGGCAAGTTGAGAGCTTAATCCGCACTCATATAAACCATGTTACGAAAGTTGAGTTTCTTCCTGCCTTTAAGCAGGCTTTCACAGACGCAATCACAAAGCAGAACATCTGCAGTAGTTTTCGAGCTACAGGGCTAGTTCCATTCTGTCCTGATGTTGTGTTGTCACAGCTTGACATTCAACTACGGCCTTTAACACCACCAACCTTTGAGGATGCTTCATGGGAACCTAAAACACCACACAATCTAATAGAGCTAGCAAGTCAAACTACGCATCTTAAAGATCGCATTATATGCCATCAAAATAGCTCACTAACTCCTATTAACAATGCACTAGACCAGTTGTTAAGAGGTGCTCAAACAATGGTGCATTCTGCTGTTCTAATGAAGGCGGAAGTTCAGGCCTTACAACAAGCAAATGAAGTTGCAAGTCAGCGCAAAAAGCGAAAAAAAAAAAGCGTATACAACAAGGAGGGTGCCTTACAATTCAAGAAGGTCAGGATGTACTTGCTCACCTAGCTGTGGAAGAGCAGATATCTCAGGAACTACGACAGGGTGGTGGGGTGAAAGACAGCAACGACGTTGCAGAATGTGTGGTAAGACTGGGCATAATGCTCGCACATGTCAAAGGGATTAAGAAGATACTATAGAATAGGTGTATAATTAATTTAATTGATTTTCTAGTCTATAGTTGTTGTTGTTAGAAAGTTTGTTACGATCTGTCAATTGCGTGCGACACTCACTTGTATGCGACACTCGCTTGTGGAGGACGTTACCCGGTAAGTTCATAAATAAGTTTTATATACCATGGTGATTCTTACTAAGCAGGAAACCACTCAACGCGCTCGGCGCGTTGCCTTCCCTCGCGTTGCCTCCCTCGCCGTTGCTCCCCCTCGCCGTCGCCCTCCTCGCTTCCCAGCTAACTCGCTAGCCGCTACCCTCACTGAGGCACTCGACGACTCTTCGGAAGCCCTCGTCGCGAGGCACGGAAGTCCTGAGCTCGGCTCAGGCCCACGAGGATGGCTTCTCTTGGCGAGCTGACCGTTCCTATGAACGGTCAGCTCTACCTCGACCTAGACGCCTGGTCGAGAGCCCTTAACGACTGGGCCAAATGAGGCTGTTGAAAGGAGCGACAGCGAGGGGGCGACGGCGAGGGGGCTACGGGGGGCTACGGGGGGGGGGATTGGGGGGTTTTTACTGGTCGCAGGGGGTTTCATATTATGTAGGGTATATAAAACTTATCACGTCAAATGCAGGGTATATACTGTAAAACTTTTGCCCATGATTAATACATTGTGTTGCTGTTTAATTGACTAATAACGTCATCGAATTGGCGGGGAGTGCGCAGCTCGCATGCATGTGCAGCTCGCTTGTCAAGTACGTACGTTATCAGTTAGTTCACAGTTTGACCATTGATGTATACTAAAATGAGGAACTTTCTATCGCCCTACTCAATCTTGAAACGTTTGTCCACAGAGGAGAAGTTGCATACGGATTCCAGTAGCATGCATGGCTGTTGATGGTGGTCTTAATTTTGCTTCCGTTACCGCCCTCATGGCCGCCCTTGTGGTCTCTTCTGATGTTGTCCCGCCGGTACATCAGCATCTACCGCCGGTCGACTCCGTACGGTACGGCCATTTCCTTCGCCCTCGTTTGAATTTGCGGCGCGCTTGAATCTGGGCCAACCGAGCCTCGAATTTAGCTACAAGCTCTGCTGCATGTTTCATTGAGCCTTTAGGTATTAGGGACACCAGTCTACTAGAACTGTGCCACCACATCAACATCCTCCTCGCCGAGAGCTTCGTGCTTAATACAAATCAAGTATCTTCACACATACTTAGGAACGGCAATCTTATACATCTTGATCAATGGCATTGTCCCTACCCACTAACCAAACCCAACATTGCACCTTAGCCAACAACAGGTTTACGGCGTATGCTACAGCTAATAACACAAAGTCTAATTAATCAGTACTTGCAGTATACTCGACAGAATGGATAGCAATCCGGCCACATCTGTAATAATGGCTGTTGTGTTCTTAACAAAGCCAGCAGTAAGCAAATCCTTGGCATTAAGCAAGAGACCGCCAATATCTCCCACAAGGCCAGGAGTGATAAGGGGTGAAACATCCGTAATAATGTGAGAAGTATCGTTGACGAATTGAGGCGTGAGCAGATCATACGCATTCCGAATGAGACCACCGGTCTTAGTAGTAAAATCCGCAGTCAACAAGTTAACTGCATTAGGTAACAGTTGATCAATCTGGGTAACTAACTCGGGTGACAGAAGTGTCACTGCGTTGCTAATAAGTTGGGCAGCCTCCTTAACAAAGGCAGGGGTCAGCAAGTCACTGGCATTAGTGAGGAGGGATCCAAGGTTCGTAATGGTGGCTGGCGTCAATAGCGACTTGAGTTCGGGTATCAGCGGAAGGATCTGAGTGAGCAAGTCCTGCAAAGTGCTGACGGTCTCAGGACTCAGAAGATCACCGGCTCTCTTGATAAGACCCGCAGTCCCGTTGACGAAAGCGGGAGTCAACAGGTCGATAGCGTTGGTAAGCAGTCCAGGGATCCCCTGGAGGACTGCGGGAGTCAACAACGAAGTCAAGTCCTTGATAAACGGGGCAGCGTCAAGAATCAATGACTTGGTATTGCTGACGAAGTCCGGTGACAACAGAGAATTGGCGTTGCCCAGAATTGCAGTGATCTCCTGCACATTTCCTTGTGTGAGGAGGGCCTTCGCCTCTATGAGAACTGGGCCTGCATTATTGATAAGGGGCACAGCCTGCACAATAAGGCCTTGAATGTCCTTGACAAAGTCAGGGGTCAAGAGGTTGTTGGCATTGACCAAAAGTGCTTCAATGTCTTTCATATTGACAGAGCTGAGTAATCCTCCGACTTCCGTAATAAGAGGACCCGCACTATTGATCAAGTCGCCTGCGTTCTTGACGAAGGTTGGGGTCAAAAGGCTGTTGGCATTGGCCAGAAGGGCTTCAATGCCTTTGATATTGGCAGGACTGAGTAATCCTCCGACTTCCGTAATAAGAGGACCTGCACTATTGATCAAGTCGCCTGCGTTCTTGACGAAGGTTGGGGTCAAAAGGCTGGTGGCACTGGCCAAAAGGGCTTCAATATCTTTGATATTGGCAGAGCTGAGTAATCCTCTGACTTCCGTAATAAGAGGACCCGCACTGTTGATCAAGTCGCCTGCGTTCTTGACGAAGGTTGGGGTCAAAAGGCTGTTGGCATTGGCCAGAAGGGCTTCAATACCCCCGATAGTGCCAGGAGTGAGTAATCCTCCGACTTCCGTAATAAGAGGACCCGCAATATTGATCAAGTCGCCTGCGTTCTTGACGAAGGTTGGGGTCAAAAGGCTGTTGGCATTGGCCAGAAGGGCTTCAATACCCCCGATAGTGCCAGGAGTGAGTAATCCTCCGACTTCCGTAATAAGAGGACCTGCACTATTGATCAAGTCGCCTGCGTTCTTGACGAAGGTTGGGGTCAAAAGGCTGGTGGCACTGGCCAAAAGGGCTTCAATATCTTTGATATTGGCAGAGCTGAGTAATCCTCTGACTTCCGTAATAAGAGGACCCGCACTATTGATCAAGTCGCCTGCGTTCTTGACGAAGGTAGGGGTCAAAAGGCTGGTGGCATTGGCCAAAAGGGCTTCAATATCGCCGATAGTGCCAGGAGTGAGTAATCCTCCGACTTCCGTAATAAGAGGACCCGCACTATTGATCAAGTCGCCTGCGTTCTTGACGAAGGTTGGGGTCAAAAGGCTGGTGGCACTGGCCAAAAGGGCTTCAATATCTTTGATATTGGCAGAGCTGAGTAATCCTCTGACTTCCGTAATAAGAGGACCCGCACTATTGATCAAGTCGCCTGCGTTCTTGACGAAGGTAGGCGTCAAAAGGCTGGTGGCATTGGCCAAAAGGGCTTCAATACCCCCGATAGTGCCAGGAGTGAGTAATCCTCCGACTTCCGTAATAAGAGGACCCGCAATATTGATCAAGTCGCCTGCGTTCTTGACGAAGCCCGGAGTTAAGAGATCGTCGGCATTTGTCAAGAGCGATGTAATAACCTTCGTATTCGGAAGTGTCAACAGCGTATTGGCATTGCTGATAAGACTGTTCACCTCGCCAACAAACTGTGAGGTCAGGAGGGCGTCGGCATTGGCTACCAGCGTCCTCAGCTGGCTGTCAACCGGAGGGGATAGGACAATTGAAAGATATTTAACGGTTTTTTCCACATAAAGGAGCAGAGAAGGGTCCAAAAGACCAGCGATGCCCGCAAGCAAGTCCCCTAGCGGACCCCCAACCTTGCTACTCGTGGAGCCGAGAATCCCGTTCAAACCGTTAGTCCCAATGCGGGAGGATGCTGTCGAGGGTGTCGCTGCAGGAGACGTGTCATGAGCCTCTGCCGATGACGAGGAAGACACGACTGGTGAGTTTGTAACCGCGACTTCGGACGGAAGGGAAGAATAGGCAGAGTCCACCGGGCCATCAACCGGAGTAGGCTGGGAATTTGACAGCAGGCTTGAAAGCGAAATAGGTACTGTAGGCGATTGCAGGGCAGGAGTTTCCTCCGTGAAGTTGGCGGTGGCTACGACCATGGCCACTAGCGGCGCCGCTGAGGCTGCTAGGGAGAGACGCATATTTGACGTTTTTTTTGGTCTTGTTTTTGTCGCGGTAGACACGATTCTTTCGTTCACTTGTCCCGTTCGTTTTGCGGCGATAGACCAAAACAAAAGGTGATTGACGCTGGTGCCGTTCTATAATAAAGGTAAATGAGCAGAAGCAAGAACATCACCCAAAAAATCGATTACTAAAATTGAGCGGGGTATATCTTTATTTACATGGCCGTATTTAGTTAAGATCGTCTGTACTATGTACTACCCCATCAAAGCCCATCACAAGTTGCCGAGGGCCGATCCCCACAGTTAAGGTTCGAGGGGGTGGTATTGAGGCTGTAAAGGTTCCATTCACTCTTAGAAGCTAGTCCCGTTATTGTTATTTTACACGAACTTATTACGGCTAATCAAGTTTGGCACTAGGGTGGTGAGGGGGGCCTGATTCTCTAGGCTCGTTGAATATTAGCGTCACCCCGCATTTCGTGATGGCGTTTGAACGATTTGGTCACTTCAGTGCGGGGCCCCGCCATCTCGAATGATCAGTGCCGAGCCTGACATGTGAAGATTCGTTGGTGTATCCATCACCCCAAGTATTATTCGACTAAAAGTAATGACGAAAAGCGATCTGTCCTACCATTACGGAGTAGATCTCCAACATATCAAGAAGGCAGCTCTGTGAGAAACCATATTTCAAGTCGGGGGCACTAGAGTATGTATATCTCGAGTTATCATACATCCATGTCTACCTAGTAGCTATACCGTCATCTATCCATGTGCTTTCCAGAATTCTCCTGCACGCTCTGCTGCCAACGCCGCTTCCTTATGAAATCTCACAATATGCCCTACCAAAATGAAATCGTGTACAGCCGTGATCGCAATCTCTAAGCCCACCTTGTTTCCTTGTATGGCCTTGAAACTCGCACATCCTCACGGCATCATCGTACAGCACTCTCCAGTTGGGAAGAACAATGGGGTTGGAGTTGCAAATGCGTTAACCAGAATACAAATATTAGTGTGCTCTAGAGTGATTCCACTGGGACTAATAGCACGAGCACCCCCCACATACCAAATCGCTCAACAAGGTACTCAGTCGTCTGTCGGTTCATGGCGATGTGTCCCAAGAGACCCTGTTCCAGAGCACCGGGGTCATCGCCATGAATGCAGGAAATCGACCTGGTGCTACTGGGTTCGAAGCCAGCCCATATTGCGGGGCAAAGGCGTGACTAACTGAAGTATTGGGTAAGATTGTCTTTGGCGCAATCCGACAGCAAAGCCAGGGCTGGGCTGGCTACCACGTACCCCCAATAATCACAGGCCTGATCTGTTGGGAGGAACCACACCCGATTTTGAGTGTGGTTCCTCCCAACAGATCAGGCCTGTGATTGGCTTCCGTAATCGATTCCTTCGGGCAACGGAACAGAGGCTTCACAGTAGAGTACAGTAAATAGGAGTAAAATAGTAACGTATTTCACAGGCGAAGCGATCACCCGGGCGAAGCAATCACTGAACTTCCCACCTAAAATTGAGAAATTTACAAGATAATAACTCAACAACTTCATAATATATATTAAAAATGTATTTCTAGCCTTTCCTATTTAGTTGAATTTGTACCTAATCATTTAGGAATAATCTCAGTAATCGTTGGTTCTCAAACCACCGCCTGGAGGCGGTTGGCGAAAGCGAACTGGGACGCGAAAGCGATTGTGGGACACTTCGGGAGCGGACTCACGACGCGACACGACCGACCATGAACATGACCGACAACGAGCACAACTACAACCACAACTATGCCGGTAGTTGAAGTAAATAAAAATGAAGCTCTTTTAAATGCCATTGAATTTTTAAATGAAAACCCAACAGAGAAGAGTGCTACAGTAGCACGGATGTACAGAGTAAACCCAAGTACGCTCCGGACTATACGACTACGACAACGACGCGCATCACCACAACGCACCGCTGTGCCACGCGGAGGCCAGAACAGAGTACTGTCTGATGTACAAGTTACAGCTATACAAAGATACATCCAACGCTCGTACGAAAATGGGTACGGTGCAACTAAGCCTATGGTGTTCAGTGCCATCTGCCAACTACGTGCAGCAGAAACTCCAACACGTGCACCACCATCACAACGGTGGTTCCAGACATGGATTAAGACACAACAACACAACTTCCATACAATAAAAACCCGGCCAATTGAAGCAGCACGGGTTGCATCTCATGAAGTATCAGCTATTAAAGAATGGTTTTATGAATTTAAAGATGTGTGTAATCAACTAGATATTACTGCAGGTGATATCTACAACTTTGATGAAGTTGGATTCCGTGTAGGAATGAGCACCGGTGAACATGTGTTGGTACCATCTGCAGTAAAGGAGGTAAGTTGTTTCTACTTATCTTACTTTATATTATTCTAATATTTATAGCTTTATATACAAGCTCCAGAGAACAGACAAAGTCTTACAGTTATAGAGACAATTTCAGCTGCTGGCATTGCACTTCCACCGTTCCTTATTATACAAGGAAAATTACACATGGAAAGTTGGTACCATGACAATCTACACGGTGATGAGAAAGTTGCAGTATCCGATTCCGGATATACAAACTCTGAGCTTGCAATGGAATATCTACAGCATTTTATTCAACATACACCGTCTATAAGAACGAAATTGTTAATAATGGACTCTCATGTCTCACATGAAGTTCCAGAGTTTATAATACTTGCACATCAACACAATATACACTTACATGTGTTTCCGTCTCATCTTACGCATATTCTACAACCGCTAGATGTTACTGTGTTTGCACAATATAAACATTGGCACCGACGTGCAATTCAACAAGCAATCCGGAATTTTGATACAGATTATAATGTTATATCTTTCTTTAGAGACTTGTCTACTATCCGTAAGCAGACATTTACAAAGGGTAACTGTATCAAGTCTTTTAGAGATGCAGGTATTTGGCCACCTAACTATGAAAAGATTCAAGAGAAGGTTGCTATATATGCAAAACCAGAAGTTTTAGAAACACCACAACGCGCATTTCAAGCAAGTTATGATCTTTCAACATGGAGTCAAACATTTGATAAGATCCTTAGTTCACCGTCACGGCAAAAGTGGGCATCTTCTTATACTGAAATCCAAACTCAGTTAACAGAGGCTGAGCTGTTCCAGTCAGAGCTTGTACAAATTACTACTATTATGACTGAGCAACGACAGCGGAAGGTTAGAAGTCGGAAATCTATTCAAAAAGGCGGTGCTATTACAGTTGAACATGCACGGCAAAGGATTTATGAGAAGAAGGTAAAGGAGCAACTTTTAGAAGAAGCACGGGAGAAAAGAGAGAGAACACGCATGGTGAACGTTGAGCGTAAGATGCAGCTCCGTGCTGGCATCGATGCACGGAAGGCAGAACGTACACGGAAAAAGGACCTACATGAATTTCAAAAAAGTAACCCAGACACGGAGCCACCAATTGGCTTACGTACAGAAATCATTGACCCGGACGTTACACAGAAGAAACGTGAGGAGGAGGAGGAGGCGGACCGACTGTTAGCCATCGAGGAGAGTGGGTACGTGAACTTTGCAGGCTTGGACTACGACATGATTCACGATGCAAGTGACGGTGGCTGTGATGATCAATCACTGCCTGACAATATTGATCCAAATCTTTTTTAATTATTTAATTCTATAACTTATATATATTTACAGCATTGTTACGTTGTCAGTCGTGTTCATGGTCGGTCGTGTCGCGTCGCGAGTCCGCTCCCGAAGTGTCCCACAATCGCTTTCGCGTCCCAGTTCGCTTTCGCCAACCGCCTCCAGGCGGTGGTTTGAGAACCAACGATTAGTTCTTAAAATATTAAGTTTAGGCACTGAAATTTAGACTAGGTCTTTATATTTCAATATCTACTAGTCTAATTGCTTTAAAGCTTGAATAAAGGAATTTGCGTGTATATATAAGGATACACACACATTTTTAGAATATATTATGAAGTTGTTGTTGAGTTATTATCTTGTAAATTTCTCAATTTTAGGTGGGAAGTTCAGTGATCGCTTCGCCCGGATGATATCGCTTCGCCTGTGAAATACGTTATAAGTTATTAAAATCAATTGAATTACTAAATAATCTACGGGCCTACGTACGCTATTTGTAGACCTGGGAAACCCCCAAGACCCTGACGAGTTGAACTCTTCAGCCCAGCCGAAACTGAGACATTGGGCTGGCACCACTGCCCAATACGTAGTAGACCAACAGCGGACCTGGACAATCCCCCAAGAAAAACCCGTCATTTTGGGCGCAAACGCCCACCGTATCCCCAGGGGAATGTCCGTTTACCCCAACATGATCTCGGCGTCCTGTGCGACAGCTCCGACGTACCTGTCTGGTTTCCCGCGCCCGACAGTAATAAACCTGGCCTTCTCCGCCTGGCCGGACGGAGGTCTATGGTGGTCTTCATTTCAATGGCTGAGGCAAAAGACAGGTATCCTTTCACGATACGCACCCCGAGCGCTTGTGTGTAGGTCCATTTAGGGTTCTGGCGTAGAGCAAACGGTATCAAATACAACATCCAGAATGGCAATCGTACCGCGTTGGTACCAAGTACGAACAAATGTATAGATAAGCTTGCCAGGGGTGTAGATAATTTAATGTAAAAGAATCACCGGGCCTTATACGTAGTGGCATGTGCTTCCCCCTCCCCGAGCCAGTTACCCCTCTCCATATAGCGTACCTGAATCCGAGCATATCCCCGAGTTACCATGTGACGTTGACTCCTAAGGGGTAACTACTGCAACGGCCCGTACGATGGGCATGTGCTTACGGTAGTGCTTCCTACTGACCTGCGGGGTAACCCATCTTTCCTAGCTGGGGTGTGAGCTCCACTGCCTCGGCCTCTACGCCATAGCATATGGACGGGGCAGACAGTCTTCAGCAGTTACTTTGGGTTTATCGAGCTCTTCTGCTTTGATATGGGCGGTGGCTGCGGTGCGAGACCAGTGTACCACATCATATCGTGCCACCTATCAAAAGGGTATGTTTTCGGAATATCTCTATTGCGTCTAATACCTCTTATCTTGTTTACATTCGAACGCGCCGGTATATCCAATGCCTCTGATCCTCCCGCACCTCACTTCAGATCAGCAACGGTCCCTCCCGTAAGCGTAGGATCATTCTTAGGCTTGCTAACCGAGCGGACATTCAGGTCAAACAGAGAGCCCATGTGGTTCCTCACGCTCTCCTGCAGCCAAGAGGGCCATGCGCGTATGCCGGTGATGGGTGTATAAAACTTGGGAAGGACGACATGGCCGCTGCGTCCGGAGATAACCTGCTTCACAATCTGGGAGCTGACATCTGTGGGCTCCAGAACAATGTCATTGAAGTTCGGGTCAGAGGTGAGGGCTTCGATCAGAGGCGTGCGGATCCAGGTGGGATTGATGAGGCTGTGCATTGTTCGTAAGTGGTCCCACGGGGAGAAAGGGGGGGCTTACGAAGTTCGCACGTTAGGTGCATTATATCGATGCTTCAGCTCAGATGCCACACCTTCGTGGAAAGCAACCGCACTTGACTTGGTGCAGTTATAGTCAATGATAGAGGCGACGGTCACATAAGATGCCATGCTAGCGACTGTGACGATGTGGCCGTGGTTCTTCTTAATCATGGCGGGCAGGAACTCCTTGGCCGTCAGGAAATGGGAGAAAGTGTTCACTTCGAAGGATCTGCGGATGCACTCCTCGGGCTCGTCGAGGAGGGTCATGGCGTAGCCGACGGCAGCATTGTTGATCAGGACTGTGGGGTCGCCGTGGGCTTTGCGGATCTCTGCCCCCGCGGCTGCGAGATCCGCAGAAGAGGTGACATCGACTTTGTAGAAGTGAATGCCAGCTTTAAATGATGTCATAAGTCTGGATTCACTAAATAGGAGGTATGAGCTGACCTTGGGTCTCTTGCGGTGGGTTGACATCCAACGAGATGACCTTCACGCCTCTCTGGGCGAAATCCTCGCCCATCAACGCCCCCAGCCCGCTCGAGCCTCCAGTTATCAAAACAATCTCTTGGGCATTGATAAACTTGGCATCTCTCTTCCAGTTGTTGATGACATATTGCGAGAGTTTGTTGTTGATTGCTCGGGCGACGCTGAAGCCGATGAGGATTTTCAAGGCTTGAAGGAATCTTGCATCTGTGATACAAGAATAAACTTTCTCGGGTAGGGGAAACTTTATTCTCTCGGGGTAGTAAGTAATAGCAAGTAGAAGAGGGATTTGAACTCGAAAGTCTGTTGCTACGAGCCGAATTGGCAAGGTGAGCAGAGCCACCACATACTTCCCAAGAGTCATGTTGGATTAAGATGAGAGATTGAAAGTTAAGGTACAGGATACAAAAAAGGCAGAGCGAGGGGAGAGCGTCTTCTTAATATACTTGTAGATCTGGGGATTCTCCGGAGCGAAAATAAATGAACGTGAAACTCCCTGGAGCGTCGTGGTAGTCGAAGCCGTCGAAGCCTCGGTATCACAACTGCGAAATTGTGGGCCGTGCTAGTCAGGAGTACGTACCCTACCTTGAAAATGCGCTTTAAGACTTTTAGGCTTCTTCCTATCCATAATTGTCGTGCCCGTGCAGTACAGTCCTATCCTTAGTTTCTACTACAGTCAAATGCCACTAAGACGATGTTCGGTTAGCAGATATATTCAATTGTGCGATATATTTTCTCGCACCGAATCAAAACACCATATATTGTCCGATATTCAAGATAATCGTCATTCTGCCTCCAATTATCGTATTATCCATCAACTAATGTGTGTTTCTTGACCTTCAGAATGCCTCGAAAGCAGCCTATTCTACTCGAACAACGCCGTGCCCTTCGTGCCTGGGCTCTGAAACAACATCAAAAGCCAACTCAAAAGCAGTGTATTGAATGGTTCCTCCAGCAATATAACCACAAACTTAGCCAGTCGACAGTCTCTGAGTCTCTCAGCCATCACTTTGATAGCCTTGACGAAGCTCCTAATACCAACAGAGCACGATTACGAACTGGAAACTGGCCTGAAGTCGAAAAGCTTCTTCTTACTTGGCAACTTTGAATTTTGTCGAATGGAGGGTTTACAACTGGTGATCTACTTCAACAAAAGGCGCAACAAATCTGGGAACGCCTTCCACATAATGACAGCACAGTCTGCCCAGACTTCAGTGTAGGCTGGCTTCGACAATTTAAAGAACGACATAATATCAAAGTACGAATTCAACACGGAGAAGCAGGCTCAGTTCCAGAGTCTGCAAAGATGAAATGAAGGCATTACAAACAATTGCAGGGGAATACTCGGAGGAAAATATCTATAATATGGATGAATCAGGACTCTTTTGGAAGATGATGCCATCTCGAGGACTTGCTACTCAATCTCAGGCTGGATTAAAGAAGGATAAGACTCGGATCAGTCTTGTATTTTGTGTCAACGCGCTTCTGGAACAGATAGACTTCCAGTCTGGATCATTGGAAAGGCAAAACACCGTGAGCTTTACGAAATGTTAGCATTTCAACAATGGGTGGTATATGGAGATGGAATAAGAAGGCTTGGATGAATACAACTATTATGGGCGAATGGCTTGAGGTGTTCTATCGACATATTGGCACTCGAGAAGTTCTCTTTACAATGGATAACTTTACAGCACATGCTGCTGCTCTTGAGCTTTACCCCCCTCCTTCAAATATTTATATTTGTTGGCTACCAGCTAACAGTACCAGTCGATATCAGCCTCTTGATCAAGGTATCATTCAATCTTTCAAAGCTTATTATCGATGACAATGGCTTTCATATATGCTTGAAGCCATTGACAACAATCAAAATCCTATGTGTCATACTGACATTCGTTGCACTCATTGCACTCAGTTTGCTATCAAACTCAAGAGCAAACTTAGAAATCTCCTCCTCAAACCTACAAGTCACTATACATATTTTGGCTTATCACACCAACAACAAGAGCAATACAACTCAATGATTGCTACAACCCTCTATGATTCATTACACTTGCTCCTTAGTTACTGGGCCGATATTACCACATAGCATATCTCTACAACCCTCTATGATTCATTACATGACATCACTCCTTAGTTACTGGGCTAATACTACACATGACATATCTCTACCAACTAGAGGCCTAGGAACATGAACGATAGCTCCAAAAGCTTCTACAACCCTCTATGATTCATTACACGTGATCACTCCTTAGTTACCCACAAGATTGGTTAAGTTATGACATAATTTGTCTATAAGGGTACTCTGACCTTTGACCTCCTTTCACTTCCTATAGGCTAGGGAGATGGTTCTATGGGATTCTCTTACGTCGACTACAGTTACCAAGCCTGGTTAGTCATGGAAAGTCTTGGAAAATGAGAGAACTACACTCCTTTAGCATAAATAGGATTGCCCTTTCCTTAAGAAAGGGCAAGCAGACAATACAGTAAATCGACTATCACATACTTCCACGTCTTGTCCAAGCTTCCAAGCATTGATCTTGTTACTCCTTGTTTCTGAAAAGTCAGTGAGGTGCTAACCTCTGACTTATCCCTGAGTTCTCAGACTCAACATTTGTACAACTTGTCTAAACCACTCCACTACATCATACACTTGATGGACGTTTGATATCTAACCCTTCGTACTTGCTAAGAATCACCAATCCTCTACGTGTGGATTTGTAGACCAAGTGCTGTTAATAGTGTTAGCTTTAAAAATTACAAGTGGTGGCAAGACGCATTTATCCATAGAGATGCACTTAATGACTAACACCTACTCTTGATGGCTAGGAACAACTTTCTAATGTGTACACATAGTTGCGTCAACTACTACATGGTTCATTTAACTGGTTCTAATCCTAAAACCTAATTCATCCATGTTATACACGTTATAAATATCATAGCTTTGTTCTTACACCTTTGTTTGTGGTGTTGTAAACCAGTGTTTAAGCACTTCAAATGTTGCTTCTTAATGTCTTGTAGACTCGATTTGTCAAGTAGTAATTATAACAAGCTCTATATGGCATTGAATAAAGCATTGAATCCATTGTTGACCAATCGGTAGATATCGTATAATTTAGGATGATGTGTCATTAACATGTTGCACTCTTTAGATCCTAATTATTTCCACTAATTCCTTGATTAGTTAGTGTCTAATAGGGCGTCCTATAGATGAAAATTAACAAATCCACTTCACTAAAGTACTCTCTTCAACTACAGATGTTATGTCGCACTTGCACTTGAGAAAGATGTCCTGCCACCTAACGCGTTAATGTTAAGCAGCTGACTTTAAAGTGTTCTGCTACATCCTTTTAAGGTTGTAAATTGTCGATTGTTGTATGCCTCTATAGCTTCAGCCATACACACCTTAGTTTCCTAAACCCGAACGCTTTTTTATTGTTGTTTTTTTACAAGTTTGAAGTTACAAGGTGGGGTTTTGTGTAATGGTGGGTGCACCAGATATGAGAATCTAGCCACCCAAGGAAGGGATGAATTTACTAAGACAACACACTGTCTTAGGAAACAGAGCCAAAGGGTTGTAGCTTAGACTATTCCACAACGCAGCAATCAGGTGTATGATGTGGTGAAGTGGTTTAGACAAGTTGCAACAAATGTTGAGTCTGAGAACTCAGGGGTAAGTCAGAGGTTAGCACCTCACTGACTTTTCAAAAACAGAGAATAACAAGATCAATGCTTGGAAGCTTGGAAAAGACGTAGAAGTATGTGCTAGTCGATTTACTGTATTGCCTGCTTGCCCTTTCTTAAGGAAAGGGCAATCCTATTTATGCCAAAGGAGTGTAGTTCTCTCATTTTCCATGACTTTCCATGACTAACCAGGCTTGGTAAATGTATTAGAAATCAAGTGCGACCCACAACTAGCTTGCTAATCATGTAGTGAACGTAAGAGAATCCCATAGAACCATCTCTTGGGTTCCTAGCCTATAGGAAGTGAAAAGGAGGTCCAAGGTCAGAGTACCTATAGACAAATTATGTCATAACTTAACCAATCTTGTGGGTAACTAAGGAGCGATGACGTGTAATGAATCATAGAGGGTTGTAGAAGCTTCTAGAGCTATCGTTCATGTTCCTAGGCCTCTAGTTGGTAGAGATATGCCATGTGGTAGTATTGGCCCACCCCCCTTAAGGAGGAGATTTTCTTAATAACTTGTTCAATGAGTGTCCAAATGATATGCCGTGATGTATGTAGCATAAACAGATGTAGTAGAAGAGTTTGCAGCAATCGTTGAGTAGTATTGCTTCTGTTGTTGGTGTGATAAGCCAAGATATGTATGGTGACTTGTAGGTTTGAGGAGGAGATTTCTAAGTTTGCTCTTGAGTTTGATAGCAAACTGAGTGCAACGAATGTCAGTATGACATTTTGGTGACCATTACGCCACCATGACCAATACAGCACCTCTAACGTTATACCTTGCAACAATCTCTCCGATTGTTTAATGTCATATGAGGAACTCTGTAGATTCAAGCAACGCGGCTAAGTTGTAATTGTGGATTTGTTTGAAGCACTTGAAGTGCAAGAATCATATTTCTTTCTTTGTACGAATGTGTCATATTTAAAAAAAAAGTTATTTAGATATAAAGTCAAAATATGACGGGTGGCTTGGGATGATGGGTCGCTTGTGAACTACGTTGCGTTAATTTCAAACAAATAAACCATGCCCCCCCATTTAAATAAATTCTGCCCCTAGTCGTTTTAATACCTAGTTCTACTACCTACCCATTTAAATAAATTTAGCCCTGGAATTATTACTTTTTATAGTACAGTCAAATGCTGCTAAGACAATGTATTCGGTGCCAACAAATCATATCGTACTATAGGATATATCGCTATACTGAATTTTGCATAATCCACCCATCTAGCCGTGACTGTATCCTGCTATCCTGATCTAAAGCATCAAGAATAGACTCTAGACGCTCCAACCCTCATAAATGCTCTGCCTTGAGAGCATCTTGACCTTCAGCAAACCCAATCAGAACTTGTAGAGCTTGACGAGCACTCTGTATAGTAAATACAGGCTGCTCTAGCTGCTCCTCCTCTTCGTCATCATCTTGGGTACTGCCTTGGCCTAGATGCTCCTCTAAGACCTCATTTAAAACCTCTTCTGGTCCCAATTCCTCCATCCCATCTTGTATATCCTTCTCTTCCTCTGGGTTTAGAAAGTTTGATATTGCCATGACATCTTGTATGTTCCCAGCTCTAATTACCTTGTCATAAAGCTCTCCGATTCCAAGAGGGGTAATAGTTGTAGGAAGAGGGATTGGCATTGAAATAAGTGTTGATTTTCGAAAGCAGTTGTAGATTGTTGTGTTTGTAACCAAGTTGTTCCAGCTTCGTACAATCCATCGAATAGCTAAGTGTAGATTCATTGTATCCATAGTGTAATGGTGGGTGCACCAGATGTGAGAATCTAGCCACCCAAGGGAGGGATGATTTTACTAAGACAACACACTGTCTTAGGAAACAGAGCCAAAGGGTCATAGCTTAGACTATTCCACAATGCAGCAATCAAGTGTATGATGTAGTGGAGTGGTTTAGATAAGTTGTACAAATGTTGAGTCTGAGAACTTAGGGATAAGTCAGAGGTTAGCACCTCACTGACTTTTCAGAAACAAGGAGTAACAAGATCAATGCTTGGAAGCTTGGAAAAGACGTGGAAGTATGTGATAGTCGATTTACTGTATTGTCTGCTTGCCCTTTCTTAAGGAAAGGGCAATCCTATTTATGCTAAAGGAGTGTAGTGTTACGACGGAACAAGAAGGCTGGCCAACTACAGGACAGGAAGGAGGGAGGTCGCATGAGACCGGCCCTGGTACCTGGAGGGGCAGCGGGGAATAGTAGTTCCGAAAGTATCACGTGACGGACTCGCAGGATGATGAGAAGAGTCCTAAGAGTCCAGGACTCCGAGGACTCGAGTGAGTTCCCAAGAGTCCACTAGGCACGACGCCACTATATAAGTAGATAGTATTTCCTTAGATAGGAGCTTCGTGCTCAACTCAATACAGTATTTGTTATATACTAGTAACGTGTTACTTGAAGCCTTTGTGTCTGATCCCCTGCCTCCTCTGATAAGTAAACCTTTACGCAAGAGAACCTCTGTGTCTTCTATCGTTTAGAAGTCAGCGTTACACTTAATTTCTGAGGCCGTAGGCTAGCTATTTGTGGGTCCTACCCTGGACTAGCAGTATTTCCATATGCTGTTCAAAAGCTATTGGCTAAACAGATACAAAAAGCAGAGAAGCTAGCTGAAAGAGGAGTCCGCAATTCCGATCTAGACGAAAATAGCTACTGCACATGCTTTTGGTCACGTGCATACCAGTTACCATGTAAGCATGTGTTCTATGGGTGGCTCCACCTAGGCGAGATTGAGGAGCCTAATTGGCTATAGTATGCAGCCTTATATGAAGACTCTGGCCTTGAGGTATATGAGACAATGGGAAATTTAGTAGTGCCTCAGGCACCTACTACAGAGGAGCGTGCTCTAGCCAATCAGTAGCTTGAGCTAAAGGAGAATCTAGACTTAATTAGGTCTAGATTCTATAAAATTGAGGCAGATCTAGTAGGAATGCCCCAATCTGAGGAGCTAGTTGCGTGGTGGCTTGGTCAATTATCTGAGGCTACAAATACTGTACTCCAGCTCTCGGCAGAGCAGATTTATATGCAGGCAGTTGGGTAATGCGCTTCAAATGGAAGAATAATTTTTTCGATTTTTTTTTAGGTACTTCATTTTATATATAATTTATATACAAATTTAAGTACCTTTGGAATTTTACAGTAAGGAAGGTGCATTTTGCGACTGCTACACTCTTCGGGTTGACGCCCCCTAATTGACGATTTTTATTTTCCACATAGTACTTCTGTACGCTCCTAATTTGGGTGCGTACAGAAGTCACTTCTGTCGCAATATTCAAAAATTGCCGGTAGGTGATTTGACGGGTAACTAAGCTACCTACAGTAGCAAACACATCTATCTACCTGGCAATTTTTTACAATATTGCGACAGAAGTGACTTCTGTACGCACCCAAATTAGGAGCGTACAGAAGTACTACATGAAAATCAGAATCGTCAATTAGGGGGGGTCATGTAGCGACCGTGGGCGCGAAGGTGGTGGCGGTCGCAAAATGATACATCTAAATACTTCCCATTGCATACATATTTGTATGAAAACATAAGTACTGTGATGTATCTTTTTTTTGCGACCACCGCCGCCTCCCTTCGCTCGCCCTGTTCCGAAGCACTTACTGGAGTAGAAAAATTAATTAAAGGCCAGTATTCTACAGAGGGAACAAAGGGCGGCTCTACGTCACGTGGGGGATACAAAGGAACGCCGTGGGGGGTATGGCCGGATGGGGAGAATTACATACAATTTACTAGTAATTTTCCTTGTCGGGTCATAGCTGAACTCCGGTTTCCGCAGCTCTCCCATTTCTCGCCAAAATGGCTAAGTCCAGCGTGGCAGAATGGGAACGATTCAAACGGGTCCCCTCTCGACGTCCACCTTCCGCGTTGATGGCCATCTTCCTCAGCTACTAGACAAACCAGGTACCTTCGCCCATAGCCTGGTGTCATGCTTGACTTTTGTTTCTACGTCTACCACCGCCTCATGCACGACATCGACAGCCTCTGGATGTACCACAGTTGCACTTCAATCAAACTTAACGCCCCAAGAACTTGTTTAGACTAGAAAAAACGTCGAGCTTAGTAGGCTATCCGACAGTTAGATGTTTCTGCCAGCAGCACAGTTCAGCGTCTACCAACACCTATTGACTAGCAACACAACGAGCCTTAGCTTCCGATCGATGATGAAATCTGATATGCTTGTGCCAAGAGTTGCAAATTAGATCGAGATGCGGCTACAGCATGGAGAGATAGGGAGCTGATAGATCAACAGGATGAATACCCCGGCGTTGGGTCCAACGCGCCATTCGAGTTATTCGGGTTATACGGTGCGCAGTTCCCCTCACCATGCTTAGCGATAGCCAGTCTCGGTGATGTGGTATGCAGCCGCGCGCCATCATGGGGCAAGTGAGGTACTAGGAGGCGGTTCCATGTATTTTGTGGGCATGGTGCTCTCGGTGCGTCTTATGTTAGAAGAGTCATCTGGTAGACCCTGTACTCTATCCGCCTTCCATCCCTGATGTTGGCCAGGTGCTTCCTCCTGAAATACTTTGTCAGGTCTCCGGGTCTTGAAAATACGTGTATGCGCTTTTTGAGCACAGACGACTGTCATCCCATAATCACAATAGGCAGATGGCTGGCCTATTCTCCTTGAACACTGATATCATAGAGGATCTTCGAACTCTGCTCTTTGATACCCTACTCAAGTGAAAAGTGGTGCAATCAACAGTAAATGAGTACGCCAATCACCGGCTATCACTGGCATTTGTAGAGGTCAAAGCAAGGGCAGTGGGCATATTTACGTGAGATAGAGACGCGATATGGTGACAAATTTGAATCCTCTTCTCAAAAGACTGCAAGGGAGGGTATCCGGCCTTGGACCGGATACCCTCCCTTGAGGGAAGATAAATACAGAGATATACAGCAGGTGCATAAATAAGGTACTATTCTAAACTAATTGCGCTGATAATAGAGGCAGAATGTTACTTATATTGGAAAAAGAGGAAAGGTTTAGTAGCCCCGAGCCTAAAGGCGAACTCAGAATTCCGCTCATAGAATCGACTATAAGCGACAGTAGTGAAACTTGTGCGGTCAAAGTAAGCTGATTCAAACTCTTCTCGAAATAATCGATGTGCTGACCGTTGTAAATCGTCGTGTTTCCAGATGCAGAAATTGAAAGGTTGCCGTGTTTCAGGGCGTCCAATTCAGAAGCTATAATTTGAGGCAAGTGCTTGACAGCCTTTTTCAGATCAAGTACACATCGAGCTGGAATTATGTTGCTGCCAGGGTTTAGAATAACATCCTGGAGGGCGGCCGTGCCGAGATTAACCCCTCCAATTATCAAGTTCCATGTCATGTTTCCCTAAAAGCCGGTTATTTTCCGAACGAAAGTTTTAAGAGGTTTGAAGGCTACTTACGAGGTTAATTTTTAAAATGGATGCATTTGGTAGGGACAGGTTTGCCAGGAGATTTGTTCCATCGGCTTCGGGAGGAAGAATGAGACGAGCATCAGCAATATCGAATCCTGTCAGGCCGTTGAGACCTGTAATATGATTTAGTAAATATTTATCGTAGGAAATACTTTCCCACATCTATGAGTTGAGAACTGACCGGTCAATTGAATGTCCTTCTGCAAGTGTACGCGGGCTTTTAATTTTCCGACGTAAGCGTTTGCAGAGCCTGTCACCGAAAGTGTAAATGCTTCCGAAAAAACAACACTATGTACAAACTTTGTAAATATATCCGTGTCCAGAATCTTTGCTGGTTGGTCGGTGATGGTTAAAGTCGTATTGCCATGCAAATCATTCTCGGGTAGGACGATATTAGTGTAAGGAACAATGTTTTTCGTACCATCGTTCACAAACAAGCTGAGAGGAATCGGGTTGATGTGAACAGATAGCGGCGTCGGAAGCTTAATGTTTGCTTGTAGAGATATCTCAGTGCTATTCGATGTTGGATTTGAAAGTCCAATCGAGGATATGGGGAGGTTTGCATCGTTAACCATCCTTTGAGCGATTGCTGGGAATATGACTAGAAAACTGTACCGTACATTAACCTCGATTGGCAACCCAGCGGCTCCTTGGAATTTTAAGTATTCCCAGGAAGAATATAGAGAAAGGGGCTATATTATTTCGCACGCAGTCTGGCCTGCACACAAGTACTTACAATACTGGAAGCAGCACTGCAAGAAGGATAAGAAGCCCAATTGCATAGCAAAGCCACCAACGCTTCCCATGCTTCCATAACCTCAACAACCAACCCTCTTTTCCCACAGCCAGGCCGGGCTTCTCATCTTCTGTGGTGATATTTTCAACCTGATCATCGCTCGCCTTATTCGATTTCTCTTCGCGAGCTGATGAAAGCCTAGAAGAGTCCGGCCAGTTCGCAGTAACGACGTCTTTAGGCTCTCCAATAGCAGCCATTGTCGGAGTTTGAACCCCAAAAATGCTGTATAGGCACTCTTTCTGGACACAAAACTGGGATCGAGAGCAACAGTGCAAAGCCTAACCGCTCGGTGGCGAGTGACGACTTTGTAGGACGTAAAAAGAAGAGAGACTGATGGGGGGAGAAGGAGGAGGAGGAGAAGAGGAAGAAGAGAAATTCCATAGGATGAAGCGACCCCAGATTCCCCACAACTCCAATTGTGGTCTCGATCGTTCCCCTCTCTGCACCCCACAATCTCCCCTCTCGCCCCCTGTCACTTCACATTCAATTAACTCCACCCTGGGTAGTAGACCCTGGACCCCGCAAACTTTCAGATATCAACAAATGCGCCCGCAATAACAACCTTAGATAATGCCTAGGTAGCTCATGCAAGTGAGGGGCTCGGTGATGTGCCTAGGTAGCTCATGTAAGTTGCAAGTGAGGGGCTTCGGGTACACCCTGGTTACCCCGCAAACTTTCAGGTTTCAACAAATGCTCACGCCCCACCAACCTTCGATAATGTTGAGGTAGGCAAGTGAGGGGCTCGGCGATGTGCGGGGCACGTGAAAAATAATCTCGATTTGAGGGCCTAATTAGGCTAGGGCTTCGGTTACACCCTAGTCACCCCGCAAACTTTCAGATATCAACAAATGCTCCCGCCACATAGGCAAGTGAGGGGCTCGGTGATGTGCGGGGCACGTGAAACATAATTTCGATTTCAGGGCCTAATTAGGCTAGGGCTTCGGGTACGTCCTGGTCCCCCACAACTTTCAGCTATCAACAAATGCTCCCGCCCCACCAATCTTAGATAATGTTGAGGTAGCTTAGGCAAGTGAGGGGCGGCTCGGTGATGTGTAGGGCACGTGAAAATAATTTTCAATCTAAGGGCCTAATTAGGTTACAGCTATAGGGTATACCCTAGTCCCCTATAAACTTTTAGGTACTGATAAATGCATCTAACTAGTTAGTAGTCTTACACCTACCTATCCTATCCTATCCTATACCATGATATAGAAATATAGTAATTATGTATCCTTATCTTCCTCTTAAGTCCTACCTTCTAATACCATGCCCTAATTCCTAAGACATATAAGATATCATATTATAGATAAAGTAATGTATAGGGAAGTCAGACATATGTGTCATACTGACATTCGTTGCACTCAGTTTGCTATCAAACTCAAGAGCAAACTTGGAAATCTCCTCCTCAAACCTACAAGTCACTATACATATTTTGGCTTATCACACCAACAACAAGAGCAATACTACTCAACGATTGCTACAACCATCTATGATTCATTACACGTCATCGCTCCTTAGTTATTGGGCCGATATTACCACATAGCATATCTCTACAACCCTCTATGATTCATTACATGACATCACTCATACTACCACATGACATATCTCTACCAACTAGAGGCCTAGGAGCATGAACAATAGCTCTAAAAGCTCCTACGAACCTCTATGATTCATTACATGTCATCGCTCTTTAGTTACCCACAAGATTGGTTAAGTTATGACATAATTTGTCTATGACATAATTTGTCTATAGGGGTACTCTGACCTTGGATCTCCTTTTACTTCCTATAGGCTACGAACCTAAGAAATGGTTCTATGGGATTCTCTTATGTCGACTACAGTTACCAAGCCTGGTAAGTCATGGAATGTCTTGGAAAATGAGAGAACTACTGTAACGCTGACTTCTAAACGATAGAAGACACAGAGGTTCTCTTGCGTAAAGGTTTACTTATCAGAGGAGGCAGGGGATCAGACACAAAGGCTTCAAGTAACACATTACTAGTATATAACAAATACTGTATTGAGTTGAGCACAAAGCTCCTATCTAAGGAAATACTATCTACTTATATAGTGGCGTCGTGCCTAGTGGACTCCTGGGAACTCACTCGAGTCCTCAGAGTCCTGGACTCTTAGGATTCTTCTCATCATCCTGCGAGTCCGTCACGTGCCTAGTGGACTCCTGGGAACTCACTCGAGTCCTCGGAGTCCTGGACTCTTAGGACTCTTCTCATCATCCTGCGAGTCCGTCACGTGATACTTTCAGAACTACTATTCCCCGCTGCCCCTCCAGGTACCAGGGCCGGTCTCATGCGACCTCCCTCCTTCCTGTCCTGTAGTTGGCCAGCCTTCTTGTTCCGTCGTAACACTACACTCCTTTAGCATAAATAGGATTGCCCTTTCCTTAAGAAAGGGCAAGCAGACAATACAGTAAATCGACTATCACATACTTCCACGTCTTTTCCAAGCTTCCAAGCATTCATCTTGTTACTCCTTGTTTCTGAAAAGTCAGTGAGGTGTTAACCTCTGACTTACCCCTGAGTTCCCAGACTCAACATTTGTTGCAACTTGTCTGAACCACTTCACTACATCACACACCTGATTGCTGCATTGTGGAATAGTCTAAGCTACGACCCTTTGGCTCTGTTTTCTAAGACAGTGTGTTGTCTTAGTAAATTCATCCCTTCCTTGGGTGGCTAGATTCTCACATCTGGTGCACCCACCATTACAATATGGGGTAGTTAGACAAAAATGCCCTACCACTAGCTTAGAATCTTCACACCGTCTACCATGAACATCTGACAACCTTACAGCTGTGCTCAAATTAAAGACAACATCTAAAAGACCATTGTTGTGATTTAATTGAAGGAATTCAAATCAATTAGACTTGCTACAGAGCACTTTGAAGTTCCTAAGTCAACCCTTGCTAATATGATGTCTAGAAAGAAAATGCATGCTGTAGCTCACAAAATTAAACAAGCTCTTTTAAACGCTAAAGAAAATACACTTATACAGTGGATTACACGTCTCACTACCATAGGTTTTCCTGCAACTCCTATGTTGATCAAGGAAATGGCTAAAGAAGTTCGCATACAACGTGTCTACATGTCTTCTTAAATGACCCTTTGGACCAATCCTACCCCTATAGGCCATGGATGGATCTATAGATTCCTAAAATGACATCCAAACTTTAAAGGCATCTACTTAAGACAACTATGTCTACATGATATAAAGAAGCCATATAAAGATTTCAGCTTAGTTAAATGCGGTAAAGGCAAGAATTAAGGAGCAAAAGTATAAGCCATATAACATCTACAATATGGATGAGACAGGTTTTGCAGTCGGAGAGACTTAATCTATATGTATAATTGTTGATTCAACCTTAAAATCCAATTAGAAGTTGACAGCTACGAATTAGGAGTGGATAACTGTACTTAAATGCTTGATGCAGATGCTAGTGCTTTACCACCTATGATTATATTTAAGGCGAGAATACCAATTCAAGTTGGGTTCTACAGGACAAACCTACAAACTGGCAGTTCTCAACTAGTAGTAGCAGCTAGACTTCAAATAGTCATGGATTTGAGTGGTTGTAGAAGGTATTTGAGCCTAAGTCACACAAGAATTCTAGAAATAACCTATGGATGTTGATTATAGATGGCCATTCTAGTCATATTACTAGCGATATGATTGTACTATACATTAAGAATGACATCGATCTTCTTATTCTACCTCCCTATTGCTCTTATCTGCTCTAGCCACTTGATGTTAGGGTGTATGAACCTCTTGAGCAATTTCATGCTTAGGAAGTGGATCGGTATACTTAAGCAGGAATAAAGCGAATCTAGCACTCCTACTAGGTTGAAATCTTCTAGTGTATTTGAGAGAAGGGTCTTATACCTCAAAACATCAGAAGTGGGTGGAGGGCGGCAGGTTTAATACCCTTTCTCCTAGAAAGAGTTCTGTCTAATCTTCTGCTTCAACTAAACCACTTTGCACTCCCTAAAAGTCAACTAATATTACTACTCTAGATTTCTTCATACTCTCAGTTCTCCTCTAGATAGAGCTGAACTAAGACATGCGAATTTAGTATTTAATTCAAGCATGGCAACTAGTGATTCTCCTGCTTCGCCAACATGGCGTTATGCCAAGAGAATGACTAGGCTGGTTGAAAGTCAGAATGCTAATCTCACAATCCTTCAGAAGGAGGTGAAAGAATACAAAGAGATACTTGAGACATGGAAGAAAGAACCAGGGGCAAGAGAATTAAACTACAGGGTGAATTTGTATTTAGTATAGAGGAAGTGTTGAAAATTGTCCATAAGGCAGAGTTGAAGTCGAGTGAGAAAAGACCATGCAAATGACCAATTAAAGAAGTAGATGTAAGGACACAGGGCACCCAGCTCACAGTAATAGCATATGAGAGTGCGAGTCGGAGGCTAAACGGATGCTATCCTATAGGTCTACTATGAAGGATACAAAAGAGATGATGAGGAACCCCGTTGGGTCAATCCCCTTAAGTACCCGAAACGGGTCTGACTCGGCTAACCTGCCCTAACTCTCCCCACGTGACCGTAACCTGCCTGACTCTGATCCCTTCCATCACTGAGGGCGGAGGCATCCTTACAGTAGAAGAGGCAGTTGAAGAGGAAGAGGTAGAGAATGATTCAAGCGACTTAGAATTGGAATTGGAGGAGTGTGTGGCACGTAGGACTAGGTCAACTAGAGTAGAATAAAGTTTTGTCCTATACTTGAACCTATATATAAGGATGCCCTCGGGACTGGGCGTGGCATCCTTATAGCAAAGATATCCTCATGTGGAGGTTCACGGAAATCTAAGGATATATGTAAAAAAAAAAAATTGTATGTGACTTTGATACCCAGCCATCTAGTAAACGTTGCATACTCTTCGCGACTTTCTCTTGCGAAATATCCTTGCCAATTGTTCTAATGCCTTTATTACTGAAATCCGACCTCTATCTTTAGCAAGGGAAGTAAATAATTAAAGGGTATTCAGTGCCTAGCTTGCTTCTGTAAGTGATGGTCAGATCTCTTCCTCTTCCCCTTCCTCGTCCCTGTCTGCAATCCCATCCTCCTCTGTAATAGTGTATCTCTGTACTACAGCTTCAAAAATATCTTCATCTCTGTCAACTATTCTTCGCCTATAGGGTTGAGAAAATCTGCAATTGGCATGACATCTCCTGGTAGCCTCACAATTTCCATTCCTAGTTCCTCGACCTTAGTAGTATTATCTTGACGCATATCTATATTTTCTGGTTTTTTTATGAGAGTCGACCGCCACCAACACTTCTAAATTTTTGGTGCTTCAAGTGCTTCCCACGTAAGTCTACTCCACTGTATTGCCTTTAGAATATTAACTGTTTTATTAGGGTTCTTATTGGCCTCGAGCTGGTGCAACATGTAATTAATCCATTGTTTTCGATACCCAAGTTTGAAGCTTGCAATTATTCCCTAATCAAGAGGTTGCCAATGAATGTCGTATTCGGTGGAAGCCAAGCAATTCAAACATTTGACAAACCTTGTAATCCACCAACAAGTTCAACTCTGACTTCATGTCTAGAGAAGTTATTAAGTAATAACAGTATCTTGTGATGCTTCATTTTCTCATTTAACCAGTCTAGGTATTCTTTTATAATTAGCCCTGTCATTCATTTTGTCCTGTTGTATTAATATTGAATCCGCATGCGCTTAACATCAATATTTTTAAAACATCGAGGATTCTTCAACTTTCCCACAACCCATATATCTAGCTTCTCAGTTCTAGTCAAATAAATGCGAGAGTAATCCTATCTTTGGATTTCTTTCCCCCACTCAAAGCTTTAGTGGCTAGCGATTGAGTTTGCGGTATAGTGATGACCATAATGCCTACCCTAAGGCTGTACAAGACTTCGCAAAGAAGCAAGCCTTAATCTAGGAAGAGAAGTGTTAGAAAAGGCAACACTAAGACATCAAAGACGGGTGGGAACAACCTTGAGGAGAGGAAGAGCAGGGGATAGAAACTGCCTCTACCATATTAACAGAGCTTGCGTCAACCTATAGACCAATGGGAAGGGTTAAGGAACCTAAGGTGTATAAGGGAAAATCCACCTAGGAGCTTAATGAGTTCATGGCCTTAGTCCGCACCATCTTCTGGTACCAACCAAGGATGTTTCTAACTAAGCAATCAAAGGTGGCCTTTGCAGCCTAATACCTAGAGGGGGACCCTATAAAGGAGTAGGATAACTAGTACGCCTCTAAAGAAGAGGGGTATATAGACCCCCTAGACATCACTAGGTTTAAGGAGTTCCTTTAGGACCTCTTATGTTGACCTAGCCAACTAGCAGCAGCCTTGAAATATAACGGCGCCTACTAATGGAAAGGACAGAGTATCTGTAAGTTCATGACCTATCTTAAGGAACTTAAACGAGAAATGGAGCCGTATACTGAATCATAGAGTACTGTCCACTCTTAACGAAGATTCACCTAGAAATGAGGTAGCAGCTCCTTTTTCTCTTAGAATCTTGTAGGAGAGACACCATGTAATGATGTACAGTTATGCTTGCGCTAGCGCTGTTATAGTACATGTGGAATATAGAGCATGTTATGTATATTCTAGGCAAGCTGGAATACTGTAGTCTTTTTGGCTTAGTCGATGTACCCTGTTACAATAACCCCCCCTTTAGTCTATGACATCCTAGCACAGATGTAGAGGCTTCTAGCTTATCATCTCGTACTTGCTTCTAGGCCCATTACTACTTAGGATGCTAAGGTGTGTATATAATAGCTTAAGCCCCTAAGGACGCCCCCTTGTTAGCTAGGTAAGGAATTACACTAATTGCTCGCTTAGCCCACCCAACTAGCGCGCTAATCAAAACCCATTAACTAGGGAGCTGGAATACTCTTGTAATGATGTACAGTTATGCTTACGCTACATCCTACTAAGCTAAAAAGACTATAGTATTCTAGCTCACCTAGAATACATGTAACACGCTTTATATACCACATGTACTATAACAGTAGCACCCTGTTACACCCTGTTAGGAAGCTCTAGGTGCATCAATTTGTAAAGCGCCAAGTAGAACTAAAGACATGATTTTCTCATGTTTATGATTTCCAAAGGGCCTTGTGTGAAGATCCTAAGCTTATTAGAGCATGGTTCTCACTTGTAGAGAATATACAGATTAAATATAGCATTCTAGATTGTGATTTCTACAACTTCAACAAGACTGGCTTTATAATGGGTGTTATTTGCACTAGAATGGTTAATACACATGCTAATTGACATAGCAGAGGCAACGCCATTTAGCTAGGTAATTAGGAATGGGTGATAGTGATTGTTTAAATTAATAGTGAAGGTTGTTGGAGTATCCCTCCATGTTTAGTGGTTTAAGGCATTAATTACCTTGCGAATTAGCACTCTAAAAGTAGCCTCCCTTACAACTAGGTCATAAATCCTAAGAATAATGGTTGGACAAACAATGAGATAGGTTAAGAATGGTTAAAACACTTAGATAAACAAACTGCTGCTTAAGCAAAAGGTCCATATTGAATGCTAGTACTAGATGGGTATAAGAGTCACGAATCAGCAGCATTTCAAGAGTATTGCAAGTCCTATGACATTATAACTCTTAGATTGCCTGCCTATTGCTCTCATCTAACCTAGCCACTTGATATTAGATGTTTCAGTCCTTTAAAGCAAGCATATAGTCATTAAATTAAGGGTTTCATTAAGGTGCATATTCACTATATCACTAAGGTCAAATTCTTTATGGCCTTTAAAGCTGCCTATATACAAGCTAAATTCTACAGAGCTGGATTAATCCCTCATGACCCTTAGGCAGTAATATCAAAGCTAGATGTTAAGTTACAGACTCCTATGCCTACTAAAGCCCCCTCTATAGAGGCTGACCCTTAGGTTTCTTAGAAGCCTCATAACCCAACCAATGCTTTTTTTTAGACAACTTTAGTTAAAGATCGTATTGCCCTTCATTAAGGAAGCTCTCTAACACTGCTTATTGCTATAGTCACTATGTTACCAAAGGGTATAGAGATTTTAGCACATAAGGTTACCCTTTTAACTGCACCATACTCTTCACAAGGCAAATGAAGCACTTAGCAAGCATTACAGAGCTAAAGAAAATCATATCTGTCAAGGAGGTGCACTTATTGTAGAGGATCACATGATATTTTAGCTTAGGAGGAGGTAGATGAGTAGATTTAACGTAACAAGCGCTCTAGAGGGGTTAATTAAGGTGAAGGAAATTTAACTACACAATGCTGTAGTACTTGTGGAAAGATTAGTCATAAGGTGTAAACTTGTTAAGTGGTTGTAGAAGCACTAGTTTATTAGATTCTAAGTAGTTTTAATTAATATAATGTGTTGTGGTTAATTAATCATATTGCAATAGGGTAGTAGGGAAGTGTGCTACTTAGTGATATGTGCTGCGTAGTGATAAACCACATTATACTATAATGTGTACTTAAAGCCTTTATGTCTAATCCCCTACCTCCTCTGTTAAGTTAATTCTTTATATAAGAAACCCCTATACATCCTATTGTTTAGGAAGTAGCATTACAGCTAACTCTTAGGCAATACTAGTATCTAATACTTACTATAATTACTAAAGATCATTTAACAATTTCTACATTAGTAGAATCTAAGTAAGTGTTTAGTGTTAGTAGTAATAGATTAGTACTTACGTAACATATGGGGAAGTTGGACATATAGGGTAGTATAGTTGAACCTAGATATAAGGATCCCTTGATATAAGGATATCCTCAATATAAGGATGGGTAGTCTGGTCCTGTAGTTTTTTAGCTGTAAAATAAGGATTATTTCTGTATAAGGATGATCCTTAAAACTGTGGTCCCAAAATTATTTTTATACCAAACAATCCTTATAACTCATGGTCACCAACTCCACCATAGAGGCCTCGCAACCAAAAAAAAGGCACGAACTCACCGATGTTTAGCAACAATGTATTTGACATAGATATGCTAGCCACCCATGCACTTAGCCTGCACTTATAGCCTGGTATGCTGCGCAAGCTCAAGGTCGCGAACTTATACAAGGCCAAATATCCTCAATTCTTTCCACGAAGTACCAATATCTCAACTCAGATACATGGAAGAAGTTCAGTCTTCTTCCATGTACAAAGAGAAAAAGTAATGGTGAATATCCTGAACTCGAGATAGCTCTCTTCAGCTGGCAACAATGCATGCAAAAGAAAAATGTGATCATTACTGGTGACATTCTAAAAATGAAGGCTCATGAACTTTGGGACCGTCTGCCACAATATACTATTCATAGGAATGAACTGAAATGGTCGAATGGCTGGATAGATGGATTCAAGAAGAGATTTAAGATTAAGGAATATGTTCGACATAGAGAAGCAGCTGTAGCTGACATCCACAATTCTACAAATATCACGCAAATGGAAGATCTCTGACAACTATGCGCAACATATGCAGATAAAGATATTTTCAACATGGATGAAACTAGGCATACGGTGTTGATATAGACCTTTTCTTCGTCTATCTGTCTCTAGAGGTCAGCTAGCTTCAAGGCCATGCTCTCACCCTAGCCTGCTATAGAGTGGCTAGCTTCTATAGACGTAGGTCTTAGGGCTGTCTCTATAGAGTCAGTCCCTAGCATCGCTCCTCCTAAGGTCACCTAAGTAATCTGTTTTTCCTAGCTTGCCATCCTGATCTAGTAGGCTAGATATAGGTTGAGTTAATAGAATTGTAAAGCATAAGCCTAAGGTCTTATAGGAGTCTAGGGAACTAGGTTAGGAGGCAGGAAGGTATCATATTTAGTAAGCACAATAGGTCTACGTATATATAGCGAGTATTGACTAGAGTCCTTCTTCCAAGGCCTCTAGTCCCTTTTATCTAGGTGCCCTGTGACCTAGTTTACCAAGCCCTATAGGCCCTACTAATAGGGGCCTTACGTCGTAGCACATAATGGCCTCCCTTATACTAACTAGGCCACTAAGCAGCTCTGTAAGGCAGGAGTTGAAGCCTAGAAGCAAGAACGCCTCTAAAAGAAGAGGGTAAAAGCCTGTCAAAAAGCTGGTAATCTAATTCCGATAGAGGACCAAGACCTAATTCTAGATCTAGAGGCAGAGAGCGAAAGTGAGAGTGGGAGTGGGAGCGAGCACGAATTTGAGAATTACGAGTAATTGTTTCAATTGAAGTCTCTTTTCATATAAACTACTATGTAATGGTACTTACACAAGTTTTGGTGATCGCGAACGCCGTTTGCTTACCCCGCCCGACCCTGTAAACTTCAGGGGTCGTTTCCAACGATTAGGCCCGAACAGATTTAATTAGAAAATAGGCATATGCGCCTGATTAACGTAATCAACATTGCCATCAACACCCTCAATCTTCTCACCACATGTGCCGAAGATACGATCCCAAAGACGAGTTTGTTTCCCGTAGTTGTGACTCTTTCTCCAGCCCTTCCGATGATGCAGATCGTGATCCTCAATTCCGATTTCGGCATCAAACATATTCAACAGCCAGCTCAACGTTGACGGAGCGGTCAAATGTACCCGTAGACCACTGTGTCCAAAAACCTCTGTATAAGCAATATACTGGTGGCAAACCCACCACTCATAAAACCCTAGTGGCAACCCGATAGCACGTAAAGTCAGATACGTCATGAATGGTACGACGACCATATCGCAGAACTCCTGCTCGTGGTCGGCATAGGCAGAGAGGAGCATATTAGGATGTTTCGTCAAATGGTGCGTACGGTGAAATTGCCACAGGCCGTTGACATCGTGCATGGCGCGGTGGTACCAATAAAACCAGAAGTCGAGGACAATACCATACAGCCCAATTTCGAGCGACAGCCAGGCCCACCATTGCCAGGAGCTCAGGGCATCGATCGGGGATATTTTAGGGTTATATCCCAGCCAAGTAACCATTACCAGGCGGGAGCCGGTGGTCTTGTACAGCGATTGGGCGATTCTGGAGACTCCAACGTCCGGTATGCCATCGCGCTCGTGTACATCACCGTCGAGAAAGCCATAAAGGTGGCCGAGGCGGCGTAGGACGTGTACTTCGCGAATAACGATGATATTGAACGACATGAAGTAGAGGGCAAAGATAGTGAGGTGGCTAAGCCCCCCTTTCATGCTCGTATGGGAGAGCAGGGCTTGGTGGAGGAGCAAAGGAATGGCGCCATAGAACAGCACCCAAGCATGCTGCGGCCACTGCGAAAGATGCGGTACTTTGTCCTGTTTGGGATGCACTGGGATCGCCTTATCTAGTGAGGTTGGGTATACGTTGATAAAGTTGATGATGTGGTGATTTAAGGTCCAGGTGCTTTTGTCGGCGGTGCGCCATGTGGACTTCATCGAGTCTTTGGGGTTGGGTCCTTGAGCCATTTTCCCCCTCTGTATTTGGAAGTCTGTTTTAAATGTTTTAATTTTTGATGTTTGAACCAAACAGTTAGCTACTGTTGGTAAATATATACCAGCCATCGAGTTCATCACGTTTATGATTGTGCTATAGACAATTAGTAGCCGAGGTAAATGTATAATCAGATTGGGATGGTGCCTATGCATCTAGCTAAAGACCACATGAAAGAAACATGTGATCAAGAAAACTCTAAAGGTCTGTTTGCCGACAATGGCGCCTAAATGTACCGAGGTGGCTGTTTTTGTTGAAGATTCTGGGGGATGACTTGGGATTTGCCAAGAAACAGCCCTGTTTTCGGTCGTCCCCGGGCTATCCCATTGGTCTGCTGCTTTGGTGACAGCTGACGGAACAGCGGTTAGAAACTTAGGGTTTTGGCCAAAACCCTAGCCCATCGAGTAGAGTAGACAATTCAATTGATTATTATATTTATATATACTGTATTCAACCTTGTGATCTTTGCCAGCACTGCAACCCCAAGGGAACCCGTGAGAATCACCTGATTTAGGTGTGGAATATCGTATTTCTCCAACAGTTTTAGACGCTACCTTGACAATAATATAATTCAGTGCGCAACTAGTGGACTGTATAAGTCTACTGTAGCGGCAATAGCGCCCTATTTCATTTAAGTCCCATCTCCTATTTTCTATACACTCGCTCTCTTTGGTCACTATATCCCCCTCACTTGCTCTCACCCTCACTTACTCTCACCCCTCCCTTATCCTTATCCGCGTCATCTGCCCACCCCTCTTACGCCCGCGTAAACACATGAGGAATGTGCCATCTTTGTCATCTCCCACCCATAGCGTGCGTCAAAAGCACCGATCCCCAAAACTGATAGGGCTGCCAGTACGTCACCGCCAGAACCATACATTCCCGACGCCTCTAGCTTGTGAAGATAGGGATGGCCAAAAACATGCGCCGAGGTGCTTTTTAACGGCCGCAAGTCTTAGTAATTCCAGTTGCATCATGCGACTGGAATTACTAAGACTAGATGCGACTCGGATCTAGACTGATATCTCAACATATATGTCCCCCATCCTTCACAGTCGTAATCGCCTCGCGCACCAAACATAAGATAGCCAATCCTTCATTTCTGATACCTATACATCTTCTCACTATGGCCGAAACTACCGCACTCGCCTCCGCGGTGCAAACATCTGATACCCCCCAAATCACCCTCTACTGGTAACTCCCCGTCACGCCCACCATCTTTGACCCCCCACTAACACCACTCCGCAGGCTCGAGCAATCCCGCTCCCAACGCATCCTCTGGCTCCTAATTGAGCTCTCCCTCCCCTACACCCTAACCGTCTTCCACCGGGACCCGAAAACGCACTTCGCCCCGCCCGAGCTCAAAGCCATCCACCCCCTCGGCAAGTCGCCCGTCATCAGCATAAAACCACCCGGAGGCGGCCCAGACGTAGTTCTCGCGGAGAGCGGGCTGATCGCCGAGTACCTGACCGAGCATTTTGGTGCTGGGACGACGTTGGCGCCGCAGAGGTGGCAGGAGGGGAAGGAGGGACAGGTGGGGGGGGAAACGGAGGCGTGGATGAGGTATAAGTACCTCTTGCATTATTGTGAGGGGAGCTTGATGCCGTTGCTTATTGTTTTGTTGATTGGGATGAGTATGTTATCACCCGTCCCTGGCGGATTTGATAAGTGGGCGAGGACAGCAGGCTAACGAGAAACAGGTATCAAGGACGCGCCCGTCCCGTTCTTCATCCGCCCTATCACTTCGCGCGTCGCTTCGGAGATTAGGACGAGTTACCTAGATGCCAACTTCGAAACTACCTTCTCCTTTCTCGAGGAGCAGATCAAGACGTCGCCGGGGGGCGGGAAGTACCTGTGTGGCGAGCACCTGACGGCAGCGGACATCTTGATTAGTTTCCCCCTAATCGCGGCGAAGGTACGTGGAGGACTGATTCCGAAGGAGAAGTACCCGTTGTTAAAGGCGTATGTGGATATGTTAGAAGAGGAGGAGGGGTATAAGAAGTCAATTGCGAAGGTGGAGGAGGTGGATGGGAAGTTTAGCGCTATGATTTAGGGGGGAGGCCTTCGGGCTTTTGCGCAACGGGCAGGAAAACTCGACAGTAGACTACAGTAACGTGGTTTATCAGTACGTCGGACATATCAGTACCTCGGACACTTTTCATTGGCATTCTACTTTGAATATCAATAAATCAACCATAACATATTAAATTAACTATAACTAAGCGGAATCAGATGAACTAGACATATCTATAGCTTCTTGACAAGTTCGCGCATTATGACCAGCTTTTCCACAGATCCCACAGCATCGCCTAGACGGTTGCCCCTCCTTGCGACTACCCCCAACCGCACGTACGTCGCATCGTACCTGCTCATCCACATCCTTCTGTGCGATAATAGCCTGTGCATCCTCTACTATAAGTGCACCTCCTTCACGGACACGAGCCTTTTTAGCCCTGCGGCGTTTGCTAAGGGCTTCGTTGGCTGCTCGAAGGGTACGTACCTCAGCAGACAGAAGGGTGTTCTCATGTGCTAGTCGCTCCGTACCCTTTGCCAATGCAATAACTGTCCCTAAGAGTGGAGTTGGCGAGCTTCCTTGGTGACGGGCAATTCGATTTCGAACGAGGGTTGTTTGTGAAAGAGCTTCAGTTGGGTTGGAAGGGGTCTGGGAGACCCAAGGGTTGGTGTTGGCAGTAGAGGGTCTAGAGGGAGTTGGAGTCCGTAACCTCACGTCAAGCTTTGAAAGCACTGCTTGCGGGTCGAAAGGCACTAAGCCAGCTCCGCGGAACCCGGACTGGGCGTTTTGGGCTGTCATGGATTCCAGATATGCTGCTCTAAAGGTGAGAAAGAACTCGACCTTGGTAATGTGGTTGATATGAGCCTTAATGAAGGTCTCAATCTGCCGACCATATGCCCGCTTCAACACACTAAAGCACCCGACATCAAGTGGCTGAGTTAAATGAGACGAGTGGGGAGGTAGTCCAAGAGTTATAATGTTGTGTGCCTTGCAGTACTCTGGAACTCGGCCGATTCATGACTCTCGTGCCCGTCTAACACCAGCATTCGATATGGACCCCTTGCACGAACAGCAGTATGTTTGTCGAAGTGTTTCAACCATTCTAGACCTGTCTCATTGTTTGTCCATCCATTGCTTGTCGGTTTAACAACCCAGTTGTGTGGAAGGCCGCCGTCTGTATACCAATTTGCAAGATGATTCTTGCCTTTAACTACCAAAAATGGAGGAATACTCCAGCCGTCACTGTTGATACAAGCAATCGCTGTAGCCCATTCCCGATTCTCTGGCTGAACTGCCTTACCTCTGCCAAGTCGATCTGCACGGGTAACAACCATTGCAGGGCAAATCACACCCATCATAAACCCAGTTTCGTCAAAGTTATAGAAGTCGCAGTCCAAAACACCATATTTTGCCCTCATATTTTCCACTAGTCGAAACCACGCGCCACTTAGTTCAGGATCTTCGCACAAGGCCCTTTGGAAGTCGTAAACGCGATTAAAACGCGTCTTTAATTCTGGACATCGTTGTACAAATCGGTGGGCCCAGAGCTTCCCGACGCGCCTCCCTCCATGCGATTCGAGTATAAAATTTGCCATATCTTCTACACCAGCAAGCCGGGGTGCAAATCCTCTTGAATATATTCTGAATAACCACCTCCTCTTCTAGTATAGTTAATTTCATCATTGCAGGCCGGCGTTAGTAGACAGTAGTTCAGCCGTTCATTCTGTCGCAGAGTGTAGAATGAGGTACTTCATAGAGCTTAGCAGCCTTCCGACGACTTAGATTTTTTGATGTTCGGATAGCCTCAATAGCTAGAATGATTTTTGTTTCTTGGGTAATCACTGACATAATAAAAGGTGGAAAAAACGCATTGTGAAGTTAGAGGGTAGGAAATTCGGGAAAAGTGTCCGAGGTACTGATATGTCCGACGTACTGATAAACCACGTTATATAGAATAAAATAGATTAATTGAATTACTACCTAATCTACAAGCCTACGTACGCTATTTGTAGCCCTAGGTAAACCCCTAAAGTCCGAACAAACTGAGCTTCCTAGGCTTACAGTACTAATCGTTGGTTCTCAAACCACCGCCTGGAGGCGGTTGGCGAAAGCGAACTGGGACGCGAAAGCGATTGTGGGACACTTCGGGAGCGGACTCACGACGCGACACGACCGACCATGAACATGACCGACAACGAGCACAACTACAACCACAACTATGCCGGTAGTTGAAGTAAATAAAAATGAAGCTCTTTTAAATGCCATTGAATTTTTAAATGAAAACCCAACAGAGAAGAGTGCTACAGTAGCACGGATGTACAGAGTAAACCCAAGTACGCTCCGGACTATACGACTACGACAACGACGCGCATCACCACAACGCACCGCTGTGCCACGCGGAGGCCAGAACAGAGTACTGTCTGATGTACAAGTTACAGCTATACAAAGATACATCCAACGCTCGTACGAAAATGGGTACGGTGCAACTAAGCCTATGGTGTTCAGTGCCATCTGCCAACTACGTGCAGCAGAAACTCCAACACGTGCACCACCATCACAACGGTGGTTCCAGACATGGATTAAGACACAACAACACAACTTCCATACAATAAAAACCCGGCCAATTGAAGCAGCACGGGTTGCATCTCATGAAGTATCAGCTATTAAAGAATGGTTTTATGAATTTAAAGATGTGTGTAATCAACTAGATATTACTGCAGGTGATATCTACAACTTTGATGAAGTTGGATTCCGTGTAGGAATGAGCACCGGTGAACATGTGTTGGTACCATCTGCAGTAAAGGAGGTAAGTTGTTTCTACTTATCTTACTTTATATTATTCTAATATTTATAGCTTTATATACAAGCTCCAGAGAACAGACAAAGTCTTACAGTTATAGAGACAATTTCAGCTGCTGGCATTGCACTTCCACCGTTCCTTATTATACAAGGAAAATTACACATGGAAAGTTGGTACCATGACAATCTACACGGTGATGAGAAAGTTGCAGTATCCGATTCCGGATATACAAACTCTGAGCTTGCAATGGAATATCTACAGCATTTTATTCAACATACACCGTCTATAAGAACGAAATTGTTAATAATGGACTCTCATGTCTCACATGAAGTTCCAGAGTTTATAATACTTGCACATCAACACAATATACACTTACATGTGTTTCCGTCTCATCTTACGCATATTCTACAACCGCTAGATGTTACTGTGTTTGCACAATATAAACATTGGCACCGACGTGCAATTCAACAAGCAATCCGGAATTTTGATACAGATTATAATGTTATATCTTTCTTTAGAGACTTGTCTACTATCCGTAAGCAGACATTTACAAAGGGTAACTGTATCAAGTCTTTTAGAGATGCAGGTATTTGGCCACCTAACTATGAAAAGATTCAAGAGAAGGTTGCTATATATGCAAAACCAGAAGTTTTAGAAACACCACAACGCGCATTTCAAGCAAGTTATGATCTTTCAACATGGAGTCAAACATTTGATAAGATCCTTAGTTCACCGTCACGGCAAAAGTGGGCATCTTCTTATACTGAAATCCAAACTCAGTTAACAGAGGCTGAGCTGTTCCAGTCAGAGCTTGTACAAATTACTACTATTATGACTGAGCAACGACAGCGGAAGGTTAGAAGTCGGAAATCTATTCAAAAAGGCGGTGCTATTACAGTTGAACATGCACGGCAAAGGATTTATGAGAAGAAGGTAAAGGAGCAACTTTTAGAAGAAGCACGGGAGAAAAGAGAGAGAACACGCATGGTGAACGTTGAGCGTAAGATGCAGCTCCGTGCTGGCATCGATGCACGGAAGGCAGAACGTACACGGAAAAAGGACCTACATGAATTTCAAAAAAGTAACCCAGACACGGAGCCACCAATTGGCTTACGTACAGAAATCATTGACCCGGACGTTACACAGAAGAAACGTGAGGAGGAGGAGGAGGCGGACCGACTGTTAGCCATCGAGGAGAGTGGGTACGTGAACTTTGCAGGCTTGGACTACGACATGATTCACGATGCAAGTGACGGTGGCTGTGATGATCAATCACTGCCTGACAATATTGATCCAAATCTTTTTTAATTATTTAATTCTATAACTTATATATATTTACAGCATTGTTACGTTGTCAGTCGTGTTCATGGTCGGTCGTGTCGCGTCGCGAGTCCGCTCCCGAAGTGTCCCACAATCGCTTTCGCGTCCCAGTTCGCTTTCGCCAACCGCCTCCAGGCGGTGGTTTGAGAACCAACGATTAGACCACTGTTATTAACCGAATTCCAATTTGACGCATAAATCGCGTCGCGTAACCCACCCCTCCTTGTACAACAACCATAATTATGCCACCAACTCTGTGGGCTTTGGCTCCAATTGATGGGAATCGACAGCCTGGTGGCCAATTAAGCCCATACCGACGCGGGCAGATTATTGGGAGGCAGTCAGAGGGTGCAACACCTACTAAGATTGCACACGACCTAAACCTTGACCGAAGCACCGTACGATATACAATTGCAGTTGACTCAATACGCACCGAAGGCAAGAGCCTACCCCGTACACCACGGGGAAAGTCATATACGCCTTATACTCCGCCACGTACGCCTAAACCCAAAGGATACATACCAAGAAGTAAAGGATGCTTGTAATGTTGCTTGCTCAACATCAACTATAAAGAGGATACTACAAGAAGCAGGCATAGGCAATTGGCGTGCAAAGTGTCGCCCTTTCCTACTGCCAATACATGCAGCTAAACGGCTTGCATGGTGTTTTTCACAGAGGAATTGGACAGCAGAGGATTGGGGTCAAGTTGTGTGGAGTGATGAGTGCTATGTTGAGCGGGGGCGGGGTAACAGGAGCGAGTGGTGTTTCGCACACCTGCTCAGAAGTGGCAGCGGGAGATCCAAACCTACAGTACAAAGAAGAACATGAAGATCATGGTTTGGGGGGCCTTTTGGGCAGAACGCCGGAGCAATTTATACCTTATGGACCGTGACTTTGAGTCAAAGAAGTTTGGATATACTGCAAACTCATACCTTGAGGTTCTAGAAGCAGAACTCCTCCCTATTTTTGAGAGTCTTGACTCTAGCTACTCATTTATGCAAGATAATGCTCCTATCCATACTGCGGGTATGGTTACAGACTTTCTTGAGGAGCATATGATTACTACACTCTATGGGTGGCCGCCCTACTCACCCGACCTCAACCCAATTGAGCACATTTGGTGGCACTTGAAAATGGGTGTGTGAGATGTTCCCTGAAATTGCAAAGGATAAATCAAACTCAGAACATGCAAGACAGTGTCTAGAATCATGTTTGCAAGCAGCATGCAACATCCCGGCGGCCACAAATCCTTCATCCACCTTTTATTCCGGGGGCGTACCGAGCAAAGCTGGGTCCAGGTACATAAGCCAGTGGGCGAGAATGTAGTGAGCGCAAATGATGTTGAGCATTGAGGTGGAAATTGTTCAAACCAGTGACAGTAGAGTCAGCGTCGTTTACTCAACGCATGGAGAAGGATCGCGCTCATATCAAGTCTTGCGGTCGAGGAGCCACAGAATACTATGTCGGATGGAATGTGCAGCACTTTTCCCAGATATGCACGTGAGATGGGATGGTTTCTTTGAAGATATTTTGCGACAGCGTTATTGTGTCTACCCAGTGGCATGGGGGTTGGACGGGGACGTGGGACGGGGGACGAGAGTGCATATTCTGCCTACCTTGTCTTATACCTGGTCATCTCATGGCGTTTACATGCATTATACAATAGTTGAACTGGATTACTTTTCTTGGTCCTCTCTTTGATACTACTACATAGTAATATAGGAGGATAGCACGACAAATTTGTTGTTACAAATTCATTCATCTCGCACCTAGTACTGTGCGCCCATTTCCCCCACCCAAAGTCTCTCAGGTAATGGGAGTACTACCCGCAGCTCCAATAAATTAGATGCCATAATGTTTAAATTACACAGGACATAGAGAAAACACTAACTCCACACACAAGACCGTCCAATCCCATTTTTTATAACCAGAAAAGTACTCCTCATGCACTCGCTCCGCATAGGCCCGAATATTCGGGAGCCCCAGCACTATCGCCCTCGTCTCATTCCTACGTCAAAGTTAGAATCCAGCCACAAGGTCGCATCTCCTGATGTAGAAAGGAGAAAGAAGAAAGGGCAAACTCACGAAAGCGCAGTCAGCACCGACGCACAAAAACCCAAACAAACACTCATCTGCATCCGTCGGCCCCACCGCCCAGCACCCATCCCTCCGCCACCAGCACGTCAAGCGCCGTCCAAGTCTCCAGCTTCAACGTCGTGATCTCAGCAGGCGAGTACCGTCCGGTGCCCTGCCCGTGCAGGGTGCGTGTTATCTTACCATAAACGATTTGGCCGATGATGATGCGGGGGAGGTAGGGGATTGTGGAGAGGGGGCCCTGGTCGCGCATGGTGTAGAAGTTGGGGATCCAGCGTTCGTGGGCCTGTGGGGGTTAGTGGGAGATGCTCGCCAAGCACTTTTGCTGACTGCCAAGATGGCGAGGGATTGTCTATCCTTACCAGCGCACAGGCCAAATCCAGTACGGTGGCCATACCGTATTGCTACCGTACTGGCCGGCGCGACTGTCGCACTGGAGCGACGGTACAATCGCCGCTCTAATACCGACGGTGTATTGCACCGCCCGTGAGCGGCGACCGTGCCCTTGATCTGGGCAGTATCGCCGGCGCGACAGATTTTGGAGGTAATACTGTAGTTAGAGTACTACTGTAATCGCGAAAGATCACCGTCGCCGGCCATAAGCTGTAGATTTCTCACCACAGTATGGCGACGGCAATGCTGCCGTAATTCTGTGTGGACGCCGTTATGGTGGCCAGATCCGTATCCATACGGTATTCTCGGTGAAGCCGTGGCGGCAAGATCATGGTGGTCATCAAGAAACGCAGAAATCCAAACATAATACCGTATATTTCTAATCTGCCTACTCTATCCAGCCCGGATCCACAGCCTGCGACTGTTCCAAAGTCGCACCAACCACCACATAGCCCCTCCACTCCCTCCCTGTGCCCGGCACTCCAGACCTTCACCCCACCCCGAATCCAACGCCAGCTCCCTTGTCCCACCCCCCCCAGTGTCTGGAAGTTGCGTATCCAGCCAAGTCCGCGGCCCAAGGCTGCCCTGTCAAGTGGGTGTTTGTTGGGGGGGGTAATATCCAAGATGTTGCTGAGCGATTGTGTATGGTTTGTGTTGATGGTCTTCAGTGAGGGTGTGGTTGTTGGTCGGAGACAGAAGATTGTCGAGAGCTGGATATATCCACATTGGTTTGGCACTGTTCTGGATGGATCCAGATATCTGTTAGTGGTTTGTGATAAGGGGTTGTTAGGTGACCGCAGACTTACCTGGTGGATCTGTGCCTGAGCTGTGGAAGAGCTGCCGAAAGTCCTTAACTGAGGCAGAAATGAACGGGGGAAAAGAAGAGGAAAAGAAGAGACTGACGAGAAGCTGGACTTACCTTGTGTAAAGCTGGCATAATGTCAGCAGCTACAGAGAGCACGACAGAGAAGGAAACTCCGATGTGGAAACACTGGAAAGAAGCCGCCAAAGTGGCACCAAAAACAGAATGAAGAAACGGACGAAATAGACAAATTTGAAATAGATAAATGAACCAAATACCAACCACTGAACGAGTGTGATCATCACCAGAGTTGTGAGCAGCACTGCTGATAAACATAGACCCAGAAAAAGAAAAAGAAACAGCACTTATACCTGTTGAGTATAATCGGCCAAATGTGGCGCTGACCAGGGACCCCAAACAAATATCCATATCTATCGCCGCCTCCATTGCCACCTCTATCACTATCACCATTTGCTATCACCATCATTATCTCCAAACCAAGACACAAAAAGCTGAGGAGAAAATGGGGAACTCATTCAAACCAAAGATACCTACCTATGCCACACCTATGCTGGCTGCCCAAAAACAGCTCCACGGATCGGGCATAGTAAACACCCTAAAACACAGCCAAAATCAACCCAAAGCTATGCCACCTCCGTTTTTTCAGAATTCGGCAGGCCGACCCCTTCAAGACCAGAAACGGCATTGAAGGTCGGGGAGGTTTCAACATAGAGACCAATATCAGGAGATCATTGCCACCATGATGATCGGTATCTGGGATGGTCGGCTTGTTGCCCACCGGGGGGGCGGGATTGTATGGGGAATGGGCAGGATTTGTAGGTGCTTTAGCTTCGGCGAGGTTGTGGATTCGAGAGCATTTTTGGCTTGTGCGACTGGAAGAGGAGAGTCAGTGGAGACTTAATCAAAATAAATGATAATAGAGCAAGAGAGGGAGCTTGTCTTGATGTGTTTCCGGCGAGATGATCTGATGGGCCCGCCAGCTGTGCTGACGGTGGCACCAACGAGGGCTTGGATAACTAGACCCCTTGGAATATGAAGCTTCTTGAGCTGATACTGGCATTCGTATGCCCTGAGGAAATGCTCCAGATGATGGCATGAGCTGTGGCAGCTCTGCTGGGTTTTGGCGGGGTTTCCTGTGTTGTGCTGGGTGCATCAGAAACAGAGCAGCAAACTTACCTCAAAGCAATTTAGATAGCTCACCTATCTAAAGGTGAAGTCGATAATCATGTAGAAAGGAAACAATAGCTGTAGAAATACAGTATCCAAAACATAGAAGTATGGGTGAAGGTGAAGAAGTGGTGAACTCAGTACAGGTATGGAAGCGAGCGATTTGTGCGATTCTGGCCCAAAATGGAAGGATCCCAGCTTCAGCCCAGAGAGCTCCGAATTGCCCAATATAGAACCTCAAAGTTATCATTTCAAATGGAAATGGAATTTTATTTTATTCTCTCTATACTGCTTTACATTTCAATTGATATCTGTGCCATTCCAGCGCCTGGATCCTGAAGTTCTGCCGCTCACATTACTCCCACGTCCCACCAGCAGTGCACCAGCGTTGCTGCCGATGAGCCTCGAAGGCCAAGATCTACCTCACCTCGGCGTACTGTTTGATCCACACTCAGTGGCCCCTTAGAATATACTGAGGCGGCTTGCTTTCTTTCTTGATTAATACTGACTATGAACACCGGGTTACTTCCAATCCCTGGAAGTCCTACGATTCCCTGGCTGTTGTGGACAACCCTCATTTGAGGGAGTTGAAGAACAGGGTCCTCTGTCCCACATTCTTTGATATCTGACACAATTGCAAACAGCCTTGCCTCGCCTTGAATCTTTTCGTGAACGAAGCCAACTTCGAACCGGCAAATGCTCTTTCCCCGGACGGTAAAGCAATTCCCTGCTTTAAAAGTTACTCTGTGGCGTGTGCTACTGGATATATGTTAGATACTACAGTGCTTGATAGAAAGGAAATGAAAGCTTGAACTTACGGATCGATGAAACTGAACCGGGAGAAGTACTGCAATGGGCGGCTCCCAAGACTTGTAATATGAGGATCTTCATAATCTACACGGTATGCTTCTCGTAGTTTTTGCACGAATGGAAGCCCCTCCTGGAGCTGCTCTGGCCACAAAGGCAAATCCAACTCTTTCTCCACATCCTCCCGGCGGACGCATAGGGTGGCTTTCGGCGAGATGTGCGAGCTGTCGGGCTGGAGGACATTGATGGAGGCTTCCTCGACAATGTCCCACTTCTCGGATGACGGGAGAAGGTGGTTGGTCAGTATGGGACATGTCTTGTGTAGATTCCACATCTGCGTCGAAAGTACAGGCTCGTCATACTCAAAGGCGCCATTTAAGAGGAGGCGCAGCGTGAGATTAATGCACTCTCTCCGCATCAGCACCTTCTCAACACTGCGGCCATTCAAATATTGGGCCCAATGCTTGAACATTCTGTTTTGTAGTTAGAAAGAAAATCAAAACCACAGAGAGAAGATGGTTGAGCATACCTGTGTTTATCCTCTCCATGTAGGACATTACAAGCAAAACTTGTCCCATAACGGTTGATGATCTCATCAATATGCAAACCCTGGTGCACATTCGGGCGAGATCCCCAGCTGCTGAACTCCTTCGATTTGCTTGTCCCTGGTTTCAGGGAGTTCATCTGTGTTGCCCATTCAAACTCACTAACAACAGCATCAACTCCCACGCCAATGGCCTCGATTGCCGCTTCAAAGTCAGCTGAGACCATAGATGGAGCATGGGACGAGGCCTGGCTATTGTTGCTGCCCTTGGATTTACTCATCCGCTCAGCGACAGAAGCACATGTGCACAACCGAGTGTAGAGCTGTCGACCCCGGAGAATGATGCGCCTTGCATCCTGACGATGGTGCTCGCTGATCTTCCGTGCACAAGTGATGGCGTTTGATTTTGCCATCATGGCAAAACAATGCACTAATATCTCTGGAATCGTGAGTTTCATGGTCTTTGTGTCTTCCCGGAACTTGCCCCTCATTGCAGCAAAGAAGTTCAGCGTAATATCATTTTCGCTGAGCTTCATACGAGACATGATAAGGGGTGTTAGGACTGAGGCCATTCCCGCCTCTGAGAGGGACCAAGACTGGAGGTGATTGAGGGGGGATTGTCGCGTGCTCCATCCAGTTGGTGCTGGGAACTGGACAAACTCTTGGAAATACCGTCTCATCCCGGGTTTTGAGAGTATTGCTCTCATGAGGAGGTTGTGGCTCTGCTTTGCCTGACCGTTGTACTCTGAATGACATGGATCTCCCGGCCTCGTCTGGATTATATCCAAGGCCGGAGTCAGCTTGAATATGGCGGGCTCATTTTCATGCATCCCCCATTCTTGAAAATACTTCTTTTTCGCTGTTGGCGGTAAGGTATCTCCGTATTCTCTGATCTGTTTCTGGCTGTAATGGTATCGTCCAAGTGCTACTGTGTCAAAGTCCAGATCTCCTTTCTGTGCTATTGACGCAAGGCATGACCGGCAACCCTTTCCTGCATTTGGTCGTAGGATGCCACTATTTTCATTTTGTTGTGGCATGTCACCTGTGAAGCACAACACTGGCGCTATGACAAACCTATTCTCCCCATTGATTCGGAGAATCATACCTTTGTCAAGCTTCGGGATATCAGTAAGGCATGATATCACATCGTCCATCTTTGCACCATGCGGCTAAGAACAAAGTTGTTTGATCGTTTCATTCGGTCTCGTAGGCATTGCGCAGGTGTTGTCATATATATGCCCATCATGGAACGATACCGGTTCCTGAACAATCCAAATGCATCCATGAAGATGATCATTGGCAGCGATATAAAAGTGTCCCGGAAGGCGTCAACAATCCAAGCCCTGCCGTATGCCTCAATTTCCAACTCTGCGATATGTGGGCGTGATTGGGCTGCTGGGCGAATGTCCTTTCTTGCCATATTCAGGATGCGACGGATATGGGTCTTGTCGTTAAAGACGTATGCATTGTCAAGTGCAACTGGGCCTTCAAATATGTAATCCATGGAGATCTCGACACGGGACACAATATTCTTTGGCGAGATATATTCGAAGCTGTCTTCATAAAGAAGTTTCTCTGACCGTGATAAAGGAGTTTCTAGCCCATTAATTGCATCTTTCATGGTGGGTGGTAAGCTTCCTCGTGTATATACTGGCTGGATCTGGACAAGGACTTCATCTTTCGTTGCTGCACAGGCCCGGCGATCAATTCCAATTGCAAACACCCTGCCAATATGCTGGCCAAACCTCTCTCCACGATACCGCACGAAATCAGAGCACAATATTGGACTCCCATCTTCGTACCTGATTGTGGCTCCCGAAGTTGTGCGTATGGAGCACAGCCAGGCCTCCGATTCCCACATTTCTGTTGGTGCATCTGCAAACGCCCCGAATCCAGAATGTAGCCCCCCAACGAAGTCTTTCGAAGACAAGAGTCTTGTCACCAAAGACGACAGATCTACCCAATGCATGTCGGCTCTCCTCTTCTGTGCTGCCTGTGACCTCTCTGCGGGAGACATTGTGCGCAACTTCTCCTGATTGACATCTATGAGCTTGTGCCGTTGTGAGATGAGCGGCAGTTGTGAAATGAGTCTCTTCTTGAGGGTTCTCACATCCTTTGGAAGATCCATGAGATTCTCTATTGATTTAACGAGTTTGTATCCCTCAAGGAGACCAGCGTAGGCATCACCTGGGATAGAGTACTTCTCGCACCACATTGCCGTATACATTTCAAAGTCGGTAATGCAATTTGATGCTTGCTTGTGTCCAACTGGTTCTGATCCGTCATCTTGAGGCTGGATAAACTCTTCGGAAAGTGCGGTGAAGTTGCGGGGGAGCGTTTCTGTCTCAGGGCGGGCTGGAGGCGGCATTTCCAACCCAGGGTCATCGTCGGGAGGGGCATCTCCAATTGGGAGGAAGTCTTCGTCCGGAACTGAGTCTTCTACTGGGAGCTCGACACTGTATGAATCAGGATTGTCAAATTCGTCATCAGCTGGTTCCATTGACTCATCAAGGTTTAATAAACCCTGGGCAATCTGTTCTGCAACCTGCTGGATATTTGCAGGGGGCAAAGGCGCTTCTCCGAAAACACTGTTGCCATCATCATCAGCATCAGAATGATCTTCCCACCCACTCATATCCCTATCACCATAGAATGAATCACTTATATCATCTGCACTGAGAACTTGGTGCGTATGATTAAAAGTAACATTTCTATTTCTGTCATCTTGCTGCCGGAGAGCAGCCCGGGGAATAGGGATCCGATACAGTTGCTGCATCAGATTCCCACGCCTCATCCGCCGGGATGAATGGCGAGGCATTTCAAACCAAGATATCCTCCTATGGTTGAGCTATGGCCGGTGAGGTTGTAGAACTCAAACTTGTGGATTTGAGCGTCCGCCCGAGGTCAACTTGTCACTTTTCCTTGATTTTGAATGGCAGCACCAGGACATGATCTGGATTTCAGCCCGACTGGAGATGGCAAATGTTCATGGAATAAATCAATAAATCCAAGCTTAATTAAATTGATTTATTTGAGCTAACAAGCTGGGACTGTCAGATGGCAAGGCCACACCTGTTGCTGCAGCGGCTTCGGATTGACTGGTGCATGCAGCAGATGCTGGGATGATCCTGGGAGAGCCTTGCTGATTCTGCATATTCTAGGGGATAGTATGCTTGACTGTCGAAGTTGAGGCTATACAGAGGTGTATATGTCAGCTTTATTGTGTCTGTAGCAGGGGGATATTTCTGAGGCTACACGTACCTTTGGAGACAGCGGCAGTTCTCAGGGCAAATATGGAGATATATCAAGATTCCAGACACAGGCAGGTCAAGCATATGATCATCTGTCGAGCTGTAGAGACCTAAGGAGGGCTTCATGTCAGCTTTCTGTGTGCCATAGTCGGTTGAGTTTCATAGCTGGGGGTCTTACCTCAGGGAAGTTTTCCTGGCTTCGTTTCTAACACAGGGATTGTCGGGGGATTTGTACACAAAGGCTGGAGATAGCACTTTGCTTGAGCACAGGGCAGGCTTTAACTTTGTGCCTCCATTCAACTTTATGCGCAGAGTTGAGGAGAGTTGACGAGACGTCGCTCCCGTCCACGGTGTGAACCTTGGTGATATCTGTGATGATTCACAGAGTCACCTTGGGGAGGAGATAGAAGAAAGTGCTGAAAGGGTTTTCGAAGAGGTACTTTGAAATCTTGAGGCAATGATTCACCGAGCGCTCGGTGATGACAGAGAATATTTCTGATACTGCGGTGTGCTGTTTGCGCTTTGGGCGATTCCTTTTTGGTTCTGGAGTTGCCCTTGAGGTATATGGACATATGAACTCTATTCCAAATAGTTAATATGTCTCCTATATCACTATCTGAGCTTGACTTACCTTTTTGGCGCCTGGATTCCTGGTTGGAAGGAATCTAGGATGAACTCTGTGATGAAGTTGAGAGCATGAGAGTTATGAGTAGGCTGCGCACTACTCGCTCAATACTCGGCTCACTCGCTCAGTGGGTTACTCAGCTGGGTGAGTAGCTGAACCTTTTACTCGACTCGGTGAGTGAGGTCAATACTCAGTTACTCTGTAAAAACCCGGTGAGTACTCGGCTATCACGTGTAAGATTTATGCATCATGTGAACAGTCCCTCATACGATTAATACTGTTTTATGGTTAAGTTAAAGTATTACATCTATTAGCATCACTCTCGCCATCTCTAGTAAGCTGTGAGAACGAATCATGTATATTCCTCTATCTAAGTACCATGATTATCAGAAGATTATTAGAACGCTATTATCTATTATATATGCTTAAGAACATCCCTCCACCTTGCTTGATGAGGCCGGCCAGACCTACTAATACCTAAAGTATTTATAGGGTCTTGATGAGGATCCTCGACTGAGCGGAACGAGCTATGAGTCAAGAAAACTGTGTATAGAACTTGTTCATAAAATGTCTCTTGTGTGAGAATATGATCTTATTATAGGTATTAACCTACATAATTCTGGTAATAATCTGGTAATCCTTACTTGTTGAGGTTGCATTTGATTGATTCGCATTTGATAGAGACTATCCTTCCCATCTGTGACTTCTTTTTGCAAATGTCTGATGCAAGATGTGTTGCCATAGACTTTGGGCCAGCAGACTTGATTGCAGGATGCGTAAGGGCCTTCGAACAATAAGTACAAATAACACATGGTTCTCCAGAAAGCCGGTCTGCTCCTTGGTGATAACTTCTCCAGTATTGAGAACTCCAGTTGGTTGAATCCCATGCAATCTTCATAAGGAGTTTTGTAGTATGATCTGAGTGTTGTTCATACCATCGTGATAGCTTCCACCACTCAATGAATATATCGTGTGTATCCTTAGTCCATTTGACGAATTGGTTTAACTTGCCAATGTATTCAAGGCCTGCAGGGACTTTGTAAGGATGCCTGTCCCTCAGTGATGGAAAGGATCTGAGTCGGGCAGGTTACGGTCACATGATAAGAGTTAAGGCAGGTTAGCTGAGTCGGACCCGTTTCGGGTACTTAAGAAGATTGACCCAACGGGGGTTCCTCTCTTCATCTTTTTTGTATCCTTCGTAGTAGACCTATAGGATAGCATCCGTTTAGCCTCTGACTCGCACTCTCATATGCTATTACTGTGAGCTGGGTGCCCTGTGTCCTTACAGACTTGATTTAATGAGGATAGTCGTTGAGAAGACGGAAAAGAGTCTGAGAATACTGTCAGAATCAAACAACTCTGAGTATTGAGATGGCATTTGGCAAATTGCTCGATTATCAGAAGGTTACCAGAAGTCTGGCTACGATGAAGTACTTAAATACCTGGTTTTCCAACGCGAAAGGTACTCCAGCGCTATAACTTTAGCAACTCAAGTTCTCCTCTACTCTAGCTCCAGGAACAACATATCCTGTGCAGCTGATACCTTAGCCCACTTTTCCTTATCAAACTTCTTAGAGTAGACAAGTAAGAACGCCTCTTTGAAGCTAGAACTATGAGTGGATATTTGCAACCATCCATTGTCGACAAGATTGTAAGACTTTGGGTACCACTGCACAGGTCCTGGTAATTAGGCCCACTTTCCAAACTGCCTGCTCGTACAAACAGAAATATTTATGTGGTGGGATAACCTCGTGAAAAGTGCTATAATAAACAATTAGTATTGCCAGAAGATTGCTAGGATGATCAGAGACGTACCCTTCCTCTACATCAATCCACGGCATATACTCAAAGAGACGCTCAGGCTTCTTTCTCAGCTTTCCAGCCTTTCTCGTATATGAGTGGATACAGCTATCCCAGAAATGTTGCCACTTGCGGAAATTGGACTCTTCATGGGCCTATCAACTATTAGTATCACCAGAAGATTACCAGATTATGAGGTAGCATACATCAATGTGCGCTTGAGTTAAGAGAGCCTGGGTGCTAGTGATCTCTTCATCGGAAAGCTCATCTGGTAGAACAGCCTCGTCATTTAAAATATCTCGCGCTGTAACATAAGCTCCAACTCCAAATCGTCTTCAACCTCAGTATCCTCCCATTCGCTGTTATGATTGTCATCGATTGGAATACTTGAGATACCCTCAAATGCAGCAAGCTCAGACAGAAGTTGTTTGGGCGGAGTAGATGGTGGGGCTTGTGGAGAAGAAGAGGCGCTAATATTCTTGACTTTCTGATTCGCAATGCAAGATGCATGGGTACCCTTCTCAGTCCTGTTTATAGTTAGATTGAGGCTACCAGAGATTACCAGTAGGAACTTACCGAACACGAATACGCTCAACCTTCAATTCATTCTGTAGACATGTCTTGTCTTCAGTAGAGGCAGCGATATACTTTGCAGACTTATATAACTTCTTTAAGTAGTAGCTCAGATCAGCATGGTCAGCCTTGAGTGCTAAGTGAACAGCCTTCTCATATTCAGTAAGGTTGGAGACGCGGTGGTGAGCTTTGATAGTATTCACATTAGTGGAGAGTTCTTCAGGTGCCTTGCGTTTCGCCATACTAAACACGTGATTAGCAGAAGATCGCCAGAAGTTCTGGCTATAGAATCAAGATAATAAACTTACTTGAAGTCCTAGTGAAGAGGTGAAGGCGCAAAAGGGAAGAAGAATGTGTAGATTGGAGGGAGTAACCAAGGAAGGTGGTTCTAAGGTCGTGGTTATTTTAAAGTTGCAAATAAAAATATTCGTGAAGGAATATTCACCTACAAAGAATTATTGTTCCAAAAGCAACACCACAACATGCACCTTCATATAAAACACATACCTTTCAACCTCTACCTCTTTTCTATACTCTTCTTCTGCAATATTCTTCCTACAAACTCACTGTAAGTACACATATCTTTTGATCTACTTCTTTGTCTTGTGTTTACTTCACTAACTCACCTTGATATTAGCAAATGGCTCGTACCAAGCAAACTGCTAGGAGATCAACTAGTGGCACAGCACCAAGGATGCCACTTGGATTACGAGCTGGCTCTGGGCTTGGTGGAAAGGGAAAGGAAAAGGCCGTGGGCACAGCAAGAAAAGCTCCAGTTCGCTCATCTCAAGCTAGCAACAATCATGCTCAGAAGGCCACGCGCCGCGCAAAGTCTGGTAAGAGGATTACCAGAGGATTACCAGAGGATTACCAGAACTCTCTAATAAACATATAGGCACCAAGGCTCTCCGCGATATCAGAAGACAGCAACTCAATACTAGCCTAATTATCCCAAAGCTCCCATTCCAACGTCTTGTTAGGGAAATTGCAGAAGACTTCAAGTCCAATCTTCGCTTCCAGCAATCTGCTATCCTAGCTCTTCAGGAAGCTGCTGAATGCTTCCTCATTCGAGAATTTGAGAGTATGATGTTTAAACATAGTGACAGGGACATACTAACAGTTATAGTGATAAACCTTCTCGCTATTTATGCGAAGAGAGTGACAATTCAGGCAAAGGATATGATATTGGTTCGGCGTTTGCGGGATATGATGTTTTAATCATGGAGCTGTGGGCTTAATCGATGGAAATGTGTCTCACCCAGGAATTGAGTTCTGGCAACCTTCTGGTAACCTGGTACCTAAAGGCCAAAGGTTATAGTGTGGAATAGGACATCAACAATATGGGAATGGAGTTATGGAGTTATGGAGTTATGGCGTCTTGATCAATGAAGTCGCGCCCCGTTTTTAACATAAGTAATGGCTAATCAAACACGTGATATAACTGAGTTGCCAAGACCCATACTAGGTACTCAGCAAGTGAGTAATCCTCATTCAACAATACTCGGGACATGAGTGAGTAACTCAGCTGGGTGAGTAAAAATTCTACTACTCGACTCGTGAGTACCCAGTGCGCAGCCTAGTTATGAGTGCTAGGTCATGTGACCTTATTTGGCCGGTGACCATGTTCTTGCTTCACTTTGGCCATTCTCTTTTCAAACTCTACCAATCCAAACAGGCTTCAAAATTATGATGTAAGATAGGTTTCTTTTCATCTACTATCTCTACAATTCATTCTTTTACTGCGGCAGAGTACATATTTTATGTTTCATACAATTCTCCCAACATTTCTGTTGTTTCTACCATGTCCCCGTCTCCGTTTTCTGACTTTGAGGACCAGAGTTCCATATTCATAGATGATGAGAACTTGGATGTAAGTTTCTTATTATCTTATTAATCTTTTACTAAGTGTTTTTAGCCACAGCTTCGTGACCAATATCGCCGCAATGAACGTTACGATGAACGCCGCTCCAGCCAGAGCAACAACTCCCCTCCTGGCCTCCACTCGGCGAATTTTCGGGCTGCTGCCCGGAAAGCATCACTTGATACCGGAAAGAAACGCAAGCGCACCATGACCTACCATGACGATTTTCAGGAAGGACCAATGCGCAAAGCCATCTCCCGCCGATATGCAGAAGTACTGGATGAGCTTGAAGGAGATCATGAGATGCTGCGCGGAAGGGAGCCAGAGGACTTCTGGGATGAGATCACTGAACGGCTGGACTTGGAAACACGCATAATGGTGCTCAGTTTCATGCGTCACGATGTAGAAGGAGCAAAAGATCGGATACTCGCAGAACTTCTCCCAGACACGCAACCATAGTCGAAGGCGCTCGGAATTGCACGGGGTATGATCATGAACAAGACCAAGGATTGGAAAAGCAAGTTGATCCGGCGGGTTACAGTAAGTTTCTCCATTCTGTATGTGCAAAAGGGCATAGCTAACATTTCAGGGCCATGTTCGAACTGTCCTTGCCGCAGACGCAGCAGCTGATGAATTACTAAACGGATGCACATCGCTGAAGGCCCTCGTTGAGGTCTTCCGGAAGAGATTTACAAAGGATAATTTCTTCGAAGTGTTTTTCTTTGTAGACGGGTATCTCGACTTCGACAAAACTGCACAGCTTGGGCAGTACTACTGCCGGGAGCTGTACGCTCATTTCTGTGGTCATGGCAAACTCCTTGTGGACTGGGAGAATTCAAAGGACCGGGTCGTTGAAGATCCGCGTTCGCAGCGCGCCTTTATGAAGATGATGATGCGTTTCCCGTTGAGTGAGCACTTTGACGGCCTCTCTCGTGCAGAGTTCAAACTGACAGGTTTGAAAACGTCAGCAAACCGCGAGAAGATGGTCCCGAAGACATCAGATTTGGCTGTGGGTGTGGAATGTTTCTTTGCTTCAGATGTAGCGCCACCTCCAGTTGATTCTACGGTAAGGAATTTTTTTGCTATCTGTTTCTAAATACTGACACATACTTCCACAGGTTCTACCAACTGCTGCCTCCGCTGAAACAGAAGCACCACCACCTGCCCCAACATCTGTTCTGCCTCATGCGCAGACATCGACGGCAACAAAGACTGCCTCTCGTGGCACTGGCAGCAAGCATCGCCAGAAGAGGCGACACTGATGTGGATTTTCTGGCTTGCATCACATCAACGACATATACGCATTACGATTTGGCTTGAAATTGGGGGCTTCTTTTGGGATGGCTGTTGAGCTGGCTGTGCTTGGTGATCCTGGGTCAACGGATTGAGGCTTTTATATTTGCTTGGCTGTAGCTAGATCTACATACAAATAAAACTGCCTTGAATGAAACTTGAACCCCCTTTCGGTGATATTTGAGCTCCCTATTGATATACCCTTTGCCTATTGTTTTGTCTTCTGTTCTAACTTTGAAGAAGGGTGCTATGTCTCACCATCGATCTTTGGATAGCCTCAACATCTGAGAGCCTTGCAACAGTCCCATACCCAAGCTTCATTTCTCCCGTGGAAGCTATTGCTGTCTTTGTGGTCTTTGAAACGCCCCCGATCTACCTGTCCTGGCATCATTGCTTGAAGTCAGCTCTCCTGGTTACAATTGAGGTCTTGGACTACGTGGCCTTGGACTACACGGCCTTGGGCTATGCGGCGTCATATCTCTCCTCCGTCTCCTTCCTTCCGACAAGAAATGGCTTTACTGAAACGCCTGTTTATGAGGCCTTGGGCTACGCAGCGTCATATCTCTCCTCCCTCTCCTTCATTTCTTCCGGCAAGAAATGGCTTTACTGAAACGCTCTGGGGTCTTAGAATCCTACGAACATGTAAGATCCAGAGCGTTCCACGATGGCCTCAATCTTCACGACCCTGCCACAATTAATATCTCCAGGAATTGGAGCCTCACGAGCACCCCAGCCCCCCGCTGATGACACTCACTCCCACCGACAACGGATGCAATGGCATGGCAGTATTGCTACCGTTTGTTACTGTCGGCGGGCTCGCCGACCATAGCACGACAGTCATCAGGCATGGTTCTGTCACTGGCAGCTATGATGGCTTCGCCGAGATCACCGTTTCGGGGGGGAATACGGACATGGCGGCCAAACCGTCGCCGGCTTCATCACAGTAAGTCCAAAAACGCTGTTATACTACGGCCTACATACTAACTACGGTCATAAACATGAACGGTCGACAAACTTGCTACCGTTTTGGCCGCGCGACCGTCGTGCGACTGTGGCTGGCGTGGTTGGCCGTAGTGCGACCACAATTTCCTTGGCGACGGCGACCCTACTGCAGCCATACCGTACTGGAAATAGCCTGTGCGCTGGTAAGGTACCCAAAATTTAGCACAACCTTGGTGGATATCGTGGGGGTCTAAGCGAGATTAGAGTTCCTGCCCATCTTCAAAAATGTATAATTTCAACTCATTGTAGCGCTGTTTTTATTTTGAATCTCTTACTTCTAGAGTCCCTACCGAAGGCCATTACCAGCAGCTGAACAGTGTTGACGACGAATATGTGGTGGCAAGCGCGCTCTGAAGTCCAGATTCTTAATGCACTCAAAGCCCCGACTTTTGTCCTAATATTAGGCCTATTCCTCAGTATATTTACAGAAACTTGCGTTGCAAACGCCCATTCCGATGATCCTATTCACTCTGAAGAGTTTCCTGTCGTCCAACCCCAGTGGATACTCGAAATACGGACAACAACAATCGTTAAGGGCTTTAATGTCGTGGAAGAAGAACTCGACCTCCAGCGCCGTAATCGAATAGATGAAATCGACAACGAGAAAGCCCTTCTGTTTAAAAAGCTGCAAAAGCCTGCAAAGAAGGGAAATTTGAGATATAGGCTATTGTCAGCAATCGATGGATTTCAGCGTTTTGGAAAGATTGCAGAGACAGGCATCCAGCGGAAGAGAGAGTCATACAGAAAACTAACCCATTGGCAGAAACAAGTACGCATCCGTCTACTATTATTCTTTCCTCTCGAATTAGGTCACCTTGTTATTATTATTCTACCATCTGAATGCCTTTCATCAACTCGTTATTACGAACAGAGCTAATACACCTCCCATGTTTAGACAGTAGATAGGGTCGCAGGTTATCAAAAAAAGTTCCAGGACGCCTCGAGCGCAATCCAACAAAACGCAGAACTAGCTGTGAAAATTGCAAATCACGCCATGGAATATTATGGCATTAAACCTTCAGAGGTGTCGGCTTTTTCCAAGGAGCTGGATAAGAGTGGTGAATCATCTGATCATACTAGTGTTTCGCAGGCCTTGAAACATATTGTACGTGATTGGGCGGACGATGGAATAGATGAAAGACGGGCGGTGTTTCCCCAAATCTTAGGAACGCTTCTTGATCTGTTCCCAGAACGGCAGAACAGTACCGTCAGGGCACTGATCCCCGGGTCAGGCTTGGGGAGACTTTCGCATGAAGTCGCCGACTTAGGAGGTGAGTCTAAGAAATTTGTTTTCAGAAAGCGTAATGATAGTTGTCTCTAATAGATTGTTCCAAGGTTTTCATGTAATAAGCAATGAGTGGTCAACATACATGAACCTAGCTTACCGCTACATCGCGAGCCTCAAACAAGTCAAGGGGGGATCTTTATATCCTTATGTTGATAGCTGGTCACATCAGCCTACTACCGAAGAACTTCAGCGAGAAGCCCATTTTCCTGATCTCATCGCGTCTCCAAATAGCCTAATCCATGTTGAAGGCGACTTTACTACTGAGTTTAAGCGCCACGACAAGTTCGACGTTATAGTAACATTGTTCTTCATCGACACAGCACGCAACCTATTACACTATTTTGAAAATATTCGAGACCTGCTGAAACCAGGTGGCGTGTGGATAAACCTTGGCCCCTTACTTTATGGGTCTCGACCGTTTGTTGAATTATCCCTAGACGAGATCATTGATGTTCTAGAGACTATGGAATTCAAGTTTATACAGACCAATGAGCACTGGGGAGAGATTACACTGCCCGGGAAAACAGTGAGGGGGAAAGAGGCGAGGTATGGATTGAATCCGAGGATATTAACGAAGAACTCCTATATGGCTCAGTTTTGGGTGGCAACGACACCAAACAAATAGTGTAATAAGCACCAAGGATAGTCTGTGGAAATGCTGTCGAGTAGATATATGTAGTTGGATTAGTGACCATGGCTGGTTGGTTGGTTTATCCAAACCTGATATTTATATTTAAATCATCTACTTATATTCCTCATGATCTACGCATCCTTCACACTTTCGTTTCCTGCTCGCTTATAAAAGTAATATTCAACTATTCTCACCTCGGTATATATCCCTAGTTAAAATAATACTTAATAACAATTTCGATCATTCCTAAATATATTCAACTAGACTTTTATCAAACCAAATCAAACAGCAATCAGTAAAATTTGATCAAATTGCCACAAATGATATCTCGCAACACGAAGTCAATTACCTTATTTAATCTGGGAAAGCCCTCCACCTATAAAGTAATCCTGTATGTAATTTAGTCGAGCTGTAAATAAATGACTAGACTCGCAGGCTATCTATGTCTCCTCTCTCTCCAAGCCACATTACTCATCTATGTGCCTTCTGCCTCCAAATCGTGTTACTACCCGCGTGTAACTTCCGCCCCTGTGCTTCTTCCATTTATGTAGTTTCCATCCGTGTCGCTTATCTCTCCTGATTCGTGTGACCTCGAAGTCTTTAACTCGCACTCTTTCTCGTTGCAAATTCTCCCATGACCATCATGGATAATGCATAATATGTTCCACGTTGTTGCCACCTGACGTTATTCTCTTCCCACAATCCATCACGCTGCAGTGAATATATCTTAGACATAGCAACTAAGGTTTCAAAATCAACTCTACGCCTGCCTGTTGACATTGACCCAAAACCATTAGGCACTCTTCTTTTATGAATCCGTGATGTATGTTGTTAGATATGGTCCCCCCGGATAATTGGCAGAGCTTCCGCCCAGAAACATCGTTTCCCAAAACTTTAAGTACTTGGAAGCGATGTTTCTGGGCGAGAAGCATAAATATCACAGTCAATGCAAGACCATAATGTCTATCGTTCTCAATAAAAGGTACGCCATCATATGGTTTGCCCAAAATACACAATAATTCGAGGCTTTATGGGATGGCATTCATAATAGTCTGGTTTAATGAGAGGACCCTCGCCAACTCATTCGTATCATGCCAACCAGTAAAAGTCAGTGAAGTAAATAGTGTGGCCGTAAATAAGACGATATCATATTCAATATCATATTGCCTGCATGGTATTTTTATACCGTGCACTCATATAGTACTTTGAGTTCCATCTTGTATCATTGTCGTGAAGAAGTCCCTTCTTCTTACTGATCTCTTTAAACCTCTGTATGCATTGTGGACTACATCGGATAAAGACAACGATGTTGTGAAGCTTGCCAAGAGGGCCAGTCTTCCTCCAATTGAGCAATAGTAATCAATTTGATCTGCAAGCGCAGATCAAATTGATTACTATTGCTCAAAGGAGAAGGACCTTAAGCTTGATTCACGTATCTTACACATCCTATTAAGAGGACAACTCTAACAGTTTATAGTTTCAGAGCAAGACTGGGCTGAGCTGAAAAAACTTTGCAACTTCCTCAAATCATTCGCTGATGCAACTAAGGCTACAGAAGGTCACACACATACAATTGATCAAACGCTACCAATAATGGACTTCTTTCTTAGTAAATTTGAGGCTGCATGAATCGAATATGCAGATGACGCTTTTATGGCGCCTTGTGTTGATGCTGGATGGGCGAAACTCGACGCATATTACACTCTTACAGAGCGTTCATCTGCTTATGTTGCAGCTATTGTCCTTAGTCCTCATCGAAAGTGGCACTACTTTGATACCGCCTGGGAGGAGCATCCTGAGTGGATTGAGAGTAATAAGACTACTGTAGAAGGTCTCTGGAAGTCTCATTACGCACCAGTCGCTAAGTCGGTTGAGTCGTCGGCCAAGTCCTTAGTTGAAAAGCCACCAATGAAGAACTCGTTCCTTGCATGGGAAGACGAACAAGAGGATGTCGCACTTCCTACTCTATTTGATGAGTATCAGAACTATATATCGGCCCCAAGAATTAAGGTCAAGGATGTACGAAAGTGGTGGCTTAAGGATACACAACAAACACTCTATCCAAACCTTTCGATCTTTTGTCAATTCCTGCGATGTCTGCTGAGCCAGAACGCCTCTTCTCTGATACAAAAATCACCCTTAAGATCGCAGGAACAGGTTAGGGATTGATATAATTGAGGCAATTGAGTTCATAAAGTCCTGGTCGAAGACTCACAAAGTGGCTTGGGTTGACGACGTTGGGCTTACCTTAGATACAGCTATAATTGGAGACAGGGGCCTTCTAAAATTATACCTGATATTATAAGCAATAGATAGTATGCATGAAATTCAAGCTTAAAACGGTTCTGTGGAGTTTTCTTTTGACCTCTACCTTTACTTCATTCACGCAGCTAGGCAACAGAAATGGCATTAAATCAGTCAATGATGTAGCTTAGCTATATTATAAGGTAGCTGCAAATAGCTTCATTTTGTTTTGGTCAGTGAGACGATCTTGAGCCTCAACCTTACTCAATTTGGTTAGTTTTATGCTTAGAACATGCGGCTCCTTACATGCTGTGTGATATGATATTATAAAACGATATTGCTCAAATACAGTGCAATACCATATACCGTGCAGTGCACTGAATTCTTAAACAATCCAGTGCAGTGTAGGGTTGAAAAAATATCGTATATGGTATTTTGCACTATTTACTTCACTGGTAAAAGTTGCCCAGTTAATCGTCGTAACCAACTTTTCGCTTCGCTCAAGGTTGGAGGAAGCGATCCGCGCGCACGAGAAATGGAGGGGAAGCGAAGTGCGCGCACGAGAAAAATTGTAGTCCTAAGTACCTCCCTATAGTAAATTGTATGTAAAGGTACAAAATTTCACCATTTTAAAAAATTATCATTTCCTCATTCCCATGATCACTCCCATTCCCGCTCCCATTTCCACTCCCATTCTCATATTCGCCCTCACTTTCGAGGGTTTCTGGATCAGGAATTGGAACCTCTAATTCTGGAGGAATTGGGAGGCCTAATCCCTGAAGAGTAGCCAGGCTCTTCTTCCGGAAACGCTCTTCTTTCCGGGCCTTAATTCCAGCCTGGTGGAGCTGCTTCTGGGCCTAGTTTCTAGCCTGGCGAGCCTCCCGGGCTTCTTTGGCTGTGAGCTTCTGGGCCCGAAGCTCGGCTTTCTGGGCCCGAAGCTCGTGGGCTTCGGCAGCTACGAGCTCACCTCCGTTCTGAAGCCGGGCCCGGCTTCGGCTCGCCCGCTTCTTCGACTCCTCCACCTGCCGCCGAGCCACCCGTAGGTCAAGTTCTTGGAGCCGGCCTACCGCCATAACCTCTTCAGCCCCAGTAAGCCAGTTCGTATAGCTCGTACGTGAGGGGCTACTAAAGGCCTCCGGAACCCGGTCTTTCCAGTGCTGTAGCCCCTCTTCAACCCCCCGAAAAGTGGAGGGTTTAGGGGTAATAGGCCGTATTGGTAAGGTAGGCGTAGGCTCTTCTGTAGGCTGGGTAGTAGGCTGCGAGTATGTACGTAGCTTCGTGAGGGCTGTATTACAGCTTATTGGCCAGATTCCAGCTTTCCGGAAAGCTGAGAGTATTGTAGACTCCTTAAAAGTCTGTTCCCGGATTTTGGTGAGATCTCTCATAAATGAGGGTAGGTCATATGTAACGTCCATATTCCGTATGGCATAGAGCACAGCCTCTCGGTGCCAGTGCTTATATGGCTGGAATATTCCCACATCTAATGGCTGTAAAATGTGTGTAAGGTGTGAGGGAAAGGCGAAAACGATGATGTTATATTTGTCTGCTGTAATGATGAAATCATCGCTCGTATGGCTTATATGAGAATCAAGGAGTAGAACTCTGGGATTCCCATTTGCATATGGAGCTGTATGCACTGCAAAGTGCTCTAGCCACCGTAAGGCAAGCTGGCTATTCGAATAGCCAGTATCGGAGAGTAATATCAGTTCTTTGCCTTTAAGATTTTCTGGGTACCTAGAATCCATATGGATTTTACCCGGTACAATAAGTACAGGTGGAATTACTCTTCCTGTTGCAGATACTGTCTCCATAACTGTAATAGACGTACGATTCTCAGGGCTGGGAGTATAGAGTTCTTTTACTGCCTGTGGTACCATAACTCTCTCACCTCCAGGAATTCCAATCCTAAATCCCGTTTCATCCATATTCCAAATTGACTCCGGTAATATATTGCGATCCCATATAAATTGGAAGTATTTTTCAAACCATTCAATAATCTTAGATTCGTCTTGGGCTTTCGTACGCTGCTGTGCAATAGGCTTTGTAGTGATAAAATGGAATTCCGGAAGCTGATTCTGAATATATTTAGTAAGCCAGCTCTGTGACGGTGGAGGTAATGGGCTCCGGAGCTGGCAGACTGCAGTAAATAGCATATTCCTATTGGCTCCAAGCCCTAGGTAATATTGCTCGAGGATCCATTTCTTAAGGGCCTCTGCCTGAGCAGTAGAGAGTACCCTATTCTGCCCCCCTTTACGTTGCTGTGGGTTCTGAATACGGCGCTTGATGCTTCCTCGTAGAGTTGATTCTGGGACCTTGAAAATACGACTAGCAACACGCCTCGACTCAGAAGGATTTTCTGCGAGCCACTCACGGGCATTTGATATAGGAGTCCCTTCCATTAAATGAATTACATCAGGTTACAATATAAATTACTATGTACAGCTATGGAAATGGTTTTGTTGAAGAGTAGCGGTGAACAGACGCACGTTTCTTGTGCGCGTACTTCGCTTCCCCTCCATTTCTCGTGCGCGCGGATCGCTTCCTCCAACCTTGAGCGAAGCGAAAAGTTGGTTACGACGATTAGTCTCGAGGCGCCAGAGGTTTTTGAAAAGGTTCAAAGAGCCAACTGAAGAGTTAATTAAAGAACTCCAGAGATATTCCCTATTAAGATAGTCAAGTCCTGTAGCTGTGGGTTTACGCGACATATTGTGGACATTATATTGGCATGCTTAAATTCCGCGGGTACCGAGAGTTCGTCTGGATGATCCAATAGGTCTTCGTAGTAGAGCCTCTTTAAATTGGGGTAACAACCCAAAAGACAAAAAAGGACATTTGGACGCATTTTGATAAAGGACAGCGAGAGATCTTTCATATTAGCCAGCTCTAGATCATTGCCCTGTGACTCGGCTTCAAATCTTTCTCAGTCTCAACAAGGAGAGAACCATCATGTACAACTGCGATCTGGTTAATTGCACACAGGCTTTCCACTGTAGATATCATTAGGAGTGATACGATATCAAGGATGATATCATGACCATAGTCGGTCGCATCGGCACCATGAATGTCTGTCATGTTTTCATCATAGCAGGACCCCACAACTACTCTTTTTAGGCCCCACAATGCGAGGGGGTGACCAAGCTCTCTCTCCCTTTGTAGTCACCCTATTAAGGCCAGCATAGATGTTAGAAGTGGAGGTCCCATCTCACGAATCCACATATCAATATCGAGTACTTCAAGGTTTGGCGTAAGGGTAAATACCAGCGTGATCATAGCATTTAGATCCACTTGCTCAACTCCAAGTGCCCACCAATGACACTCCTCGTCTGTCATGCCTGTCTCGGCAATTTTCTTTTGGATAGCTTTCATTTCTTCAGGTGTAAACTGGCGGACATTGACACGAGTCTTATAAGAATAGTGGTAGTACTTCTGGTAGTCAAGAAGCCCACCCGTCAACATACCGAGATTAGGCGCTTCAGTATCATCTATGTGGAAAACCCTCATCCATTTGCCTAGGTCGGGCCTCGCAAGTATTCATTATAGAAACAGCTGAAAGCCCTTGGCAGACGTCTTTGGGCTGTAATAAAAACGTTCGTAAAGAACAGGCTCGACAACTTTGTGAAGGTAGCGGGAGCAGAGAGCGAGCTGGAGGAGGGAGCTTGAGTTGTATCAGGGCAAGTCCTCACCAGTAACGCACCCAGCAGTAACTTCAACATTGTTGATGATGTTACTGATGTGCCTAGCAATGTTGACTATGAGCTCTGAAGGGAGGTTATCTATGGTCACTCTCGTAGAGATATTTGCATATCCCGGAACTGAATTGAAGTGGAAGTGAAGTGGGAAATATTGAAGTACAGTACAATGTAGAGAGTGGAGACAGTGTTCAGGTGGGTACTTGCTACAGTAGAGTCCCGTTAGTATGATGGAATCTAGTCACCAATTTAATATCGCCTTAATGAATATATCGCACAACTGAATGCTTATATAATCCAACTATCTAGATTGCTTTGAACTCTGCCATTGACATCCAATGCCTCCAAATCTGCATCATATCGCTCAATAGCTCTTAATTGTGCTGTTGAGATATCATCTCAACTTTCTGTAAACTCAATTAGAATTTGAACAGCCTGTCGAGCAGCCTGTATTGAAGGTACAGGCCGCTCTAAGGCTTCTTCTTCTTCTTCATTTGAGCATCATCACATTGACTTAAATGACTTGATATAATATCTTGTAATACCTCCTCCTCTGTTAGTGTCTCACTATCATTATTCTGGGCTTGTGTTTCCTCATCTGGATTTAAGAAATTGTGTAATGCCATTGCATCTTGTATATTTCCAGCTCTTGTAATGTTATCATATAATTCAGATAGATTTAGAGGATTAATTGGTGTTGAAAGAGCAAGTGGTGTAGTTAAAAGTGTGCTTTTTTGAAAGCAATTATATATTGTTGTGCTTTGTAAGTAGACATTCCAGCGTTGGAATCAAAACATTGTAACATAAATAAGAGCCATTGTCGATGATAATGAGCTTTGAATGACTGTATGATTCCTTGATCAAGAGGTTGAAATTGACTTGTTGAATTAGGAGGAAGCCAGCAGATTCGAATATTTGGAGGCGGAGGATTGAGTTCAAGACCACAATAATGGCCAGAGAAGTTATCCATAGAGAGAAGGACAGTTCGAGATGTTCCAATATGTCGATAAAAGGCATTTACTGATAGGGGCCTTACGATTGTTTTCTAGAACCACAAACACAGAGTTTTCTCCGACCTCCGGCCCGATTCCCAACATGGACGGATCGTCTACTCGAACATGAGAGTAGGAAAAGAAAGCGGTGGCGCTGGGAAAGCAGTAGTGACGGCGGCAGCTTGCGACACCATGCCATCCCAGAAGCGTGACATAATCTCCACAACAAACCAATGAAATTTCCATAACACCGCAATATAATCTCCACGACAGCACATTTACCCTGATTATTCATGTTTGCATATTGTGCCAGGTTCGCCCGACCCTGAAGTAGGGCGTCCATCAACATATTTTTTCGGTTTTGGGTGAGGAGGAGATCGAAGGGGGGGGGAGGATGGAGAGTAGGTGATGGGTTCGATGCTCTTCATTAGAGTCGCCTCTTCTTCCTCACCTATCAAACCCCTTTCCATCGCCGGAGTCTCAACTTGACACCACACATACCACCACCCAATCCCACTCCCATAAAAACCTTTTCAGTCCATATAAAAACGGAAAATATCGGGTATTTTCAATTCGGTACATACTGTCGTGCCAAGAAATCAACATTAAGATAACTCCCTCCTCCCCCCCCACCCCACCAACCAAACGACCCTTTCCCCCCCTCGAAATATCCCTTATATAACCCCCCCCAACTCCCAACGCGGCCCCAGATTCATCCGAAACCCCATATCCATAATCCGTCTATATATGCCTTTGATGTTTTTCATCCCCCCCCCCAAAAAAAAATGAGCGACTTCAACGAAAAACAAAAACAAAGTCCCCCTGAAAGTAAAATAAAAATTGATACACACCGCACTCCACCCACCCATCCAGCATCGTGAAAACCGGAAAAAAACAAATTGAAGAGTGCAGAGAGCAGAGATTATTTGCAAGCACCCTCCTGCCACATCTTAACAGCCTTAACCGTCATACCGCGCGCATTGCCCTCGCCCCACGTGGGGAGCCACTCGTTGATGCGTTGGTAGAAGGCGCCGGGAGCGAGGTAGGTGGATGCGTCGACCCATGGCTTACCGCCTACGCCGTCGCTGTTGTTCGTTAGCTCGTATTCCCCCAAAACCACCATCCTCCCCCCCCCCCCAAAAAAAAAAAAAAAAAAAAAAAAAAAAAAAGTATTATAAACAAGAGGTAAGAACTTACAGGAACCACCCATTCCGACTCCCCACCGCGACATTCATAACCAAATAAAACTCCTGATCAAACGGAGCCCCCCTATTCTTGCTCCCCGCCCACGGATTCGGCAACATCGTATTATTCACAAACACATCCCCAAACTCACCCCTATCCCAGAAATCCTTCGGCGTCCCCTTCCCCGCCATCCCGACGTAGAGGACCTGCTGAAGGCGGCTGTCAAGGTAGGTGTACATGTAGTCGCCGGACCACTCGAAGCCGAAGGTGTGGAAGCTCTTGGAGAAATCGGTGCGGCGGATTTGGCGGCCGGCGGTGGTGCGCCAGAAGGCGTTGAGTCCAGTGGTCGGGCCTGGGGGGAGGTTAGTGGGGGTGGGGATGGGAGGGGGGAGGGGTGGCTTACCCCAGTGGATTGTGCTGGTGTAGGTGTCGCGGCCGCCGAGGGGGTAGCTGGGGCTGTTGCCGCGGACTTCGGCGATGTCAATTTCTCCGCTGCGAGGCCAGCCGCCGTATACATCGTCTTGGGGAACAAGCCTGTGAGGTTATTAGAGATGGACCGCCAGTGTCAGGTGTTTATCTCGACTTACCAGAGCGCGGGCCAGAGCCAATCTCCCTGAGGCATCTTCGCAGTGATCTCTACCTTACCGTACCTGATCGTCTTCTTGCCCTTGGTGTTGAGACGTGCAGAGCGGACGGGGGGGATTGTGTAGCCTAGCTCGTTGTTGCTGTGGATGACGCAGTTGAAGGGGGTATTGGATGTGCAGGAGCCGTCAGCGGTGAGGTTCACGGTGAAGCCGTTGGAGATCTGCTCGTTGGAGATGGGGGTGGATTCGTTGGTGAGCGTGGGGACGATGTGGAGGCCCTCGGCATCGACGAAGGAGTTCTTGGGGTCCGTGGTCGTCCAGTCGAAGGAACCGGTGCCGTAGCCGTCAATTTGGACTTCGTGGTTCCAGACGTTCGGGTCAAGGGTTTTGAAGTCCTCGTCGAGGATTAGACAGTACTATTGGATGTTAGTCGGGGTCTACCAGAAGACACATGGATACGCACATCATGCTTGGGAACGCTCTGCGTTGCGGCGAAGCAGATATATCCAGCCACACCGAAGCCGATAATCATGAAAGTGTACACAATCAAGTTGTTATATCTCGTCTTCTTCATCCGCTTGTCCTTGATCCATGGCTGTTCATATCTACGCCAGTCAGTAAATGCCCACACCCAGCAATTTCTCCAGCAAACTCACTCGCCAATGAGCCTGTAGCTCCGGAACTGGTGCTTCTCCTTCTCCTTCTCCCCCGAGTCTCTGTGTCGTGTTGTTGTGCCTCCGCCTTCGGATCCGTGTCGCGAATGCGGTGCTATCGACGAGGTCTCTGAGCTGATGGCATTGCTATCACCGAACGGTGAGGGTGAGGGCGAGGATTTGCGGGCCATTTCCACGACGGTGGGCGTTGCGGTGTGTCGTTGTGTTTGCTGCAAGCCTCTCGTCGATGGAGGGATCTGGATTGGATGTTCACTCACCAAGGTTGACAAGCCTTGGTTGAACGGTGAGAGCCTTTGGGGTGGTTGAAGGTTCCGAGGTATATGACTGTTGCAGATGTAAGTTGGAGGAAGGCTGGCAGGTGTTGGAGTTGGAGGAGTGGGGTGAGACCAAGACGGTGCAATTGCGGGAGGTAGAGATTGGTGACAGAGGGGGAAGTTAGGTACCTTGTGTACAACTATACTTGTGTACAACTATAGAGGACAACAACGAAAGCAATGAGAGGAGGGTGAGGGAGGAGAGATAGAAGAAGGAGGAGGAGAAGGAGAAGGAGAAGGAGAAGTGGATGGAGAGAAGAAGATGGAGAGAAGAAGATGGAGAGAAGAAGATGGAGAGAAGAAGATGGAGAGAAGAAGATGGAGACAGAGACGAGAGGGCAAGAGGTGAGAGAGGTGAGAGAGGTAAGAGACAGAGAGAGATGGGAACAGACAAGAACCCTTATTTCGTAGATTGGCAGACACACACACAGCCCTACAGCAAGACCACAAGACCACAAGACCACAAGACAACAAGACAACAAGACAACAAGACAACAAGACAACAAGACAACAAGACAACAAGACAAGGTACTATTTATTGCATTGTGTAAGTAGTAACACAACTTACATGGAATAGAATAGCTATAGATAGTCTGGCTGGGTTACATTTTTGAGCAGTGACGGGGATACGAACCTTGGCATTTCGAACCTTGGTGCGTATTTAGAAAGTGACACGGCCAAGACTAAGACCAGAGCAAGACAAGGCAAGTCAGTCTACGGATCAGCAACGGAGCGACGGGGCGACGGAGCGACGGAGCGACGGGAGCGACGATAGGATAGGGGGAGCGAAAAAAGGAAATGGTGGAGATGGGTAGCGATGGGTGGGGGAGGGAGATGTGGAAATGGGTGGAAATGGGTGGAAATGGGTGGAAATGGGTGGAGATGTGGAAATGGGTGGACATGGGTTGTAGTAGATTTGGTACTTTGGGGATGGCGGGGACTTGCGACTGGCGCCAAGAAAGTGAGGTGTGTCTTGTACTCTGAGATATCCCACGTCGATATTGGATGTACTGTACCAGCCACCAGCCACCGGCCACCGCCACCGCCCACCGCCCACCGCCCACCGCCGGCCACCGCCCACCGCCCATCCACCATCATCCACCTGACAGAGCCGCCGTCGCACCACCGACGGCTGAGGTGGGTATGTCGACGCGCTGAAGAACAGACAGAACAGACAGAACAACGCACCGAGAGTGGGTGGTTGGTACTGTATCCACCCACAACGTCTGTATCCACAATGTCTGTATCCGCCCACTGTGTACCTCCTCCCCGAGACAGGAAAAAAGAAAAAGAAAAAGAAAAAGAACAAGAAAAAAACAGAAAGGAAAAAGAAAGGAAAAAGAAAGGAGAAAGAAAAAGGGTGCATACACGAGGCGGCGCCACGCTGAGCTATTGATCTGTATCCATCCGCGTGTCCATCAGCGTATCCATCCGGTATCCATCACCGTATCCATCCGGTATCCATCACCGTATCCATCCGCGTGTTCAGCGGGCCAAGCTCAACGTGAGGGTCGATCGATTGTACCACACTGGAATATAATCATTAAATATTCAAATTCGGAAGCCGGCCATTGTTCACAGGGCGAAACTACTCTACATACTACTAAACTCATGCTCACTAGTACTTTGGTATAGCGCGTAATACCTTTCTCCGTCAGGGAGCTAAAGTGGCAGACATTGGGGAGGTTTAACTTGACGTCGGGACAAACTGATGCTCCAAACAATATTGTACGTCTGGAACTGGATTCTAGGCTGTAAATTATTTCCTCTTTAAAAGGCACCCCATTACGGTCTGGATAGCGCCCCAGTGAATGTGACAATCATCCAGTGCGCCCAATGAACATGATGCCGCGTTAATCCCGTTGAACCTACCCCGCTATTTACCTGATTCTTGAGGCCTTAATTGTTCCATCAGGATCAGGGACCACACTACAATCTATACTTTGCAACCGTTTTCCATCAGCTGCGATCTGCGAGATGAGAGACACGCATTTGGGATTTTAACCCCATCACTCCCCCATGATTGGCCTTTAACCAACCCGACGAACCCAAAGTTCTACCATATCGGTTGCAGAGACGTTTCGTGCGAAAGAAGTGTACAGGTCAGTGCAGTGACGAGACAATGTGGGCTGTTGCAAGGACCTTACAAACTGTAGGTACTACCAACCGCCGAATATTCCAAAGCCTTCAGTATGAACGGAATACTCTACAGATAACGGCCCTCTGTCTCCAAGTATACGCAAAAGTCGTTCTCCGACACTGCGCTTACCGCCTTTTCCCAACTCATCGCACTCCGCCTAGACTCCCAAAGAGCCATCGTCTCCCTCATTGATTACGAGAATGAGTATTTTCTAGCTGAGTCATGACGATGGCCATGCACAAAATGCGTCGCTATCTATCAGCGGGGCAAGGGTCCCGCGCGCGGCCTCTCTTTGTGAGCAGACGCTGTGCCTTGTGCCGAATCAAGATACAGCAGCGGAAATGACTCCGGTGTTCCTGGTTCCAGATCTCCGCTTGGATGAAAATACGAGCCAGCTGGATTGCGTGAAAGGTGCACCGTATCTGAGGTTCTATTGCGGCGTGGCTTTGACTAACAAGAGGGGCGTGAATATTGGCTGTGTTTATGTCGTCGACGACAGACCGAGAACAGACTTCAGCCTTGAGCAAGCCCAGTTCTTGACTACAATGGCAGCTATGGTAATGGACTATCTCGAGAATATACGAGCGAAAGAAGACATTGTTGGAGTTCCCATGATGAGCCAAGCTCTCCATGCTTTTGTTGAAGGCGAGGGCACGATGGACGGTGATTGACAGGGAGTCAAGAAGTATAACCTTCCAGCTGGGGCTGGAGTGGGCTTCCTTTGGGAAAGCAATACGAATGACGTCGACGCATCTGTATCGACTGAATCTGCGAACTCCGCATCCGAAACCTTCAGGAGCCAAACCCAGTCCCCCCTGCAGCATAGCTCTAACAACCCGGACGCGCGTTTTAACTTCAATAACTCGCCCTGGAGCTCTTCCTCGTCACAAGTCCCAACGCTAAAGTCTGTATTTGAGGGCTCCGATGATGTCGCAAGAAAGATCACCAGCGGGAAGGATGCCGCATTTTCTAATGACGGGTTTTCAAATCAGCTTCGTACAACGTTTTTCTCGTGCCTCGAATCTTATCAGAGAAGGCATGGAGGTTGATGGAGCGGTATTCTTTGATGCCCCGTTCAGATTCTATAAGGGTCGCAGCGCCCTCGAGACGGATCCACGCCGGTTGGAAGACAGGGACTCTGAAAGCTCGAGTGACGATAAAGTCAGGCCGGGACCACGCCGTCGTGTCCAACGTTCGAAACGCCGTGCCAACCACAGCAACGGACATTTTGGACACGATCGAACATGTTTTAGACTTTTCAAAAATCTAGAATTTCGGACAAGTAAGTACGCAGCCGATCGGAAGTGTTGCAAACCTCGACGTCTCTGCAATTATTGAAGAGGTGCTGGATGGTGTTTTCGCCGGATTCGAATTCAATGGACTGTCTTCACAAGGTCTGGCGGATACAACCAAGACCGAAATCGTTGAACAGTCGTGATACAGGCACCAAAACCATGGATGAGCTCCAGTTTGACTTCTCCAATGATGCGCTTACAGTCATCATTGACATAGACTTCAGAGATGACTGGCATTTTCCCACCGTCCCAGGAACCTGGCGACGTTTGACAATGAATTTATTCGGGAATTCCTTAAAGTATACAAGTGATGGCTATATCAAGGTCAAGCTCGAAGCTCGAAGCATACCTTCTGTGAATCCAAGTGTGAATAGCGACAGCTTCGACAGAACCATGATTACGATGACGGTATCAGACTCTGGACAGGGGATGTCAAGTGAATTCATGAAGACGAAACTGTTCATGCCTTTCACACAGGTTTGAACGACCACATCCGATTTATTATGCTAGGTCTTTGTAATTAATGCTAACTGGATCCAAGGAAAATGTAACAGCTCCGGGAACCGGCCTTGGCATGAGTATCGTGAAGCAAATCGTCGATTTGTCAGGTGGGGTAATCGAAGTTCACAGCGAGCTCGGTAGGGGCACAGAGATGAAGCTTAGCCTACCTCCGGATGATCGTCTACGACGAACAAGCGAATCACCAGAGTTGATGATACCAATACCCGAATATTCCATCGGTGCTGTTCGACGCCGTGCTAATGGCCGCACGGTTACCATCCGTGGGTTTGACAATACGGCAGGGAAATCAGATCTCCAGATAGAAGCGATCACAAGCTTGAAGGCTTCCATCGTAAAATATGCCGAGGAATGGTTTAACCTGGAGGTTAACTCTGATAATTTGGTTGCTGACATCGTCATCTCGGATGAATCCGAGTTCCTCAAATCGACCAAACTCATAGAAAGCAGTTCGCAGCTATTACTCATTCTGTGTAGTAACGGGGCCCGACGCGGTATCTACACATCTCAATTTGAAGTCGGCCAACTTGTCGAGTTCATCAGCAAACCATGTGGCCCACATTGTCTAGCGAAAGCACTACTGAATATCCTCGACGCAGAGGACGCTCTGAAAAGGTCGAAAGCCGACCATGCCATCCAGGCGGAACCACAGGGTTAACTAGTCTTGCCTGTAGTCTCACGACGAAATATCAGGGTAAGTGCAGGTACTAGTAACTTGAGGCTATTGGGAGATTTGAAGTCACCTATCAGTTTCGCGCCAAATGCCATTTGTCTGGATATACAGCTGACGACAGATTTTAAGGCTAGAGAAACGGCCGAACCAAGACCGGCATTCATTCATAGGATGTCGAGTAATGTGGCTGAGATTGAACTCGAGCGATGTACCGAGCGAAAATGCACTGAGCGAGCTATTGAAAGGAACATCGATCTCAGATACTGCGGGTGTGAGTAATACATTTTTCCGCATAAGCTACAATGGTAGATCTATCTCTTCGGAACAAGATTTAATACTGGATAGGTTACGGAGTCACCACCCGCCCCACTAGAGCCACCAAAGATGTTGTTGGTCGAGGTCAGTTTCTGAAAGGCCACCATGGCGGACAACTAAGCTACTGATTATATTTTAGGATAATCCAGTCAACATGATGCTACTTGCAACGTACATGAAGAGGAACGGCTGGGACTACGAAGAGGCAACGAACGGTTTGATAGCTCTGCAAGCATTTCAAAACCGACCTCAGGGGTTCGATGTGATTTTCATGGGTAAGCTTTGCCACCCACTTCCTAGAGCTATGGCCATTCTCAGCCACCGGCATCTATCACCTTCCTAACAGATGTGTCCATGTCCATAATGACAGGATACGAATCCATCCGCAAAATCCGCGCGGTCGAGGCCGAACGCCGTGCCGCCTACGGGGTCCAACTCCAATCCCTCTCGTCGCCACCTACCCCGCCCTCACCGCCTGCATTCTCTTTACTAGTCATAGCGTTGACCGGCTTCAGCAGTCAGAATGATCAGGAAATGGCGTTTGACTCTGGAATGGACATTTTTATGACAAAGCCGGTGAGGTTTAGGGACGTGGGGAGTATTTTGGACGGCTGGATGAAGACTCGGGAGGAGAGGAGTTCATAGGGGCGGATGGATACTTTGGGGACATATACTTTGGGGACATATTTAGAGATCGGGATGCCGTACAACAAACGGGGAGTTTTTTGCAAAATCTAAAGGTGAGGAAACAGGGTTGCTTTAGACACGGTGTCACATATAATAGACACATGAACACTTCTACTCGCCATACACCGACTATTTCTTGCCACAATGGGCCATAGAAGCCTCGTTGCCAATGGTTTCTGGTATCAGATGGTCACGTGATATGGTTATCCGGTTTCTGTTGAACTAGCAAAGTGAATCAATCCACTTCTGCTGTAGCTTTTAGTCGGCTATATTATAACAGTTTCTGATATCAGATGGTCACGTGATGTGATTCTCCATAGTCCTAGGCAGCACCTTCTTCGACGAACATGTTTATTTGAATCGATTCCCAGCTAAACCGGCCTGACCGCCTCGATATTACAAAGCAGGGACACGAAAATACAACGGAGTATTCGTAATTGGACCTTACTCCGGTTGTGCTAAGCCCCAGATGGGAATTATGACGTAATAAGACCGCTGAAACCAAGTATGAGCTATATGAGCCACATCTCGAAGCGCCGCAATGAGGGGCACAGGGAGGGACAGGTGAAGGGGCAATGGAGGGGCAACCAAAGATGCAACAATTCATAGAACAGAAACCACTTTTCCATTTCAACCAAGGCACAAATAGTGATGTCTAACGTTGTTCGGTGGTGGTCTGTGATGATATGCGGATTCCCCGCATTTGGGCTGGCCAAACAAGAACAAGGTTTATAAGTGAGCCTAGGTACTCTCTAGTTCCCCACATTTTTTGCCACTTGTGGCGGCTGTGGCTGATCTTAGTGGCTACCTTCTTTTGTGGTTGTTCTGGTTGCCCAGTTGGTTGTGTATCCAGCGTTTCGTTGGTGTCAATGACGTCAACACCTCTCCCTAGCTACACCGTGGTCAAGGGCCCAGAACCCCCCGCCGGATGGGATGGCGACAAATTGCATGAGGATAAGTCTGGGAATCCTAGACGACCGGACCTATCTCTATGACTATGACGTACATACCCTTAAGCAGGTTCAGAGACTCAACCCCTCCGCTCGACTACATATAGTCTCCTGTTTCCCTCTCACACCCTCTTCTCTTCCATCATCAAACATCATCTTCACACACTCAAACCAAACCAACCAACAAAGAAACCAAACTCAATAAAAATGGAGACCATCAAGAACGCCGCAAACTACGTCACTGAGACCGTCCAGGGCAAGGGTGCCGAGGCTTCCAAGGAGGCCAACAAGGTAAGCAATACTCTCCAAGATTGCAAAAGATAGGACAGAATACTAACTCTATCCCAGACTGTCGCCAAGGACAGCGACGCATCCCTCTCCAGCCGTGCCACCGCCGCTAAGGATGCCGTCAGCGACAAGGTCAACGAGACCAGCCACAACGCCCAGGCTGATGTCCACAAGGAGGCCGCTAAGCACTGAACTACTCGAGTCCTAATTGCTCTCCAGTCACGAAATGGGCGGGTGGCATTTCCGGAATTGGAGGACTTAAATGGCGCCTGTATGATTAGCTAGGATTGAAATCTAAGCCAATTCATGCCACCTTAATTATGATGCTTTCTGAACTGCTTACACGGCTCGCTAATACTATATTAATGTTTAAAGTCATCAAATCTTCTCCTGAGCTCTTCCTTGCAACCACGTCTATGAAGGAACATTCCAAGCATAAAGACTGCTAGAAGAGACAGAGAGTAAGATGGTATTCACAGTGTAGCCCTTTCTCCATTTGGGCGCTAGAGCACGTTAGTATCTCTTCGTGGCGGGAACGTGCGGTTATATCTTACCTTCAACCACTGGGAACACTGTGATGGGGTAGAATGAGAAGAAGGCCCACCCCACGGTCATCTGAAAGATAAAATGTCAAGTCGTATGTTCTCATATGCAACCGTTACGAGCCAAACTTACCATCGCTCCTGTTGTAAATGCCCTTGCCTCTGCATCGTCTTTCATAATTATGTTCACCCAAGGGAACAAAATTGGTGTAAACCGCAGAAGTTAATCCAAGGAGTAAATTCGCCGTGTCTAAAATCATATTAGTTAGCAATTGTCATATAACTTGACAGGGGTGCAAGTAAGATAGATACTCGCTAACTATCTTACAATGTAGGCCAACCGGGACATCCCAGGCCAGAAGGCTGAGGAGCAACCATTAAGAAGATTGGGAAGGCTATGTTAAAGAGAGTCTTTACGAGATGGCATTTATATGTCTGGTGAGAAATCCTCCTACTACCGAGTGCCTTTTGATTGTATACTAACTAATATTTTAGCCTTCAATGTTCGTCATAAGACGAGGCTAAAAGGAGCACGGGACCTACACTGTAGCCCAGATCAACACCATTTCTACTGCAGTCCAAGGTCTTGCTATCATCATATCGTCGGTTGTTTGCGCCATCCTTCATGTTTTGCAACCTTGTCATTTCCTCCTCTCTGGAGGACAATCAAACAGAGCTATAGAAGCTAATACTGCAAACTTGCCTACTCATCCGCATTCGCATTCAGTGTTCCAGCCGGCCCTCTCCTCTCCCAGATGGCGCCCGACAGCACTCTATTCGTTAGCAATGACGGCGGCGACACATAGAAAACTCGGTGGGAGCCAGAATCTGCTCATATCAAGCCGGTCCAGCTCACGATGGAGGGCCAAAAAGAGAGTGGGCCGAAAACGGCCACATTGCCGGTCCTCATAAGCGCGTGGCGGCCGTGGAAATATACAGATTTTAAAATTGAAACTATCCTTATTCCACCCTTGGAGAGGTGGCCAGGTTGGCATGTTCGAGTACATGTATTGACTTGGAAAGCCCAATATGCAGACTCGTTATTCCAGTTAGTGGATGCGGGGTTTGCAATATCAAGTAATGGAGTTAAAGGTGGTATTCTGCCAACTCTTACTCCAGAGCTGAGACACCTATCATCGTCGTCCAGTGAAGATGAAAAGGCAGAAGACGTGGCCCAGGAAGGTATTTGGGAAGGAGATTATGATTGCTTGGTTCTTTCCGACGCAGGAGCGAGCGGTATCGCTGATTTATCAGCCGGATCTCGAAAACGGCCACCCATCGATCCTGTATTTGGTGGTCGCGAGTGTCGAAGCGATCTCTCGAGGCCAGATTCAAACACAAATTTGGTGACACAGAGATCTCGCATTCCCTTGTTACATTACCACTTCCATGTCCGAGGTAATTCTAGCGAGGCATGGCTTATCACGGGGGTATTCGCTATTTGCTAGTTCTTCTGGATTAGATAATGCCAGTATCAGAGATCTATGGCGGGACAAACCGCGCCTCGACGTAGAGGAATATACCAATGTATTATAGAGCTCGGCGATCCTATGATGCCCTATAAGTAGTTTAAATAGACAGCAAAGCGTGCGAATATAATTTATTATTATCTACTAAATGTTAAACTATCCAATGAAGATCCTCAAGTATAGCTCTTTACCTAAGAATTCCAAGTATCAAGAGCATCTAGTGCCAAGGCCAAATTTTGAATGACAACTGGGCGACATCAGTTGAGCCGAGCCACGGCGCCTCGTCAAGAGCCACTCAAGACCGAGCTACCATTCATATCGGTATCCGGGGTGTTTGGACCAATACCATCCGAGTTCAAGAGATCGCGCCACGCTCGCTTGGCCAACGTCGTGTTGCCGGTTTGGTGAGCGGCATACGCTGTGACACGCGAGTGGGCCTGTAGCAAGCTGATGTCCTTGACCTTAACCCCATAACGAGCTTCTGCGGGGGTTGCGGCATAATAGTAACAGTAGTCGTACCATGCTTCTTTGAACCCTGCCGGGAGGTCATCACCATAGTACTCGACGGGTTCGGAGACGACTTCGGGGAGACCAAATACGGCCGAGAGATGGGAGACATCGACGAGACCTTTGTTGTCGGGATCCAATGGAGGGGGGCCTAAGGTACTATTCTGAAGACTTCAAGATCCAGTGACAAAGTCATACTTGAGTTTGGCGATGCTGGTGATTGTGCTCGTCAACTTGGTCTTTGCCTCCTCCCATCTCAGTCCGCGGCGTTCCCATGCAATGAGCCATCCGCCGGCGAGGGCTGCCTAATCAGTTCCGACACTGAAGGCAACGGCGGAGTTAGGGGTTGGGATCCAGCCGTCTTTGCGTACGTTTCTTTGAGGGTCCAGAATTCCGTAGGTCTTCTCCGTGTCTAGAAGCTCGCCGAGTAACTCTCTAATACGCTCATCACCTCCGGACAGGTAGTAGAAGTAGGTACTGCGGCTGCGAGATACAGGCTTGCTTTGCGCTATCGGCCCAGTGCTGGACACCGTGGCGGGTACCCAGGCCCTTCCAATCACCAATATGGTAGACATCGGCTTCACCTGTGTGGCGGGTGACAGCCTCTGCGAAACGATAAACGTCTTCGCGGCCGGTGCGTAGAAAGTATTGCCAGAAGAATAGGTCAGGGAAAGCTCCGAGTTATCCCAGCCATACCCGCCCACATCGTAGCGCCAGGTGTGTCGATTCGTATCGTAGGTGTGCATGAAATCGCCGTAATTTAAGAATCCGTACCACCTACGTTGTTCGACTTCTCGTTGATACTGCTTGAAAAGGAAGTCGAGATGGCCTTCAATTTCCGCAGAAAGGGCACTGGTGGTGTCGGGCAGTCCCCAGTAGGACCCAAGGGCCTTTGTTTCCTGAATATGTGCCGGGTTCTGCCGACAAAACAGGTGGGTTGTTCATATGTTCTGTCAAGTCCGAAAGTGTGTCTTTGGAGGGCGTCTTCTCAAAGCCAAATATGAAGATTTCGCTTGTTCTAGCGATTCCATAAGGAGTACTGAACCCCGGTTGGTAATCTTCATTAATCTCAAGAGCGTCCAAACTGATCGGCATATGTTGTCTGATTCAGGCCATCATGATAAGAGCGGAGGTCCAGTGGCTGGGATGCTGGATCATAGAGCCACACCGTGATATCTCTGAGGTCTGAAGCTGCATTGGAAATGTCAAGACCGCTGGGATAGCGCTTCCAGAAATCACGTAGTCCCACCGCCAGCCCTCCTTGCGTAGCACCGCCAAGGTATGCAAGCCCCCCAGCGCGTGTGCCTCCGGAGATGTTGATCCAACTTTGTCCAGCCTTAGTGCGTTTCTTGAGGGTAAAGCCATCGGATGATCCACTTCATTCTTGTTGATACCCGCGTGTCCCACGTACTAATGTCTGGGAGCACAACACCATCGTACTGTGCAGTTCTCACGGCCACTCCAGGGCCTCTCCTTAGGCCGGTGATCCCTTTCACCGCTTCACTAAGAAGACCGCCATCGACACCAGCAATCCTAACGTGGCGATTGTATAGTTCCTCTCCTTTCAGAGGGACTCCAAATCGGATCCCTAAGCCGGTGATGAAGTTCTTGTCGGCAGGTGCATCAAATACGAGACTTGGACAAGGCGAATAGCATCGGAATTGGCGTACAGGTAGAAACGCAGGACGAAGGAAAGTCAGTCATCATGGGGCCCTCCACTCGTGACTTGATGCCTGTCACGGACGGTGACCAAGGCGCGCACGGTATTATGCTTTTCGACTGTAACTTCCTCGATATTACTCGCGAAATCGAGGTTCCTAATCGACTGGCTTCTACGATTATCGGAGTTGAAATCGACACCCAACTGGCTCTGAAGGCCAAGTCGGCCATCTTGCCCAATTATCTTCCCACTTGCAGTCTGAATCGTATCAATGATGTTGTTGCCTGTTTTCGGGAACGACACTTTCAGTTTGCCCGTGTCGAGGGTAATCTTCTTTGCGGTATCGGTAACGACGAACTTAGTTTTGCTGTTCGTGCTGGACTCAATGGATGCGGCCGACTTTGAAGCAGTCACAGTGTATTCGTCGAGGATGTTCTCAGGTGCTGCAATTGCATGTCCAGTCCATTTGACCGAGCCATCAGACCAGTAGCCAGTCACCCACGACTGGAGGTCGATCTTCTCATTGGATCCACTGGAGACGGTAAACTTGTTTTTCTTGGGGTCGTGTTGACCTCGTGGCCAAGGGACACCAAATGTTGTTCCGAGGTTGTATGCCGGCTTGTCACCAAGCCATTGCACAGTTGCCGCGTTCAAGGAGCCAGAATTGGTAGTGGGTGAAGCCGTGCCCAATCCAAATAAGCCGCAGAGGGCAAGATAAACTGGGGTGCATGATTGAAGGCCACTTGCGTGAGGATTCACTCCAACAGCTTTTGGGGATGAAGCACGCCCTAGACAAAACTTAACTTGCCGTGGTTGGATAGTAAATGAGGGTCAAAACTGCAGATCACGTAGCCACTTAACTTTTGCACGCAAGAGCCCTCGGTGAAGATGGTGCACCGAGATTGCACCATATTATCCATGCATGATGCAGCTAAGAACGGGAGTTTAGATAATCTGCCCATGTCTCGCGCTTGTTCCTGTCCAAAGCTTCCAACGAGCACTTGTTTATCTCGGGTTAAAGATGGGCGATGGATAATCTCAAAGTTAATTCTCCGTCGAGAAGGAGCGCGGGGGAGTGCGGGGGTTGCATGGGCAATACTGTCGGTAATTCGGAGTTTCTTGGCTCCTTGGCTATGATCTAATCAGTCGTACTTCATAAACTTGTGGAGGCACGTGGGAATATCAGTTTGTATAGTAAATATTTGACGACAACTTGTGCAAGCGTCTGGTATAGTATGTGTTGGTAGTAAACACTGGCGAGGCCATTCGGCCAAATGGTGTTGTCAATTATTGTGTATGCAACTACTCCGTAAGGAAGAAGGTGCGACCCGCCACCGATATACAGAGTAGGCAGGCGCAATGGCCATGTCATTGAGTATATATTATGATATTATGAATAACTTACAATAAATATTATTGCATACACATACAAAAGTCCAAATAAATCATCACTGTATCTTACCTATCGGGAATTAGATGCCGCAGGTCCGGCCTCCAGTTCCAACGCTCATCGCTCCCAAGTTTTACGTTGGGAGGAGCTTGACGATGCTTAGCAACAGCTAATACGCAACGAAGTGATTAACTAACTGCCGCAGTCTTAAGACTTAAGATTCAAGCGTGACTTCTATGCCTACACCTACGCCTCTACCTATACGGGTTTCTACACCAAAACCCTCAACTTTTAGGGGGGTTGAAGAGGGGCTACAGTACTAGAAACAACAGGTTATGGAGGGTTTTAGTAGCCCCTTAAGGGAGAGCTATAGGAATTGGCTCATAGGAACGGAAGAGGTTGTAGTAGGAGGCTAGCTTCAAGAGCTTGACCTACTGGCTTTTCGACGCTAGGTTAAGGAGTCAAAAAGCGGTCGAGCCGAAGCCGGGCTCGCCTTTAGTTTGGAGGTGAGCTTACGGCAGCTCACGCTGAGCTGGCAGCTCAGAAGCTTGAGGCCAAGCGGGTTCGAGTAGCGCGCTAGGTTATCAACCAGGGCCAAAAGCAGCTTCGCCGGGTAGGAATTGAGGCCTAGAAGGAAGAGCGCCTCTGGAAGAAGGGGATGGCAGCACTTCGGAAAGCTGGCCTCTAGAGTTTGAGGACCTAATTCCTGACCCGGAAGCCCTCCAAACTGAGGGCGAGAGTGAGGGCGAGAGTGAGGGCGAGGGCGAGGGCGAGGGCGAGGGCGAGAGTGGGAGAGAGGGTAGGAGTGGGAGCGAAGAAGTGATAATTTCATAGAATGGCTTAATTATGTACCTTTATATACAAATTACTATGGAGAGGTACTTACAGTCGCAATTGTGACGAGCCGCGTATTGCTTCCTCTCGGGTTGGGCAGCCGCGTATTGCTTACTCCAACCTTGAGCGAAGCGAAAAGTTTGGTCACGGCGATTACATGTATGTTAGACTTTTACATTTACATTAGAAATAGGAAGACCTAATGCCCGGGACAGCGACCATTTATGTAGGGAGCGGGGTGGGGGTTCTTTAAGCAGCAAAACTCAATCGGCGGCATTCCACAAAAGCAAGCTCTCCTGATCCACCCGCCTTCCCCCACAAAGGAAGGCAAGCATCACCACACACAGGGAGCACACCGTAAATAAGTGAGCAATTAGCGTCGGATCGACCAACTGGAAATCTCGCTCATATACTATGACCATCAAAGCAAACACGTACACGAAATATAGCGTACACCAAGCGCCGACAGCACCCGCACCTGTATCCAGAAATCCAAATCCACAGCGAAACCTGCGTGAGGAACCCACAACAACAGCTTCTAGAGCCCATCCCCCTCCTCACCAGCGGCAAAGTCCCACTTCCTGCCACCCAGCTTCCTCACCCTCCCCTTCACCGGACTCGTTTGCGTCCCAAGGTGACCCAGGACGTCCCTCGACTCCCCGGTCCTCTTCGTAGGGCTGCCTCCGCCAACCTCCCTCTGTAACCTAACAACCATAGCCCTCAGCGCGCGATTCTCCTCCTCCAGCTCCTCCATTCCCTCATGGTTCTCCTTCCCTTCCCCCTCCATTCCCAGACCCCTCACCAGAACCTCAACCTTACGATCAAGATGCTCACCCCCCCTCTCCTTCTCCTCCTCCCACCTTGCCTTCCACTGCTTCAACTCAGTCTCAAACCTCTCCTCCATCTCCCCCCACATCTCCTCCCTCACAACAGCCTCAATCTCCATAGCCCTCTCCTCCGCACTCACCAGCCTCGCCTCTGCCTCCTCCCTCCCCTCCCTCTCCGCCACAACCTCTGCCCTGAGCATATCCATCTCCTCGCTCAACCGCGCAATCTCCATCGCAGCCCTCTCCATCGTAGCCCTCTCATCATGACCCTGCTGTCCCTGATACGAGCTGCTATTCCCGCTAGTGCTCCGCGGCGGCGGCCCCCCAAAGACGGATGCCGTGATCGACGGGATGCGCGGGACGGTGATCTCGCGCGCTACCGCAGAGTAACGTAGGATCTGGCTGGTGGCGTTAAAATCGCCAACGGGGTCTGCAGCGACGATCATGGTAGCGCGCTGCGGGCGCGGCGCGTGTGAAGATCCGGAGGTGGAGGGGAAGGAGTTGGAGAAGAGGAGCTCGGTGAGTTTGCACTGGCGGTAGGGGACGAGGTTGGGCTGTGTTGGTTAGCATGTGCACCACAATGGCACAATTGAAGCTAGAAATCTTACCTTTGTCGAATTCCCTAGCTCGCTCTGCATCTGCAGACACTGTCCCAGATACATTAAACTCTCATTAATCTTGCCCGCCTCCGCGAGCGTTGCGCCCTGTGTCCTCGCATCTCTTGCCCTCTCACTCCCGGCAAGATCCACTATCGTCAGCGCGCTTCCGCGCCACTGCCCTGTCTCTCCCCTCGCATTGCGTGAGCGCTTCTTGACTTCCACGCAGAAGAAGCCGTGGCTGCGAGAGGAGACACTGTTGCTCCCCGTGCCGGCGACACGGCGCTCATGCAGTCCCGCTTCGAGGACCATGAGAGCCTCGCGCGCAGAGGCACAGATGACTTTGCGTAGGCCGGCGACGAGCTTGCGATCCGGGCTGGCCTCGGTGGGTTTAAAGAGGAGGGGGCGGCGGCGGGGTTCTTTAACGCTGGGGGTGCGGGGGGATGGGGTGAGGAGGTCGTAGATGCGGTCATTGTAGACTTCGTACATGGAGATTACGACGGCATAGTCGGTGGCGGGGTCGGAGGGAAGGGTGATATCTTCGATAGATGGTGAGGCAGGGGTGGGCGCTGAGCGGGGTAGGGGTCGTCTAGGGGTTGGCGGGATGGATTCGCCCTTGAGTTGGAATTTAGCATCTTTCTGGCCTGGAAACTCGGCATAGGTTCTCGTGGATTTCATGTAAAAAGGAGTCCGGGCGGACGCTTGTGCGCGATGCGGCTCTGGCGGGGTAAGTGGCCTGGTAAGTCCTTGACTTTTGGGACTTCCGGCGCGGCTACTGAGCCGTGGGAGGATGGGGTAGAAACTTTTCTCGTGAGGGGAATGGGAGGGGTGGGGGAATGAACCGGGGATATGAAAGGGGGTATGTACTCTCATCGGCGTCGCAGCCCGTGAGGTTGCGCGGCTGGCGCAAGACTGATCGCCGTAGATGATGTCCAAGAATCCTTGTGAGGAGAGGACCTGTGCTTCTGAAGGGTCTGAGGCGGCGATAGAGGCGTGGAGGGAGTATGTTGTGGAGGGGTCGAGGACGTTGTTCGAGATAGAGCGGAAGAGGAGATCGAGAGCAAGTTGTGTAAGACCGCGTTGACTGCGAGATCCGAGGATCGTATGGCTCTTCTTCACATCAGTATTTTTTACGCATAAATTTCAGGGCGCGTTGTCTCACTTTTCCTGACCCCGTCACCCCGAGGGTGGCCAACAAGCCATCTCTCCCATCCCGGCCGTTTGCGGCAAGGACGCCCTCAACGAGGGGTATCACACCCGTTCCATGGAAAATATCCAGCTGCGACGCCTCTTCTTCAAACACCTCTGTAAAAGCAAATTTCTCCACCGCCCTTCTCCTATTATCATTCGGTGGGTTGAGCGTAATATGCGTCGGGGCACCTTCGTTCGACTCCTCGACTGTGACAAACCGCCCCAAAGTGGTTAAAGTTGGGTAGAGCGAGTTTGGCGCTGGCGGAGGCCGTAAGCGCAGGTACACTTGGAAAAGCGCCGATTGAGGCTTTGGGGGAGGCTCCATAACGAAAGTCGTGGTTCGAGGACGTGAGTAGGTAGTTGGTTCCAGCGACGTGTTCGTGGATTGGCACTTTGTGTCAGTCCGATGGTTCAGGTCAACATTTGTTATGGTTGACGCGGCAACCATCCCCTCCCGATGCGCTTATCGCCAACCAACTATCGCACCGCCGTTCCTTGCTTATTTCAACGCCATTTTAGAAGTCACATCATTTCGTCCGAAAGAAACATCGGTAATAAAGGAAACGCCATTCAATTTTCCGTATCATAATCCTAGTGTTACCACACTCATCTTGCTAAAACTTCCTATAATATTTATTTCCTCCACTCTTCTTCCCCTTGACAGAGATAAAAAACCAGCGGTTATCAACATATCACTCCCCCGCTCACAGCTCCTCCTGGACTCTGTGCTTCGCCTTCTCCTTCTCCTCATATGCGCGATCCTTCGCGTACGTTCCGGCCTCCTGGGCCCTATTCTTCCCCTTGGTGCCCTCATACTGCGCAGACTGGATTCCATTCTGAACTCCAACCACAATCTGGTTATATGCCCAGTCAAAGTACTCCTTCGCCTTTGCCAAGAGCGTGCCTTGTGGGGTGGTAGTGCCGTAGCGGAACCAGTTGGCCTGGTTGCGTGCCCATGCGCGGATCTCGTTGGTGTTGCTACCTTGTGGGACTGGGACGCCATAGGTGTCGAGGTAAGCCTTGAGCTCGGAGTCGGACCAGGTATCGAAGGTGTTGGACTTGGCGGCATCGGTGGCGGCGGCGAGGTAAGAGGTTACGGTTGCGAATGATGCGCCAGAGGCAGCAGAGGCGGACGAGTAGTAAGCTTGAGCGGCGGCTAGGAGGTCGTCACGGGTGGCACCGGCCTTGTTGGCTGCCTTCTTCGCCTGCTTGTCGCCAGTGGAGGACAACCACTTCCTAAATTATGCGTTAGTAACTAACCCTTTCAATTGAGGGAAATATACTTGCTTGAGGTTATCAAAGGTCCAAGTGTCGTAAGTCCAGGCGTTGTATCCAGAGGCAGCCTTGTGAGAGTGCTTGCGAACAGCCGCAACGAGCTCGTCCTTCTTGCCGTTCTGAGGAGCTGGGACACCACGGGCGTCCAGGTATGCCTTGAGGCGGCTCTCACTCCATCCACCAATGGCGGCATCGAATGCCTCCTGGGCCTTCAGCTGTGTGTCCTCAGTAGCTTTCGCCCACTGGTTGCCGGCCTTGGAAGTGGCAGCGCCGTAGCCCGAAGCAGCGGTCGCAGAAAGCGTGTCGTCGAGCAGTCTGGCGCGGTGCTTGCGGAGAATGGCCAGGAGCTGGGCGTGCTTGGAACCTTGTGGGACCTTAACACCATTCTTGTCTGCCCATTCCTTGATCTTGCTATCATCCCAGTTGGCGATGATCGAGTCGCTGATAGAATCGGCGGCCTTCTGAGCTTCCCTCTGAGCCTTGGTCATGGAGGACTGTGCCTTCAGGGTAGCAAGGAGAGAGTTGCGGCGGACAGATGCAATGAGCTTGTCGCGCGTGGCTGGCTGTGGTGCTGGGATGTCATGGGTATCAAGCCATTCCTTAAGATCCGACTCAGACCAGGTCTCGTATAGCCAGTTACCGGGGTAAGAGATGCTGTCGCCAGCCTTATTTGCGACGGATCCATAACCGTAACGGATCTTCTGGAGAAGATCATCACGCTTGCGTGGCTGGGGAACCGGGATGCCGTGCTTGTCGGCAAAGGCCTTCAGTTGAGAATCGGTCCAGCTAAGGATGGTTAGTATTGAAGGTTCAAGTTCCATCATGGTGGGTAGCAAACCCACCTATCAAAGATCCAGTCCTTGACGCTTGAAAAGGCATCTTCGGCCTTGTCCTCGGTCTCATACCAATAATTCTTGACGCTCTCAACTAAAGAGTCTTTGTTGGCCCCCGCCGCGTTAGCAGCTTCCTGGCTCCTCTCGTTCAGGTACGCCTTCAGCTGGGTGGTATCCCAGTCGCTATATGGCGAAACAATCTTCGAATGCCAGCTGTCCTGTACCAGCTTCTCGAGATCGGCGCGATCAGCTGGAGAGGGGTGTGGAATGTCATGGTCTGAGAGCCATCTCTCAAGCTCGGTCTCGTGCCACTTGTTGTAGACTAGGGAACCCGTTAGCAATTTGAATCCAGTGCTGCATTTGCGTCGTGGTTGATGCTGTGTGAAATGTCGATGACGACACACGAAAATCGCTGCCCACAACAGCTATCTGATAGCTCCAAGAATGAAGGAAATATTTCTTTCTGGGACAAAAAAGGGTTCAGAACGAACTTACTAGACTTGCTGAACCAATTACTAGCAACTACACCTTGGCCCACGAGGCCCAAGGTCAGAAGCTGCGCAAAGAGCTTCATGATATCTTTTCTCGGCAAGAATATAGCTCGCTCGTCAACCTCTCTATCTTTTGTCGTCAAATGTTGATAAATAAGAAACCCACGATCAATTATACGGGGATTTAGATAGTGGGAAGGAGAAAAAAGAGTATGAAGGAGTAAAAGTCACAGATGCCAAACGGTTTTACAGATGATGATGTATTTGACCTTGCGTGATGTGATACATCCTGCCCTTGTACGTACCCCCAAGTGCCAACAAAGCAGTGACATCATCGGCGGGGGTTGTCAACAAGCTCCGGGTGCCACATTTTGGTCAAAAGTTGCTGCAACGTTAGGTTAAGGGCTACGACGATCCCATTAAACCTGTGATGTCATGGTAGAACCCCAGCGACGATCACGGATCACGGAGTGCGACTTCAATCTTCAAGCTATGAATTAGGCGATTGGCAGGGGAGCTTCACCATAGACCTTGTGCAACTCCCGTAAGTGCGTAGTCCACGACCGCTTCTGGTAGAGCTCTATATAGGCCTTATACCAACCCGTCATCGCCGCGAAGTCCGGCCTTGATCGACCCCCAGTGTGGGGTAGATTGGGAAGTTCCGCGGTGACCAGCTTGGCTCATTGGAATTTGATGTGGGAAAAATATGCGGACAGGCGCGTATAGTTTGCGGGGTTCATGCGGGGAAGACCCACTGAAGTTCCTCTAAGAAAGGGAGCTCGACGACCAGGAAGAAGTGGAATTTATATTCTGTTTGCTAGTTGTTGCCTTTATATCTTGGCCATAAAATTATCAATGGTTGGATTGCTGGGTATCTCGTTGGCCCCGTCCTTATCCTTGACCTCGTCCTCGCCGCTTCTCTTCCGCTTGACTATACACTGTCAGTCGCCATAATATCTGACGTAGTAGATGTTGGGATCGGAATCTTACGTTTTCCTCGATCGTCATTGTCGTCCTCCTTGACACTGCTGTGCCATTTATCTTTGGCTTTTATCTCGTCACTCGCGACGAGGTTCCAAAAAGGTTCATTTACAGTAACAGAGAGCCGATTCTCAGGATTATCAACAGTCCACTGCTTTACACCGATTGGTACAATAACAGCCGTAGAAGAAATAAGGAATTGCAGGTTTTGCTACCGTAATTGCAAATTAAAAAGTGGCCATTTAATCAAAGGTCGGCTTCGGTCTATGGTAGCTCAGGGGTTTGCATTTCGGTGTTGGAAAGCTTTAAAGAGTATGTTCTTTGTTACCATAAAGGTCGATTTTAATCTATGGTAGCCCATGGGCTACAGTTAGGTGTTAGAATGCCCAAAGAGTGTCCGAAACTGTGCGCACTCGTACAGGCGCACCCTCAACTGCCGGAACAACAGGGGGCGTGTTCCTCTTATAGGCTCTTGTTTATCATCACAGCTCCCCAACCCGTTTCCCATGGCAGACATTCCACACCTACCTCACGGCCCCCTCCTTCCTCATCGCCTCAATCTCCCCCGTACTCATCCCCAGCATCTCCCTCAGCACCTCCTCCGTATGCTCCCCCAACAGCGGCGGCGCCGTCCTAATCCCCGGCAGCGCCTCACTATACTTCACCGGCGTATTCACCATCTGGACCTCCCCACACGCCCCATGCCCAACATTCACCACCATGCCCCTCGCCCGAACATGCTCATGATCCAAGGTATTCCTAACATCATTCACCGCCGCATATGGCAACCCTTTTCCCTCAAACGCCTCTAACCACTCCTGCGTCGTCCGTCCCCTCGTAACCTCCTCAATCATCCCCTCCAGCACCACGCGGTTAGCAACTCTCTCCGCATTCGTCTTAAACCTCTCATCTCCCGCCCATTCCCCCCTCCCTAACCCTTCACACAAAATCCCAAATAACCGATCATTCCCCCCTCCCACCAAAAACTCCCCATCCTTCGTCGCAAACGCGCGGTAGGGAACAATACTCGGATGTGCCGTCCCCCACCTCCCACTATCCCTTTCTCCGCTCACCAAGCTGGAACTAGCAAGGTTACTCAAAGTCGCAACCTGGCAATCCGACAAGGCGGCGTCGATATGCTGACCGCGCCCCGTCCGCGCGCGCGCTAGGAGGGCGGCCATAATGGCGTTACTAGTATACAACCCCGTCGTCAAATCCGTCACCGCAACACCAACTTTCACCGGCGGCCCGTCGCGCGAGCCGGTGATGTGCATTAACCCCATCTCTGCCTCGACCATGACATCGTATCCCGCGCGCGGGGCATACGGGCCCGTCTGTCCATAGCCCGTGACGGAAGCGTAGATGAGCTTTGGGTTTAGGGCGGAGAGGGTGGCGTAGTCGAGGGAGTATTTTGCGAGGGTGTTGGGCAGGTAGTTTTCGACGAGGATGTCGATTGTGGGGAGGAGTTTGTGGAGGGCGGCGACGCCGGAGGGGTGCTGGAAGGAGAGGGCGAGGGATTTCTTGTTGCGGTTTACGGAGAGGTAGTACGCGCTTTCGCCAGGGCCGGAGAGGCCGGATTCCTTGGTGTATGGAGCGTATGGGGGACCCCAGGCTCGTGTGTCGTCGCCGCGGATGGGGTGCTCAACTTTGATTACCTCCGCTCTGCGCGTGTGTTAGTCAATTGATCAGCATATGCCCCCCGGATACGCCTCTGTATGCGAGAAAATCCCGACAGTTGCATAGAGAGGTATGGGTATAGAATAGCTGACTTACCCCAGGTCGCCCAGAATCTGCGTGCAATACGGCTGCGGTTTCAATCAGCACTAGAGGTCCAATTTCCACACCAGCACACTGCGCAACAAGCAGTTAAGGAAGGGATACATACCCCAGCCAACACCCTCGTCATATCAAGAACCCTAACCCCCTTCAACGGTAACTTCCCATCATCCTCCTCCAGCGCCTTCGCACTCGCCATCCCCCTCCTCCCACTCACCACCATCCTCAGCCCCCTCCCCCTCACCAGCGGTCTCACACCCCCCACCACAGCAGCGCGTCGACAAAGAACTCCCAGATTAGCGAATTGAGACATAACGGTAAATAAACAATGTTTCGGTAAAAGCAGAGAGAGCAGGAGAGGGGAGCCGGATATAAGGCCCAGGGACGGAGCTTGTTCCCCACACTTACCCCACACAAGGCTGTAGATGCCGAGGTCTGTGCGTGGGTGCGTGGGCGGCGAGGCTTGGGCGGCGAGGCTTGGGCGGCGAGGCTTGGGGTTGGGGGATAGAGCCAGGGGATAGATCAAAGACCTGTTACCGGGGGATGGTGGCGCTGAGCCATGGGTGGGGGGGGGGGGGGTGGTTGATACGAAAGCCGGTCTGGTCTGGCCGAGTGTGGAAGAGGCAAGACTTTTCTTTCCATCCACGTGATAGCTCTGTTGGTGGTGGTGTGTCACAACGCGGGGCCGCCGTCGGCAGGCCCCGGTCGCGGCGTGGGTATTATGTAAGACGGCCAAGCCAACGTCCTTCCAAAGCGGGCAGTGGCATCGGCGACGTGTTGGGTTTCCATTAGCCCTTCGAAACCGGCATTGACGACGGGATCGGTGGTGATGTGACCATGGTGACTGACCATAGTGTGGTGATGCACTGGAAAGGAGTGGGTGGTAGTGGGAGGTGGACGGCCACTGTGGGGTATGCAGTGGGTAGTGGGGGAGGACAAGTACTGTACTCGAGTAGTGGGGGAGGACAAGTAGTGGGGGAGGACAAGTAACCCGGCAGGGGACTACCTCAGACTATGTATGTATACCTCCTCGCCTAGTGCGCGCTACAGCGACTTATGTAGGCCTGGCTGCAGCACTTCGGACCTTTTCCACTGCACTGCACGTCAGATCGGCCGGTATCCAACCAGCCTCTCCCACGGCAAACAAACTTTAAAACGCTGTACTCTGTAAGCGAGAGAGAGAGAGAGAGGGACCAATAGCCTATGTGTACTGCTACTTCTCGCACAAGTCACTCGGACATCAGTATCCATCCACATACCTACCACTGCTGTTTTCCTCTCCTGCTCCTCCTCCTCTCCTCTGCTCCACCTCCTCTCCTCTGCTCCACCTCCTCTCCTCTCCTCCTCTCCTCTCCTCCTCTTCTCTTCTACTTCTTCTCTTCTCCTCCTCCTCTCTTCTACTTCTTCTCTTCTCCTCCTCCTCTCTCAGATAGTGCAGTCTACAGTAGAGAACAGCCAGAAATCCCCAGAAAAAAGTGCAATCTTCAACCTTCTCTTTATTTTCTAAAGATACAATTCTTTACTCCGTTCCTGCCCTCGTTATCGAACATATATACTGCATATGTACCTGTCTACTACAGACGTATAGAACGCTACGCTGTACAGTACGCACAGGTTAGTACACAGAACACACTTCAGTACGACCAATCAGCCTTCTTTCCCGCCTCAATTCACACCACAACACCACCACCTACCTACTCACCACTTCCTCCACCTCTCTTCCGCCTTCCCCGCTCCCACAACAACACCACCAACTACACCCTGCCTTCGTGCATATCCTTGACTAACACCGCTCTGCAAGGCGTGGCCAAAACCGAGGGAAATCTTTTAAATCCTCACTGCTCTCTTCTTTCAACTCTTTTAACCTCAAACCAACTTTACCAAAAAAAAAAAAAAAAAAAAAAGCCCACCTTCTGACGCCATTCCCACGGCCACAATCGTCGCACCCCCACCACAAACGAACATCAATTCAAACAATCCAAACGCAACCATAAACAACTACTGTGACACACCGACGGCCACGACAGGCCACGACATGGCCGTGTCGACGCCGGTGGCAGTGCCAGCACCCAGGCAGCGCGCCCCAGGGGAGAAGCAGATGCCGCTGCGGGAGGAGACGCTGCGCAAGATCACCGAGCCCACTTTCACCGCCGACCGCGAGGAGCGCACCTCCTTCGCCTCGGTCAAAGAGGACCGCTCCGCTGTCGCCCAGTCATTCCTCGACTCGCGCATCTCCTCCTACGCCGCCTTCCCCGACGACGCAATCGACGAGAGCGACTCCGACCACGCCACCTCCCCCATCTCGCCCACCGACGTCTCGCGCTCCTCCTCCCTCACCACCACCGATGACGACAACGAGAACGCCTCGACTGCGGTGGCACAGGTGATCATCTCGCCCGCCGCCCCGGCCGCTCACAACGTGCACGCGGACTCACAGGTTCCATCTCAATTAATGGCATCGGCGCTAGGCGCACCGCTAACGAACCCAGCGTCGACCCTGCACTCTTTCGTCTGCCCCTGCGATGGCTTCCGTGGCTGGAAGGAGATCCCCGTGAGGGGCAAGATGGCCAGCAGGAGCTTCAGCGACCTCCGACAATACTCCAACAAGGGCTTCACCTGGGAGCCCACCCCCTTCCTCGCCCCAATCCAGCCTCCCAAGCCCGTCAAGCCATCGACTTTCCCGGCAGGCGAAGCACCGCTCGAGAGGCTGCCAACTGAGTTACTGGGTGAGTTTTGTTGTGGCTATATTTTTACTAGACGATTCTGCTGACACTATACTAGGCGCTATTATTGACCAGATGGTCGCGGACATCCCTCCGAACGGCCTGCAGCCGCGAAACATCGACTTGATGGCCCTCCTCTTGACCTCGCGCGCGCTGCACTCTGCTACGCTCGCCACGCTCTACAAGCAGGTCACCATCCCGCACTCGACCGTTTTCCGCAAGCTCCTGCACCATATCAAGGAATACCCCGCCCTGGGCACGATTGTGCGCCGCCTCGACTTCTCGCACTTCAACCCCACCGGATCCGGCGTGACTGCGCGGCAGCGTGCCGAGACGCAGAACCTGACGCAGCAGACGATGCTCGAGTGCCTGGAGCTGCTGCCCAACCTGCGCGAGTTCCTGGCCCAAGAGCACATTGACGAGGAGCTCAGCGTGGATGTCCTACGCAAGCTCTTCAACAACCCGCAGCTGCGCGCACTCGACTTCTGCGCCGCCTCTTCCGCCATCTTCCGCACATCCATGATGACCTTTGTGCGCTCTCTGGACCTCCCCGAGCTGATGCCTATCACGCGTCTCTCCTTCCACGAATGCACCATTCTGCCATCTGTCGTGCTCGAGACGCTTCTCCCGCGCCTCCCTAACCTCACCCATCTCGACGTCGCGCGCACACGCATGTCCGACAAGGCGCTCGCTGCCATCCCCGAGACAGCGCGCCTGACGCACCTCAACCTGAGTAGATGCCAGTCCCTCTCCGGCGACGCCGTCGTCGAGTTCCTCACCACCCACCCCTCGGTCAAGGAGCTCCTCTACCTCAACCTGTACATGGACGCCAAGTCCGCCGAGCTCCTCGCCGAAACCCACGTCACCTCCCTCCTCTCCATCCTCCCTTCCACCCTCAAATCCCTAAACCTCAAGGGCAGCGCCATGAACGCCACGCACCTCTCCCTCCTTGAGCCCCTCACCAAGCACGTCGAAGAACTCGGCCTCGGCAGGAACTTAAACTACACCTCCCTCGTGCCCCTCCTGAAGCCGCCACCGGCTACCAAACCCGATGAGCTGGCCCGTTGGGTCCCGCATGCCCTGCGCTACATCGATATCTCCGACTTCGGGCCTGAGCGCATCGACTTCAGCGCTTTATTCGGAAAGGCCACCACCGCGCTCGATGAGCTCTCCATGCCACTCGAGGTCATCGAGGTGTGTCAGCGCGTGTACGACCGCTTCCTCGACCGCGAGCGCACCTTCAAGGCTGCGGGTTGGGTGGTCAAGGAGGCGGGTCGACGGGGGTGGCTCGTCCGCGATCTGAGTAAAGTTGATGGAGGGGATGATGGGGCGAGAGGGTGGAAGATGGGAGCGACGTACTGGGGGATGCGGAAGGTGCCGGTGGCGAGGGCGGAGGTGGGGGGGATGTATGGGCTTTATATGTTTAAGCGGTAGAGGAGGTACCTCTTTGTTTTGAGAACTGTTTTGTCTTTGGTTGGCGGGGAAAGACAAGGGGGAACGCATTAAAGCATAGCATAGCATGCATGGAGCTGGGGAGTTTTTTTTTTTTTGCGATTTGGGTTTCTGGCCTGCGTTTGCTTAGGGGGAGGCACTGCATCGCGAAAGGGTATATGCATTTGGTCAGCAGCATTTGTTATCCTTTTTACACTGGAAATACCCCTGTGAGGAATACCATGGGATTGGAGGGCAGCAGCTGGAGGGAAAACGGGGGGGTTGCACGCATCGAAAGCATGGCGAGCGTCGAGCCGTCTGTTTTTATTTTCGCCCTCTTAAATTGGGGGGAAAGAGAAATGAAACAAAAGAGAGAAGACTGATGAGAGAGATGAGGAAGGAGGAGAGTTTTCTGAGATGTCGTGTGTATTGTGTCGTGTTGTTGTGCAATGATCCCCGATTACCTTGCCCTCTTGCTACTGCCATTGTGCCTCCCTCCCCACCATCTCAAACGACGAACGCAGAGATGTAATGACCGCTTACTGATGCGTTTGGATCTGGCAATGGAATGGAATGGATGGCATGCAGTTGATGGCCTGGGAGGAGATGGGAGATTATGCGGCTGTGTGGTGCTGGATGGGAGCTGAGTTGAGCTGAGATGAGCTTTATGATCGATGCGAGGATATGATATGGGAGATGATTATCCGGAGATCTTATGACACCGGACACTGAGTGCTGGACATGGAGAGGGAGGAAAGACACTCACCCACGATCCGATCGAGCCAAACATGGAGAGAGTGGAAAAATTATCAAATCCCTCCTCGAAGTTAAGAAACGACCGACGAGGCGTGGCCGGAGAAGGATAACGAGGTTCCGAGAAGTTATTCCCTACCACGACCGCGTTTCACACTGTCAATATAACCTTATGGTTTTCGTTGAAGGGGTAGAGCTGGATGGATTGAGGGATGCTGCATCGCGAGGGTGGCAGCTTATCGTTGCCGGGGAAAAGGCTTACAATGACAGGCTGGGCGGAAGGACAGTTGGTTCACTGGAGATTGTTACATGCGGCTGGTATTGTCTTTTACGAACGCGCTGAGTTTCAGGGAGAGGGTATTTACTTTTAACGATGCTTTTTGACGGGTTTTACGTTTTGCGCTGGGTTTTTTTCACTGCTGTTGATTTGATGGGAGAAATGAGTGATGGTACAGGGTGATGGGCTCTCTTCTCGTTTTTGGAGTATGGATGAGAAAACAAAAGGGGAGGGATTAATAAGGGATAAATAAAAAATGGAAAAATTCTTATCTTGACTTTTAATTTAAAAAAAGAGCTTATATAACATACTACAAAATAGCGAAACCCTACTAATTAGATATAAAATGGCGAAATTCATGATTGGTTAATACGTATATAGACCTATGTAATGGTGGGTGCACCAGAGGTGAGAATCTAGCCACCCAAGGAAGGGATGATTTTACTAAGACAACACACTGTCTTAGGAAAAAGAGCCAAAGGGTCGTAGCTTAGACTATTCCATAACGCAGCAATCAGGTGTATGATGTAGTGGAGTGGTTTAGACAAGTTGTAACAAATGTTGAGTCTGAGAACTCGGGGATAAGTCAGAGGTTAGCACCTCACTTTTCAGAAACAAGGAGTAACAAGATCAATGCTTGGAAGCTTGGAAAAGACGTGGAAGTATGTGATAGTCGATTTACTGTATTGTCTGCTTGCCCTTTCTTAAGGAAAGGGCAATCCTATTTATGCTAAAGGAATGTAGTTCTCTCATTTTCCAAGACTTTCCATGACTTACCAGGCTTGGTAACTGTAGTCGACGTAAGAGAATCCCATAGAACCATCTCTTAGGTTCGTAGCCTATAGGAAGTAAAAGGAGGTCCAAGGTCAGAGTACCCCTATAGACAAATTATGTCATAGACAAATTATGTCACAGACAAATTATGTCATAACTTAACCAATCTTGTGGGTAACTAAAGAGCGATGACATGTAATGAATCATAGAGGTTCGTAGGAGCTTTTAGAGCTATTGTTCATGCTCCTAGGCCTCTAGTTGGTAGAGATATGTCATGTGGTAGTATGAGTGATGTCATGTAATGAATCATAGAGGGTTGTAGAGATATGCTATGTGGTAATATCGGCCCAGTAACTAAGGAGCGATGACGTGTAATAGATGGTTGTAGCAATCATTGATTAGTATTGCTCTTGTTGTTGGTGTGATAAGTGTCATACTGACATTCGTTGCACTCAGTTTGCTATCAAACTCAAGAGCAAACTTGGAAATCTCCTCCTCAAACCTACAAGTCACTATACAGTAAATCGACTATCACATACTTCCACGTCTTTTCCAAGCTTCCAAGCATTCATCTTGTTACTCCTTGTTTCTGAAAAGTCAGTGAGGTGTTAACCTCTGACTTACCCCTGAGTTCCCAGACTCAACATTTGTTGCAACTTGTCTGAACCACTTCACTACATCACACACCTGATTGCTGCGTTGTGGAATAGTCTAAGCTACGACCCTTGGGCTCTGTTTTCTAAGACAGTGTGTTGTCTTAGTAAATTCATCCCTTCCTTGGGTGGCTAGATTCTCACATCTGGTGCACCCACCATTACAATAAGCCAAAATATGTATAGTGACTTGTAGGTTTGAGGAGGAGATTTCTAAGTTTGCTCTTGAGTTTGATAGCAAACTGAATGCAACGAATGTCAGTATGACACTAAGGAGTGATGTCATGTAATGAATCATAGAGGGTTGTAGAGATATGCTATGTGGTCATATCGGCCTAGTAACTAAGGAGCAATGACGTGTAATGAATCATAGAGGGTTGTAGCAATCGTTGAGTAGTATTGCTCTTGTTGTTGGTGTGATAAGCCAAAATATGTATAGTGACTTGTAGGTTTGAGGAGGAGATTTCTAAGTTTGCTCTTGAGTTTGATAGCAAACTGAGTGCAATGAATGTGAGTATGACATAATCCCCTGCCTCCTCTGTCAAGTCAACCTTACGCAAGAAACCTCTGTGTCTTCTATCGTTTAGAAGTCAGCATTACAAAAATGTATTCTTAAGGTTTTTGGGATTCGAGATATGATTTTGAGTAAATCACCTTAGTTGTTTAGCATTCTAATAAACCAAATTGGAACTTTATCACTCCCATTGTTACGATTACAGCTCACAGCTTGTCACAGCTTGTTACGGTTGTTACAGTTGTTACGGTTATTACGGTTATTACAGTTGTTATGGGGATTACGGGTGTAGCCTTAGCCACCAAGGTTACAACCGCTAAGCAGACAACTGTATGTTATGAGGAATAGCCTCACCTTCCTTCCTTCTTCTTCTTCTTCTTCTCTCTTTAGATTCAATCTAGATTACTTTTCCTGGACTGGCATCATGACCTCTATGACCATCGTAACACCCATCTTCATTGTAGCAGAGGTTAGCTGTAATTCAAGTTTTGTCAACCTTTTTACTAAGCGATGAAGTTGATAATCGTAAGTTTAGTAATTTTTTCTAATAAAATCCAGTCTTATCTATGTTGTAAACATCACAAGGTAGGTATTTCGCTTTAACTGCTTAGATGTTGTCTATCTGCTATGTTACTTCTATTATGATTTCCATAGAGCTTGCCTCTCTAACTTTTCTTTAGCAGTGGAGATTATGTGTTTTCTAAAACCCTTTAAGCTATCCTTTGTTACGATATCAAGTGCGCCTTGCAGCGCCTTCAACCCCATGACCAGCATTGAAACTCTCACCGCAACTCCCATTTCAAAAGCCTCAGCAACACAGTGAGCCGGGCGAGCAGGCCTGGTCTCGCTCAAGAGAATTCACTCTACAACAACATAGCTGTATATAGATCAAGCCACTTCTCAAGTGCTCCTCTTCTCTTTCCTTTCTTCTCTAGATTGAGTTTAATTCATAATACCCAACTGGCGCCCTATGCCTTGGTGAACCGTGACATCCATCACTCCATGTAGGGCAATCTTGTCTGTAGTATTATAGTAGCCGTGTCTAGAATTCTACTAGAGCTTTTTCTAACACTTCCCATTTTGGTTTCCTTGTTTTCTTAGTATTATCGAATGCTTTTGTAGAAGTAGCAGTATTGAGAAAGGCGTATTTTAAGGATAGTATTTCACTTATAGTTGAAGAGCTCAAAGTATGTCCATGTTGATCATTCCACCAAGTTGAAGCATCTGCTAATGTCTTCTTTGTGCTCTAAGTTGTAGGATTATGGTACCAAGCTTGTAAAGCTTGCTTTTGTATATTTGTAATTGAGATTCGAGGCTTTTTAGGTGGTGGAGGTGCCATTTTCTATACCAGAAGTTGAGGGTCTTGGCCGGAATTCTGGTATAAGAACGTGCTACAGCCGAGTCCGCTATAGGCAGTGATTACTGTATGAGTATTGAGTACGAGGATTTACTGTACTAATGAGTATACTCGAGTTTCTAACCCTGATCTTCACACAATATCACAATAAACCATCATAAACATAAATCATAATACAAATGAATCTTCATAATCAAACACCCCACCCCATCTATAACCCTCATATATACATCATACACCCCCTCTACTGCTCCGAAACCCAAACGGCGGCCATTCCCATACCGGTTCCCACACACATACTCGTAACACCCACCTTACCACCCCCCCTCTTCAGTCCACCCAAAAGGGTGCCGACTTGCCTCGCTCCGGTACAGCCTAAGGGGTGACCAAACGCAATCGCGCCTCCCCCAGGGTTAATCTTCTTCTCATCCAACCCCAGCGCCTCAACACACCACACACACTGACTCGCAAACGCCTCATTGATCTCATACACATCCACCTCATCCTTGGTGATCCCCGCCTTCTCCAGCGCCAACGGGATAGCAGCCCAGGGGCCAACACCCATCAGCAGCGGCGCGACGCCGACGACGGAGGCGGTGACGTATTTTCCGAGGATGATCTGACCGAGCTTCTCGGCGGTGGAGCGCTTCATCAGGAGAACGGCTGCAGCGCCGTCGGAGATCTGCGAGGCGTTGCCGCCGTGGATGGAGCCGTCTTTGGCGAAGGCGGGCTTGATCTTGGCGAGGGACTCGGCGGTGACGCCGCGGCGGATGCCGTCGTCTTTGCTGACTGTGATTTCTTTCCACTCATCTGTCTTCAGGTCCTCGTATTTCACTTTTAGGGGCACGATCTCGGCGTCGAACCATCCGTTGTCTTGTGCGTGTGCGGCCTTGGCGTAGGAAGCAGCAGCAAAGGCATCTTGCTTGACTCTGGTGACGCCGCGGTCTTTGGCCATCGCCTCAGACAGGTTGCCCATCCCGACTTTGCAGTTCTTGGCTTCGGGGTGCGAGTCGAGCAGCTCGGAGAACTCGGTCACGGCGCCGGGGCCGTATTGGAGGGACATGCTCTCTACGCCGGCGCCGACGCCGATATCGATCATACCCGCTGAAATGGCGTTTGCGATGTCGACGCAAGCTTGGAGGCCGGAGGAGCACTGTCTGTTGAGCGACCTGACGGCCGTGGAATCGGGGAAACCCGCAGCGAGAGCAGCGGCGCGGAACTCGGTGGCGCCGCCGCCGGGGGGGAGGACGGAGCCAACAGCGATGTCTTGGACGAGTTTAGGGTCGATGCCGGAGCGGTCTACGACGGCCTTGAGGGCGCCGACGAGGAGGTCAGCGGCGGGGGTGTCTTTGAAGCCGCCTTTGCCGCCTTTGGTGAAGGGGGTGCGGAGGGCGGCGGTGATGACGATGTCGTCTGCGTTCTTGGAGAGGATGGCGGCACGGCCGGTAGGCTTGAGGTGGGAGGCTACTTGGCCGACGCGGGATTGTGCTGCTGATGATGTCAGTTTGGGGATCTTGCGGGGGGATGGGGGAGGGGGAAGGGAGGGATGGGACGAACCGGAAGACATGGTGATGGTTGATGTCTGGATTATGGGTATATGGGTGGATGGGAGAGATGTAGATGGGATGTAAAGATAAGACTTGGAGGAAGGGGAGATTTTTAATTTAAGGGCGCACGAAGGGTTTATAATGCGCCCGTTCGAACTTGTTCGGACCGTCATGAGCACAGAGTACGTATGTCGGGGAGTCCGCTCGGTTTTGGGCCGAGGTATGGGTGTGATTGGCTGGAGCGGCGATGGTGGTGGGGCGATGGTGGTGGGGCGATGTCGATGAACACGGTCTTCACATGTTAGATGGTTGGGGTTTTGTCACGTGTTTGAAGGGTTTGCGTGGTGTTTTGGGGTTGTGAGGTGTGGAGAATAACGTGTGGATTTGGGGAAGGGCTGAGAGTTGGAGAAGCTTTCGTGGTGAGATTGCTTGGAGGGCGGGTTTTTTTAAGAAGCTTGGAGGGCTTGGGGTTTCTTTTGAGATGGCTTGGACTTCTTGGACGGCTTTTGCTTGGATTCCTTGAATAGCTTGAATTTCTTGCGATTGCTTGTTCGGACTCTATTGACCCCTCATTCAAAGACATCGCATTATAGACAACATTTTAGCCAGGAAAGCAAAATCCTCCCATCCATTATTATGGCAAGTAGTGCACGCAAACGTCCTCCGTCTGTCTACCTAACGATCGATCGCCCCATCTATTATGCTGCCGGCCTGTGTGTATGCCGATGCAGATGCAATCGTCCTCCTATGAAGAAAAAAAGAAAGAGAAACAAACGGGTCCTCCGTCCTGTGATAAGCTTGAGCAAGTATAGATCTTATCCCTCCCTTCTGTCGCTGTACTCCCATTAACGCCGTGTATCGCTCGCTCGCCCGCTCTCTGGATCGCTGTCCATGTCGGTGCATCGCTGAGCCGCCATCAATAAATCATTGAATGCTTCGCATCGCTGTGGTCTTGAGACGCATTGCTGCCCTATAAACTAATCATCGAAGCCACGCTATCGGCTCTCTGCCCTCTCCCCGTCACATCTCCACACCCATCATCATCCTTCTCCACCAAGCTTTCCTCATCCGCATCCTCATCGTCCTCATCATCATCCACATCCCTCCTCAACCCCCCACGAGAGTGACCACTGAACCCATCCAGAAGGCTCTGGCTCGCCACATAGCTAAACCCGTTGAACACATTCGCTGGGTTTAGATCTTCTCTTGACCCCCAGTGCCCACGCTCCACTACCGGGCTAAGGGGAAGCGTCGTGAACTCGCTGGAGAAGTTCTCAGCCAGCTCGGGATCGTTGATGAACGGCACAATGGGAGGGCTGACCTCGCGGCGCCCTAGGGCCGCCCAGTCGATATTCTTGAAGAAGCGGTGGGACTTGATGGTCTGGATGTCACGCGGCCCGTAGCCAAGGCGCTTCTTGGGTTCCTTGCGTAGTAGGCGTGTAAGAAGATCCTTCGTCTCAGAGCTGAGGTGGTAGGGCAGCTTGAGCTTGCCGTGCACGATGTTCTGCATGATAATGTTCTTGTTGTTGCCGCGGAAGGGAGGGTTGCCGGTCATCAGGTCGAACCCCAGTGCGCCGAGCGACCACCAGTCGACGGCGAATCCATACCTCTTACCCTGCACGACCTCAGGGGCCATGTATTCGACAGTGCCAGCGACGGTTGCACAGCTCTCGCCATCGAGAGCGACTTTGGAAAGGCCGAAATCCGTGAGGAGGAGATGGCCCTCGGAATCCAGGAGACAGTTCTCGGGCTTGAGATCACGGTAAACGACACCGAGGTTCTTGTGGAGATGCTCCAGTGCAAGGACTAACTCCGCCATGTAGAAAGCGGCACGCTCTTGGACAAAGAAGCATTCGAGCTGCATGTGTGTGAACAGCTCGCCCCCTTGCGCATACTCCAGGATGAGATACAGCTTCGCCTGGTCCTGGAAGGCGTAGTAGAGCTTCACAATGAATGGGTGTCTGTTGATGTTCTCCAGGATCGTGCGCTCTGTCTTCGTTTGTTCAATCTGTGACGTATGCACAATGAGCGTCGCCTTCTTGAACTGCTTCTGCGCAAACAAACGCCCAGTTGAAATCTGCCTGACCAAATGCACCGTCCCGAATGTGCCCTTGCCTAGACAACGAAGCGGCTCAAAGTCGGCAGCCGACATTTTGCGGTCCGTCCTCAAGACTTCAGGATCATACTCATCCGGCTCAAGTGGCACGCCGAAATCCGCACCGTAGTTATCTCTCTCGTCCCAGGTCGGGAACTTGCCGTGGGCAATGTAATCATAACCCCCCGTCGCGCCAATCCTAACCTCGTACGTGCGCTCACCCGAATCACTATCACTCTTATCCGGTGTAGTATAACCCGTGCTGCTCCCCGGCGACCCCTTCTTGAAGCGGTCCTTGACGCCATTCACAAACGACTGGCTGCGTGACTTTGCGTCGTCGAGATTGAGGTTCTGAAGCTCTTGTCGCAGCAGGTGCCCGATGCCGCTCATCTTGGTTGGCGACGCTGAGGCGGTGGATTGGTTGGATCCTTGGCGGACCATGGCGCAGCTGTTGTTGCAAACCATGTCCTTGAGGCCCGATCCGGTGGGCGCGGGCTTGGGGGTCTGCGTGTGTGGGCGGGGGGTATTGAAGCCGGAGTAATCAGAGTCTTCGTCGCCAGAGGCAGCGGGGGTATGGAAGCCGCGGACGGTTCTGGTGGCTGTCATAGCCTTGGTCTTGGTCGACCGCACGGTTGTATCGGGTTGTAGGTTCTGTCTCTCGACTTGCTTGTAGTGTCGCTGTGTGTTTGGGGTGATTCAGTTGTGTTCTCGGATGGACGTGAATTATTCAAGGTGCGCCACGTCTGCGCTCGGCATCTACTCTAAGGTGCGATCGATCAGTGCGTGGAAGTTGCTCGTGGCCGGTTGGAGATTGCATCTGGCAGTGATAATGCAAGAGGTTGTGCGAACGTTGGGTGGGCGAGTGTTTGAATTGCATTTGCTGTTGGGTTTCGTTATGGTCGAAGTCACGTTAAAGTGAGGTCGAAGTGAAGTCGAGATAGGTTCGACACGTATTATTCACACCAAGTAGTATTGGGGTGGTGAGGTGAGGCGTGAGGCTGGGGGAGATGGGGGAAGCAAGGAAAATAAAGCGCGGGGGAAGAATTATTTCTACTTTTTTTGAATTTCCATCTTCTACCGCAAGGTACTTACTATTTACCACCTAATCAGCTCTACTCGTACTGTAATTGGGAGTAAATGGGAAGGAGTGGAGGTACCCCACTTGTACCCCACTTCCAAGCCGGCGCGTCATTACTATAGTGTAGTAAAAACTACTTCAACCAGGGCGGATGAGCAGAGCCATTGAGCCTAACACATGCCACCCAAGGCCACTCAAGGGCCCCCTCCATCAGCCAACATCCACCAACAAAAGTCCAACATTACACCAAACTACGACGTGAATAAGAACACATATGAGACCTCAGCCCCTGACCCCTTGGCTTCTAATCACAATCCTAAGTATGTATCACACAATTGTCTCCCTAAGCTGAGTCGAGCCATCTTATCCATCCGGTGCCAATATCTTTCCCATTTTCATAGAATCTCCAGCCCCGACCATCCCCCGTCATCCTGATGCACCCCCATATCCAGTAAACCTAACGTACTTCCCCCAGACGTCAAACTTCTCCAAGCTCCCCCCAAGCTCCCCAAGGAAGTTGAGCAAAAGTTAAGCCATTCAAACAGGATATAAAAGCGATCCGTCCCGAACTCAACCCAGCCCACTCTACCATATACCCTTCCGCCCCTATACATTCCTCAATTCCCCTCCCCTCCCCTCACCTCATCGTCCTTGTCCTTAACCTTCTTCTGCATCTTGTTCCCCTTCACCGAATACACAGAGGCCCCAAGGTACGCCAGCAACGCGACGCCAGCGACAACCCCCCACGCGATCTCGCCGCCCCTCGAGTTCCTGGCCATCTGCAGCCCCAAGCCCCCATTGACGGCAGCCAGGATGATGATGGCGCGGCCATACCAACAGTGCAGCAGGCCAAAGAGCGTGCCCTTGCCTTCACGCCTATAAAGCAAGTGGTGTGCAATCCCGAGGAAGGGCTGCACGAGGATGAGGCCGAAGATCGAGGCGCCAAACAAGGTGTGTGTGTTATTGAAGCGCTGCGAGGCTAGTTAGTATGGGCTTCTTCAAACCACCAAGATCCAACAGTGGCATGGGAAAATAAACTCACTATCCCATACATCCCTGAGAACGTATACCCAATCGCAAACGCCGCGATCACCATCGACGTCCCCACCAGCTGTATGAAAACATGCGCCCACACTCCCCCCCACCGCAACCGCATCAGGATCGCACCAGCTGGATACACAATCAACCACGCCACACCCATCAGCGTCCCATGCGCCTTCAAGAGCCTCTTTCCCAGAGCTATGTCAAGCTCAGCACCACCCTGCGGCTGCCCGACCAGCTGCGCCGCGCTCGCGCCTAAAAAGGGGTTCTGCGACACCCCCACGTTCGCGCTCACCAGGTCTAGCGTGTAGATACTGTGATCATCGTGGTGATCGAGCGTCTGCGCGAGGTCCGTTGTGTTGAATGCCGGGCCCTCCTTCCAGGACCCGATGAATGGCGACGAGTGGCTTTGAACCTGCAGCAGCGGCTCGTCGGCGCGGTATTTGAAGTTCGCGACGACGCTGGTGGCGTCTGCTTTTGAGCCGGCGAGGAGAGTGACGGTCTTGCTGGAGCTGTGGAGGGGTTCGAAGTGTCCGGTTCCGTCGCGGGGGGAGACGGTCACGTTGCCCTTGCCGTCGGTGTAGACGGCGAAGATGGTGGCGCCGGCCATGTGCGTGCTGATGCCGAAGCCGACATATTGGTATTTGGCGGGGAAGGAGACGGAGATGAAGATGTCGCCGCGGTGGGTGCTGGAGTGATGGGGGATGCCGACGGCGTGTTCTTGGGGAGAAGGTGGCTAGTTCTGCGAGGGCGGGGGATGCTGGTGGGTATTAGCTTTGGGTGATTCCATTGACGACTATGCTTGATAGTAAACTATGAGATGTGAGGTAATTGAGAAAAGGCACCTACCCAATGCCGCAGCAGCGACAAAAAGGTTTTGGATCTTCATCTTCGACGACTCCCACAGTCAATCTCTCAAGGGATTTCTGCGGATCCCGTAAACCTCGATGGGATGATGAAGCTATATACTAATCAAAATCCGACAGTATCACATAAACCGGGTGACTCTCCACACCGCCGATGTCACAACCCGTCAAGATTTTCTCACGGCAGGTATTGAAGAAATGACCAGTTGTTATTTTCCGTATGCAGCAGACCGAGCCAAGGTAGCACAAAGCAATTATATTCTGTCTGAATTGGTGTCTCTGCGTTGTCCCAAGTCAAGCACAACCAATACACGGTCTCCTCTTAAAGCGCGTATTCCAGTACCCTCGATGCAAAATCGAAGCTTCGCTCGGAATTCGTAAAAATCGTCTTGGTGACCGTCAATAAGTATAATAGAACCGAAACGAAACTTTTAAAAATGCGCAGAGAAGAGGCCAGATATAAATCTCACAACAGCTCCCGCCATCCCCGAGACACCCAAGCCCTTGCGTGATAAACATCGCATGCATGCATCCCCATCCCCAACCCAACCTCTCTCTCCCTGCCTCCACACCCCTGGACCCCCTCAAAGAACCCCCATTACAAACGCCCCAACCCAGCTCTCCCGAGCTTGGGAGCTTGGGGACGGTCGGTAGTTGAGGTGCTCCTCGAATGGGAAGGGGGTTACGGGAGGCTGGTAGGACGATCACGAAGTGATGTGTGGCGATCAGATTGGAGATTGGGAAGATCGTATTGTAGACATGAAACGGGCTGTCACACAAATTACGCGTTTAGGTGGTTTAGAAACGGTTTTTATTTCAGTCGTTGAACAGCTGGAAACGGGAAAACAAGACAAAAGCGGACTCCTCCTCGCCTTCCTTTATATACGAATCAAAGAACACCATCCCCAAATCGCCTCCCCCCATGTCCACTCCCAAAGTGTCGCCATTTCTCCTTGTTGAGACTCTAAAGTGAGAGAATCGTCATAAAAACATCAGATCTCTCAAAAAAACATGGAGTTTTTCCACGTAATTTGCGTACTAATGGACACAAAGAATAAAAAAAAACACCGCAGATCTAGTCGTTTTGAGTTCGTCAAAAAACAAACATTTTATCCCCTCTCCGATCCAACTCAAAAAGGCGCTGGAACGTAACAGGAGATGAGAAGAAAATTCGTCAAGTAGATCCGATGGACGGCAAAGCAAACAAGCTGGAAGGCTCAGATCCGCTGCGTTGGTAGTGCAAAGAACGAAAGGCAAAAAAGAAACAAGATATCGGGTAAGATACAGTTGCATGCTTGATCTGGTGAATTGTCGCTTTTAGATGCGCGCCCGCGGAGGCAAAAGGCGATGTCTATTTTGAGAAACGTTGCTTTTGTCTGCGCTATGTCGGTCGAAGTGCGCTCGGTGCGTGTCGGTCATGTATGCGAAGTGAAGGAGGCACAACATATGAGATAAATGCAAAACAGTTGCTGAGGCCAGGGGCAGCCCTCGAGAGAGCCACGCCGTCCGTCAGGCGTATTATAGGACTGAAGGGCGCACGCAGATAATCTGTGACAGATAATCCGTCGTGCTCGTCGAACAAGTAGTTTGGTCGATTGATGCGAGCGATTATACACAACAGTCTTCGCGTGACATGCATACAAACTTCGAGAACTCGGGTCAAATTCGACAGTGGATGGTAGGATTAGAACAAGCTACGAACGCGTTTGTGTCCGTGAGACTCGCCAGAAAACTTCCGCTTCTTGTCTGCACCCTCAGCAGGTGACGGGCTAACAATCAGCTCCGCCTTGCTGATCTTTGACTTGCGCAACGGGGTGATCGGTGTGTTCGCCGCCGCGAGCCTGCCACCTTTGATTCCGCGGATAGCGCCCTGGCCATAGCGGCCCGAGAAGGCCAGACTCTCGCGGGACGCGGAGTTGCGGCTCAACAGCGAGTGCCGGTTCTGGTTTGATCGGAAGGCTCCAACGCGGCCTGTGAGATGGGTGATCAGGGGATGGGCTTGGTCCTCGCTGTTGGCTGTGCTTGGGCGCACGGGGGTAGAGGAAGGCATGCCAACTGTGTTTGAATCGCAGCTGTCATCCTCATCGTCATCCTCGTTGGCGTCATCGTCGGAGCTGGAGTCGCCAAAGTCGATCAGGTCGCCGATATTCCATATATCCTCGTCATCCACGTCGTCCTCATCGAATGACGATGACGGGCAGTCTTGGGTCATGTTTCCATTGGCGGAAATACTGACAAATGGGTAGAAAGCTTCTGGGGGTCCAAGTGCTTGGCCACCCAGGTTGTCCACAGGAGTGTACAGAGCACTCATCATCAGGTTGGCTGAGTTGCTGATCATGGGTGACATCTGCTCCATGCAAGAGGCGTCACGGTCATCCTCATCTATGGTCATCATACGGCCAGGACCAGTGACAGAATCGGTGCTGTGCCTGCGGTTGATCCGTGCTCTGAACATCATCAACCTCTTGCCGCGGCTGTCCAGGACAGCAAAAGGCTTGTTAGCATCAGTGATCCATGATCCAAGCTTTGGGCCAGTCCGCTGAGGGCGATATTGCTTGCGTTGAATGACTTGGATGTCATCATCTGAATCATCTGAATCTGATGCATCGGAGGACAAACCCCTCAGGACAGTGCGAGCAGGTAAGAATTGGGCCTGTGGCGGCAAATCCTCTTCAGTAGTTTCACCTTCATCGGCTACAGGAGTCGTGTTAGCATCATCTCATGAATTGTGTTTCGACAGCACTACATACTTTCATATCCACTGGAGCCACTAGAGCTCTCGCTCTTATTATCTCCGTCGTCATCAACTTCCTCTTCACCCATCTCGTCGTCCTCACCTCTGAAGTCCCAATAGGACCCATCATCACTTCCCGAGTCATCATTGTCCTTGTTCTTGTCATTCTCGATGGTGCGGCGGAAACCTGGGTCAAGACTACCCTGATCCAGGAAGATGTCAGGGAAGATATTGTCATCAATGTCGGACTCCACGGTTTCACTATCCGACAGATCGAAACGGACACGACGGGTAACCTCGGGCTCACTCTCATCACCTGACCCCATCCACTCCGCCGCTCCACTCAAGATATCTGCAGGAGAAGCTTGGTCCGTTTGCTCCTCTGGAAAGAGATCTGGGCCACCCTTGAAGGAATCATATGGGCCCCAGAACTCGTCCTCGTCATCGGCTGGCTGAGGGTTAACAATATCATCCTCCTCTTCGGATTCGATGATCGCTTGTTCCTCAGCCACCTCCACATCTGGCTCATCTTCTTCGGAGTCGCTGATGAGATCGACGCCAGAGTAATCGTCGTCTTCGTCCGATGTGAGGGTATTCCGGGAACGCTTGGGCGTCTTCTGGCCCGTGTGGGAAGTGTTTGGCCTTTGGCGAACGTTTCGAGACATTATGTCTAATTTTGTGTGAATATATAGGATTTGATTAGGGTTTGCTGTATGCAATATGCAGGTTGCAAAAGTAGCGGTGAATCTGTTTGGACAGTTGTATGCTCTAATATTGTAGCAAGAAAAGGCAAGAAATCTTGCAGTAGGTGATTGCAAAATCCGGATATGAGGTGTATGGCGGTATTAGGGATTGAGAAGAGACTCGACTGTAGGCGTGGTTGAGGAGTCGAGGTGGCGCGGGGGTGTGAGAGTCGAAGTTGAGGCGGGGGAAACGGTGAACTATGTGGACTCGGGGCGAGCAGGGCTCGAGTTTGGTAATTGTAGTAGAATAGACTCTTGTTCAGACGTAAGCCGCTCTGGGGCTTGTAGACAGGTAAAAGTCTGTTATCTTCGTCAAATATGGAATAGTGATTGGATGTCTCGGTGGCTGAAGGACTGCGGGACACGCTCCGATCGAGCATGCCCGCAGTGGGCGTTCACAGCTCAGCGATGGCCTGTGGCATGATTCCTGACGAAGAGTATAGTTTTGGGGGTGTAATCTTTTGGATTATATAGTTCGACTTCGTTGTCTTGTTTGGGGAATGGGAATTGGTGGTTATGGAAGAAGGAGGGGAAGGGAAGGGAGAGAAGGGAAGAAGTTCGTCAGGGTGGAGCTGGGCGAGTATGAATAATTCTTCGGTTATGGGGTGGTACTTTGGTACATGATGGTATATTTTGGCTGAGTTGGGGGGGCGGCAGAGGTTAATTGGGTACATTTGGTACATTTGGTACATTTGTCGTTGACTTTTCGTTTTCACCCCCGCCTGGAGCCGCCTGATTGGGTCTTATCCTCTTCACCGCCAAAACTCTAACTTGTCTTGTTCGTGTTACTCATCTGTACTGTACGGAACAGTTTTACGGCTTCAACTATAGCCATGTCATAGCTATAGTAAACATAGTTGAACTCCCTTGAAACACACTCGGACGCCTACACTGCATCCTGCACAGTAGTAATATTCAATGTTTGTGCACACGACAAGCCAGACAGGGCTATCATGCCACCACTCCTTACGCTACGATGCCCTAGAGAAGTAATACTCGAGTACGTGGGTCTATCATGAATTTCGATTTTTTGTAGCCAATCAATCCTGCAGGGGGTCGCCATAATGTATTCTATCCCCAATTGTGTGTTTTGCTAGGTAACTTACAGCCCATTATTCATATTAAAATGCTTTGCTATATTTATATTCGTCCATGGAAATAGACCATTGCTCACGTTGTACCCAGGTTTTATTACATGTCACGATTTATTACCGGTCATCTCAAATATAAATTTAGCGATTGGATATACCATCCCTAAAACCTCACCAGAGGATAGATACATGGTAAAAAATATCAAAATCGGCATAGAAAAGCCATAGTAGAGAGTGACGACGGCTTAGACAGCCCGTTAAAACACCGGACCCAAGCCCCCGACCCCCTATTCGCCCATCAAACAAAGGAAAAAAGTAAGCCCAATAGTATAACACATCACATCCTCCTGGCACCATCGCAAGTCTCAATGAACCGATAGATGCCCTCCACATAACCCGCATCCTGATCATGCCGACTAAGACTCCGACTACCCCCCTGTCCAAAATATATACTCTCCGTCTCGCTCAGCTCCTCCATGGTCTCATATCCATCCGGCGACGAGAGCCACGGATTATCGCCAAACTCGTCAAATTCCTTATACTCGCTGAGCTGGTCATACTCTAACTCATGGCCCGTCTGCGACCTCAAAGACCCTCCAGGACTGGACAGTGCCTTATCAGTGGTACTCGCGAACGGAAAGAGCAGCGCCACCTGACCCCCATAACTGGCATCGAAATCGGGATCCTGCTGAATGATCCCGCGACGCACGCCTATCTCGTCGCAGAGGCGCTCGACGGTGTCGGCATCGCAGCCGGGGAAGCGGACGCGCAGGATCGAGCCGGGCTCGAGAGTCACGCTGAGGTCGCCGAGCGCGGATAGCCGCTTCAGGTCATTCATGATAGCTGCGAAGTCCTTGAGGGCACGTGCGAAGTCGACGGAGAGAACGTCGAGGAAGCCGTCGGTGTTTAGTGTTGGTGCTTCGGTGAAGTGTGTGGTGGGCAGGGCGGCGGCGAGGGGGCTGAGTGCCGTGACGGTGGGGTTGAAGTGGAAGTCAACGAAGGCGCCGGGGAGGGCCTTGGTGACAGATGACATCTTGCGGCTCGTCTCGTCCTGTAGCGCGCTGATAGTGCGGTAGCGCTTGTCACCACGTTCGGTGAGTCCGTCGAACTGGGCCTTGTGGCCGGAGAGCCAGAAGGCGCGGACGGCGGCGGAGACATTGTTCACGACCTGCGCTGGTGCGGCGGGGGTGTGAGAGAAGTATCTTGCTCCGCCTGTTCGTCCGCCTCCGAGGCTGTATCCGCCTGCAGTTCTGGGGAGAGCGCCACCCGTAAGGTTTGGGCGCAGTGTCGAGCGGAACGGAGCGCGGGTGGTGGAGCGCAGAATGGTCGTGCCGATGGCAGACTTGGGGAACGAAGACCGATCGAATTTGACGCCATTCGCAGAGCCGGTACTCATAAAGCGCCGGACGGTGGCGTTGATCGTGCTGTGCGTTGTGTACCATCTTCCCTTGCTCTGGCGCAGCCAGGCTGCCTTGCTGATGGGGTGTCTTGGGGTGTTTCGAACAAGAATTGGGAGTGGCTCCGACGAAGCAGTCGCAGTGCGCTGGGCTGCCTCTGCGAGGCGCTTCCTGATAAGATGTGATGCCCGTATGGCATTCCTGGCTTGCGTGTTAGCGGGGGGACTCAAATGAGGAAGCCAGTGCAAGCGGCAATGATAGGGACTTTCGATTTGCTTACTTCATAACATTCAAGGCTATAGGAGCCCATATTCCACCGGATGGAGCCATGATTGATACACCTTATGTTCACCAAGGTAAACGTAAGGTTGTTTGAACAAGAAACGATTCGGGGAGTGCGAGTCAACATTCCGCCACCTTCCGATACATCACATGACGTGGCCCTTAGCGTGCCGACTAAGGGACTTGCGCTAACCGACGGCGCTAGCAGACTTCATAAACTTTTCCGAGCTTTCAATTCTCCTTCGCTTTTGTTGTCAACGCAATATTGGATGATATTCATCATGGTGGCAGCTGCTCAATGGTAAGATTATCCCATACTTCTATGCGATCAGTTCTTCTGTGATGAGAACCTATCAACTGAACAATCCAACTCTTACACAATAATGGGGATTAACCACTTTACGGAGAACTCTGAGCTTTCAACTTAGACCCATTGATAATTACCATATTCTGTCCTGTACAGCTGGCTAACTTTCAATTTACAGACGCTTAACAGCTCAATTGTGCACTGCCACCACCCCCACAAAAAAATTCAAAAGGTTCGTCCAGAGAGATTTTGTTTTTACAATCAAAGCGCACATCCGGTGTGATGAACAAGTGACAACTATAGGAATTCCTCATTCCGAATATATCATGTAGATTCTGTCTTCAGTTTCAGCCTTGTCTGACCTCTCTTCAACCTATTGGATTTATTATTACATATATCTCAGGACTTCTTGCTGACAGTCCTCCCTCAGGTACATTACAACTACTCCTCGCTCTTTGCCCTGCGTTTTCCATGACGAACTTTGAACGAACGGGCGGACAGACTGTGTCCACATTGCGAACTCACGAAACACAAAGAGCGTACAAACTCTTTGGAGCTAGCAGTGATGGATTGCATGTTGAGAACTCGTCAGCTGATACAAAACCATTCATACGAATTGGCTTCACAAACGAAACTTGGACTCTCGCTGACTCGTCCAAGGTACATCTACACAGATCTCTTCACTTTTTACATGGCGAGCACTTGCATCATATGATGATACTTATTCACACTGTTTGAGGCGGACTTAGGTCCGTCACTGAACGCATCAACACAAAATCTGATTTAATGAGGTATGTTATGCAACCTTTCCTGAGTTTACGAAACAATGCTAACGTAAATTCGCAGCCTGAAAGATTCTTTTGCTGTCATTCTTTTCAAGAATATATATTTTGCATTCAATGTGCACAAATAGCTAACACGGACGTGTTGCAGGTATTTCACAACAATAAATTTTCTCGTCACAACCACATGGTAAGCTCGCATTTCCCCCAACTATGTTAGGGCTTCCACTAACAATTTCAAAGATTCAAATATTATCGACAAAATGTCAGATAGAATCAATAAAAATATTTCACCAAACTTCGCTCATTTAGATGACTTGCCTGCATATTGTGACCACAATGTTTGTAGCCCATGGGAACAGATTATCTTGGGACAGATCGGCCAAGTCTTAGCCAATACTACTGGGCATCGCGATTCAGCCTTACGAATGGCTTAGCTTACATCTGAGATCTGTACTTGATCTCATTTGCTCTCTTTTTCGTGGTATCGAAAAGACCGGACGAGGGGGTCGATCATGTTCCTTGCCGGGTTGTGTTGTGTCAAAGCTACTGGCATACAATGTATGAGACAGTGGCAGTAGTACAAGTCTTAATCCTGCGAATAACGATGTCTCTGATGCCACCGTCGCATCTAATTTCTCTCAGAAACTCGAGTCTCGACAGTCAATATGTAAGATCTCACATCGCGCTCCAGCGCGAACTTGAAGCAGCTAAGTGTTGACTCGCATTGCGCATTGACCAACAAAGTGGAGCTATGCAGGTCCGAGCTTTTGGAGGGTAGAGCACTAGTTGCAAGCACAAGGACTCCGTACCACTTGCGGGCCGTCGGTGGTCAGCTCCAGCACAGACGAGGGAATAAAACCCCCCCATATTCCAACATCCTTCACGCATCTGTCACATTCTCCCATCAACACCAACACCATCACCGAAATCACCTCTCCGGAAGCACCCGGCCATCTCGTGTCATTTTTTTGTATTTCCGGATAGATTTTTGAAGCAATTGGAGAGAGAATGTCTACTCGTAAGAGAAAGGCTGAAGACGAGGAGCTCGTTGCGCTTCCTTCGGATGAAAGCGAGGATGAAGAGGAGTGAGTCAATTTCATCCTTCATCTGTTTCTAGAACTCTCCCTATCTCATACCGACTTAATTGGGTGCCGGGAACTCATGAATCGGCTCAATTTTATCATACAAGCCGTTTTAGACAGCTATCCAGTCCCTTTGCGCCCTGAAATGCGCCGAGGCTCTGTGACATCATCAGTATCTTCCAAGAACATTGGCTAACAAACCACTCATTACAGATACGAAGATTCAGAAGATGAGGCTCCAGGAGGGAATTCCGAAGAATCCGAGGAAGATGAGGATGCCAGCGGCTCCGAAGTGGAGGAGGAGATCGAAGGTAAGAAAGACCATAAGCATCGCCAAGCACACTTCCAAGGCTGTCAATATCGATGGCTGCCCGCCCCAGCAGCTTTCCATCATACAATACCATCCAAACATTCCAACTCATACCTTTGTCGTCTTCTAACTGTTTATTAGAAGTTGCCCCTCCAGTGAAGAAGCGCAAGGTCGGCACCGCAACCTTGACTGAGGAGAACGGCGATGAGGAGGAGGAGGAGGCCGAGGAGGCTACCGAGGGCGAAGAAGAGGAGGAGGAGGCTGCAGATGAGGAGCCTGCCGACGCCGCCGTTTCCGCCAAGAAGACGAACGGCGCTGCGGCTCCCAAGAAAGCTGAAGTCGAAACGATTGACCTTGACGACGAGGATGAGTAAATGAAATGACTGTTGTTGATGATGGCGAGAGGTTGGCGTTGTTACTGATTGGAACTGGGAGGATATGGGACATCTCGGGTGGATCCGCGTTGTTAAAAGGAAGGAATGGGGTGGGATCTGATTCAACATTCCGCTATCATAGAGCCAAAGAAAGTGGAGGAATCAAAAGCCTGCTGTCTTTACCGTCCTGTGTGGCCTGGTTGCTATTGGTGAAAGTATGCTTACGCCGCGTCTAATGCTGGTATCCTTTTCTTGCTTATATAAACAAACCAGTGAGTTCTTTGGGGTGCATACATCTATCTATATTTACATGGTCTACCTTCCGAGTAGTCAAAAGACAGTCACATGGCTCTCCCCCCTCTGTACAGCGTTTGCATTATGAAAGAGTTTGTCACTACAGTTCCCTTTCACCCCAGCCTCGCTAGTACTATCAAGCAACCTCTTCGTTTGCCTCACCCTTCTCTTTTATTCTCATTCCTTTCCTATCATCATGATTAACATCACAACAATCCATCACCAATCATGACGAACGCATCGCCTGAAAGCAATATCACGGTCATAGACTCAGAGGAGAGTCTTCTACCTCTACTTGACAGCATTGCCAGTTTTGCAGTTGAGCCTCCCTCGCTATACATCCTTCTAGAGGGAAATGCACTTGGTCGTCACGGCACTATATCAATTCTCTCGCTTCACATCGCTCCCACTAAGGAAACCTACCTCGTCGACATCCACAGCCTCAAGGGGACAGCCTTCTCAACCACCACTACTAGCGGAACCTCGCTCAAAGCCATCCTCGAATCTCTCTCCAACCATCCCTAAAGTCGTATTTGATATCCGCAACGACTCAGAGGCCCTGTTCAGCCCTTTTCAGATCTCTGTTAATGGGATCAAGGATCTCCAGCTTATGGAGCTCGCAACCCGGAAGGGATCTCAGACATTCGTCTCTAGCCTAGCAAAGTGCATTGAGAAGGCTAGCCCCATGTCTATAGTAGCGGAGGCTGAATGGCGCCTTGCCAAAGAGCGCAGTCTTCGATTGTTCGATCCTAAGAAGCGGGGTCGATATGAAGTTTTCGATAAGCGGCCCCTCGAAATCGTCCAGTACTGTCAGCAAGACGTTGCGGTGTTGCCAGCTTTGTATGGAGTTTACAACACCACGCTACGCCAAACGGGCCAGGCACTTTGGCGGGTTCGCATCCGCGGAGAAACAGAGAATCGGATTAAGCTGTCACAGAGTCCTCGATATAATGGGAATTTAGAGAGCGCGGCGGCCCAAGGGTGGGATGATCAGCAAGTTGAGAGATGGATAGATTCGTGGAACGACGACATCCTCATGGAACATATGTTAGGTACATCTGTGCTCAACGAAAATGATGAGTGGGTTGATGCGCCGAGGAGTGGTATTGATGACTATTTGGATTATTTGGAAAATCTAGATGAAGATGGAGGCGAAGAGCAAGATGGTGACTGGCACCACGACGATATCACAGCTCGGGACTGTATTGGTTGGGCCGGAACAAAATATAACATTAACCTTGTCCTATTGGTCGATAAGTCAACGAGGGGGAAGTGTTTGACTCTTATTGAGATGTTTTGCACATTGCCTATAACTGATATGTACATAAATATTTCTCTATCAAAGGTTATATGGGGTATGTGATACAATCGTTGTTGTGGTGAAGATGCTGAACTGAGAATCGCTATTGCGATAACCATTTCATGACTATTTAGGCTTAGCTCCAAGAACATACAAGGCCCCAACCCCTGCAACGTGGGCAGCTCGAAGCAATCTGTGAAGAAGCTGGCCCAGCATCAATTGGCCAGTCACAACGGCCTCGATTAATATCTATTTGGCACTGTGCAGTTATACGGAAATGCTCTTCGACCCTTGAACGCCCTGTGAAAAAACACCCTCGAACGCGATGAAGTGCTCGCCTTTCCTGCTCAAAGGCTATGTCTATCACAGCGTTGAACGACGGGTTACCAGCAGCTTGCGCGCGACGTCAGAGCCTAAACCGCCGCTAGCTATTCGCAGAGTAGGTGCGCAGAGATGGAAGCCGAGGGAGGATAAATACAAGGCGCAAGAGAAGGAGCTCAACGGGAAGGGCATGGAGCTTCAGGAAGAGGAGAGATCACCAAGTGATGATGCGGAGGGAGGGGAAAAGGAGAATAAGTCGTCAAGTAATGGTTATCTAGATGATGAAATAGGAAGCGCAAGAGAGAGGCAGGCAAGAACACCGTGGCAGAGGGAAGGACCGGAGAGCCCTCCAGTGAGAAAGTTGCGCAGCGCTGGTGCCATGACCAAAGGTATATCCTCTTTCTCGCCTGCCCGAGGAAGGCCCGAACTAATATGCAACCCAGGAAAACTTCTGACAACCCCATCCCGACTCCTCAAGCTTATACTTCCTCTCACTACGCTCGACAAAAACTCTGACAGGAAAGACATCGAGCCGCTCGCCCTCCTCGTCCACCCCCAGCAACCACTCTCCTACCTCGGGCGCCTCATCCAATCCGAGCTCCCAATGTTAAAAAACAAGGACGGCCAAGACAAAATCCCCAAAGTCTGGTTCCGCGCCGAAGACTCCGCCCAAGAGGAAGAGAGCGAAGACGGGAAGCACGACAGCCACAAAGTCGACGACATACAAGCCGGAGTGGAAGAAGGCATCGACGAGCACATGGTAGACGGCAAGCTCGTCAAGACCGGCAAGATCAGCAAAGACGACCTCGAAGACTCCTTCCATGGCGAGAACATCGCCAAGTCACTCCGCGGCGGCCCTGGCGAGGGCGGCATCGAGACGTACTCGGGCCTCGGCCACGACCAGCCCAGTGCCGCTGAGAAGAAGCGCAAGTTCGTGCGCTGGTCGACTAGCACTGAGATTGGGGATTTCATCCGCGACGCGGCGCGCGGGAAGGAGTTCGCGATTGAGATTGAGGGGAGTCGTGAGGGGGATATTTGTGTGGGCGTGCCCAGTTTCGCGGACCGGACGCATTACTTGCGTGTAAGGCTTCGGAAACTGGCGAGGAGGCTGGATGGAATGGCGAAGATCAAGAAGGAGTGCGATGACCTGGCACATCGCAGCGCGCAACGGTTGGCGATGGGGGGGTTCGGCATCCTTGTCGCGTGGTGGGCGTCGATTTACCATTTTACGTTTCAGACAGACTATGGGTGGGATACGATGGAGCCGATTACCGTAAGTCCATTTACATTGGTGTGACCGGATAGGATGAATGCTGACAGTATACAGTACCTAGCTGGGCTCTCGACGATCATGATCGGTTACCTCTACTTCCTCTGGCATAACCGCGAGGTGTCGTACCGCTCGGCGCTGCATGCCACGGTCTCGCACCAGCAGAACCGACTGTATACCGTACGCGGCCTCGATATCGGTACGTGGGAGTCGCTAGTGGAGGAGGCGAACTCGCTGCGGAAGGAGGTCAAGAAGGTGGCTGAAGAGTATGATGTGGAATGGAACGAGATGCAGGACGAGGCGAGCGAGATCGTGCATGAGGCGTTGAGGAAGGAGAGGAGGAAGAAAGAGAGGGCGAGGGACGATGATGAGGATAAGGAAGATGATGACTCGGAGGGGAAGGGGAGTACAAAGGATTGATGGACAGGCGGGTATAGTACCATTTGACACCGTTTTAGCGAGCATAAAGAATACAATTGGATATACTTTTAACACGAGTAAACCAATACTTCCACGATGGACTTTGCACTGACCCATTCCCAAGTGCTCATCTTCCAAGCAATCTGATATGGCCGCTTCATGCTACCTCATTACGCCACCCCTATTGCTCAATAGTTACCTCGCCGCAGCGTCATCAGCTAGTCCCATCACATCGATCCCACAGCAACACTAGCAGCACAACATGGTGCAAGACTCCAAAACATCATTCACTTGGGCCATCGCAGTCTTTACTCGACATTTCCAGCACTCCCCCTTTTTGGACTTGAGCGAGGGCTCCGATGAAGGCTCGGTCGATCCATCAGGCTCTTGACCTGAGGCAGCTGGGACTAACAGCAAACTAGGCAAGTGGTCGGGGTGATTCTCCAAGCTACCCGCTGGCAGAGCATGTGGCAGGGTTTGTGGCGCCGAAATCTCACCCGCAACCGTGGATGGCGTAATTTCCTGTGGCGGTAGGTCGCACGTCTTGACACGGCGATGACGGCACGGTTGCGGAAAAATAGCTCGTCGTCGTTCTGTGTTTGGCCCGTCAGCCTGGGCCTGCGATGCCGTAGCAACAACCGCGGTGCTTGATATAAAGCGGACTCTTTGCCCTGGCTTTCGTTTCCCTTTCGGCTTTACAGGGCGTGCAGGAACCGGCTCGCTGGACCGTCTTGAAGACCTTGAACCGCCTGTAGTCATAGGCGCTGAGCTGATTCTTCTCCCTGTGGTAGTTGCTTCCTGGGTGCGGGCCGTGGTGGGACGCGCCTCTGCTCGCGCAAACGGATGCAGTTCCAACGAAGTCACGCCGTGCCCGCTTCTTGGAGGCCTGAACCGTGGAGCACCACTAACAGCGGTATTTGGAACAGAGACACATCGTCTACGGGATGGGACCATATCCCATGGCCCACAGAGCCCGTGTCCATGTGCCAATCCTGATGCTCGGTTGCCAGCTCTGCTCAACGGCTCGTAACCGAAGAAAAGCTGTACACGAGCCGTGGCTCGTTGAAAACCGCCGGTGCGAGCTGGGGTGCTTGACACAGCGCGTGGTCGTCGCTGTTGTTGTGCTGCGGTCCAGGAGGGCATTCCTGGTGGAGTTGCTGGGCGCTCAATAGGAGGCTCAATAGGGCTAAGAGGCTGAGCATAAATTTCACGGAATACAATCTCCTGCATTTCAGAAGTACCACAGTCAATGCTTGACTTGGCGGCCCATTTGGGCTTGTTTGCGATTGGATTGTAGCCTTCGGGCCATGATAGCTTTATGGTGCCTACATCCTCGTCCGAAAATGAAGCAAGTCGATGGATCATGCCGCTGATTGAGAACTCGCCTCTGATAGGACTGGCCTTGGGCGGTTGCTTCAGTATGGATGCTGAGGCTGAAGACGACGATAGGTCCGACGTTGAGCGAGGGCGGGTGAGGGTCCTAACGGGAGACGGGGTACTGATAGTGCGGATAGTCGCCATCGACGACTTTTGTTCGATAATGGTGGTCAGGGCCGTCCCATGGCCATAAAGAATCGGGGTATTCCCAACAGGTAATCCTACGTCGGAGTTCTCATCGACGCCCAGAAGTGGTGGTGGCTGCTCTTCAGTTGTTGAGGGTCGAACAGAGCTGCCAATGGCCTGCCATTTCTCAATCTTGAATCCGCCGTCTTCACTGGCATGAGGTGAAACGTATTCAGCAGCAAATATGGACCCGTGGGAACTAGGGATGGATTCCGACGAGTCTAGTCGTCGGGCAAAAGACGATTTTCGACTAACTTTTTTCGCAGATTTGGCAGTGATCGTAACAGGCTTGGTATTCGTATGTGGTATGAGAGGTGATCGAATGTTACCTGGAGCGTCGGAGTCGAGGAGGCTCTCTTCAGCCATGATTGTATCAAGAACCATGAACCATCTGGTCAGCGAGCGAAACTTCCAACTACCAGGCTCCAACAATTCCGTGATGTGCCTGCTCTGGCACGTTGGAAAGTAAAAAGCGAAAGAACAAGAATATTGTGGTTAAGTGGTTTCGATAAGGTACCATTAGCTGTCGAGGAATATCATCTAATACACCTCTCTTGCATCCACCGAGGCAAGAGCGATGGTTCACTCTGGGCGCGCCTTCCCATAGTGCCATCTTTCAATAACAGAACCAGCCTAGCGCATCCCCGAATTATTTTCGCGATGTATCAACACCCTCTGCTGCCAGCGCCTTCCTATATTCCTTCGAGGCTTTATCCAGAGCGAAAATAGTAGGCTCCAGCATCTCCCGTACCACCTTCTCGCCCCCACCGACCAACTCTGGTTTATACTGCATTTTCTTGCCAGTCTTCTCCCATAGTTCCCTAATCTGTTGCTTCTGGCTTTTAATCAGATCATTCCTTTCCTTTTCTGCATCGGCGGCAACAGCATTAATGCGATCCAAGGCTCTCTCCAGTGTTTCTACCAACTTCGCCAGTTCTCCAGCACGGTCAGGGTCACCACATAAGAATATAGACCAAAAGTGATGTAAGAATTCCGTGGTGGTTGCGTGCGTAAGTGTAAGGCGATCGAAGAGAGCCTGAGAAAGACCAGACAGGTTTGATTGGGGATCCGAGCCGTCCATTCGCGTTCGCTGCTGAGTGATGCCTTCAAATATTTGTTTTTGCGCATCGATGAAGCTGCTTCTGCTTCCAACGTGGGGCGACCTATCTTCATCGTCATCGCTATCACTCTCCTCATTCACTCCGATCGCAGTGCGAAGATCAAGTCCGCCAGCAGCGTCGGTGTCCATGAGCTCTGGGTCGAGGTCCGTATTTAATTCCATTAATAACTCATTCGGATCCTGTTTAGCATATACCGCTGCTTCAGCGGATATTTGAGATTTATCATTGGAGAAGAACTGGCTCTGCTCTTTGATATTCAGCATTATCCGGTTCTCTTCCTCCCCCGCTTGAAGATCTCGCAAGGCCAATTCGTTAAATGTTCTCTCATCCAGGCCGATTGGAGCCGCTGGATCAACATCTGACTGCGCGACATTTTCCATTATCTTTTCGCTCAAACTGTTCAGTGTGCGGATAATTGGCGCTTTGGCTGATGACGAGGGCCTCATGGTAAAATCTTGTCGATTGCCCCCTTTGCTGCCACCCTGGTTTTCCTCATTGCCCTCTATGTCAATGACATGCGGGATATGTGCTGATGCTAATCTCTGGCTAAGGATGTCGGAGTTGGAAGCATCAAGATATCGGTCAAAGGTAGAATCGCTACTATCGGCCTCCACAATTCGTTCACCCTTCAATTTCTTGAAAAGCCGACTGAGAAAAAATCTCGACCAGAACTCACTCTCATTAAGTTTCGGGACATTCTCATCATATACCCTCTTGACAAGGGGATGTTGACTAAATATAAGTTGCACCTGTTCTTTGCTGATTCGCAGCTTCAATTCGCCATCCTCTTGCCGGGGCTTTACGACCGAGAGGACGTTGTAGGCACCACGCTGCTGATTGTTTTCAACAGCATAAGCCCGCAGAAGATTAATTCGAGTTGACCAAAACTGGGTATTAAACTGGGTATTTGAGGTGGTGTCAGGCTTTGTGCGCCTTGCCTCTTCATAGGTTTGAAGCAGCAGTGGGTCTTTCCTCATCAATGCTTGTTGTAACTCGAAATCATTTTTCAGCTGGTTGTCGTCGTACCATGCAGGAGTCCCGGACGGTTTTGATGCAACGGCACTCGCGATAGCCATTGCGCCCGGGGCGCCGTTGGCGCCATTGGCCTTTACAATGCTTGGCTCTCCCGCCTTTAGGGACGCAATTAGGCTGGTCAAGACATCTTTTATGGCGTTTGCTTCACTGCGAGGCTCTGATGGCGCGTTAAAATGGAAGAGATGTGTGACTGGCTCTGGGGCTTCAGGAGGTTTGACGAATATCTTGAGCATTACCTTCTCCGCAGTTTCTGGCGTCTGCTGGAGATCTATGCCAAATTAGCTCATGCTGGCCCTGAGAGCGCGCTGGACATACTTGTAATATCAGCAATATTAATGGTGATTCCAGCTAGACCTGCCGCCGTCGGCGTCCATACCATCGACGTCTGGTCTGGTGATAGTGTCACTGTGCCATCTTTCTTTTTATAAGCGGCAGAACCTCTGGGACTTGCCATAATGCCGAGAGAAGTCTAGGTTTATCCTTCCACACGGACACTTGGCTGTGACTTGTGTACCAGATGTGAGGCTACCATTATCTGCCTACATGAAGCAAGGCTCACGTTAAGTCGTCACCTGGGCAGACTCTTTTCTTTGCTGTTGTCCAGTGATCTGTTCTCCAGGGTGTGCCTAATATGATCGACAATGCCTCCTTTGCTGCCCCAAGCCAGATTCTCTTTGTCGGCCTCAGTACTAGCCGTAAATATGAAGCATCTGTGTTTGAGCTTTGAAACCTCTTGAAAGATCACTGACGATATAATCCATATAATCTTCAAGGTACAGGCCGCTAAAATGTATATCCGATCGGCCGTCGTATCCGATTGCCAAGGCTACGTACTTGGAGTAAATTGGAGTAAAGTAAACAGACGGGCCAATAGAATTCGCCCGGCATAAACAAAATGACTGCTGACAAATCAACATCGGGATCCCCGGACCACCTTGGGTAGAACGCGAAGAGAAGCCAAGGTTAGAGCCGAGTCCCGTGATGTCCCCTTGCCCCAGAAAGGTTATGCTGTCACTCGCTCAAGAAGTAGTTCCAAAGTCCCTATTATTTTATCCCTCATCCCTCAATTATTCCTCGACAAACTGGAGCTGAATGACCGAACCTTCGTTTTCCAACTTTCCCAATTGCCATACCTGCGTTGATTTGACACAATGCTTAGAACTTCACTTAGAAAGTCGAGCAGTCAGCTCTTGAGAGCTGGCTGCCAGGCACGCTCCTTGTCAGCCACCTCGAGCTCTAGAGCCACCCTTTTCTCATCACCCAGTCCTCTGAAGTCGTCAATCGCTTCAAAACGTCGTCCGTTGGCGGTTGCCGCCCAAAAACGATATGCTGCTGCCGTCGCCAACGCGCCGGAACCAAACGACAGCTTCCTCTCCGGCAACACGGCAAACTATATCGACGAGATGTACTTGTCGTGGAAGGAGGACCCGTCGAGCGTCCACGTCTCGTGGCAAGTATATTTCAAGAACATGGAGAGCGGCGATATGCCAATGTCGCAAGCTTTCACTCCTCCGCCTACCTTGGTGCCTACACCAGCCGGTGGCGTCCCCTCGTTCATGCCAGGTTCGGCAACCGGACCAGGTAACGATGTCACGAATCACTTGAAGGTCCAGCTCCTCGTTCGCGCATACCAGGCTCGTGGACACCACAAGGCTCGTATTGATCCTCTCGGCATCCGTGGCGAGGCAAAGGAGTTTGGATACAGCAACCCGAAAGAACTACACCTCGACCACTACAACTTCACGGAGAAGGATCTTGATTCCGAATACACCTTGGGCCCCGGCATTCTGCCTAGGTTTAAGAAGGATGGCCGCGAGAAGATGACTCTGCGCGAGATCATTGCCGCTTGCGAGAACATCTACTGTGGATCATATGGTGTCGAATACATTCACATCCCGGACAGGGAACAGTGCGACTGGCTCAGAGAGCGTATCGAAATCCCACAGCCATACAAATACTCCGTCGACGAGAAGCGCCGCATCCTGGACCGTCTTATCTGGTCGTCCAGCTTTGAGGCTTTCTCCGCCACAAAATACCCCAACGACAAGCGTTTCGGTCTGGAAGGTTGCGAGACCCTCGTTCCCGGAATGAAGGCTCTCATCGATCGCAGTGTCGACTATGGTGTCAAGGACATTGTCATTGGTATGCCCCATCGTGGACGCCTGAACGTCCTCTCCAACGTTGTTCGCAAGCCGAATGAGTCTATTTTCAGCGAGTTCGGCGGAACCGCCGCCGGTGAGGATGAGGGATCTGGTGATGTCAAGTACCATTTGGGAATGAACTTTGAGCGCCCAACCCCCTCCGGAAAGCGTGTCCAGCTTTCTCTCGTTGCCAACCCATCTCATTTGGAGGCTGAGGACCCCGTCGTCCTTGGCAAGACCCGCGCCATCCAGCACTACAACAACGATGAGAAGAACCACACTACCGCCATGGGTGTTCTTCTCCACGGTGACGCTGCCTTCGCTGCTCAGGGTGTTGTGTACGAATGTCTCGGATTCCACTCTCTTCCAGCCTACTCTACTGGTGGTACCATCCATCTCGTTGTGAACAACCAGATTGGTTTCACCACTGATCCTCGTTTCGCCCGCTCCACCGCATACTGTACCGATATCGCCAAGGCTATTGATGCCCCAGTCTTCCACGTCAACGCCGATGATGTTGAGGCTGTCAACTACGTCTGCCAGCTTGCCGCTGATTGGCGTGCTGAGTTCCGCTCTGACGTTGTCATCGATCTTGTCTGCTACAGAAAGCACGGTCACAACGAGACCGATCAGCCTTCATTCACCCAGCCATTGATGTATAAGCGCATCCAAGACCACGAGCCACAAATCGACATCTACGTTAGCCAGCTCCTCAAGGACGGTACGTTCACAAAGGATGATATTGATGAGCACAAGAAGTGGGTTTGGGGTATGCTTGAGGAGTCCTTTGCCAAGAGCAAGGATTACCAGCCAACCTCTAAGGAGTGGACCACATCCGCCTGGAACGGCTTCAAGTCGCCAAAGGAGCTCGCCACCGAGGTTCTCCCACACCCACCGACTGGTGTTAAGAAGGAGACCTTGGAGCACATCGGCACCACCATTGGTACGGCTCCCGATGAGTTCAACGTTCACCGCAACCTGAAGCGCATTCTCGCCAATAGAGTCAAGACTGTCAACGAGGGCCAGAATATTGATTGGTCGACTGCTGAGGCCTTGGCCTTTGGATCTCTCGTTACCGAGGGCCACCACGTCCGTGTCTCTGGACAGGATGTTGAGCGTGGTACTTTCTCCCAGCGTCACGCTGTCTTCCACGACCAAGAGAACGAGGCGACGTTCACTCCTCTTCAACACGTCAGCAAAGACCAAGGCAAGTTTGTCATCTCCAACTCCTCGCTGAGCGAGTTTGGCTGCTTGGGCTTTGAGTACGGTTACTCTCTCACTTCACCAAACGCCCTTGTTATGTGGGAGGCTCAATTCGGTGACTTTGCCAACAATGCTCAATGTATTATCGATCAGTTCATCGCTTCCGGAGAAGTCAAGTGGATGCAGAGATCTGGACTTGTCATGTCCCTTCCCCACGGATACGACGGACAAGGACCCGAGCATTCCTCTGGCCGTATGGAGCGTTACCTCCAGCTCTCAAACGAAGAGCCCCGCGTCTACCCAAGCCCTGAGAAGCTGGACCGTCTCCACCAGGACTGCAACATGCAGATCGCCTACATGACCTCGCCGTCTAACCTGTTCCACATCCTCCGTAGACAGATGAACAGACAATTCAGGAAACGTAAGTCCCCCCCCCCCAACCACCCAAGCCACACCTAACTAACTCGCCAGCTCTCATCATCTTCTTCTCCAAGTCCCTCCTCCGCCACCCCCTCGCCCGCTCCTCCATCGACGAGTTCGTCGGCGACACCCAATTCCGCCCCATCATCCCCGAGACCGAGCACGGCGGTGCCGCCGTCGACCCCGAGGACATCAAGCGCGTGGTCCTCTGTACTGGCCAGGTCTACGCCGCGCTGCACAAGCACCGCCTCGACAAGGGAATCACCGACACCGCCATCACGCGTATCGAGCAGCTCAACCCCTTCCCTTGGCAGCAGGTCAAGGAGAACCTCGATAGCTACCCTAACGCTGAGACGATCGTGTGGTGTCAGGAGGAGCCGCTCAATGCGGGTGCTTGGACCTTCACGCAGCCGCGTATCGAGACTATCCTTAACGTCACTGAGCACCACAACAGGAAACACGTCATGTATGCTGGACGTAACCCTAGTGCCTCGGTTGCTACGGGTCTTAAGGCTAGCCATCTTAAGGAGGAGAGCGAGTTGCTTGAGATGGCTTTTGAGGTTAGGCAGGAGAAGCTTAAGGGGGAGTAGATTAGTTGTTGGTGGGTAGATGATTAATTGCAGTTAAGGTAGTCCCGGGAGAAGAGCCGGGGTGGATAGATGATTAATTGCAGTTAAGTTAGGCCCGGGAGAAGAGCCGGGTGGATAGATGGAACCTAGAGATGTGATGTAACAAGATGGGTAGGGGGGTGGGGGGGGGGTTGGTGGGTTTCGTTTGTCATTGGCATACATGGGTGCTCTACGGAGTGCGGGCCTCGTTGTATTACTGTCTCTGTTGTGCATTCAAATAAAATGAATACATTTTTCGTTCTAGCTATATTTTTTTGTATAAAAATGCCATATATAAGTCACGTGTAGTTGTTGTTCCTTTCTTGCCTTATATAAAAAGGGGGGTTTCAGGACGAGGCGGAAGGAGCCGTAGCCGCGCACTCCTTCGTACCTTCCTCTTTACTTGAAGTAGAAGAAATATGAAACTCACACACATATCACGTGCCCCATACACAAACTCTCCAGCTCTCTCTCAGTATTGACTCCCTATGAGCATAGCACAAGCCTACATGCCAGGAGCGAAAAGGAGACAATAGCAAAGCCCATTCTAGAAAACTACCTCATCCTAAGGTAAATAAGCTACCTACTATAATACAACCAGAAAAACATCATCCATCCATCCATACCATTCATCGCAGATTGTACACAACACAACCCCGCCTTAGTGTCGAGGAGAGATGCCCAAACGCGCAACGCACACAGCACACACACAGTATACCCTCCTCTTCCTGCTCATACCCTTTTGCGCGTCCAGCCCGCCTGCCGATGTATGAATCCACCCGTCCTACCCGTAATAACCCCCCCGGCCAAATAACGAAGCAATGAGAAGAATGGTAATATGATATGATGGTCTGCCGCCGCAAACCCCAGCCGGGACAACAAAGAGGCGGCAGTAAGAGGAGAGATTAGAAGGGTCGTCGGCAAGCAAGCGGAGGGTTTGGGGAATTATGTGTTTTTTTTATATATATGTTCTTGCGTTTTTGTGCAGGAAAGCACGCACGCTGCATTTTTTTTGTACCAAAATGCCCCCAAGAAACGGGCAGCTAGCTAGCTAGCTGACAGACAGCCCGCCGCGGTGGCACGCGCGCGCGCCCAGGAATCGGCAGAGTTTCGCTCGCTGCACCACTTTACATGATGATGGAGGGGGTGTCGACGTTCGTCTTGATAGTCTTGTGAGGCAGGACGGAGCCGCCATTGACGTAGATCTCGTCCGCGATCGTGACGTCGTCACCCAGGACAGACACGTTCTCAAGACGCGCCCACTTCCCGACACTGGAGTTCCATCCCACAATCGTAGACTTGATCCACGCGTGGTCCTTGACCTTGCTACCCTGCAGGATGACGCAGCGCTGTAGACGCACGCCGTCGCCAATAACGACATCGGGGCCGATAGTGACATTAGGACCGATGCGGCAGTTGCGGCCGATCTTGGCGGAGGGGTCGATCAGGACGTTGCCGCCGTGGACGTAGGGTGTGCTTGTCGGGGTGAGGAGCTTGGAGTTCTTCTTGCTGAGGGAGGCGAGGTAGAGGCATGTTCCCGACAGGAAGTCCTTTGGCTGACCGACGTCCATCCAGAAGCCCTCGAGGTCGAAGGAGTGGAGCTGGCCGTCTGCGCACATGGAGGGGAAGGTCTCTTGCTCGATGGAGGTTGGGCGCAGCTCGATGCGGTCGAGGACGCTGGGGTTGAGGATGTAGAGACCGGCGTTGATTCTGTTTCCGACGAACTCGACGGGCTTCTCGACGAAGCGGTCGATGCGCGAGGAGTGGTTGGGCTTGTGCACGACGACGCCGTATTTCGACGGCTCCTCGACCTTGGTCACGATGATGGTGCCCTCGTCGCCGTGGGCTTTGTGGAATGCGGCTAGCTCCGCGAACGGGTACTCGCAGATGACGTCGGAGTTGAGGACGAAGAAGGGCTCGTTGTTCTTCGCGAGGGTCTTCTCGGCGAGCTTGAGCGGGCCGGCGGTGCCTAGGGGCTCGGTCTCGATGGAGAATGTGATCTTGACGTTGTATTGTTCTTCGTACTGTAGGAAAACCGCCAGTCAGCTGGCTGCGTAGGGCAGGGAGGTATTCCAGGACGGGAGACGCACTTCGGCAAGGTACTTCTCCATGACCTCAGGGCGGTAGTTGACGGCCAAGACAATGTCCGTGACGCCTGCGGCTGCCAGAGCCTCAATCTGATGCAGGATCATGCGCTTGTTGCCAAATTCGACCAGTGGCTTGGGCAGTGTAAGGGTCTGTCATTGGGAATCAGTCATGGTTCGATTTATGGAGCTCGAAATTCGTCGGTGGGAACGTACGAGTGGGCGCAGGCGCGTGCCAAAGCCGCCGACGAGAATGAGAGCTATACCCCGAGTTAGCCATTGCCGTTGCCGTGATACGAGGGTGTCTGTCTGACTGCTAGCTGCTTACCCTTCATGGTGGATGGTTGTGAATTAAGAGCGGTATGAGGAAATGTGTGGTGGTTCCAGGGGCGAGAGAGCTACCCCACCGTGTAGAGTAGGAGAGCGAGCAGCGTGGTGTGGGTTGGTGTTGGCCTGAATGCAAAGGTAGCAAGGGACAATGATTCTCAGTAAGGTGCGAGGGGAATGTCGACGAGGAAGGAGGTAGAGGATATGTATTGCAGTGGAGTAGATTGAGCAGTTTGGTAGTTTGGGGCGGAGAAGTAACGTGAACTGGTACGAGTAGTTTAGAAGGGACGATCAGATGTGAGGCCACCTTGCGGGTGATCAGTATATTTTGAGGTCCCAAAATTTCCTTTGAAAGGGGGTACGCTAAGAAGGCTGGGTAGCTGGGTCGAGGAGGGGGTGGTTAGGGGGGGGTTAGGGGGTGTTAGGGGGGTGGTTAGGGGGGTGGTTAGGGGGGTGGTTAGGGGGTGGTTAGGGGGGTGGTTAGGGGGGTTTGGGGGGGGGGTTAGGGGGTATGGGAAAGGGAAGGGAAGTGGAAGAAGATAGTGGCACGGCATCACCTTATTTCTTATTTCCAAATTGGAGCGTGTACGAGGTTGTTGGTTTTGGATAATAGATGACCCTTTTTTTATATTACTGTACTGCGTTCGTAATCCGTACTGGATCGTTGTACTCTAATTCGCCTTCTGAAATAGTTGGAAAGTGGGGGAATTTGTCTGGGCGTGGACACTCACCACTCACCGCCCAGATCACATGACACCCTACCAATGCCCGCATTCTGCCTCGTCTCTTGTGCAAAAATTCCGCGCTTCTTTTTTGTGCTTGTGTGCCGCCGCAACCAATCTGAGTCGATGAAGTGTCTGACTCCCCCCCACCATCCACCACCTACCCCCACATCCTCTACCAATACTGTATGAGGGAAGTGCATGCTCTCCACGAGGTTGGGAAGCCATTTCAGACAGTCGTCTCACTGCAAGGCTGAGCTTCACTAGAGTTAAGAGTGAGTACAGTACTCATGGCACACGCACAGGGGTAAGGTAAGGCACACAAAGGCGAGACGTAATATTCATTCGAGGGCCATTGCCCGAAAGCCCTCATCGACGACGACTCGACGCTCGACGCTCCCAACCATGAGTAAACCAACACACGTGTCACTCACACAAGTCAATATAGCCACCCCAAAGTCGTGATATACGTAACCAAACGCTATGGATATAATAATGATAAGTAGTTGGCAAAACAAAACTCTGAATCCGCCCCGCTAAATGCGATTTGCCCAATGGCAACAGTCAAAGCACGTGGTGTCCAAAAATAACGATGTTGAGTCTGCGAGGAGATGTACCGGACTGCGTTCTAGCTCTGATGGCCGTTTTTCTGGTCCGCTCCGCTCTGCTCTGCCAAACCGGTGACGCCCCCTCCCCCAGATCCGTTCCGGGGTTGCGTGTGATAGAAGCGAAAACAAGAAGGAAGTGGCCTCTCCTGTCGAAACGGCTGCATACGAGTTGCCTCTGTGCTGTGCGAGCGGCAGGTCCTGTGAAGCCCGTGCCGTTGTGGATGTCTTAAAAAGTGAATATCAAAAAAATGCGGATATAAAAATCGTTAAAAGTCGTTAGTTAAAGGGGGGAGTAACAGGTCGTAATGCGTTTAAATTCTCCGTTGGTTGGGCTTTTTGGCAATTTTGGAAAGGCGGAGACGGAGTGGATGTGGAAATGGGGTAGGATAATAGGTAGCCAGCGAGTCCAGGATTCGGAGACGCTGCGGGAGGAGATTTCGGCTTTGAGGCAAATGAGAATCGATGCGAGTCTCTATTCGTAGGACGATGTCGAGTCGCTGTTACTCGGGCTGGGCGAATGGCGGCTAGGGAGCCTGGCCCCACCCCGTTTCCTGTGGCGCGATCCGCCCTCAGTGGCCGGCAGCCCCTGGACGACCCCGTTCCTGGCCAGCATCCCGCCATTGACAGAGAAGTTGCGGCACACCATGAATGCACGCATGGCAGCGTTCTCCTGCGCCAGCTGATCCGATTCGTACGCCAGGTCGGTACGGTACTCTCGCCCATTGACGAGCACGAGACAGGTGAATCCGGAGCTGCTTCGGTAGACCTCGTACATGGGGTCCCTCCAGCCGCGGCGTTGGCACAAGCCTAGACACAGTATTAGCATTCGTCAACAAGCCGCTGGCCCTGCGAAAGAGGAAAGCCGGCATGCCCAGAGGCAGGCACCAACGTCGCAACCACACTCTAAATCGACGTCGGGACGCAGAAGCGTGGTACATCCCGTTAGCCCTCGCCGTGGGATGACACTACGTTGGGACCTCGTATTAAAATGATGCCCAAGGTAACCAGGCAACGGGAAGGCCTCTGCAGGCACGCCTCAAGTACGACTTGATCCTGGTGGCAATATGTGTGAATGAGATAACATACCGTCAAGATATTGGATATAGAAGCCGCCCATCATGATTCTGTGCAGACTAGATCTTGTCTGACCCTTCTACTCAGGGGTTACGTCGATTCAATGAAGTTATCACAACCCAACTGCAGGGTTTCTTTTTGCCCAAGACAGCCCTGCAAGGAAAACCAACAAGGTCAATGTCAATTAACTTTTCTTTTTTGTGATATTGAAGCAGTAGTACTGCAGCTCGTTGTCAATTAAGAATGGATAAGGCTGAAAAAGGGTGGGCGACGGCGTGGTAAAAGAGGAGTGAGGCGGTTCTGTGGTTGACTTGGAAGATCTTGGGCAGGATATTTTCGTCCCTCAAGGCGAGACATGTGTGATTTATTGCCCACGCCTAAAGTTAGCGTACCGCAAGGATAGGTGGGATCAATCGGTTCTAAGATTCCAAGGGGACATCAGATAGGGCGAGCAGTCGAACCAGATGCACGAAGTTCTGCGGCTCAAGAAGGTGTGACCCATATTGATGTGCTGGCGTATGCCGTTGCCAGTTGATGATTTCCTGATATTAGCCAACTCCACCACGGTTATGGCGGGGCACAGGAGGGGTGATCTCGAACTGTTCAGAGGCAGGTTGCTCCTATCTGACCATCTGTGTGCATTTGCTAGAGGGTACTGGCTCTGCAGCACTGGTGGCGAAATAGACAACGCGTTTCCACACCCTCCGGCTATGTACGTCTCTCTTTGAGACTTATGCCAGGCAGGAGGGGCAACAGGGAGAAGGAGGGAGGGGCAACTCTTTTTTCGCAGGGGGAGATCAATCAGACTGGGGCTAATGCCAATTGAGCATGGCAGACCCCAGAAAGAAGCCAGAAATAACACGAGACTATGGGGCATTTCTAGATCTCAAGGCTGTCCTAGTGCTGCATCATGCGATATGTATCTTTAGCAGTGGAACAGGCCTACATTCTCGAACATAAGCGCATCGCTCAAGGTCTTGCCCCGCACGGCATCGGTGGCCATCGGTGAACGTCAAGAGGAGTGTGCATACATCGGACCGTTGCCCTTGGCATGTAACGACTGGAGCACGACTTGACACGAAGTCGGTGAGAAATAGAGTGCATTGGCCAGTGGCTGGTAGACCAACTCATCAAGCAACGAGCGAGACAAGAGACAAGACGGAAGACGGGAATTGATGGGTGGAAGGAAAATGCGCGAGGCAACCAGACATGCTTTTCGAACTAGCCCTGGCAAGGTTGTGTGCGCATGCATTATGAGCTGGCAAGACGCTTGATGAGCCCGAGTAAGACCGTTTTTTTCTGAAATTACGACTTCAAGCAGGAGTAGTAAATGCGGGAAGATCCAAATGTATTGCAATGCATGAAAATGGAGAATAGCTTGGAAGTATACCCCGATCGGAAGTCCGTAGAAAAAAAAAGATCTACATCTTGATCGGCTCCCAGGCTCCGATATGTTTGCACATATCTTTTTATTTTTGAACCAAGCACTTCGGGGATCCCAGTCTTACGGGATGTCCCTTAGCACCAGCGAGATCATGCTGAGATCATGCGAAGAACCCTGGAAACCGCACTTTGGGAATCCAATTGATGGCAGAGTTGGAGGGGTCGATGTGTGCCGTTGGCGGCCAGAGAAGCAGGCACAAACAAGCCAAGACCGAAAACCGAAAACCTATCGCATATAAGTCATTACGGGTCCTGCACAGTACTCACAGTACTCACAGTACTCACAGTTCTCCATATACTCCATACTACATAGCAAAGTAACTATCCAGATCCAGTCCAGAATAGTACACCGAACCGTGCCGGCCGGATAGAGGACTGCAGACTGCAGACTTCACTCGTATGGAGCGATGGAACAATGGAGTTACTGTACCGCTGTATGGTATGAACCACTGCATGGCGTATTGTATGGAGTAACTGTCCTCCGTATGGATGTTGATAGGCGGGGCATCACTCGTCGCTTCCAACATGTCGCCGACTCCAGGGCCGGGTCATTGCTGCAGCTAGAGGCGGCGGGCAGTGGCCAGCACCTGCACGTCGTAGGTCATAGCACCGTCAACCGTGTCAAGGATCGCGCAACGGGCGTCTCTGGGTGAGACAACGATGGAGCAAGAGCGCGTATCCCCGTATCCCCGTAACCATTGATCAGTCCTTGCCCCCTCAGAAAACGTGGCGACACGATGTATAGAACGTTGAGGGGGGGGAAATCTCGTAGATGCTTTTTCGGGAGAAACTGGCGGAGACGAAGGTGACTTTTTGGCGCCGAGTGGTGAAAGGCGCTGTGGCAGGGGACTGTGGTTCGCAATTGGCCGCTTAGTTTGTACACATGCGTATAATAACTTTTGACCAACAATGTAGAATTGGCCTCCTGGCTGACCTGCGTAATCTCATCACTCAAATCTCACATGCACGCCCGGCAGCAAATCCATAGCCGCCAACACATCTGCACGACATTTTAGTCCTCCCGCACATCCAAGACTTGACTTTGGGGCGGATGAGTGGGTATGGCTCTCCTATTCGTGCTGCACATCGGATGAGGTGACTAGAGATCGGTGTGCTAACTACAGCGTTTGAACTACTGAACTACTCGGAGATCCTCCTGAGCCTTTCATTACATCAAGCACTCGGCCCCGGCCGACGTGACCGGAGGAAGCACACTGCATAGCCGAGCCGGAACCGTTCATTTACGGATACAATCATATGACTACCCAATTACTGGGTATTTCCAATACCACAGCGGCTCGACGGGTCTATCCGCCCATGGCTTTCCTCCGAGACCATAAAGCCCCTGCAACAGCTGCCAACGCATCGGCTTGGTTCAAGCCCCCCCGCACTAGCCCCCAACCCCCTCAGTGGCCGCCTTCTTTGCGGCCCACCCCTTTCGAAGTCATGCCGCTGGCCATTCAGCTGGCCTTCAGAGAGGACTCCGGATGCCGTCTTTGCGAAGGATGCTCATGAAAAGCGCTCTTGGCTGTCGCAGTATTGCATTATCCTCTCCGCAATTCCCTCAGGGATGACGTAGACGGGGTGGATGCTCTTGACCCTATCCTCCTCGTTGAAGATCTGAGCATAGCCGTCGTCCTGCTTCCTCGGATAGGTCTCTGAGGTCCACCCCAGCGAGGCCATACTGTCATCGGTTGGAGCCTGTAAAGACCACTTGTGCTGAGCCGAACTGAGTCCGACGAGTAAATAACATGTATGATATCCATCCGAGAACCTATATTACTCGTTAGTATGTGGGTAAAACGTGAGTGTGTGGCGCCCGGGAGACATACATTCCGGGTTTGTCCCTCAATCCGCCACGCTTGGTGGTATCTTGTCCACAGCACAAGATATATCGCGTCAGTGCCTCTCGGCTATAGAGACTGTCATTGTGAGGAGCCCCGTGGTTCTCTGCCGAACCCGCAAGACAAGCGTCGAGCAGTGGCCAGCAGCCACCAATCCAATGCGAGTAACAACCGTCCACGAGCTTGTTCGTGCGCCCAGCGAAACCTCCCTCTGGTGCGTACTGACGAGAAGAGAGCCACGATATAAGCGTCGGCACATCCAGATATTTCGGGAGAGTCTCACGGGGGTCTCCCAGGATACAAAGGCACGCAAGGGCACAGAAGGCATACGCGCCGTGAGCCTCTGTGTCTGGGCGGCTAGCAATACCACCCTCATATGTTTGACCTGTGCTTGTCAGTACTTGCCACAGGCGTTAAAATAAGACATCGTACATCGTGACACATATTCTCCAAGACCTGTAAAAAGATCGAAATTTTCAGCTTGGGCCGGTGATCCCTTGGCTAGGTGAAGAGGGAGCCTGAGAAGCTTCACCAGCATCGCTGCACAGTATGCGCCCCTATGAATGTTAGATCGTAATCAAGCTGCTAATCATGTGCCTGTACTCACCTGACATCGACCTCTCCTCCGATAGACATTTGAAATCCACCATCTGGTTGCTTCAGCCTGGACAGCCATTGCCACATTGCCTTCCGATCAATAGCGTTAATCGCATCATCTCCTCCAACCATGGCCAGCGAGAGCACGGTAGCATATGTTGTTGCGAGATGGCTCATTTGGCCATGACCGCCTCCAAAACCCCCAGTGGAATTCTGGAGAGGCTTGACGGTACTGATCAGTCGTTCCCTATACTGACCAACATCCTCACCCAGTGCACTCAACGCAGTTAGCGTCCAGTAGAAGAACCATGGACGAGCAGAATCAGCCCTAGTAAATGGCGCAGGGAGAGGGTTAAGCTGCTTGTGGCAAAAGTTGACGTGCTTTTCGCGGAGTAAGTGCGGGACTCCATGCTCGTTGTAGTAGCTGAACTCATCCGACTGGGCAGATAAGAAGGAGGCACAAGTCTCTACAACTTCACCCTGCTTTTCGGAGGTTTCTGTTGCCAGGAGGTCATGGATAGGCGGCTGCTGGCTGAAGAGAATGGGAATCTGATACATCGTCGTCATAGTCACGGGACTGGCGGGTTCGTCTTGCCAAATTTCTTCCTCTGCTGACTCTGTGTCCGAAGAAAGTTCTTCTGGCGATACGCCTGGTCGGATTTGAGAAATATTGTCTGTGTTATCACTAGAGTTCTCGGTCGTGTCTGTTGGTGAGCGGGGTAAAGTATGTTGCGGGGAAGAAGGCGAAGCCATGGCTCGGGACATGAAGCGCACTTTATGGAGTTGCTTTGGTCTCTGTGATCGTTTGACGGGGTATGCCATGAGTGGAACTTGTCATTTCGCCATCGGATCGATAGATGATAGACCTCTTGATATTGTTTCCGTGAGAATCAGTTGTTTGTGGTTAGCTCGCTTACTGGCAAAGAAGTGAGGGAGCTCTGGAGGTAAGGGGCGGGAAGCTGATTATAGCGTCGATGCTTGGCAGAACCTCATCAAAGAAACATCCTCTCCTACAACCTTATACTGCAACAAATCCATCTCCTCATCGGCGTAGTATCACGAAGATGTTGCCTCAATACCTCACGTGAATTGAGCCTCATGTGACTAAATGCACTTTGGGAAAGGCTCCATCCACGCTTTGATCACTAAACGAGCTGGTCACAAATCGGCAAGATAAGGTTCCCTCGGCGGCGATGGCCCACTGCTCTTTAAGTACGCGCTGTGTAATAATGATCTCGGTTTCGTACAGGACCAATGCAATCCTCTTGGAAAGGCCTAGTTATTCGATACCTTACTGATTATGTCAGTCCCTTAGGATGAAATGCCAAGAGTATGCGGTGTGCCCTATCCCTTCGACCTTCGATCCGTGTTTTACCACACATTCCGTTTGTCTTATCAAATTGGCCAATCGCAATGAGGTGCAAATATTGTCCGCGATGCATTGATCCGTCACTGTTCGGGAAGTGTCTGTCTAAGGGATGAGACTTGACGGGATCACTACTCTACTATCTCGGCAGTTGTTTCATCCAGCGTCTGTTCCCCACCAGAGAACGGACGAGAACGTATGCAATGGATTCACCGAAGGGCCACTCATGTACGAAGTCATGGTCTTGATCCCGAGGTTTCATGAACATCCGTTATGTGCCGAGCCTCCTGATTTCAGATTGCCGTATCGATTGATGATCTTCGCGGTAGTTCCTTCGAACGGGAATACTCGCAGCCAGTTGCTAAAGCTGGGGATTTGGACAATCACGATGACGACGGCTACGACGCGTTATGTAGGTTGACTGTGGAACCATGCCTTGCATACTGCAGACACCCCACACTGCATACACAGAAAGATCTCACTTTCGAAGGATTCTACTATCCACCAACCTATCATCTGAAGCTTGTCGTCTCAGAACCTTCGCTTTATCCCGAGGCCACACCAGATTGTCACACTATCGATCCATTCGTTCTGATGACCCTGTCTCGAGACCTTCTTCGATATCCACATGTCTCTCACTTAATGGCACGCGAGATTCAAATTGTCACTCAAATAAGTGACGAATTTTGTTTTGGTTGCGGCCAGAGAGAGACGCAAGCAAGGAGCCAGAGAGACTGTAGGAAGAAGGAGAAATGGAATTACTTGAGTATATAGTACGTGGAGAAGAATTCATAAACAATAATGTCCTATGATCGCGAGTGGTGTGTTCTGTTTCCAGGGGGTTCAATAATGGTTTCATCATGCGATCTATGATGCATCTACTACCTATCAACCCCATCGCAAAATTGATTCCATCTCAACTGTGCTGATCGACAATAACCCGTCTAGTATTTATCGTCCAATAAGATACCATTACTCGTTGCGAGCATATAACTCCGACATCCACAATGTCCTCGCTAGAACCATCATCACCTCCTCTCTCTCTCCTCACTCTCCCGCTGAGATCAACGCCGCCATTCTCACTCACTTGCTACTTTCACGCCCTGATTCTTCCACCTACACATGCCGAGCTTCTATCGGCCGAGACGTTATAATCCGGCCTACTTGCCTGCGTAGGCTGCACGAGGCTGCGTCCTATGGCCACCTTTAGCCATAACATGTTTATGAGGAAGAAGATACCTGGCGGGTTTCAAGCGATCCTGCATATGCACTACTGCCCTGATCCTTCGGCCCCTCAGCAATTATCTTACACCTTAAGCTCGTACAAAGGGCACGTCATTCTCCTTCCACCTCGAGCCCAGCGTATATCGATGCACGCCTGGTAGCGGTCGACGCCCGCATTCGATGCAGAACCGGCAGGGTAAGAGCGGCCGAGGAACTAGAGAGGGTGCGGAGGGAGGCGAGGTTGCGGGATGAGAGGAGGTCGCTACGTGCGCCGCACGTAATTTCGTCAGTCGTTCCGCACGACGTGCGGAGCGACGACGAAATTGGGTCGAGCGCGGTTTTGCGGAGTCTGACTTCTCTTCGGCGGATCCGAGCGATCAGGACGATTCAGACGACGAGTGGGATTGGGGACAGGATGATGATATGAACTATTCAGGTCATTCGTAATGTGCATAGCTTTGGAACAAGTTCTATTCCTACTTGCGTAATCCCTGACCTCTACTCTACCTAAATATAGATTAGTGATGTTGCTACCGTCGCCATTGTAGGCGTTTCAAGATATGAAGATTTGTCGAGGTAGAGTAAAAGCGCGGTATAAAAACGTATAACTTACAGTCAAACCAGTCTGATATTGATTAAATTCAAAGCGCAACTAGTAGACCCTACCTAAGTAATAGAAGAGAACGCACATAGCTACAAGAGAGAAGAAGCAGCGTATTACATCTACGTAGTCAGCAATTGGAATATGATTATTAAAGCTTTAGCTTTTTTTTTAAATGAAAAGTTTTTAAGTCTTTGAATCAATATATATCACGGGAAGGTGATTATCGATCAGTAGGGGGATGTCCTGGACAATAGCAGAGCGCGCAATGAGAAAGGTGGAGATCCAAGACGGCGGTACTACGAGTACAGGAGTCATCGCAGCCATGTTAAGAAGTGTGGCGATTGGGCAACCCCTCATCTGCGGCAACATCGAGATCCTACTTGCATCCCGCGCCCACGACGCTTCGGCAAGCGGGCAACTGCAGTCTCATCTTCACGTTTCTGTGTGTGCGTCTCCTACGGGCTCTCTGCCGTGTCTCCCTGATGTGATTCCTTGAGCGCGGGCTGCCGTGGGAGTGGGAGCGTGATTCCATATGGGGATTGCAGAAAGTGCAGGATCCCACAGGGATGGGGTTCGTCCTAGCGGCTAACAGAAAAACATGCTCTGTGCGTGGCAAGGTGAGGTCTTTGGAGGCGCTAAGAGACTCAAAACGCCTGGGCTTGGCTCCTCTGGGGGGGCTGGAAGAGGTTTTATCGCGGGATATATGGCAGGGATATGGCAGGGATATGGCACGGTGCCCCCATTCCATCATTTCATCCGTCCCCTGCAACTTGGACGCGGTCCGTACGATGGCACTGTAACGCATCCGGTGATACAAGCGAACGGCCATAAGTGAACTATAACGTGTCAATTGGCGGCTACAGAGCGAGGAGGACGGAGTAACTGGACCAAGTATGTACACTACAGTCGTGTATCGTACGTCTCCACATCATACAGCATCATACAGCATCATATAGCACTCAAGACTGCGGTGCAGTGCATGAGGGGCTGGTCTCGAGGTTTGTCGTTGGCTGTTGACCACAGGCGGGGTCGCACGGGGGTGGCTGGGGTTCAATTCCCTATTCCACTGTGTTGACTGACATACGTAGGTCGAACTCAACGAAGCGTCCGAAAAGACAGCCCACACACAAAGTTGGCGCTTCGCTTCAGCGTTGTGGGTCTTAAGGGGACTAGCGCCGTGTGCGACTGCTCACCGCCAGATTTGGGGACCCTCACCAACTCCTTCCCCCCAAAACCTCACCGCAACATCATGTTGTTGCAAAGGAACTGGCGGTGTCGTTGACACTTCTTCGTACAATACCATTGATCACCCCCCACCCCCCCCCCCCACAAAAGCCCTCAATCCGTCACAATGGCGTCTAGGCTTGACTTCTCGTCGGATGGACTCCTCGGCTTAGACTTCGATGCCAGAGAACTGAGATACGCATACTCCAACACCAATATGACAGCAAGGAACTCGTGGCCGCTGGCCTTGGATTTGTCGACAGGCGCCGACGAGAAACATGGCTCACCACCCGCGCATGACGACAACCAACAACAACACCAGTATCAGACTGCCCAACATAACTCACCCACTCTTCTATCGGGCTGGCCTGTGCACCAACAGCAGCCACAGCAGCTCCAGCAACAATACCTCCAGGGCAACTCTATGATGGGGGCACCGCAGTACGCGCCGTTCGATGGCAGCTTCCAGCAGAACCTCCAGCACGCACCGATCGATTACCACATCCCAACGACACAGGCCGCCCTCGAGGCAAGTCTCCAGATGGACTCTCCCTTCAACAGCAAGGCTGGTCTCCAGCTGGACGCCCCCTTCAACAATATGGACCAGGCCCAGGATACGCAGGCTTTGCAGTGGGATATGGTGGGGCTGGCCAACTGGCAGGACTTCCAAAATGCCATGTTCACTTCCAACCACGGCCTCCCCATGCCCGGAGTAGGGCGACAGAGTCTCGGCAGCAATTCCCCCACTGGCACATACCTCGAAGTACATTCGCTACCCAGCTCAAGCAGTGACCATGGGTGGACCGCTGTAGACTCCTACCAGAACTTCGATACCTTCCAACAAGCGCAAAACGCAGCCATCTTCAACCCAGGGCAGACCTTGCACTTACGCAGCCACTCGGATTCATCCCAATCGGACGCCACGGCACCATTCCCGGATACAGGCTTTGGCAGTTTCGAAGAAGTTACCTTCCCGCCATACTCTCCTTACTCACCAGAGTCGGACACGTACTTAGATCTGAACACCCATCGTAATTGCTTCCACGGAGAATCCCACCACCACTCTCATGATATCCACGAAATCATCAGCCCTGCGGCCGCCGTCGCTCCTGTTGCCATCAAAGTACCCTCGACTCGCCAAGTTGCTTCCGGAAGCTCCTCGCCCCCACCACGGAGAAACTCTGGTGCGAGTGGGAAGAAGAGCCCTACAACCAAGGCAACCAAACCCGTTATTCGTCGCACGTCAAATGGAAAGAAGGACACAGAGAAGCGCGTTGGAAGGAGGAAGGGCCCGCTACTACCCGAGCAACGCAAGCAAGCTGGCGAGATAAGGAAACTCCGTGCTTGCCTTCGTTGCAAGTTCCTGAAGAAGACCTGCGATAAGGGCGAGCCTTGTGCTGGTTGCCAGCCATCCCACGCCAGGTTATGGCAAGTACCTTGCACCCGCATCGACATCAAGGATATCGCCTACTTCATGAAGGATTGGAAGGCCGACTACGAACGACATGTTGGCTTGGGCGTCAGTGTCTACAACATCAAGGGATTTTCTGAGAGCGAAGAGCTCATGTGGATCACGCACGGCTACGGCTTTGCCATTCCTATCATGGCACGTGAAGTCTATGTTAGCGATGACAGCTGCTTCATCATTGACTGGACCGAATCGGTACACGAGGAGCCGCTAGAATTCGACATCCGCACCGAGCGTATGTCGGCTGGCTCTGAGGGCGTATCGAAAGAAGCCTTGTCTGAATATCTTGACCAGCATCTCGAAGGCCCCTTTGAAGACTTCATTGACAACCATTTCGAAGGCACCCCATTCATCACCGAAATCCTAAAGACCGCGCATCGCTATTACCGCAAGGAGAAGCTCCCAGTCATTCGCAAAGCATTAAAACTTGTTCTGGCATACAATCTCACATTACATGTTACCATGGTTCAGCACCAAGGTGAAGAGCGCGAGATGGAGGGAAAGATTGATGACGAAGAATCGAAATTCTTTGGAAAGACATTCGCCCCTGTCATGATCAACTTCCAGATCAAGGTAGCCCTTGCAGACATGTGGCGCGAGCTTCAGAAGGATGTCCTTGAGGAGCTCTCTTCATTATACTCCAGTGTCTACAGCGGTGACCGATTGAAGAACTGGCCGACTATCTTCATGATTGCCTCCATCCTCCTCGCTGTCTGGGAGGAGATGCAATTCGACTGCCACTACAGAGTGCCCGACCCAGCCTCCGTGGACAAGTTCTGCACTGACATGGAGACCACACCGGTCGGTGTCATTGTGGGACTCTTCCACGCCATCTCACAAAAGCTGCCTGCGTTTACGGAGTGGGAGACAAGACGACATGGACAACTCCTGAACAATAACGTTGCTGTTTGCGACGCTATGACAGAAATGAGATCCCATGTTTCTAGGCACGGTAAGCTTTTACTCCTGAACATTCATGACAACATTTACTGATCAATTCTGCAGAAGCCTACTTGAAGTCGCGCGCGGACTGCAGGTTTAACCGTGATGACTTCGACTGCCTGTCGAACAAGTTCCTCTCAAAACTTGTCATCCGTGCCAACTAAGTCCGCTTCTCTTCGCTCCCGACGACGCAAGCCCTAATTCGCAGGCTCTTATAACCCGCCCGCACCCTCACTCCCCGCTACTTCCGACACGGCATGCGAAGTGGCTGCTATTATTTCCTTTTATTTGTTTTGATTTATGACACTTCACCCCATGACGCACAGCGAGCGGATTTTACTATCCCTGATTCTTTTGTCGATTTTAAAGAGCATAGCGATTTTACGACACACATTTTATTTACGGAACGTTTGTGACGATATGAGCATCATGGTTGATGGGTGGATAACGGCCGACACCTTGGTCCATGAGAGTGCGCTGGCTCGCGTCCTTGATGGATCGCAGACCTGGCAGCCTTATACAGACGTGGGGAGGAACGCATTGATGCGTGATGATTAACTGGAATTATGGGATAAGATTTTACGATTGATGAAGCGAAATGGAGGCGGATGCATATCATCCATTCGTCTGGCATGGGGCGATTTATTTTTTTCGATCTTGGGTTTATGCATCTAAGTAGATAGACATGACCTAGACGATATTACATATAGCGGGGAAGAAACAAAAACAAGTTCTACCTTCCTTGGGACTTCCGGAAGACACGGCTTGGGATTGACGGATAGTAACATGGCCACATCCAGGGCCCTGCATTTCATCCACGAAGTGACCTTTGTAAGCCCTCGCGCTTCAATGCGAAAGCTGAGAGGAAGCGGTAATAAATGAGTTGCTGACCATCAACAGCGCTTTCCGTCGAAACACCCACCCAACAGAGACGCAACAGGGACAACGTTTTGCATTGCAAGGTCGCTGGGGGCTGGTAGACAAAGGACATGGACGTCACCGCCTCGCTTGAAGTAATGAGGGGTAAGTTAAGACTGTCTCAGTCACGTGGTCGGTGCGTTTATGGGAGTGTCGGGCGATAGGGACTAGGTCCTGCAAAACAAGCTACAATGGCCTCAAATAATTCATCCCCTTTGTACTGAAATAATGAATTTATTCTGATTTGCTGGTGGCGACTATTTCCCTGAGTCCGAGTCAACCTGATCAACGTCAACCAGCCGGGTGACCCTTCTGGCACATTCCCCAACCTCTTATCGTGGCGCTAGCCGTTTCGGGTTTAGGGTAGCAGATTACTAACCCCGTACCGCCCGCTGTGACTATTGCAGCGACTGCGCCATTATTCGGTTGTTGCCAAGGCAGGCAGGCGCCTGCCTGGCTATATAACAAGCCTTTGCCATCTACGACCAACAAACTTCCTCCTTCCTTCAACATCACACCTCCCAAACCTAGCCTTCATCTTCTTCATCTTACCACACGTCGATCGTGTTGCCCAAATCACTCCAATACTCTTCTCTCCAACACAGACACATCAAGACAATACATCACATCAAACAGACAAGATGCAGATCTTCGTCAAGACTCGTAAGTTTCGCCCCCCCTCACTTCATGGCGCTAATGGCTTTCGCCACCCCCATGAATTCACCTTTCCACCACAACAACATCAGCTAACAACGCTTCGCAGTGACGGGCAAGACCATCACCCTAGAGGTCGAGTCGTCCGATACCATCGACAACGTCAAGAGCAAGATCCAAGACAAGGAGGGAATTCCCCCGGACCAGCAACGTCTGATCTTCGCCGGCAAGCAACTCGAGGACGGCCGCACCCTCTCCGACTACAACATCCAGAAGGAGTCGACCCTCCACCTGGTCCTTCGTCTTCGCGGTGGTATGCAGATCTTCGTCAAGACCCTCACTGGCAAGACCATCACTTTGGAGGTTGAGTCGTCCGACACCATCGACAATGTGAAGTCGAAAATCCAGGACAAGGAGGGCATTCCTCCGGACCAGCAGCGCCTGATTTTCGCTGGTAAGCAGCTTGAGGACGGCCGCACCCTCTCCGACTACAACATTCAGAAGGAGTCGACTCTTCACTTGGTCCTTCGTCTTCGTGGTGGTATGCAGATTTTTGTCAAGACTCTTACGGGCAAGACGATTACGCTTGAGGTGGAATCATCCGATACCATTGATAACGTCAAGTCGAAGATTCAAGATAAAGAGGGTATCCCTCCGGACCAGCAGCGCCTGATCTTTGCTGGTAAGCAGCTGGAGGATGGCCGCACCCTGTCGGACTACAACATTCAGAAGGAGTCGACCCTGCATCTGGTTCTCCGTCTTCGTGGTGGTATGCAAATCTTCGTCAAGACTCTCACTGGAAAGACAATTACGCTGGAAGTCGAGTCGTCGGATACCATCGATAACGTCAAGTCTAAGATCCAAGATAAGGAGGGTATCCCTCCGGACCAGCAGCGCCTGATTTTCGCGGGCAAGCAGCTCGAGGATGGCCGCACCCTGTCTGATTACAACATCCAGAAGGAGTCGACGCTACATCTTGTTCTCCGCCTCCGTGGTGGTATGCAGATTTTCGTCAAGACCTTGACTGGAAAGACCATTACTCTCGAGGTTGAGTCTTCGGACACCATTGACAACGTCAAGTCCAAGATTCAGGATAAGGAGGGTATCCCACCGGACCAGCAGCGCCTGATCTTTGCTGGTAAGCAGCTGGAGGATGGGAGGACGCTGAGCGACTACAACATCCAGAAGGAGAGCACGCTTCACTTGGTGCTCCGCCTTCGTGGTGGCCAATAGGCTAGCATAGATGTGGTTTTCTCTTTTTTTCGGCGTATTGGTCATATACCTAGGTGGCAATGGGCTCTTAGTACATACATACAGAAGTATGGGGATATCTGAAATGACCCCCAAAGCGATGGTCACATAATACATTCTGTCGCTATGAAATTTATAAATTTGATATTTTGATCAAATCGTGATATTTGCCAGTTTTAAAAGAGGTAGGATTGTTTGCCATTATCGTGTGAATCATGCGTGCTTTGCGCCATTATCTCCAATTTCGCCCTTGCCACAAAATGACACTACAAAAAGATCTACCCCGCCACCCAACATCAGACAATCCCAACTGTATATTGCAACATCCAGTAAGGCTACCACACTTGCCGTCTCCAACAATTAATTTTCATGCCAACACGCCCATCACCGGCATTTGCCGTTATCATCATCCCCCAGATAACTATGCCATGACGAACCGGGCCTACTTCTACCACCTCCGCTTCGAGCTCTTCCCCAAACCCTACACCGGCTTTGTCGACAAAACAGCTCCCGACGTTGACGGCGAAACGAGATTACCTGCTACACTAGTATCATTCTCTGATTCCCTACCAAATCACTTCAAGCTTCCCGTCGCGGGAGATAATAACCATCGCACCACCACTTTAGAAGCTACAAACGAAACTACACGACATTCTACTATCGACGACGTCACAGACGCGCTCAACACCCCACCCCCCGGACGCCACGGCTCAATAATAGACTGCGGCCCCCGCCGCGCCGACATCCACCGCGACTCCCCCCGGCACGACCTAGCGCCCGCACCGCTCAGCAGACGCTGCGCCGAGGAAGCAGCGCGCGACTGGCGCTTCGGCCGCGTTCGGGCGTCGAGTATACAGATGGGCGAGATGGAGGGAGGCGGGAGCGGGGCGAAGAGCCAGGGGGCGAGGGCGAGGGTTGAGGAGGTGAGGTTGAGGGGGCGTGAGGAGGAGTTGGGGTGGGGGATTGTGCATTTGTATCGAGAGGGGCAGGAGACTTTTGGGGTGGGGGAGGTGGAGGAGGGGGGGAGGGGAGGGAGGGGGTGGTGGAGGGGGACGAGGGGCTGGATACGACGATGCTTTGTATTCCGGCGGTGCCGAGTTATATGACTGCGAGTGATTTTTTGGGGTGGGTTGGGGAGAAGACGAGGGAGCTGGTGAGCCATTTTAGGATGGTTATGACGGGGAGGATGAATCGGTATATGATGCTTATGAAGTTTCGGGACGGTGCAGAGGCGAGGAAGTGGAGGAGGGAGTGGGATGGGAAGGTGTTTAATGGGATGGAGGTATGTTGCGCGCATCTGATCCGTTACTAGGTCCATCTCCTAACTGTTTCGTTTTGTTTTACAGCCCGAAAACTGCCATGTCATGTTCATCAAATCGATCCACTACGACACCCTCCCCTTCTCCAACCAAACCGACGCCACAGCCTCCTTCCCGGACATGTCCCTCGACCCCTTCACACCCACCTCACCACTCGCCCTCAAGCCCCTCCCGCCCCCGACCGCCTCCCTCGTCGAACTCCCCACCTGCCCCGTCTGCCTCGAGCGCATGGACGAGACGACCGGCCTCCTCACCATCCTGTGCCAACACGTCTTCCACTGCGCCTGTCTCCAGAAATGGCGCGGTTCAGGCTGTCCTGTGTGCAGACACGTGCAGCCTGCGAACTCGCTCAGCACACCTTTTGGATTCACAGCCGCGACGCACGACCTTAATCTGTGCCAGGTGTGCGCTTGTCCCGAGGATCTGTGGATCTGTCTTATTTGCGGGAATGTGGGGTGTGGCCGCTATAACGGGGGCCATGCGAAGGGGCATTGGAAGGAGACGGCGCATAATTACTCGCTGGAGACGACGACGCAGCATGTGTGGGATTATGCGGAGGATGTGTGGGTGCACCGACTGCTGCAGACGAAGGGGGATGGCAAGATTGTAGAGCTACCCGGGAGCAGTCGCGCTGTGCTGGGCGGGGGGAATAATCGCGATGGCGGCGGCGGGCAACAGGATCTGGAAATGGTGCCGAGGGAGAAGATGGAGAAGATCGGGATTGAGTACGGGCATATGCTCGCGACGCAGCTTGACTCACAGAGGATGTATTTCGAGGAGGTAGTAGCGAAAGCGGTGGACAAGGCGGCTGGGTCGGTGAGGGATGCGGAGCGGGCAGCGCGGGCGGTGGAGGAGGTGCGGGGTCAACTGGAGGTGTTGGAGAGGGAGCACAGGGAGATGAGAGAGGAGGTTATCCCCGGGCTGCAGCGAGATCGTGATCGCATGGCGGCCAAAGCCGAAAAGGCGGGTGAGCTGGCGCGAAGCATGACGAAGGCGTTCCACGAGGAGAAGCAGGTTGGACGGGGCCTGATGGACCGGGTGGGCCATCTGAACGAGGCGCTCGAGAGGGTGCGGAGGGAGGTGAAGGAGGTGAGGGATGAGAATGTGGATCTGAAGGAGCAGAATCGCGATTTGGGGTTTTTTATTAGTAGTCAGGAGAAGGTGAGGGGGTTGGAGGGGAGTTGGGGAAGGAGGTTAGGGAGGGGACGGTGAGTTTGCCGGAGGTGAGGCAGGAGAAAGGGAGGAAGGGGAAGGGGAAGAAGAAGGCATAGGGGTGTTTGGGGCGGGGTGCAGGTTTGTTTTTTGTTTTGTTTTTTTCGGGGGGGGGGGTGTTGGAGACTTGAGATACCAGGTTGGCGTATTGATCCTGGTACTACTGGACATAAGCGGTTCTGAACTGTACGATTTATGAACGTATGATAAGAATGAAGCATTTTTGTATTGCTCAGTAGACTTCCCGGTGCCATATCAGATCAACCTCGGCGACTGACCAGATCCACATAACGCCCAAACGTCAGATCTGCATTAATACAGCGTCATTAGTGATACAGATCCGCTAGCACGCAGACGCAACGCCACATGCAAAGAAAATATACTGCAGGAACAGCGTGCTATGAGCAAGCTAAGTGCAAAATGCAGCTTGGCCAGGCTCAAGTTGGATAATACGGCTCCCCCGAATCGACCCATCCAGGCTATTCGCCGTCTAGAAGGGCCGTTCCAGCGGGGAAACTAGCCGTTTTGCGCCCCCTGGACCTCAGGGTCGGGGAAGGAAGCAGCGGCGAGGGAGAGACCGGGATTTTCGGCGCGGGCAAGTTGGATTCTCGCATGCCGCCTCCCAGATACAGTGTTGGAGAGCCGTGGTGGGGGCTGCAGGACGCTGTTGGGCAGTTTTGAGGCAAAAACAGGATGCTGTGCGTCTTTGCTCTTTGCTACGCGCAGGCACGCTAGTATCTTTTCGTCATCATCTCTCCCCACATTATATTGCCGACTGATTCTCCCCACCAAGATTTCCCCATATCAATACTTCGTAACAGTCCTGCCTGCATTGTCGCTCGTTCAGATATTTTTATACCAGAATTCATACATGGAGATAACGAAAAGCTTGATGGGTGAGAAGATAATGCCTCTTCGAAATCGCTACTAGCCTGATACAAACATCGCTGTGGTCAAACTGAAGCTAAGAAGCTAGCTAGCTAAGCTTAGTTCTCTCTCCAAAGTCTGCCCACGAAGAGACCCTGCCTGCCAACGACAACACCACAAACGCCCTCTGCGCCCTCGATACTCTCGCGTTGGCCTCGTTACAAAAACAGCCATGGCGTCCGTCCGCCAGTCGCAGAGTGCCATCGACACGCACGCCGATGGTCGCGTTGGGGCCCAGCCGTCCGTACGCGTGGGGAAGCCGGCACATAAGGAATCGAACCCGATGACGAACTGGGTGTACGACGTGTTCCTGTGGACGTTTAGTATTCTCGTCGACTTGTTCTTTCGGGAGGTGCATCCGCGTGGGAGCTGGAAGGTTCCGCGGCGGGGGCCAGTTATTTTTGTTGCGGCGCCGCATGCAAATCAGGTATGTGTTCTGACATGGAAGATTGGGATGATAAGGAGCTGACGGCTATGTAGTTTGTTGACCCGTTGGTGTTGATGCGGACGCTGAGGATCGAGGCTCATCGACGCGTCGCCTTCCTCATTGCGGAGAAGTCGATCAGGAGAAAATTTATCGGGTGGTTTTCAAGACATGTGGGCGCTGTGCCTGTTGGACGAGCTTTGGATATGGTCAAGCCGGCTACCGGAAGTATATATATGCCCGACATAGACGATCGTCTTCTCATACGCGGATATGGCACCAAGTTCGACGGTCCAGAGATCCAGATTGGTGGGCTACTTGTCCTGCCGTCTGTGAACGGCACTGCGGCCAGCACCGAAATTGCGGAAGTCCTGGGTCCCGAGGAGTTGAGGCTCAAGAAGCCCTTCAAGGGCAGTATTGCCCTCAGCCAGCTTACTGGACGTGAAGATGTGACCGAGGACGGATCGTTTTCGAACCCAGAACAGAAAGGCCCGGCGGCAGAGTTTAACGGCGCGAGATACAAGACTGCTCCTAAAGTCGACCAGTCGAAGGTCTACGACGCCGTGTTTGATCGCTTGAGCGCTGGTGGCGCTGTAGGAATCTTCCCGGAAGGAGGAAGCCACGACAGGACGGAGCTTTTGCCCTTGAAGGCTGGTGTCGCGATTATGGCCCTCGGGGCGTTGGCAGCCGCACCGGATAGTGGCTTGAAGATCATTCCCTGTGGCATGAATTATTTCCACGCCCACAAGTTCCGCTCTCGCGCAGTTATCGAATTCGGTAATCCCGTCGAAGTGCCTAAGAAGCTTGTCGAGATGTATAAGTCGGGTGAAAGACGGGAAGCCGTCAGTCAGCTTCTGGAAACGGTATATCAGTCATTGGTGGCTGTCACAGTTACGAGCCCGGATTACGATACTCTCATGCTTATCCAAGCCGCGAGACGACTGTATAACCCAACTGGGAAGAAATTGCCCTTGCCTATGGTTGTGGAGCTCAACAGACGTCTTGTTAAGGGTTACACGCACTACAAAGACGACCCTCGAACTGTCGCTCTCAAGAAATCCGTCATCGACTACAACAAGCAGCTCAAATATCTTAATCTGCGAGATCATCAAGTTGAATATGCAAAGCTCTCGCTCGTCAAAGTTGTATTCCTTCTTATCGGCCGAATCATCAAGCTCGCGACCCTTTCGATCGGTGTGCTTCCGGGCCTCATCCTCTTCGGGCCAGTCTTCATTGCATCGAAGTTAATCTCCATCAAGAAATCTCGCGAGGCGTTGGCAGCCAGCACAGTGAAGATTCAGGCACGCGATGTTGTTGCCACCTGGAAGCTACTCGTATCCATGGCCTTCGCCCCGCTGCTTTACACCTTCTACACCGTCATCCTTGTTGTCTGGACATACAAGACCCGGGTAAACGGCCTCGTGCCCGAATCCCTACCTCTCTGGTGGATCCCACCTATCGGCTACACCGTCTTCCCCATGATCACCTTCGCCGCCCTCCGCTTCGGAGAGGTCGGGATGGACGTCGTCAAGTCCCTCCGCCCTCTCTTCCTCTGCCTCAACCCCACAAGCTCCAACCCACTCTACAAACTCCAAGCCACCCGTGAGCAACTCAGCCACGAAGTCACAGACCTAATCAACACCTTCGGCCCCGAAATGTTCCCCGACTTCGACGCCGCCCACATTGTCGCCGACCCTTTCCACGACGACGCCCTCACCCCACCCACACCCGCAAACGACTTCAACACCTCCCGCCGCGACTCCAACGCCTCTGGCACCACGGACGGCGCCTCCCGCAGCCCTCCATCCGCTGGCGAGCGCCCGCTCTCCACAGGCAGCGCGGGCCTGCGCGCCGATGCGCTCAGTCGCAACGATTCTTTCCACAATATCGGGAACTTTGGGTTCTTTGCCACGCGGCCGAGTAGTCGAAGTCGAAGCCGTAGTTCGAGTGTTGGGGGTGCGTTTGGCTCGGCTGGGTTCCCGGTTAAGGCGTTTAGTACGCTGGATGGGAAGGAGGATTTTGAGGAGGTGACGATGAAGATTCGCGGGGCGATGAAGGAGAGGGGGGAGAGGAGGAGGAGGGGGATGAATAGTCCGCCGGTGGAGAGTGATGAGGAGGAGGAGAGTAGTGATGAGGGGAAGAAGGGGGTTTGATTGGGGGCAGAATGGTGGAGAGTACTTTGATTGGGTAGATTTGTGGAGCGTTTGCGTTTTAATGATACCATAGGAGAACGAACTTCTTTTGACTATTTGGTTCCATTATGTACGAGAGTGATTTTGTGATCTGTGGATATTAGGGCGATGCGTCGGTTACTGTAGTGTTGCTCCTGTGGCACCAGCTGAGGATCGATGCCGAATATTTAAGATGATAAAATTATCTCTTGACCTCTATTTATGAGTGGCTAGCTTATTGATTTGAGCCCTGGGTAATTGAATGCCAATACTTTAATTATAGTTGCCGTAATCGCCGTTATTCTGCACAGTCGCTCGTCACGCTTTTGGGTTGCACGAATAAATTTCTTTGATTCTCACTAAGTTATCAAAGAAGCAATTCTTAGATACAGGCACGCACGCACGTCTTTCAAGACAAAAACACTCAAAGATTGCGCAATCCGTTCTCCGACTCCAACCCCCGATCAAGTCAACATAGCTCCGTCTCTTTGCATGTTGCCATCCTAGACACTGAAAACAAAAGAAAACAAAACTAGAAACTGAAACTAAAAACAGCCCATCCAGTAATCAAAGTAAACAAATCCCACTCAGTTACAGTTGTCGTAAAAACCCTTCATCCGCTGAACTTCCTTGGGCGCTCGAGGTTCAGTTCCTCATCCTCGGAATCCACATCACGGGCCCTCTTCCTCGCAAGGATGGAGTCAGAGTAGCAGCGCTCAGACTCCATTTTGAAATCATCATCCCCCTCAGCCTTGATTCTGGGGTCCTGACGGATTTTCGGAACAGCCAAGGAGTTATGCACCTCCATCTTGTCGAAGTCGGCGGCAGTCAGATTGACGAAGGTCGAAGCATACATCTCTTTGAAATCGGCGGCCGTCAAATTGATGAAGATTGGAGGAGCTGGTATGGCGGCTAAGTAGTTGAGGTGGATGTAGTTGGGGTCGTTGTAGTTGGAGGCGAATCTGGAGACGGGGGGAGGGGCCTGGAAACCTGGAGCTGTGTTGGGGGTTGAGTAGTTGCCGGCATGGAAGTTGGGGGCGGATCTGGAGATGGTGGGAGGGGCCTGGAAGCCTGGAGGCCCGTAGGGAGTCGAGTAGTTGGCAGCATAGAAATTAGCCTGGAACACAGGAGCTGTGTTGGGACTTGGGTAGCTGACAGCACGGAAAGTGGGAGCTGAGCTGTGAGCACCCGTTCTGGCCTGGAAGAGAGGAGCTGGGTTGTATGCACGAGTTTGGGCCTGGAAAACAGGAGCTGGGATGGTGGCAGCAGTCGGAGGCTGGTAGACGGGGGTTGGGCCGAAGATGAAAGTTTTGGCGTGGGAAGTTTTAGCTTTTTTGTGAGCCGCATAGTGCTGAGCAAGGGTCAAAGGAGACATCTTATAAACTTGGACTCCATTCCACATGGGCTCCTCCCAGAAGCCAGGGACTTTACAGGCGTCTTCGTATGCCATGTCAAACACATCGCAGATACTATCCTTCGGGGCTGGGTCCTCATTGCGGGGAATAAAGTGAGAAACTCCATCGATCAGTTTGAAGGATCCAGATAGTCCCGTTGTCTCCACTTTGGGGGCCGTCGTCACCTTAGGGGCTGCCTTGGGGAGGAGTTCCTGAACGGCATCTTCACCACGGAAAATGGAACTCGAGGGAGCGTTGGCCAGGTGTGGGAACATATCGTACGGTTCTTTCTTGATTGGATTTTGTAGTGCAATAACCCTTAGCGTAATCCTGGGAGACTCTTCAATGGAAAATCTCTCCACCACCTCGCCGAGATTGTTTGACGCTCTGCTAGCACTGGGTCCAGGGGCACTGGGTCCATCCATAGTTGGCCTGGCTGCATAGTGGCTGGCCGGGATGGCAGCTTCAGGCCTCAAGATGGTATTTCCAAGGCGGCTTGGTGGGTTGGGAGGAGTGATGCCAATTCCAGGGGTTGAGATGGTGGCCTGGGTATCAGCAGGAATGTTCTGGGCCGATTCTGTCAGATGAAAGTTAGATATAGCATCCCTGATTGCGGAGGTGGCTGTGTCAGTACCATCTTTCTCCTGCTTGATATCCTTCTTTTGTTTGATATCTTTCTCTTGCTTAATGACCACAGCTTCATTGTCAACACCATCTTTGTTGCCAGATCCTGTCAAGTGGAGGTTAGAAACAGCCTCTCCAATCCCATAAATGGAGTTCTCAGTACCCTCATCCTCCTTCTTGATCTCAATTACATTCTCATCCCCGTCTTTGTCACCAAATCCTATAACATAAAAGTCAGCTCCAGCCGTCCCAAAACCGCTCCCCAGATCACCAGAATCCTTACTCTCTCTCTCAATCTTCGCCTTCACCTTCTCAATAGCTTCCTCAATAGCTTCCTCGAACGCAGCACCATCATCGATCTCACCATCCTCCTCGATACCAAGCTCTGCAAACTCAAGGTTAGAAACCCCCTCTCCAATTTCAGAGTCATAGTTAGTTCCATCCTCCATCTTCTCAAGATAGCAGCGGATCTCCGGATTAATCACGGCGCGGATCCCAAGGTCAAGGTAATCCTCAAAGATGCCATTATGCCCAATCATCGGATAGCAAAGCTATGTTCACAGCAATTAGTCTTCCATCATCTCCCACTTCATCGAAAGATCAGATCGGAACAGAACTCACGCTGGTATCCAACTCCGGATACTCCATCTTTCTATCCTCCCACATCTCCTCCACTCCCTTCCCATCCTCTCTCTACCACCAAGTTAGCATCCCATCTCCGATCTAGAACCAAATCCAGAGACTCACCTCAAGCAACGCAATAACAATCCCCTCCACATCCCCCTCCCAACACCACGCCATTTTCACCCAGAACTCCATTACAATATTGATCCACAAGCGATCCATCTCCCTGCGTGGCAGGGGCTCGCACTCCAGCTGCGCCAAGGCAGTCCAGCGCATATTCTCGACGGTGTATGCGAAATCCACATATCCTGAACTCGTGAAGGTGTCAAAAGACGTGTGGGCGTAGTTGCGACTAACATGTTTGAGGAGGGCAGACTCAGAGTTGACGATGTCTTCAAATGCGGGGAAGGAGGAGACAGGGGAGGGAGCTAGGAGGTTGGGTGATGGTGAAGCCATGGCTTCTTGCATGTTCTCTGATGGTTTGTTTGAAGAATTGCTAGAAGTTAGGATTGAATTTGGATTCTCATGCTTTCTTGCAAGAGACTTGATAATTGAAGTGGGTTTGATACATGCAAAGAGCTGAGATCGAGTGTGTTGCGTGGTGGATAAAGGGGGTGAGTTTGCGCAAAGTGTTTGGAAGTGAAGATGAAGTGCAAGATCGGACGGACAACAATAAGACCTTAATATTACAAAGACCCGCCTATTGTTATGAGCGCCTACATACTTCTAAGGGCAGGGGGGTGGTTGCCGAGGCGTCCACCCCCCTCGGTGTGCCTGGTGACCCGCTCCTCGCCCTGCCGCCCCCTGCCGCCCACGCCGCTTTCTTCTGTCTTTCTTTCAGAGCTCTTCTAGAGCCGGCGGAAATGAGATAAAAGCAGTTCAAGTTCACCGAGTTCACCGGCCGATCATATAAACATGTAATACCATTTTATGGGCCATTATCATATGCCCTGCCACAACATAGATTCGTAGCGCGATATCTGAAACTTCCACAACTGTTCCTGATATAAATACACTTATAGACACATATTCAGATCTTCCAGACGTGAGCCATGGATTCATAGTCATATACATGCTTATACTCGCAGACGCTGCTTCCAGTGCATCATTATCAGCACGTCGAAACGCCATCTCTTATTCTCATTTGAAAACTCCGGCGCATCCCTCCTTTCTGGCCCCGACAATATGACGCAACAATGGAACTTCTATTGCAATGGCAGGTAAGTGAAAATCAATTCTCGGACCTCAAATCTCTCTAGCTCGCCGATATAATATTTGAGCCTACGCCAACCGTCCCACAATCAACCCCGCCACCTCCCATGACAATTCACCCCACATATGGCAGATGATGGGACACTTGCAACAAGACCAGCAGCGCTGGCTAATAATCACGCTGGAGGAGAGGTGCCGCTAGGGGGGGGGAGATAGAAACGGCATAGGCCGCTGCTGTGGGCGCTGGGTCCAACGGGTTTAGGTTACGCTATGTGAGAGATGAGGGTGCTGAATGGGGGCCGGAGGAATATGCGCGCCATGTGTATTTATCGATTGTTTAAAAAAGAGATAGATTGGCTTTGGAGAATGCTGGGGGATTGAGTAAAGTGGGGGGGAGGGTGGATGGAAGTTGGATAATGGATATGATAGTTTCAACCTGGAAACCGGGGAATTTCGGGAAGGGGTTGCAGGGCCGAGTTGCTTTGATGATAGAAGAGATTTATATAAGAGGGTTATATAATAGTTTCCAGACATAGATTCGTGCCTTAGAACATGTGGTTGTAGGTGCTTTCGGAATTCTGCAGGCTTTCTTTATAAATACTGCAATATAATGAGGATTATATCAAATACTTCGGAGGATCTCTTAAATAAGCGTTCTAAGGAAAGCAATAATGGTTCGCGTACGACGCGTCTAAATCGCGTCTTAAACGACCCTTCGGACCAATCCCACCCCCATAGGCCACAGATGGATCTACAGATTCATAAAACGACATCCGAACTTTAAAGGCGTCTACTTAAGACAACTAGAGTCTACACGATATAAAGAAGCTACTCCTATAAAGATTTAAGCTTGGTTTAACGCGTTTAAGGCACGAATTGAGGAGCGAAAGTACAAGCTATGTAACATCTACATGGATGAGATAGGTTTTGCAGTTAGAGAGACTCAATCTACGCGTATAATTGTTGATTCAACCTTGAAATCCAATTGGAAGGTGACGGCTAGGAAGCAGGAGTGGGTAACTATACTTGAATGCATTGATGCGGACGGTGGTGCTTTACCACCTATGATTATATTCAAGGCGAAGAATACCAATTCAAGTTATGTTCCAAAGGACACACCTACATTCTGGCACTTCTCAACTAGTAGTAGCGGCTAGACTTCAAATAGTCACGGATTTGAGTGGTTGTGGAAGGTATTTGAGCCCAAGTCACGCAAAAAGTCTAGAAATCACCCGCGGATGTTGATTATAGATGGCCATTCTAGTCATATTACCAGCGACATGATTGCACTGTGCATTAAGAACGACATAGATCTTCTTATTATACCTCAAAACATCAGAAGTAGGTGGAGGGCAGCAGGTTTAATACCCTTTCTCCTAGAAAGAGTTCTGTCTAATCTTCCGCTTCAACCAACTGAACCACCTTGCACTCCTCAAAAGTCAACCAATACTACTACTCTAGATCTCTCAATACTCCGCAGTTCTCCCCCGGATGGAAGCTGCAGGGCAGCTGACAGCGCTGGATGCACCTGATCTTCACGAATCTCAGCTCAAAGGGGTCGGCTCACAGAAATTGGACGACGTCAAGAATCCCTCCATCATCACCACTACCAGCTCCACACCAAGTCATCCCTCCTCCACGTTTCCTGATTCCACAAACAACCAGCGCACAGACCTGCCCGTCCCCTCTTGGGCATAAGACTCCCTCCCTCGCTATAGTCTCACAGGGACAGCGTGGCGTGGGGTCGCGCATGCGATGCGTCGTCTGTCGGAAATCGTATTCCTCTTTCGTAGACCCTGGCGGTGCGGTGCGCTGCCTGCATCAGACATTAAAATGTGCGGTTGGTGCTGGGAGGGCTGGGACGACGAGGAGTTTCGTGGCGTATCTCGTGTTGTATGGGGCGTCTGTTTTGTCCCCGGTTAGTGTTGGGCGCGGTCGTGGGATTCTTTTTTGCTTCAGGGACGTAGATTGACTACCAGTACCTTCGCAGTACAGTAGTTATATCGCCTCATGCCAAACACTGTAGCGCGAGCAGAAGATACTCACGCATCACGCATCACGCATCACGCATCACCCATCTACCCCAAACCAAAAGTGCCACTCTCGACACACGTGGCAGGACCATTAGCACAACTCCGTAAAAAGCGGAACACCCCATGTATCCACACCTGGTAGCGCATCCCCAGCCAGCCCGCAGTGGCGGTGCGAGATGCGACTGGCCGCCCGCCGCCCGCCATTCCCCACACAGACTATCAAGGCCCCATCCCGGCGGAGCTTGCCATGCGAGGCATGCCGAGGGCTGTGGGGAGCGTCGGTCGTCATTGGGGTTTGCTGATATCGCCCTGACCTGACGGGGTGACTGATGGCCTAGGTAAGTGAGGCTGTCGCTCCATTTTGCGATTTGTACGACGACGTGGGGGTTCTGTCTTTACCGGAGAGCTCCGAAGCCAGGGGGCAAGCTGAGATAACTATCTCGGCTCGCTGAGTGGTGCTTGAATCATGCGACGAGACTACTTTTTTCGGCATTCTTGTTGAGCTGGGCTGGGAGGAGGATGAGGGATGGGAGAGAGGTTTGGGAAGTCGTACGCGGCCGCTGCTCGATAGGTTCTGTTTCTGTTGTACAGGACTGTGTTCGCTCCGTCGATTTTGTGAATAGGTATTCACAAAATCGATGGAGCGACCCTGGCAGGAGCTAATGCCGCAAGTGCAGGAGTCGGTAATGAAAGCTTGACGCCGTGTTTTGGGGATAAATGCGCGGCGGTATGGTGCGGTAGTACTATCGATCGCTTGCTTGCCTGGCGACTGACTGACCATGCCTATAGTAACTTGGCGATTCCCTCGAGATTGTAAGAGTGACCATGCACGATGCATACGACGACTCTGAAATTTGTGTTTGGAGGGTGAGTTTGGTGGCTCGCATAGAATGGATGTTTTACATTTTACACATCAGGTCCCTTTGCGCGTGCGCCGTCGGCGTCGGCGTCGCACGCTCTCACGCATTGGAATTGCTGGGGACGCACAGATTGACAGCGACGGATGCACGAGCGGTAGGCGTGTTGAAGTGGCCAGACAGGCGGCCACCCGCCACCCACCACCTACCCTAGTCCAATGCAAGGTCCACATGGCGGTTTTTGTAGGGTGCAGGATGGCAATAAGCGTCAGGGATTCGCCCGTCAACGCCCTGGATATGTGGGCATATGATTGCTGATCATGATAGGGAAGAAGGAGCAGAAGGGGACGAGCGGGTGACAGGGCGATAGAGCGGTAGAGCAGAAGGCAGCAAAGGCAAGGGCACGGAAATCACTACAGAAAGGAGGCAGAGCGGAAGAAGGAAGGGTTGAAATCAAAAGTGAGAATTTTACGGTATAGTAGGGATCAAAGTGATGGTAGTAGCGATAGTGGATAGCGATATAGTTATATAATTGCTGTATGTATAAGGCGTCTTTTTCTTTCCTTGTATCGATTGATGTGTCGCACATCTTGCTGTCGCCACCTATGCGAAGCGAGTGGGTGGAACACCGAGTACTGTATCGTCCAGTGCGGCGGCACTGGACGAGGCGGCATTAGGTTATTGTTGCAAACGGCCAAAAGCCGTTCCATGTCGCCATTTCCCCAAACAAGCCCGTCCAAGCACATTGCCGCCTTCGGATACCAGGCCACAGGCCAATGCGAACAGCACAGCACTCGTTCGTCTTCGTAATCTTTGAATCTTTGGCAAGAGAGATTAGCGTCGCACTGCATCGGGGCCATGTTGGTGATCTGAGCAGGTACTGTATGTTACCCACGCCGTGGTCGGGCGGTCGGTCGGGCGGTCGGTCTGGCGGTCGGTCGGGCGGTCGATCTGATGGGATGGCATTACAAAAGGACAGTGTTGCGAATGTAATTAATGCCGAGGGTGATGCTGAAGGGCGAAGGGCGCATCATATCACCCATGTACCCCTTGACACGGGACATGCTCTGTCAGTTTGTGCAGGAGAAGTACGTGGGTAGGTGGCGACGACGATGACATACTCTCTAAAAAAACATCAATCCTATAGCAACTCTATTGTACTTAATCCACCGGTAAGCTCCAAATGTACTCTCCTCTCTACAAATCGTGATATTTGCCATACTTGCCCCCTCACTCATCATTACTTCACTCATCATTACTTCACCCACCAAATTCTTCCCCACCCCCCTCACCGCCCCCCCCTTCCCCCCCCCTCCCCCCCTTCCCCCCCCCCTTCTCCTCCTCGCACTGTTCTCGCTCCCATCTCACAAGAATCTTGATATACATGTACATTCACACATACGTCAAATACTCGTTGGCGCCTTGGTTATGGTTATACTCGTTGGCGCCTTGGTTATGGTTATGCACTGCCACGGACTCATTTCAACCGTTGGCATATCTTTTTTGTCCACCGCCGCTGATGCTGGTCGATCTTCCTGCTTCCTCTCCCCTCCATCCTCCATGGTCAAAGCCCTAACAGACCCTCTCTTCCATCTGCCCCGCCCCGCGTTTCGGGCTACCCTTGATCTTGCTTCTATAGCGGATGACCCGAGCCTTGTCGTTTTCTGCTTACGCACTTGCACTGGGCCCTGCGACGTCAACCGCCGATTCAGCATAGTATAGCTCCCTTCCTGATGCAGCCTGGCAGCAACGTCACGTCACCATCGCCGCGCACCTCTTCCACCAGACATTGGACCTTCAATATCATCAACACCACCCTCCACCGCTGCCACCCACTGCCACCCACTGCCGGCACTACTGATCTCTTGGATCCGCATTCTTCTATTGCCTGCCTGTGCATCCGTTGCTCAACCGTGGTATCAATATCCGCTTTCCCATCCCGAGAAAAAAACTCCCAATTTCACCTCTTGTGTTATCTCTCATCCCGAACAAACGAAACCCCTCCCCCCCCCCCGGACCCAGCTTCCGTTCGTTCCTTCCCGTTAGGGCGGGCCGGGAGCAGGCCAGGACGAGCAGCAGCTGCGCATATTGCTCGAGGGAATCTGTTGGCTGTCTACCCGCCCATTTGAAGGATCTCTTAACACCTCTTTTTGGTGGCTTATCTTGGCAAACCTGTCTCCTGGAGGAAGTAGGCGATATCACTGTTCTGCTCTCAAACCGGCATTGGCGACCCTCGAGACTGCCTTCCGCAGCTATTTAGTGTAGAACTGGTCTGGTCATCCCGTGGTTCGACGTCTTCGGTTCGGCTCCAGCGCTCCTCGACCTACTTGACCATTATCAAGGTCCCAACACCAACCGCCAACCAGGTTATCTTGAGGAGCCAGACTTCAATCGACGTTCTCGCCACAATAGTCCTCGTGGTTTCAAATGTAAGGGGATTGATTGTTTTAACACGCAGCAGCACCTGGCTCCTCACGCGCGAGAGACTCAAGGCTGGCTGCCGAATTAAAGTGTACTGACATCGACGTTAGATAGCGCCATATTCTTTCCGTCGCGCCACCCATTCTCCTCCGGGAAGTGCCAGAATCGGGCGACTGTCTACGTAGTCAACTGTCAACAGCAAACGCTCCTTGGCTAGATCGACCGAGCGGACGGTGGCGGGATCTACTACCACCCCACTGTATCTATCCCACCTTGGGGGGCGAACCGGCTGGCCATGTTAGGTAGCTTTGAGAACCACCTTGAAGATCAATAAGTTCGCGCCTTCATATGTACATGATCCTCCCATGTATCTAATCGCCTAGTAACGCCTCTACCTACCAAAGACTGCACATCCACGGTTCCAGGCAAGGAACAACCTGGCAGGGACCTCAACCTTAATTCTTTGGACTCGCGGATCCACGCTCGTCTCAGCACCTGCCATCTAGGCCGGCCAGCCTCAAGGGAACACTCACTCCCTGGGCCTGCCATCCACCTTTATGAGCCAGCTACCTCTGTCGCAGCAGTTCGCGTCCGCGGCAACCGCGCATGGTCGGGTTATCGACAGGTGAGTTCCGCGACAGCTTCTCGACGAATCGCAACTGCGGACTAAACAACCTGGGCGTGTCGCTGACCATGGACTTCAGCGCGGACCATGAGCTGATTGTGAGGCAAAAGCCTCTGAATGCCAAGGTCTTCATAGGCAAGGAGAAGGGCAAGTCGGCGCATGGAATTATAACCCTGGAGTATGTGTTGACGGTTATGCAGATCGGAAACCAATAGACCCGCCACCCATCGTACAGCTCAAGATCAGCGAGACGGTTAATCCCTCGCAGAACTTTCTTCAAAGTAAGGGCATCGTCGTGTTGTGAATTGGTGTCGCCACCTACTGACCCTCATGTTTCGCAGGCCCCTACTATTTTATCTCAACCACGTTGGTTGACGATGATGAGAACAAATCGCCGGAGGATCGCGAACAGGTCAAGAACGCTTTGGCAGGCACGCTGGTTTCGTCCCTGCATCGGCTGAAAGACAGCGATAACAGTGATGGCGGGTTCTTTGTCTTTGGTGACCTCTCGGTCAAGATAGAAGGCACCTTCAAGCTCCAGTTTACACTCTATGAGGTCCGAGATAAGGAAGTGGAGTATATCACTTCCATCCTGTCGGAACCATTTAAAGTCCATCCAGCAAAGAACTGGCCTGGCATGGCCGAATCGACCTTCCTGACGAGATCTTTCAGCGACCAGGGTGTGCGGTTGAGGCTGCGAAAAGAGCCGCGGTTTCGATTGGGCCCGAGAGGTCCAGCCTCTGATAACTACGAACCTCGCCACTATAATACAAGTCGCCGGCGGCAGAGCAAGCAGATGGAAGCTGCCAATGCCCAAGAAGGAGCTCAACTCCCAATAACACCAATAACACCCCAATCTAAAGTGGCCATCGCCGGCGTATCCGGCGCATCGAGGACAGCAAAAATTGAACCACCTGATACTACAGGCCTAGGTTCCATATCTTCTCAGGGTGGGATGTATCCCATGGATAACAGGAAGCGCGGCTTCTCGCAAACATCTCAGGCTAGCCTGTATGGAGGACCCGCAGATGAGTCTGCAGCAAAGCGCTCAAGGCAGGAGATGGATGAAGCTGCTCAGCTACCCTTCACCGGTCAACCGCAGTTTGCAGGAGGGCAAGGGATGGGATACGGCGCACAACAATTCGCAGATCCATTTCAAGTCCAACAACCTCTCCAGATGTATCAGCAACACCCACAACAAACAATGCAAACCTTTGACCAGTTCAGCCCGACATATATGGCGCCAACCCCCCAGCAGAGAATTAACAGAGGAGACCAGCAACAACAAGGATATTTCAGTCCGCGTCGCGACATCGTCGAACCCTTCCAAGCACCCTCACCCTACCAATCACCCACCTCCAGCCTCCCCCAAACCACGCAATTCCAACGCTCCCCCGCCCAAAACGCCTTCCAATACAACCAACCCATGCAACCCCCCCCAATGCAAGCACCCTACGGCATGCAACCCCCACCCCAACAACAGCAATACGCCCCGCAACCCGACCTCCTCATGCAACCCATGCCGCCGAACCGTTCCCCGGGCAGCTTGGGGATGTACCAACAGCCTGGCCCGGAACTGGATCCGTTGCTGGCGCCGAAAGGGGGGGATATCCTCGCGGGGCAGGGAGGGATGCAGCCGCCGGGGATGTTTTATGGTGGAAGGCAGCAGGGGCCGGGGATGGAGCAGGTGAGGACGAGCCAGCAGATGGGACCGGCGGGGATGGGACCAGGGGGACAACAGATGGGGCCGGGTGGACAACAGATGGGACCCGGGGGACAGCAGGGGATACCAGGGCAGCAGCAGATGGGTCCGGGTGGGCAGAATATGGGAACGGGACTTGACCTTGGTGAACGTTGATCGTTCCTTTGTGTTTGTTGTTGGTGGCTGTTGTTGTGTTTTTAATCCTTAATTATTATTATTAATTTTACTTGATTTGGGATTTGGGGGGGGGGGGGGGTGGCGACGAAAGCTACTACCCGGAACCATACACGCATGGAAGTCGACCTGGCTCGCTATTGGGAGCTGCAGCTGCTGTTTTTTGGGGGGAGTGAAGATTGACGGTGAAGGGCGGAAGGGGGGCGGGGGGGTGCAGGTCAACACCTGCATAGGTGTTGACGGACTTTGGGGAGGAGGTATGTGTTTTTCTGAGGTGTTGGGTATAGGCGTAGGGGCTGACTGAGTGTTTAGGTTTAGCGGCCAACACCCCATCCCGAATTTGTCGAATGGTCAAGAGAGACTTGTCGGCCCGGCTGTGTCCTCACGTCAAGTCTTCCTCGTCGACGCCCTTTCGCTGGAGGGAGAAGTGTAGAAATATAAATATAAACCAAACAATGGATGGGCTGGGCTCGGATTTGCTAGGTTGTGTGTATATGTGGCTCTATATCTGAGAGGGTTGTATTATTATTACATCACTGTTATTAGTTGTATGACCCGGCTGGGAACTATATCAAGGTCCATGGAAAAATGAACATTGAAATTCAAGGGTATAACGATTAGACTCTCTCAGTCCCGTATAACAAATATATACAAACTCCACTACTCACTCTCACGCATCCGCCCACACATCCGCAATCCTCGCACTCAACGCCCTCGCCACCTTCTTCCTCCCCACCAACCCATTCATCCGCCCACTCACCATCTCCAACTTCCTCTTCTTCCCCTCCTCCCCCCCCCCACACTCCTCAAACGCCCTTACAAACTCCCGCGGCGTCTTCCACCTCCGCTGGATCTCGAGGGCTTTATCACCCGTCACGCCGCGCGTGCACATCAGCATCTTCAAGAAGACGTCGCGGAGGGTGAGGGTCTCGGATTTAGAGGCGAGAGAGGCGAATGCTTGGTACGTGATGTTGTGCGTCACGCCGGGGTGTTCTTCGGATAGTTGGGTTAGGAGGGGGAGGTGGTTTTGCGTCGTGAGGACGCGGGTTGGTATCACTTTCAGAGGCTTAGACTCGTACAGCCCCTTCAGCATCACGGTCATGCGCGTGAGATAGCGAATCGTATCATCCATCTTCTGTGTCTTCTTGATGAAATACCCATTCACGACCTGCGACGACGCGATGGCGGATTCCACCGCCTCCTCGTACTTCTGGAAGTGGTCCGCGTTCATGGAGATCTCCTCGATGATGTATATGACGTTCTTGACCCCCGATTTCCGGAGTCGGAATTTCTGCTCGTGGAAGCGCCCGTCTTTGATGCTGCCGACAAGGTCGTCGAGGCGCTTACGCTCGATGATCCAGTCGAGCATGATTTCGTCGCCCTCGAGGCCGTGGCGCTGGAGGTAGTGCGGGTCTTTGCATTTTGCGACCCAGAGGGCGTCGCCGAGGTCGAGACTTCGCATGATGGGGGTGACGCCCTTCTTGGTGAGCTCGACGCGCATGTAGTCTCTGTCTTCCTTGGCGCGGACTTCTCGGACGTCGAGGACTAGTTCTAGCGTGAATACTGAGGATGGGATGGTGATGGGTGAGAATGTGGGAAGGGCGATTTCGTCTGCTAGCGCGTCTCCGAATGGTACAATATCATTTTGTATACCATCCATTCCATTATCATACTGCGGTTCTGATCGTGAAGGAGGGGGGGGACTCGAATTAAGGGCCATGAACCCATCATCGTCCGCTACACCTAGTGTTGGTCCAGCTGGAGCACGTTGTCGAGATTTCGGCGGCACTACAGGGGCATCGAGCGTACTCTGTTTGGGATCCGCAGTCGGCTGTGATGCCTTGATTCGTGAGGCGACTTCGTATCCTTCGTCCGTGAGACAGTATTTCCTCAACGGTCGACCCTTCTCGGCAACGAGGTCCTTTTCCAGGAGCGTCTTCATCGAATTCCACGCTGTGTAGAACTTGGTCGGGTCACTAGACGCAGTGAATGAAGAGTCGCAGTACGGTTGAGCCAGCTCAATTGTTTGCTGCTTCGTAATTCCGGAGGGCGCACTCTCTGGGATGGTGGACAGCGCGAGGATCAGCGCGTAGGGTCCGGATCGTAAAGTTGGTACGTAGGCCTTCTTTTTCCTGGCCGGCTTCGTGGGAGCAGTGCCATCATCGGCGTTGGATTTCCCTTCATTAACCTTTCGGGGCAGGTCAGGCATGGCAAGTCCATTTGTCTGGCAATGGTCTTTCAGTTTATCCGTCAGTCGCTCGCAGAGTTTGGGTCCGAAGCCGTGTAATTGTTGTGCCTCTGCAGGATGCTGAAATGGGAGTGGACATGACTTCAAGGAGTCGTAGGCCTTTCTATAGACTGTAAACCCTTTCGAATTGCGTTCTCTTGCTGTATCCAGCCATTCTTTGACCCAGCCAAGGAGTAATGGATTGGCACACTGTTCGTCTGCCATTGCGCAAGAATCCAGTATACAAAAGATACCACAGAAGCAATTTAGCACAGGAAGAGCCCAGGGACAGCAACTCTGCCCTCAATTCAAGCAATAGCAATTATATAGGTCGGCCGGAGCAATGGCCATTGTTGATGATGTCGAACTTTGGATATAGTTGGTGAGGTAACCGCGACGGGGAAAATCGACGACGCGTTGGGGACGCGGGGTCACGTGTTGGACCCCTTATGCCTCGTTTGTTCCCATAAGTTACGCCAAAGCGGGTGTGCCCGGATTAAGCCCCAAACATGGCAATCTTCGTATAAAGAGAGCTTCTCCGCTCTTTTGCCATCACGCAGCATCTGTTTCTCCCCTCCCACAGCCTACGAGTTACGCAATGTCTTCCACCGACAATATCCTCGCTGCTTCGAAAAAGCACCCAAAGCCTGCCTATCGGGTTTTCCAATATGGCACGGCTGGCTTTCGCATGAATGCGAGCCTCATGGACTCTGTCGTGTTCAGGGCGGGTTTAACAGCAGCCTTGCGGTCTCGAAAACTTGGCGGCCAGACTATCGGCGTCATGATCACGGCTAGTCATAATCCGCCTGAGGACAATGGTATCAAGCTCGTTGATCCCATGGGAGAGATGCTCGAGAACTCCTGGGAGGCGCACTGTACGGAGCTTGCAAACGCCCAGTCGGACGAGGAGCTGGTTCAGATCTACACGAAGCTGGAAGCCTCGCTCAAGATAAGCCCCGAGACGACCGCTCGTGTCATCTTTGCCCGTGATACGCGCCCGTCGGGTCCTAAGCTCGTCGCTGCGTTGGTTGATGCGCTCGAAGCTACCGGGGCAGAGTACACCGACTACAAAACTTTGACAACACCTCAGTTACACTACCTCACTCGCTGCACAAACACAGAGGGGACCCCGCAATCATACGGAGAGATCAGTGAGAAGGGATACTATGAGAAGCTGTCATCTGCCTTCAAGAGGGCTATGAAGGGCAAGACGACCTCTGGCCACGTCACCGTAGATTGTGCCAATGGTGTTGGAGGACCCAAGCTTACCGAGCTGATTAAATACTTGGATAAGGCATCGGAAGGCGGAATTGATATCAAGATTATCAACGATGATGTCCTGAAGGCAGAGTCTCTGAACCATGAAGTACGTTGTTATTTACCCCACCATTTCCGCACGGACCAGCTAACAAGAGTCAGTGCGGTGCAGACTACGTCAAGACCAAACAAAGAGCTCCCCCTGCCTCAAAAGCCGGCCCAATTGAGCGCTGCTGTTCTCTCGACGGAGATGCTGACCGCATCATTTATTACTTTAGCGATCCTGAGAATGGTTTCCGTCTTCTCGATGGAGACAAGATTGCCACTTTGGCTGCGTCCTTCATTGGCGACCTAACTCGCGAAGCGGGTCTTGCACAGGAGATGAAGATCGGCGTTGTCCAGACTGCATACGCCAATGGCGCCAGTACCAACTACGTGACCAAGTCGCTGAAGCTTCCAACTGTGTGCACTCCAACTGGAGTAAAGTGGCTTCATCACGCTGCCACCAAGTTCGATGTCGGCGTCTACTTTGAGGCCAATGGCCATGGTACCGTCGTCTTCTCACAGCAGGCTGTGAAGGCGTTCCATACCAAGGAGCCCCAATCACCCGCCCAGAAGAACGCTCTGGACACTCTTTGCGCCCTTTACGACCTCATCAATCAGACCGTTGGCGACGCCCTGTCTGACATGCTCCTTGTGGAGGTAATCCTTGCCCACAAGTCCTGGACCCCGAAGGAGTGGGATCTCACCTATGTTGACCTCCCCAACCGCCTCGTGCGCGTCGAGGTCGGCAACAGGAACCTCTTCAAGACCACGGACGCAGAGCGCAAGCTCGTTGAGCCGCAAGGTGTGCAGGCTCAGATCGATGGATTGGTGGCCAAGTTCAAGGATGGCAGATCCTTTGTGAGAGCCAGCGGAACAGAGGATGCTGTCCGTGTTTACGCTGAGGCCGCCACCAGGAGCGAGGCCGATGATCTCGCAGCCAAGGTTGCGGCTGTGGTGAAGCAGAATGGTAGCATTTCATGATAGGCTAGATATCGGATGTAGACGCAGTTATGAGATGCAAAACAAGAAAAGTCTGTTGATTTTAAGCTAGAGTAGTTCCGTTGTTAGGGGTACCAAAATAAACGTTAGATATAGTTTATAAGTTTATAACGTGAACAAGGTACCCAAAGGACTATAGACTCAGTCCCGGTTTCCACTCTCCTGGATTTGGCGCCCCCCATAGCTTAACCACCTGCCCGTCTAAAGCTATCTCCTCATACAACAGCTCCTCCTTCCAGCTTACATACCCAAGCTTCTCATACCACTCTTTAATACTAAAGGATGGCGGTGACTTGCCGAGTTTCTCCCATACACCCCGGCATTCCGGCCCATCATCATATATATGCCGTGTACTAAGGGCCGTGAGTGTAATAAATCGACAGAGCGGGGCACCATACGGCTCTACAATGGCGATTTCCTCAACCAAGGCTATTGCGCGCTTCCCCAGCCTCTGCTATGTCGCTTCTGCCTCTTCGAAACGCTATAATGAATGTGTCTGCTTGAATTCCTAGAACTATAACGTCTCTGGCCCTTCTGCTAGCGGCTAGCAGTCACTACAAAAAAAGGAGGATCGTCTCCGCTTAGAAACTCGCATAACCTATGAGGCTGTAGCGACAGCTATGGCCTGTCTTAACCGTCTTGAACAACACCAGGGCATCCTAAGACCCGTGGTGCTAAGATAATACATTGTGGTCTAAAATCCTTAGACGAGTTAGAGGAACGCGAGTGGCGTGAGGCTGAGGCTTGTTCCCTCCTCCTAACTTCCTCTAAGGCTATCTCTAGGGGCGATGCTTTAACACACGACCTTTTGCTGTCTTTGCTGTCTAGGCAGTGTTGCCAATAGTGCGTCTTGGCAATATATTGGAATGAAATTCCCATATTGTATTACAGTCATCTGGCGTGAGGCCATATTGTATTGCCAAGGCCCATATTGCAATATATATTGCAATATACTGCCAAGACCAATATACTATTGGCAACACTGTGTCTAGGTTCTTCAACTACTAGGATGTTGACGGTGAAACGCCTCTAGCAACTTTAGACAGCTAAGGTTTCCTACCGTTTCCTATGAATTGTCTATACTCGAGTAGGTTCATAACCTTTCCATTTTATCAAAGACTCTTCTTTGCGTCCTACTAACCTTCTGTCTAGGATCGCTTCGACCTCATATTCAATGATCTTATTCTCTAGTTAGAGTTCTATGTTAGTCAAAGTATAAATTGACTATTCTCCCACCTAAACTACCTCAATCCCAAGCCCAAAGCACGTAAACAACCCACCACATTCCACAGCTCGTGACACATCACCAACACCAAGCCTTCCTCAAGCACACCCTTCTCCCTCTTCTCCCCTTCACCCCCCATTAACCCCCAACAACACCAAATTCGCCACATTCATAACCGTAATAAACAACCACACCAATACTGCAAACACCCCCGTCACCCATCCATTCCTGAAATTCACCACCCCAGCATCCGCATCCTCGTCCAGCGAGGCCACACGCGCCCCCTCTACCACATCCGCCACATCAACTCGCGGCTCGCGATCACGCGGCGAAGAATTAGTCTTCGCCTCGCTACCACCCGGCGGCGGTAGCGTCGTTGTAACGGCAGGCACGGTAGTCGCTCCTTCCGTTTTAGCATCCGCAGCCCCCATCGGTCCTTCCCCGGCAGTAACCGCACTTTCCACCACCTCAGCTTCGTCATCACCGTCGTCATCGGCGTGCGGCTCGACCGGCCGTGGCGGCCGCACGGTCATGTAGCGGCTACGGCACGTGAAGTAGATGAGTGGTGCTGAGACGAATGGGAGGGCGACGGAGAGGGCGACTTGGCTACCGTTCAAAGCGGCGGTGAGGCCGTCCTTGCCTACTGCGGCGGCGATTATGATGCTTGGTGTGATGCTGATTGAGCGGGTGATGAGGCGGCGAAGCCAGGGTGCGGTGGTCCAGCGGAGGGCGCCTTCGGAGACCATTTGTCCGGCGATGGTGCAGACGATGCCGGCGGAGATGCCGGAGAGGAGGAGAGCGAGGGCAAAGATTGTTCCTGCTGCGGGGGCGATGGTGGAGGCGAGGAGGGAGTGGATGGCGAAGATGGAGGCGTCGGCTGTGGAGGCGGGGAGGGAGGAGCCGGCGAGGATGAGGAGCGCGGAGTTGACGAAGAGGGCGAATGTGAGGAGGGAGATGGTGAGTTCGGTGATGGAGTAGGTGAGGGAGGAGCGGATGGCGGGGAGGGAGGGGTGGTAGGGGTTTTTGGAGGGGAGGGCGGAGGAGGAGGAGGTGCCGCTGGTTGGGGGGGTGGGGGTGTAGTGTTTGTATTTCACGTCGTAGGCGTAAAGGCGGGGTTGGACGATGCCGGAACCTAGGTAGAGGGAGTGCGGCATGACTGTTGCGCCGAGGATTCCGCAGGCTTGGTAGATGCTGGTGCGAGTTAGTTGGAGGGGTTCTGTGGGTATGGAGTTGGTAGGGAGGGAGATGGGGAGACGTACGCTTGCGGCTCGACGAGTTCCTTCGATGGCAGGTAGCCGCGGAAAACGGAGCCAACGGATGTATCCTTGATGAGGGAGAGCTGGATACAGAAGCAGATGACGACGGCGAGGACGAGAGCCATGACGAAGAACTCGAATGTGCGTAGGCCCTTGAGGGAGCCGCTTGGGCGGTAGAAGATGAGGATCAGCATGACATCCACAATAGAGATGGCACATCCTGCGACGAGGGGGATCTGGGGAATGAGGAGGTTGATGGCTATTGCAGTTCCAATGACCTAGGATTAGTTAGTATGTTGCTTGTAGAGTGTCTGAGTGTGATAGTAAAGGCTGGGTAGTCATATGCGGACATGGGTTCTTGGGAAGAGTGTCTGAGGGTGTGAAAGTGCATACCTCAGCAATATCCGTAGCAATAATCTATACACAAGTCAGCTTTGTCCCACTGCAAATAGCAATCATAATAGAACACTTACTGCTCCCTCTGCCAGCACATAAAGAAATATATTCAGCCACCATGGCAAATGCGCACGACACATCTGCGCCAAATCCATCCCCGACACCGTCCCCAGCTTAATACACAGCGACTGCAGGAAGATGGCGATGATATTCGCCAGCAACACAATAAACAACAGCCGGAACTTGTAGCTTGCGCCTGCTGCCACGGCTGTTGAGTAGTTACCCGGATCGATATAGGCGACAGATATCTGTGCTGGGAATTAGCACCGGTACCCAAACTACTCTCTCTTCTTACCATAAATCCAGGCCCGATAAAACTGGCATATTTCATAAACATCCTCCCCATCTTCTCATAGAACATCTTCCTCTTCCGAATTCTCCCTCCTCCTCCTCCTCCTCCTCCTCCTCCTCCTCCTCCACTTCCACCGCCATCTCCGTCTCCAGTCGTCAGATGACCCGCCAGATCACCTTTCTCCCCAACGACCGGCCCCTTCTCCCCCTTCTCGGGCGGCGGCGTATCGACTAGGGACTGGGCTATAGGAACATCCTCTCCTGGTACATCAAGATCTAAAGAGCGGCGCGCTGTGGCATTTGTGCGGCCGTTGAAGTCGGCACGTATGGTGCCGGCGAGCAGGTTGGGGCTCTGGTTCCAACCTTCGCGGCCGTCGGTGTCGTCGGTGCGGGAGGGGCAGTTCATTGTTGCGGGTGGTTTGGTTGTAGAGCGTTTGTGGGTGGATTGTAGGTAGGTATGTCGTCTATTCCTGGGCGAGAGCGACAGCGAGGTTAACTCTAACTGCTACTTGGTACGTAGGAGGACAATTTGAGGATATTTAGGGTATTTAGAGGTAAGTAATTGACGACCACCAGCCAGCCCGGTATGTTATGGTGACATTTTCTAACCAGCCGGGCCACACAAGCCCAGTCCAGTTCAGCGTGTACCCAGTTACGAGTCAGAGTTCTGTCATAAGGCGGATTTTGGACCAATGAGTGAGTTTTTGTGTGGGCTAAATATGCTTGGATCCGGAAGAACCCGGCGGGAGGTGGAGAGAGAGTGCCGAGGATGGGCATGAGGATGAGGAAAGAGGGATAGAGGATGATATGATATGATATGATACTGGTGACGGCGACGAAAATACACTGCATATAGCACGAGAACTCCCTTAAAACATGCGCAGATCCACCCAAGACATTGCCATGCCATGCCGCGCCTTGCCGCGCACCTAATAATTCGTGTACTGCGCATCATACCCCGGTACGTCAACTTCGGATTTTCAGAACGAAGAGGAAAGGTGAGTGGGTGAATGCAAGCTTACCGGCATTGTGCATGAACAAGCTCCAAAACGCATCCCCCGCAACCACCGAATCCTCCCTCTTCTGATCCGCCTCAATAACCGCAAACCATCTCCAGCGAGTCCCCCTGCGGCGTCTCCTTCCCATTCAATCCCGCCAAGCATACTCCCCGCTCCAATACACCTTCCCCGCGCCCCTCACCTTCTCAATCCCCGCCGACAGCTTCTTCGCGTCCAGCGGGTAGAAATGGTCCGAGTAGATGTCCACCTCCGGAATATCAAGATGCGTAGTGTTGACACCGTACGTGCCATCGAGGACTAGCTTGTGCGGGCCGAGACTCTTGGTGTACTTCGCGATCTCCTGAACCCACGCGCGAACGTTCATGTCGCCCCAGACGTTGCCATATAGCTCGTTGCCCGTCTCATAGGCGAGGATGGTGAGGTCTTGTGCGTAGGTGAGCCCGGTGTAGGGGTTCTTGTGTGTCATGTGGATGCGGATGTAGTTCTTGAAGTCGTTGATGATCTGGCGGTTCGTGAATAACTCGCCGACGAGGGGGGAAGCATCGCTTTGCGTGATGTTGATGCCACGCCAGCGGAGGAAATTGAATCGGCCTCCGTGGTAGTAGTCCTGAAGTGCTGTTAGTAGGGTGTAAGGAAGATATTTTACGTACAAAAGCGTTAGTGAGAGGGATAATGATTCTAAACCCGTGCTGCCTCGCCTGGAAAACGGCCCAGTCAACCGTCGCGAAGGCCTCCTCATTCACCACCCCGAGAGTCGGCATGATGCTCAGCGGGTTCCCCATGCTGACCCCCAACGTCTGGCTCCGGATGGTCTTCGCCCCGATCGTCACCAGCGTGTTCATAACCTCCGTGATGCGGCCGAGGGTCGGGTAACTCGCCTTGAACGGCTCGTAAAACGGCTCTCCATCAGGCGGGATCACGTTCTCGTCAAGGCCGAGCCAATAAACATTTGCACCCCCGCCAATGTAACGTTCGCCGTTGAGCAGCAGCTGAGAGCCTTTACGCCTGACATACGAGTTGCGCGCGATGTTGGCGAGAGTCGGCTGCGCGAAGGTCGCGAGAATCTCGGGCGTCAGGGGCGCGCCGAGTTTGGGGAAAGGCGAAGTGATGATCGGCTTAAAGGGGGCGAAAGTGCCGGTTCCTCAGGAGGAGAGGGAAGGCGTCCAGCTGTTGCCTCCGGGCAGAGCAGCCGCGGCGGAGACAAGCCAGGAGTGAGAGCTTCGAGATGGACATGATGGCCAGTGATGCCATCGCGACTCAATGGGATGGAGAGAATGACGGCGACGGGCCTTAACAACAGTACTTATACTAACAGGGCTGCAATCTCTCAAATAAAAACATACCTTTCCCCGCACAGTTCCAACATAACGAGGACATAATAATTCGGGGTCGTCCCTATCCCCCAGTCCCGCTAAGGCTTCCCAATGGCTAAATTTCGTTCCTGTGCCTGTACGACCTGAAAAGTAATAGCAGATGCGTTAAAAAGGAAGCCATATACACCCATGTCTCCGTCCCACCAGTCTCACCGGAGACACCTCCTGCGACAAAAAATGGGCTTCAAAAGTTTGTGGCGCCGACGATCATTTTGGGGTACCACGGGAGGTGAAGAAGGAGGTCAGTGCATCGAGGCTCGGGAGTTGGCGTTCCAGTGTTCCAGAAGAATCCCCGAGGAAGCGACGAGCCGGTAATCGGGAGAACCCCGTACTAAAGTTGCACCCCGCCAAACCCTCCCGAGGCGACTCCAATCTCAATTACCAAGCTCAACAACACTCCAAAATACCCTCCCACCAGCCAAGATGTTCACCGGCATCGTTGAAATCCTTGGAAGTACATCTTACCTCCTCTCCGCTCTCAATGCCCCGCTAACCTTTCCCCAGTTGTCTCCTCCCTCAACCTCTCCGATGCATCCGGCGGCACCACGCTCGTAATCTCCAACGCCGCCCCCATCCTCATCGACTGCCACGAGGGCGACTCCATAAGCGTCAACGGCACCTGCCTCACTGTAACCTCCTTCACCGACTCCACCTTCACCGTCGGCGTCGCGCCCGAAACCCTGCGCCGCACGAACCTCGGCTCCCTCGCCCAGGGCGACTCCGTCAACCTCGAGCGTGCCGTCTCGTCGCACACACGCATGGGCGGACATTTCGTGCAGGGACATGTCGACACTGTTGCGGCTATTGATGCGAAGACCCCGGATGGAGAGGCCGTGACGTTCAGGCTGCGACCGAGGGACAAGGAGGTGATGAAGTATATTGTTGAGAAGGGGTTTGTGGCGCTGGATGGGGCGAGCTTGACGATCACGAAGGTGGATGACGTGGAGGGCTGGTTTGAGGTCATGCTCATTGAGTATACACAGGAGCGAGTGGTGACGGTGGCGAAGCCGGTGGGTGGGGATGTGAATGTGGAGGTTGATATGATGGGGAAGTACGCGGCGAAGAGTGTGGAGGGTTACTTTGAGGGAGGGGGTGTGCCGGAGGCGTTGCAAAAGTTGATTGAGAAGATTGTAGAGGATAAGTTGGCGGCTTTGCAGGCAAAGTAGAGGAATGCTCACTTGGCACCTTCCGATGGTGGTCCTGTTGCAGAAGCCACAAATCGCAAATTCACAATCGCGCTCATCACCAAGCTTACGGGGACCCTTCTCGTCCTCGATAGTATCAAACTAAGCCTTGGTCAGCTTTGGTCAAGAGTGGAACTACATCAGCTGAAATTAAAATGTATGTCAAAATTATTGGATTTGATTAACGTGGTTTATCAGTACCTTGCGCATATCAGTAACGTAGGTCGTGGCGTAACTACAGTAGTGGGGATGGCCGACCACCAACAACTTTACAACAACACCATGAACATTAACATGGTACGCCAAAGAAGCAGTAAAGCTAGTGAGCTTGATGTAACACTTAATGAAGCTATTATAGGCATTAAGAATGGTAAATATAAGAGTCCGTACGTGTACGTGTAAAGCGTAAGCCCAAGGTCTCACGGGAGTCCAGGGAACCAGGTCAGGAGGCAGGAAGGTCTCGTATTCAGTAAGCACAATAGGTATATACAGCGACTATTCACTGGAGTCCTTCTTCCAAGGCCTCCAGCCCCCTTTTATCCAGGCGCCCTGTGCCCTAGTTTACCGAGCCCTACGGGCCCTGCCGAAATGTCATACTGACATTCGTTGCACTCAGTTTGCTATCAAACTCAAGAGCAAACTTAGAAATCTCCTCCTCAAACCTACAAGTCACCATACATATCTTGGCTTATCACACCAACAACAGAAGCAATACTACTCAACGATTGCTGCAAACTCTTCTACTACATCTGTTTATGCTACATACATCACGGCATATCATTTGAACACTCATTGAACAAGTTATTAAGAAAATCTCCTCCTTAAGGGGGTGGGCCAATACTACCACATGGCATATCTCTACCAACTAGAGGCCTAGGAACATGAACGATAGCTCTAGAAGCTTCTACAACCCTCTATGATTCATTACACATCATCGCTCCTTAGTTACCCACAAGATTGGTTAAGTTATGACATAATTTATCTATAGGTACTCTGACCTTGGACCTCCTTTTCACTTCCTATAGGCTAGGAACCCAAGAGATGGTTCTATGGAATTCTCTTACGTTCACTACATGATTGGCAAGCTAGTTGTGGGTCGCACTTGATTTCTAATACATTTACCAAGCCTGGTTAGTCATGGAAAGTCATGGAAAATGAGAGAACTACACTCCTTTGGCATAAATAGGATTGCCCTTTCCTTAAGAAAGGGCAAGCAGACAATACAGTAAATCGACTAGCACATACTTCTATGTATTTTCCAAGCTTCCAAGCATTGATCTTGTTATTCTTTGTTTCTGAAAAAGTCAGTGAGGTGCTAACCTCTGACTTACCCCTGAGTTCCCAGACTCAACATTTGTTGCAACTTGTCTGAACCACTTCACTACATCACACACCTGATTGCTGCGTTGTGGAATAGTCTAAGCTACAACCCTTTGGCTCTGTTTCCTAAGACAGTGTGTTGTCTTAGTAAAATCATCCCTTCCTTGGGTGGCTAGATTCTCACATCTGGTGCACCCACCATTACATGTCCTTACATTATACAAAAAAGATCACGCCTGCCGGGGACGGCCGTACTTAATAATATCCCACACCGGAACGACTCAGGAGAACTACCGTTACACCATCGACTGCGACTCGGTGACGTTTCGGAGGAGAGACCTGACGACTTCAAATAGCCGTGATTCCAGAGATCTCACGGACAGCCAGTGGATCAGGGTTTGATTCTTCAGAACAAGCTGGTAAAGTAGCTGACGCGTTGGCGCCAAATAGGATACGAGATCCTTAAGAACCCCCTCCTAGCACAGAGGAAATTGTGGACAAGAGCATTGATAGCTACAAGCTACCGGAAGTCAAGCTCTTTCGTATCGGCACCGATACACACCCGAGGCAATATGTCGAAAAAGCCGACATCAAAAATACCCCAAGACAACGATGGTCAACTGCCCAGAATGACTACCAGACAAACCACTGCTGCAGCAACGACTGCTGTGCCATCCGAAGGCACCCCGAGTCGAATGGCCCACCTTGAAGCACAGATACAGGAGGTCAAGGATCTACTAGTTACCCTGACGGCAGCCCAGACCAGAATCCCGTCCACACCGCCGGTGGACGCCCCCATACCTACAGTCGAAGCTACGGAGCAACGAACGCCTCGCACACGAAACACCCCTGAGACAATTCAATTGCTGCCTCTTCGGAACACTCGTTCTCCATCGATCCCTGGTCCTTAACCATGACATCACGTTACCGTAGCTGTAACATTGTAATGGTGGGTGCACCAGATGTGAGAATCTAGCCACCCAAGGAAGGGATGATTTCACTAAGACAACACACCCAAAGGGTCATAGCTTAGACTATTCCACAATGCAGCAATCAGGTGTATGATGTAGTGGAGTGGTTTAGACAAGTTGCAACAAATGTTGAGTCTGAGAACTCAGGGATAAGTCAGAGGTTAGCACCTCACTGACTTTTTCAGAAACAAAGAATAACAAGATCAATGCTTGGAAGCTTGGAAAATACATAGAAGTATGTGCTAGTCGATTTACTGTATTGTCTGCTTGCCCTTTCTTAAGGAAAGGGCAATCCTATTTATGCCAAAGGAGTGTAGTTCTCTCATTTCCAAGACTTTCCATGACTAACCAGGCTTGGTAACTGTATTAGAAATCAAGTGCGACCCACAACTAGCTTGCCAATCATGTAGTGAACGTAAGAGAATTCCATAGAACCATCTCTTGGGTTCCTAGCCTATAGGAAGTGAAAGGAGGTCCAAGGTCAGAGTACCACTATAGACAAATTATGTCATAACTTAACCAATCTTGTGGGTAACTAAGGAGCGATGACGTGTAATGAATCATAGAGGGTTGTAGAAGCTTTTGGAGCTATCGTTCATGTTCCTAGGCCTCTAGTTGGTAGAGATATGTCATGTGGTAGTATTGGCCCACCCCCTTAAGGAGGAGATTTTCTTAATAACTTGTTCAATGAGTGTTCAAATGATATGCCGTGATGTATGTAGCATAAACAGATGTAGTAGAAGAGTTTGCAGCAATCATTGAGTAGTATTGCTCTTGTTGTTGGTGTGATAAGCCAAGATATGTATGGTGACTTGTAGGTTTGAGGAGGAGATTTCTAAGTTTGCTCTTGAGTTTGATAGCAAACTGAGTGCAACGAATGTCAGTATGACACAATAGGCTCCTTAGTAGGGGTAGACTACGTACGGTATAGAGTAATAGAGTGAAGTGGTAAGGGGATAGTAGGCTAACGGCAAGGGCAACCATGGCTGCGCTGTTGTAGAGGGGCGTCTGTAGTAGGCTGTAGGCGGGCTGTAATCTGGTAGTCACTAAGTAGGGCGTCAGTAGGAGGCTATAGACAGTCTGTAAGCTGGTAGTCACTAAGTATAAAGGGAAGTACTACCGTTAGTGGTGATGCCCTACCACAGGCCTATATGCTATAGTGACAATTCTAGGAGGTAGAGCATAGAGAGCACGTTGCATACCTTTGACTTAGGCGATTCGTACAGAATAGCGACAACTCCTAGTACACATGGCAGTGGGAACACCTATATCAAAGGCACAGCGTACAGCTACCTTTAGGAGGTAGAGCTATATACATTAAATAGTTATGGGAGCATATAGGGGCTACGGATGGCAGGTACAGACCATAGAATAGTGGATCCTAGTGTGAAAACTGTGCACCTTAAGCCTAGAGAAGTAATAAATGGGTCTATATTCACCTTAACCAATCATGAATTTCGCCATTTTGTAGCCAATCAATCCTGTAGGGGGTCGCCATAATGTAATATGTTATAGATTATAGATATACAGAGTACAGTCAGTATTCACCTATTTCAAACATAGGATGTCGTTTAAATTGTTGATTATGGCTAAACTACACACAATACACTACTAATTTACTAGGCCAGAAATGGCTCTGTCACAGTGTGACAGTCCCCTTTCCTATTTGGGCACATGGGGCCGGAGTGGGACTGTTAGACGCTAAAAGTGTGACAGTAACAGTTGCTAAATTGCTCGGGATTGTGGCTTTCCCCAACGACGAAATACGAGGGTTCAGCCAAAGAAACAGGTCCCATGGATACCCCACGATCAACATGACAGGTTCCTTAAATGATTCACAATATGAGACGACCAACATGACAGGTTCTCTTTACGACGCTATGCGGCTGCTCAACCCATACTCCGCACCAGTGGACTTGATCAACACGTCAACATGTCAATCACCTAACTCACGTGCCTTCTCAGTGCTGGCCACATACGAGGTGGTGAGACAAATGTTTGAGATGAGTATAATCATCGGTGTTCGCACCGACCACCCTACAGGTGGTCGGCGAAAGCGAGTTGAAGCCTGAAAGCGAGTTGAAGCCTGAAAGCGAGTTGAAGCCTACCAGATATCATAACTATGTAGAATCTAATACAACCACTATCTAAACAATTATACCAGCAATTGAGTGATAAAATTAAAGCTATTCCCAAATTTAAAACAACCCTGGGTCTAAATTTTCGTCCTCCCTGTCCGCAAATAGGTCTGTATCCAATCCACTGAATCTTATAAATCCTGTCTCATCATTGTCGTCAGCCTGTGATTCGTACCCCATCGTTGAAATTAATTGAGTATTGGCTTCTTCTTGAAGCTCTGATTCCTGCGCAATTTTTTCTGGATCTGGAATTGGAATAAGTAAATCAGAAGGCACCTCCTCCTTCGCCTTTAACATCTGGCTAACTTGCCGCTTTCTTGAAAGCTCTGCTTTACGGGCCTCAACTCCACGAATATGAAGCTCCTTTTTGACTTTATTAAGCACTACTCGTGCTTTGTATTTCGCCCTTCGCTCTTGAATTTCCTTGTCTTTTCTAGCCTTGTCATTAATTTTTTTCCATGCATCCTTAGCAGTTAATGGACCAGTATTTGCTTGAGCGACAGAGCGGCTTTTGAGCTTCGCCTTCTGTTGATTAGCTACTTTTGTAGATAATAAATCATACTGTAGAATAGCCAGTTCTCCTTGAACAAGTACATTTTCTGAGCAACGTGCCCAAGAATCCCATTCTCGTGCTGAAGGACTAGACAAAAGACATGGTATTTTACTTTGCCAGTGCCGTAATTTGAGCTCAGAATGCACAAATTTTGTTGGAGTCTGTGGAATTTGTGGAGGATCAAGAGTGCGCTCACAAATCGTATAAACTTTCATTTTCTTGAGAGCTTCTTTAGAATTGATTGGCCACATTCCAGCTTCACGAAAGGACCTAATGATTGTTCCTTTCTTGAATGTCTGCTGGCAGATTTCGTTCAAATCCCGAAAGAATGAAGCTATATTATAATCAATATAAAGATTACGCATAGCATATTGAATTGCCTTCTTGTGCCAGTGTTTATAAGGTTGAAAAACACCAACATCAAGTGGCTGCATAATGTGCGTAAGATGCGAAGGAAGCGGATATGGATGGATATTCATTGAAGTTGCCCGTATAACGAACTCTGGTGTTGTATGACTGATATGGCTGTCCATAAGGAGGACCTTTAGAGGTTTATCAGGCCCAGCTCCTGTATGAATGATAGCTCCAAATATAGCATTGCGAGCTCGCTATTGGTATATCCTGAGTCTGAAAGTAATACAAGCTCATCGCCAGTCAATTTCTCATTATACCAAGATGCCATATGTTGTCGTCCATGTACAATGATAATTGGTGGAAGCACTTGTCCAACAGCACAGATTGACTCAATCACGGTAATAGATTTGCGGTTTTCGGCCATTGGAACATACATCTTTAATAGTGTTAGTTTAATTGTATTAAGTTACAAGTACTGAATTATACATACTTCTGTAATAGATACAGGAACTATTACATCCTCCCCTGGTGCTACTCCAACACGAAAACCAGTCTCGTCAAAGTTATAAATATCCTGTGGCTGGATATTGTGTTGAGTACACCATGCCAAATACACTCCAAACCAGTCTTGTACCGCAGGAATATCATGGGTCGTAACTCAGACTCGTGCAATTGGCTTCGTTTTGACAACTTGAAAGAGGATCGAAGAGCTCTTTATAAAGCTCTGAAACCAGCGCCATGAAGGTGCTGGTTTAGGCAGTATTTCCACTGCCCGCAAGTGGCCAATTGCTGTAAAAACCATCACTTTTGATGCCCCATAGCCTGCAAAATATGAATCCTCTACATATTTGTATATAACGTAGTTCACAAGCGAGTCGCCTACACAAGCTCACCGACGATTTTTTCTTGGCATCATACTTTTGACTTTAAACTTACATAACTTTTTTTTTAAACATGGCAACTTCGTACGAAGAAAGAAGTATGATTCTTGCACTTCAAGTGCTTAAATCAAACCCAAAACTAAGTGTAACTCACGTTGCGCGAATCTACAATCTTCCTCGTATGACATTGAGAGATCGACACTCTGGAAAACCTGCACGATATACAACTTCAGTTAAGTCTCGAAAATTGACAATATTAGAAGAAGAAGTTGTCGTACGACATATTCTTGACCTAGATTCGCGAGCATTTCCTCCTCGACGCAGTGCTGTTGAAGATATGGCGAATCGATTGCTTGCTGAACGCGACAGCGGACGCGTCGGAAAGAACTGGATTTCAAACTTCGTACGACGACAACCACAACTCTGTACACATTTTAATCGAAAGATCGACTATCAGCGAGTTCAATGCGAAGATCCTGACGCATATAATGCGTGGTTTCGACTTGTACGAAACATGATTACTAAATATGGGATTCACGAGGAGGACATATACAACTTTGACGAGACGGGATTTTTAATGGGCCAAATATCATCTGAGATGGTTGTAACGAATGCTGAACGAAAGAGCAGACCTCGTATGACACATCAAGGTAATAGGGAATGGATTACAGTAATTCAAGGCATTGGATCGTACGGATATGCGCTACCGCCATTTATTATTGTTGCAGGGAAAAATCACCTTTCGTCTTGGTATGAAAATGCTTCTTTGCCGTTAAATTGGGTTGTTGCTGTTACGTCAAACTGTCTGGACAACAAAAGAGCGAGGGCTTGATTGGATTAAGCATTTTAATCGACATACACAGAGTCGTACGAAGGGTAGATATCGACTTTTGATTCTTGACGGGCACGAAAGTCATCACCCAATCGAATTTGAGATGTATTGCAAGGACTGGAATATTATTATTCTTTGCATGCCAGCACATTCGTCTCATAACCTTCAGCCACTTGACGTTGGTTGTTTTCGACCATTAAAGCGTTCGTACGGAACTGAGATTGAGAAGTTGATGCGTGCGCATATTACACACATCTCGAAAGAAGATTTTTTCCCTGCCTTTCACATAGCGTTTCGTACAGCAATGATTGAATCAAACATTCGAGCAGGGTTTCGTGCTACAGGGCTTGTTCCGTACGATCCAGACTATGTAATCTCAAAGCTTGATGTTCGACTTCGTACGCCAACACCAACGCCTACGCCAACTCTACCTGTGATTTGGGAACCTAAAACTCCTCACAATGTACTTGAGACACAATCTCAATTAACATACCTTAAAGACCAGATTATATGACATCAGAATAGTTCACCAACTTTGCTTTTACGAAGCATTGATCAGGTTGCGAAAGGTGCAGCGAGTGCAATACATGAATTGACGTTATTACGAGAAGAAAACGCTGCACTTCGCAAAGCAAATGACTTACTTAGTCGACGTCGTCGTACGAAGAAACGTCGATTGCAAGAAGGAGGAGTACTTACTGTCGAAGCTGTCCAAGACTCAGAGGCTCAAAGAGAGGCTAATATACAATTACAAGCTGATTTGCGAGAAAGTAGGGGTCGTACGAAGCAAACTGAGCCGCAAAAACGTTGTTGTAGATGTTGCGGACAAATTGGTCACAACGTACGAACTTGTCCAAATATTGTAGATACATCTGATGATTCAAATGCCGAAGAGTTAGAATAGTTTAATTAATTAATTGTTGAGATATTTTATGATTTCGTATGATGCCAAGGAATAATCGGCGGTGAGCTTGTGTAGGCGACTCGCTTGTGAACTACGTTAGCCTTGATTTGTGCCTCTGAAAGTATCTTATTCTGGCCTCCGTAAATAGGGTTTGGTGCCTGGGCTTTGAGTTTCGCTCATCGGAGGTTCGTATTGAGGGTCTTCGCATTTATATTGAATATTCGTGCAGCGGTTATAGGCTTTTCTGAAGGGTTGTCGCGGAGGAATTGGAGGGCATCATCCATTGTATTAGATTCAAGTACGACGACGAAGCAGTTTTGTCACAAGTGTATAGATGAAAGGGAGAAACGTATATAATTTGTGTGTAAATCTCTTCTTCGGCTATGTACAAGACCCCTGGCGGGCTTCATCTCGCTTTTGGGCTTTCGCCGACCACCTGTAGGGTGGTCGGTGCAAACACCGACGATTATAAACGGGAGGAGACTCCCAAGGTTTTGCATTGATCATGCCCAGTATTATCCATTGACCAATCAACTCCACTCACCCTACACTCATAATAATCACATAATTATAAAATATCTCAATAACAAACCCTCCTCGCCACCATGCGTACAGACTTCTACGCTGCCCTCCTGGCAACAGCCGCAACCTACGCCTCCGCCTCCGCCATCCCCCAGCACCAATCCCGCAACACCTGCCTTGACATCCCCACCTTCCAAGCAACCGACTACAAATGGGGCTGCTCCCCCGGTGGCTGCCGCTCGAATTTCAAACTCGCCGCCGCAGCCCGCTACCGCACAGGCGCCCCAGGCATCAACGTCGAGTGCAGCCCCATTTTCATCCAGCAGCTGTGGGTGCCCTGCCGCAACGTCGATGGCAGCGAGTTGCCCGCCACATCAAGAGTTGAGGCTATCTGGACGCAGGGGCCGGATTATGAGCGTCAGTTCCTTGGGGTGGCGCATATTTATCTGAGGGGAGATGGGAAGACGGTTAATGCCACGGCGCGCACGGATATCCTGCCTGTGAGGGGGGAGCCGATGAAATTTTTGTTCCCTGTGACGATTATTAGTTAGGAGGAGAGCTTCGTGGGCATAGTTGGTAGCGCTGTCAGTGTATGTTTGAGCGATGCTGGATAAAATGGGAAATAATTAGACAAAAGCTCTTGCTGAAGAATTTGTCCCAAGAGAAACGTATCATGGTACACTACAGCCCGCCACGTATCACAACTGCGGCTCATGCCCCATATACCTACTATTCCACTTGTATAATTGCAACGACCCGCGTTATTATATCGCCCTGTCTTCCGGGATCGGAACGTTCACCAGCTCTGAAAGGCATCCGGCCTGACATCTGTGGAATAAAATAGCGGGCCGCGACAGTAATACAGGGGGAGCTCTAGCATGACCCACAAACGAATAATAAGCAGGCCGACACCCCACAAGCCAAGTCCCGAGGCGGCAGCAAAAGGTGGGCGGCATTTGGGGGCACATCAACGGTCTCGATATTAAGCACATAATACCAAAGAGAAGCCAAGGAACAACAACATCTTATGGAGCCCAGAACGGCCATGCTCGCTCACGGATAATGGGTGTGAAACTCTCACACGATAACAATTGCTTGGGAGTTCGCTGAGAATGGCATCTTTAAGCTTGTTCCTGTCAGGTGTGGGTTCTGGAAGCATGCAGCTGAAGACATTACATCGTAGATCACTCTCATTATCTATCATCCTTGATCTCCAGAAGCCGATTGACTAGAACAATCCTTGAAGCTATAGCTCAGGATATACATACTGCTTTTGCATCATGGCTTCGTCCCTACATAAACAGAGATATTACCTCGTCATAAACCCCCTCTCACTATCCCATCTACCCAATCTGCTGCGATTAAGTCCTTCTCCTTCGTCCGCGACGTCGTTGTCGCCTGTGGTCTATTGCAGACCAATCTCGTTTGTAGTCCAACCATTTTCGCTTGTATGAATCCTCTAGTTCTTTGGGAATTTGCCGTTCTAGTACCAAGGGAGGAGGTGGTATTTGCCTTTCACAACTATGTATGAAGGGACTACCTAGCCGTCTGCACACACACTCTAGATAACTATAACCCATTCCCGATTGCCAGGCTGCTTTGGGGGCCGGCCACGTCGTTTAGAGCTTGTAGCCACCTTTGCGCTTAAGAGCATGCCTATTAAAAACCTAGTCTCATAAAATTTTTATGTATCTGCTTCATGGATGCCATATTTCACAATTGTGTTACACACAAGCTCAAACTAGCCACGAATAAGTTCTGGATCTTCACACTTAGCCTTCTAGTAGTCGTATTTACTCTAGAAAGTTTGCTTAGATATCGCGTCGTGAAGGTATGCCTAGTAAATGATGACCTAGCTTATAGTGGTAACGTGGTTGTACACCGAGTCGTGAATGTCACCGAGTCGTGAAACTTTTTTATACCCACCACTGTAAGGTATATTGTATTAAAACTAAAACTATTCAGAATCTGATGAGCTAAGTACTTCTATGACCTCCTGACAAGTTCGTGCATTATGGCCAGCCCCCCCGCAAGTGCCACAATGTCATACACCTGGTTGCCCCTCATTCCTACCAACCCCTCCAGAGCGCTTCTCGCGATTTATTTGCTCCGTAACTGCCCTTTGGGACAAATCATCATGTGCATCCCCTACAGAAAGTGCACACCCTTGACGGACACGAGACTTTTTAGCCCTCCGGCGTTTGCTAAGAGCTTCGTTTGCTGCTCGAAGGGTGCGGACTTCAGCTGACAATAAAGTCATTTCATGTGCCAAAATCTCTGTCCCTTTAGCTAATGCAGTAACAGTAGCAAAAATGGGGGTTGGCGAGCTTCCTTGGTGCCGTGCAATGCGATTTTTAACTAGAGTAGTCTGTGAGAGAGCATCTATTGGGTTGCGAGGCGTTTGAGAAACCCAAGGATCAGCGTCTATAGAGGGGGGTCCTGTAGGTGTAGGAGTCCGCAACTTGACGTCTAGCTTTGAAATGATTACTTGCGGATCAAAGGGCACTAAACCAGCTCCGCGAAATCCAGCTTTGGCATTTTGAGTTGTTATTGACTGGTTATAAGCTGCGTGGAAAGCTATAAAAAAACTCAACCTTTGTAATATGGTTTATATGAGCCTTAATAAAGGTCTCAATTTGACGCCCATACATGCGTTTAAGAACACTAAAGCACCCAACATCAAGTGGCTGAGTTAGGTGAGACGAGTGAGGAGGTAGACAGAGAGTTATGATGTTGTTTGCTTTGCAATATTCCTGAAACGCAGCTGATTCGTGACTTTCATGCCCGTCTAAAACCAACATCCGATATGGTTGTCATACTGACATTCGTTGCACTCAGTTTGCTATCAAACTCAAGAGCAAACTTGGAAATCTCCTCCTCAAACCTACAAGTCACTATACATATTTTGGCTTATCACACCAACAACAAGAGCAATACTACTCAACGATTGCTACAACCATCTATGATTCATTACACGTCATCGCTCCTTAGTTACTGGGCCGATATTACCACATAGCATATCTCTACAACCCTCTATGATTCATTACATGACATCACTCATACTACCACATGACATATCTCTACCAACTAGAGGCCTAGGAGCATGAACGATAGCTCTAAAAGCTCCTACGAACCTCTATGATTCATTACATGTCATCGCTCTTTAGTTACCCACAAGATTGGTTAAGTTATGACATAATTTGTCTATGACATAATTTGTCTATGACATAATTTGTCTATAGGGGTACTCTGACCTTGGACCTCCTTTTACTTCCTATAGGCTACGAACCTAAGAGATGGTTCTATGGGATTCTCTTACGTCGACTACAGTTACCAAGCCTGGTAATCATGGAAAGTCTTGGAAAATGAGAGAACTACACTCCTTTAGCATAAATAGGATTGCCCTTTCCTTAAGAAAGGGCAAGCAGACAATACAGTAAATCGACTATCACATACTTCCACGTCTTTTCCAAGCTTCCAAGCATTGATCTTGTTACTCCTTGTTTCTGAAAAGTCAGTGAGGTGTTAACCTCTGACTTACCCCTGAGTTCCCAGACTCAACATTTGTTGCAACTTGTCTGAACCACTTCACTACATCACACACCTGATTGCTGCGTTGTGGAATAGTCTAAGCTACGACCCTTTGGCTCTGTTTTCTAAGACAGTATGTTGTCTTAGTAAATTCATCCCTTCCTTGGGTGGCTAGATTCTCACATCTGGTGCACCCACCATTACAAGAGGCAAGGCAGTTCAGCCTGGCAATCGGGAATGGGCTACAGCAATTGTTTGTGTGAATGCTGAAGGCGGGAGTATCCCTCCGTTTTTAGTAGTTCAAGGGAAATGTCACCTTTCAAGTTGGTATACTGAATCCGGCCTTCCTCACAATTGGGTAATTAAACCAACAAGCAATGGATGGACCAACAATGAGACAGGTCTAGAATGGCTTCATCACTTCGATAAACATACTTGCAGTCGTGCAAAAGGACCATTGTAATGGTGGGTGCACCAGATGTGAGAATCTAGCCACCCAAGGAAGGGATGAATTTACTAAGACAACACACTGTCTTAGAAAACAGAGCCAAAGGGTCGTAGCTTAGACTATTCCACAACGCAGCAATCAGGTGTGTGATGTAGTGAAGTGGTTCAGACAAGTTGCAACAAATGTTGAGTCTGGGAACTCAGGGGTAAGTCAGAGGTTAACACCTCACTGACTTTTCAGAAACAAGGAGTAACAAGATCAATGCTTGGAAGCTTGGAAAAGACGTGGAAGTATGTGATAGTCGATTTACTGTATTGTCTGCTTGCCCTTTCTTAAGGAAAGGGCAATCCTATTTATGCTAAAGGAGTGTAGTTCTCTCATTTTCCAAGACTTTCCATGATTACCAGGCTTGGTAACTGTAGTCGACGTAAGAGAATCCCATAGAACCATCTCTTAGGTTCGTAGCCTATAGGAAGTAAAAGGAGGTCCAAGGTCAGAGTACCCCTATAGACAAATTATGTCATAGACAAATTATGTCATAGACAAATTATGTCATAACTTAACCAATCTTGTGGGTAACTAAAGAGCGATGACATGTAATGAATCATAGAGGTTCGTAGGAGCTTTTAGAGCTATCGTTCATGCTCCTAGGCCTCTAGTTGGTAGAGATATGTCATGTGGTAGTATGAGTGATGTCATGTAATGAATCATAGAGGGTTGTAGAGATATGCTATGTGGTAATATCGGCCCAGTAACTAAGGAGCGATGACGTGTAATGAATCATAGATGGTTGTAGCAATCGTTGAGTAGTATTGCTCTTGTTGTTGGTGTGATAAGCCAAAATATGTATAGTGACTTGTAGGTTTGAGGAGGAGATTTCCAAGTTTGCTCTTGAGTTTGATAGCAAACTGAGTGCAACGAATGTCAGTATGACAACGGTGGCTTAATGATGCCTAAGACTAATATCATTAAATATTAGCAAGCAAAGCAGTATCAGTATCTAATAATTAAAATAGCTCAAGACTATTTAGCAATTCCAGCAACATTAGCAGCATTAGAACGGGTCTTTAGCTAAGGAGCTAACATTGTCACAAAGAAAAGGAATAGACTATTGCCTTTAACAATTAGATATTTACTATGTCTATAGGATTAGGGGATAATTGTCGACGATGAGGATGTCGAAGATATTAACCTGTATAGCTAGTATCCCATCTACAAAGCCCTTATATCGAGCATTTACTCCAAATGCCAACTTCACATTTCCACCCAAATTCCCAAAAGTCGTTAATCAGATCTGTCATCCACCATTATCTCCCCCAACCACCCCCATCGATCTCGTAAACGCCGCACAGACCAACAAATGCCGTACCACCTTACCATATCCGGTTAGCCCCCAACCCTGAACACGGGCCGAAATGTTGGTGATGCCGACGTCCTCGATCTGTCGCCTCAACATCACCGATCTCGCGAACGCACCCCCAAACGGTCCTCAACAATCGGCCGCAACACTCCGTCATCTCAGCGCCGTTTCTTATCTATTGTATCTTTCTTTCCTTTGTTGCAATCTAGAGGGGTTTCAGACGGGGAGCCAGTAGGATGGCGTTCCAAGCTTCTGCCTTGCCTGTAGGTTTTTTTTGTCCCAACAACCCGTCTTGCAATTGCGGAGGAACAGGGAGTGTGATGAGTGCAGTGTGCTGATTTGTGGTCTACAGAGCGTTGCTGCGGCTACGACGGAGCTATGGCCGTCGATGGTTAATGTGATGGGTGCGCCGTTGCGGAGTGCCGGCTCGAGGACACATTCGAAGCAGTCTAGGCCTTCGCAGCGGTCGGAAATTGCGCAGCCTCAAGCGGCGACGGTTATACAAGTAAGCTTAATCACACTCTTGCTACTTCTTCATCAACCCAGGCGGCCTTGTTCAGCGCATTGATACTAACCCGACTTCTCCAGCCATCGAAACCTGTCCTCCCAGAGTGTCTCCAGACCGCCCGCGGCCTGACCTCACAACTCTGCGAATATCGAAATGCGGCCTTCACCCCCTTCACCGCTCGCGACACCCTCTCCCCAATGCGCCGCGGCACCATCGCCGCCGCCAACCCCCTCGCCCGCCGTCTCCCCACCACCCTCCTCACGTCCAGACAAATAAGCAGCATCACCGCCTTCCGCCTCTCTCAGCCACGCACACCCTTCACACGCATCGTCAAGCCCCAGCACCGCACCGTCTTCGGCGCCAACACCTCCCGCAACCTGCTGGCGCACATGGAGGAGGTGGCGAACAAGAACCCCAATAGCGCTACAGCACAGAATGCGTTTTACCAGGCGCTGCTGCGCGCGAACTTGGGCGCGATTGTGGTGGAGCGGTATCAGAATGGACATTTTGCGTCCAACAACGCGTGCGAGTCTGCGTATCAGAAAGCGCTTTCTGAACTTGGTGGTGGCGCGGGGTTTGGTGTTGGTAATGATGTGGGCGGGTTTGGAGGGATGGCGAATAATGCTGGGGGGCTGAACAATTCGCAGCTCCAGGCTATTGGACAAGCTGTCGCGGCGTCGTCGAGGGGGGGAATGTGGCGGTTTCGAGGGGGCGGAATGAGGGGGGGAGTGGTGTGAAGGAAAGTCCGCTTTATGTTGTTGTTGAGGAGACGATTGGGAGTGTGATTTTCAAGTGGGTGAAGCTTGTGCTTTACTTTGCGCTGTTCACCTATGTCTGTTTTGCGCTCCTCACGGTACTGATTGAGTCGGTGGGGATATTCAAGAAGGTGGGGAATGCGAAGACGGATAATGAGGCCAAGGTTGAGCACCAGAAAGTTCGCTTCTCTGATGTGCATGGCTGCGACGAGGCCAAGGAGGAATTGCAGGAGCTTGTGGATTTCCTCAAGAACCCGGGCAAGTTCTCGACTCTCGGTGGCAAACTTCCCAAGGGTGTTCTCCTCGTCGGCCCTCCCGGTACCGGAAAGACTCTCCTAGCACGCGCGGTGGCTGGCGAGGCAGGCGTCCCCTTCTTCTTCATGTCCGGCAGTGAATTCGACGAGATCTACGTTGGTGTCGGCGCCAAGCGCGTCCGCGAGCTCTTCGCAGGTGCCAAATCAAAGTCTCCTGCCATCATCTTCATCGACGAGCTCGACGCCATAGGCGGCAAGCGCAGCGCCCGCGACGCATCATACGCTAAGCAGACGCTCAACCAGCTCCTCACCGAACTCGATGGCTTCGAGCAGAACAGCGGCGTCATCATCCTAGCCGCGACCAATTTCCCGGAGACCCTCGACAAGGCGCTCACGCGCCCCGGCCGCTTCGACCGTAACGTCGTCGTTGGGCTCCCTGATGTTCGCGGGAGAATGGCTATCCTCAAGCACCACATGACCAACGTCGTCAAGGGGTCTGACGTGAACCTCGAGCAGCTCGCAGCCGGCACCCCCGGCTTCTCCGGCGCCGAGCTCGAGAACGTGATCAACCAAGCCGCCGTGCACGCCAGCAAAGCCAAGGCCCTCGCCGTGTCAATGAAGGACTTCGAGTGGGCCAAGGATAAGGTCATGATGGGCGCCGAGAAGCGTAGCATGGTTATCACGGACAAGGAGAAGGAGATGACGGCCTACCACGAGGCCGGGCACGCGCTCGTGGGTATGTTCACCAAGGGCGCGAATCCCCTGCACAAGGTTACTATCATGCCGCGCGGCCAGAGCCTGGGTATGACTATGCATCTTCCGGAGATCGATAAGTACTCCAAGACCATGAGCGAGTACCGCGCCCACATCGACGTGTGTCTCGGTGGGAAAATGGCTGAGGAACTCATTTACGGCGCTGACCAGGTTACCAGTGGCGTTTCAGGCGTAAGCACCCCCCTTCCCCCCATCTTACCTCCCTCCTATGCAGACTCAACTAACACCCCCCTTAGGACCTCGAAAGCGCAACCCAAATCGCCTACGCCATGGTAACCCAATTTGGCATGTCCGCCGCCGCCGGCAACGTCGACCTAAACACAAACTACAACCACCTCTCCTCCGAAACCAAACAACTCATCGAATCCGAAGTGCGCCGCACCATCGAAGAAGGCCGGCAACGCGCGCATGCCTTGCTCGTGGAGAAACGCAAGGAGCTTGACCTCCTTGCCCGGGCGTTGGTGAATTATGAGACCCTGGATAAGGAGGAGGCGTTTAAGGTTATTAGGGGCGAGAAGTTGGAGGGGAAGTTACTCATGCCGAGTGGCAGTATTAAGAGGCCGGAGGCAACGGGAGGGCAGGGGGCGGAGATCCCGCTAGCTCCGATTCCGGGGAGTAAGGCGGCGGATGCGGCGCCGGGTGGGGGGGAGCCGCCGGAGGGGGGGGTTATGGCGTGAGTGTGAGGGGACTACGTCGTGGACTCATGTACCGGGGGGGGCACAAAGTTTGAATATCAAAACGGTGCAGGTGGATGTCTCTGCGCTATAGCGTGGTGAGGGGGCATTAGAAAGGCTACAGCGCTGAGAAAGGTTTCCTTTGTGCATGGGGTGGCATAGCGAGGGGTGCTGCGATCACTTTACTTAATTGTGGTGGCTGTAGTGGTTGTATTTATAAAGGTTTACTTTTCTCTACCTTGGTTGTATTATACAGCGTGATATGTGCAGCGTTTCGACTATCTGTCTACCTGGTCTCGTTTGGTGTTGAGAAGTATGTATGCATAGAACTCCGTGTACCTGGTGGTGCTGTGTTGGTATATCCCTCGTTCATTATTAGACGCCAGTTGTTGTACCCATCCCTTGCGCGCCAGAAACAGCAATTGCAAAACCCATCCATGAATCCCATAAACTCCTTTCACGCCCCCCCCACCACCTATCCCCACACACAGAAGCAAAACCCCACTCCCTAAAACTCCTCATCCTCCATCCCCTCCTCCCACCCCTCATCCACATCCACATCCACATCCTCCTCCTCCTCCAACTCTTCCAACAAGTCATTCCCCACCCCCCCCTCCCCATCCACCCTATAATCCTCCGCGGTACTCTCCGCATCCCCCTCCTCCTCAACCTCCTCCACACTCGGCGCCACACTTGTCGCCTTACTCCCCGGCCCCTCAAAGATGCCCCTAATAGCATCATAATTAATTCTCTTACTCCACGTCCTCTCCTTGAGCACCTCCACCGCGGCCTCCGCCGGCGAACTCGCCGCCCTCGTCTGGCCCTCCCCAATACGCGGCCTTTTGACCCTGTTGCGTCGCGCTTTGGGGGCTTTGTCAGCGATTTTTTGGTTGTATAATTTTACGGCCTGATCGCGGAGCCAGTCTTTGTTGGCGTTAACCCAGATGTGCTCTTTGATCGCTGCTTCGGCTTCGGAGAGGAGACAGTTTGCTACTTCGGGGTCGTCGGCGAACTCGGACTCGTCGACTGAGGCGGTCATGGGGATCGAGACTTGTGGTGCTTGCGCGTAGGCGAGCATGGCGTGGACGCGCGCGCGTTGCTCGGCGGTGGCGAAGGCTTTGGCGTGCTCGATTGTGTGGGGGTCCGCGATCATCTCCGAGATCTCGTCTTCGATTTCTTCTTCGTCTTCTTCCCACGCTTGGTCGACTACTGATTTCGCAGCGGACGGGGGGGTCGGTGAGGTGGCCTTGCCGTTTGATTTCCCGGGGGAGCCAGGCGAGGCGGAGGTCTTGAGCGGGCCGTCGCCGGGGGGGAGGGCCTCGCCGTATTGTGCTACGAGGCGGTTGAGGGAGGCGTCGTTGTCGGTGTTTTCGAGCAGCGCGGGGTCGATGGGAATAGCGCGCGCCGCAGGGAGGGGAGGGACAGCGAAGCCATCAGCGTCGCGGCGGACGGTGCCGGAGGGGTTGATTTCGAGCCCCGGGTCGATGGAGGAAGCGACGCTGGACTGGCGGGACGCGGAGTCAAGGATGCGCTGGATCTCTGATTCCTCGTCGTCCCCCTCTGGTCCCTCGAGCGGGTGGCGCTTTCGCTTGCGCTTCTTCTTGGTCGCGATGTAGGACTCGGATTGCTGGTAGAAAGCGGGCGGGTCGTGTGCGGACTCGAGGAATTGGTTGCTGAGGAACTGTTCGACGGTGAGGTCGCTGCTGGCGGTGACTTTGAATTCTTCGAGGCGCTTTTGGATCGTTGCGGTGGTGACTTTGACGATGTAGACGACTTCCTTGACGGTGCGGCGGAAGTTGTGCATGCGTGCTGCGAGGATCAGACACGCGCCGCAGATGCCGGAGGGTCGGCGGCCCATGACCATCCAGTCGAGGCTCATGCGCTGGACGAGACGGACGGCGGATTCGGCGACTTTGGTGGTGTCTTGGCCGAATTCGAGTTTGGTTGCGAATCGGTAGATTAGATCTTCTGGTAGGACTGGCATGATGCCGTCTGCACTGATCGAAATCTTCTGGTGGAGTGCTTTGAATGTGTGGCCGAGCTTGAAAACATTGACCTGTCAAGACGTCAATATACTTCCCCTGAATGTAGAGGGGAATAACTTACTCCGCAAGAGTCCGCAAAGTCGATCAACATGACCCTACAAGGTCTCTCCTTACGCGCTGCCGTATACAGACATACAGCAGCAACTGTATTCATCCTCCTTCCCTGGATAAAGTTGTTCATAGCAGCAAGCTTGAAGATCTGCACGCCACTGTTGAGCACCGACTCTGGAATCTTATGTTCCCCCGCGAAACCCTGCATAATGCGTTTTCCTATGTCTCAGTTAGTAACCATATCCCTTCAGCCCTTCTCCACGAGTTTTCACATACCCTCTCTAAGCGTCTTCTCCCTATCTTCAGTACCCCCACCAGCTCTCTGGAACGCAGGACCCATACTCTTCGCCGCCCCCGACCCTGCGCCCACAAAACTACCCTGCACGACTGCCGCCCCCGACGAGCTCTCTCCAAACTGGATCTCCGACACTATCGTCGACTCCTCCACGATAGTACCACAGGTCTTACAGATCCCATCTTCGATCTTGGGCGCCGGGCAGGTCTTGTTGGGGCATAGCCTGCGTGCCTTCGCAGGGCCGACAGGGGGAGGTGGGCGCGCCACGGGTGTCGGGGCACGAATGGGCTTGATGGTGCTGAGGGGGTTGGGCCGTTTGACCTTGGGGGGATTTGGGGTTCGCCCCATGGTGGATGGGGGGATGGTGGGATTGGCAGCTTCTTGGGGTGCTTGGCTGGCTACCCCGCAGTGTATTGATCGTCGCGAGATTATCGGAGTTGTCGTGGTGGTTGCGTGAGTTGCCTCAGGTGGATTGAGAGCTAAATAGCTACTCTGATCAAAGTGATAACTTTATGGATGGTCGAGGTTGGGGATGTTGGATGGATGCGGGTGTGTAGTGGTGATGAGGAAGGTCAAGAGTCTCGAAATCGGGTGGTGGGCTGGTTCAGATGAAATTTCCTGGCTTGTGGGGTTTGGCGGTCGGGGGAGGTTAAGCGAGTTTTTTTTTAAACTTTTTCTGGAGTGGAAAGCAAAAGCTTCGCTTAGCCTTGTGGAGGTGAATTTTGGCAGGACAACAACTCTGCCTGTTGTGGTTTTGGTAATGGGAAATATGGAGCTGGGCGTGCAATATTAAATTTATGATTTTTATACCTGTAGTAATTCTGATGCTGATTCACTTGCAATGCAGACAAATAGATATATATATATATAAAAACTGCAAAAAAAGAATACCGTAGACGAGTTAACTCGTCTGAAGGGTTATAGTCCCTTCGCCCGGAATCGAACCGGGGGCCCCCGGATGGTTTGCGTTACATTACAGTCCGATGCTCTAATCCAACTGAGCTACAAAGGGGTATTGGTGATGGGTTACGGCTTATGGAGATACTTGAATGCTATGCAGAATGCACTCATCACGTAGTATATTTGCAATCCATACATTCATTATATAGATTATCCTTGGTAAAAACTCTTTGTTCGCCAGCCGTACAATAGCCCCTAACTCCAAACCTTTCCTATTCCTTAAATCCAGATGTCTAACCAGCGGCAATATCCTTCTGCTGTTCTTCCCAATTACCCTCTTCCTCAGCATCCTCATTCACTTCCATCTCCGCATCTCCCTCCAACCCCTCGCTATCCCACTCATCCACATCCATCTCATCGTACTCATCATCATCATCTTCCTCCTCGCCGTCCTTCTTGGCACCTGCACCGCTGGCCTTCTTCTCCCTCTTCTTCCTCTCTACGTTCTCCTTCTGAATCTTCTTCCTCGCCTCCTTCTCTTGTCTCCTCTTCTCCCAGACCTTATCCATCTCCTTCAGCTCTGCGGCGGTCTTGTTAATGTACTCGTGCCACATAACCTTTCCGTTGCATACACCCTCCTCGACCTTGGTCATGCGAAGTCTCATCCGCGGGCCCAACTCAACGAGCTTGACCGCACGCTTCTCAACACCAGGTGCATCACCCTCTTTTCCTTCCGCGGCTCTCGCGCGTTGCCTCGCCTTGCTGTTAAGAACCTTTCTAGTCGTAGACTCCAGCATTTCAACCTCCGCATCCGTCTCCACCTCACTTCCAGACGTCGCATCAGTCATGTACCCTTCACCGTTCTCGCCGCCGATCATGAAATCCGCAATATCCTCCAGCTTTCCCAGATTCGGTAAGCTAGCCTTGCTCTTCTTGTTGTTACCCTGGTGCAGCAGCTTCTCGGCGGCGTTCAGGCGGCGCAGCGGTCGTGACAGGCCCGTCTTCTTGGTTGTGATGGCGTAGTGGCGGAGGTTGATAACGTATGAGCTGTCATCGTTCGGGTCGATTACGCGGTTCAGAAGGAGAACGCGGCGGATGGATGAAAGTGGTGTGGTCTGGGGGGAGATGGGTGGGAATAGGGACTGGAACATGGTGGTTGTGAGGGACTCGAGGTGGCGGGGGACTTTGTTCTTTGACTCGGCCTTTGATTCATCTACAGCTGGGGCTGTGAAGTTGTTCATGACGAGCTGGGGTGGGTTAGTTATATTCAATCTATGGGAGTGCGCTCAACATACCAGCGGCGGCGACAGGTATTCCTTTCCACCTCCCTTCGGGTGCTTAAGTGCCTTCTTAACATCCTTGCAGAGGGAGTATTTCTCGACTCTGAAGTGAAGCGTTGGTCCTCTCGGCGTAACAGTCAAGCGCATGTTCGTGTTCCCAGACTCCGACCTCGAGAAGAGCATAAGATGAGACACACCCAAGGGGCCAGCCATCGTGAGATAATCCCGCAGCCTATTCGATCTCCTCTCCTTCAGCCTCGCGGCAGTGCCAGGCTCCATCATCAATCGTACATCCTTGACCAACTGGCTTACACTCGGTCCCACCTCGCCAGCGCCAATGCGAATAACCATGCTCTTCGGCGTGCGATTGACCTGGTTCGCAGTGACGGCCTTGTTCTCACCACCCTTGGCCCCGACATGAGTGCGCTTCTTGGTGCGTTTATGTGCCATTTTTGCGTCGTTTTGCAAGCTGGCAGTTGCAGTTGGGGTTATGAAAAGTCAGGAATAATTTCGAGGCTGTAGTAACTTTGTGTTACAAATTAGCGCAGGGATTGAGATAAGCTGATAAAGATTTTCTCCCGATGCACAACTTTCTTCGCTGGACCGTTACTGGGACGTTTTTGAACATTAAACACCACAATGTCGTCTGTAGTTAAAAAAAGGAAGATTACTAAAGATGTTGCATCTGGAGATGTACCAAAGACGACGAAAACAGTAGAGCCAGCAGCTTCGACGAGGAGTAGCAGCTCCCCCACACCTGAAGCCTCCGAGAAGGCGGGCGATGTAGAAGTCGACGCAGAAGATGTTGCGCCCAAGACATTCAAAGACCTCGTACGGACCCAGATAGACATTTGACATGCTCAATGCTAATTCCTTACAGGGAGTCATTGACTCGTTATGCGAAGCCTGCGAATCCCTTGGGTACAAGAGCCCAACCCCAATCCAGCAAGAATCGATCCCCCCCGCCTTAGCTGGACGCGATCTCATCGGCCTCGCAGAGACTGGTAGTGGAAAGACAGCGGCATTTGCTCTGCCAATTCTACAGGCTCTGCTAGATAAACCGCAGCCTCTGTTTGGGCTTGTTCTCGCCCCGACCCGTGAACTGGCATACCAGATTTCCAAGTCCTTCGAGGGCCTGGGGATTCTCATCTCAGTCCGATGCGCCGTCATAGTCGGTGGCATGGACATGGTTACCCAATCCATAGCACTAGGCAAGAAGCCACATATCATCGTTGCGACACCCGGTCGTCTCCTTGACCACCTGGAGAACACCAAAGGCTTCTCTCTCCGCGCCCTAAAGTACCTCGTCATGGACGAAGCCGACCGTCTCCTCGACCTCGACTTCGGCCCAATCCTCGACAAGATCCTCAAAGTCCTCCCCCGGGAGCGCCGCACCTACCTCTTCTCCGCCACCATGTCCTCCAAAGTCGAGTCTCTCCAGCGCGCCTCCCTCCGCGACCCCCTCCGCGTGCAAATCAGCACCAACAAGTACCAAACTGTCTCGACCCTCCTCCAGAGCTACCTCTTCATCCCCCATCCCCACAAGGACACCTACCTCATCTACCTCCTCAACGACTTCGCCGGCCAGTCCGCCATCGTCTTCACCCGCACCGTGAACGAGACGCAGCGCCTCGCTATCCTGCTGCGCACCCTCGGCTTCGGCGCCATCCCGCTGCACGGCCAGCTGTCGCAGTCGGCGCGTCTGGGCGCACTTAACAAGTTCCGCGCTGGATCGCGCGAGATTCTCGTTGCGACTGATGTTGCGGCGCGTGGTCTTGATATTCCGTCAGTTGATGTCGTGCTGAACTACGATCTTCCACCTGATAGCAAGACGTATATCCATCGTGTGGGTCGTACAGCGCGTGCGGGGAAGTCGGGTCATGCGATTAGTATCGTTACGCAGTATGATGTGGAGATCTGGTTGAGGATCGAGGCGGCGTTGGGGATGAAGCAGAATGAGTATAAGTATGTTAAGGATGAGGTTATGGTGTTTAAGGCGAGGGTGGAGGAGGCACAGAGGCATGCGAGGAACGAGATGAAGAATCTACATGAGGATCGTGGGAATAAGGGAGCTGTGCTGAAGGGAAGGAGACCGGCGAAGCCTGGGAAGAGAGGGAGAGATGAGATGGATAAGGAGGAGGGTTAAATTAAAGCTGAAAATAGGGCTGGGTCTGGGATGTGGAGTATGGTGGCTTGCACGATTATTGTATATTATTTAATGGTATTCCTGGGTATCTTAATTAAGCTCCAATGAAGCGACGCCACAATAGATTCCAACTTTTAAGACTCAAACCTGCCCCCTATTAAGCCTTCAACCGCCAGGTTGAAGGCTTATCATTTTGCGAGTCTTTGAGCAAAAAGCTACAACAGAGTATCAGTAAATGTCACATCATACCAACAGGGAGCTTGCTTACTTATAAAACAACACAGTCGGAAACACCGTCCCCAGATGCCACAACGCATGTGCATCCAAATGCCCCCCTATCGGCGGAAAATCCAACAACTCCAAACTCATCGCAATCATGACCCAGGCTACCACAATCCCCGGCCACACCGCCCACATGCGCTTCGACTCCCGATACCGCGTGATAGAGAACCACGTCCACATCGCATTCTGCAGGATCCCCGCCGCGATGTTCGCAGCCATGTTATACGTGTAGTCCCACGAGTAGTACTTCAGATACGTGACGTGTGCCAGGAACAGGAGAATACACAGCGTCGTCCAGGCGCGAACTACGCTCTTCGCCCGCGCGCCGCCCTTGTCGAGACGGAAGACGCGGACGGGGGTGTAGTATAGGCCGTAGAGCACGTTCGCGCCGGCGCCGAAGTAATCCAGTTCCTCCGTCAACTGGAAGTCTCGGGTGTGGAAGATGGAGCTGGCGATCCAGCTAACCATGCCGACGTATGCGAGGTTGACATAGTATTTGCGCAGCGGGTAGGATTCTGGTATGAACTTGCGGATCTTGTGGAGGCCCTGGTAGTGCGCGGCATAGTTGAGGAGGGAGAAAATGACGGAGAAAGGCTCTTGCATGCCGAGGATGCGGTGGAAGGGCCACTTGCCGTGGAATTGGACGATGGGGAGGGGGGGGTCCGAAGAAACGCGCATGTCGGTGATTATATGCTGGCAGGTGTAGTCGCATTCGGCAGGGCAGGTCCAGAGGAGCAGGCGGTGGAAGAGAGCTGGTCGCGGGATCAGTTGGGGGAGAGTAGTGGGAGAGCGCTGGACGTACCAACGGAGGAGTCGCCATTCTTGCAGTTCTCTGCTTTGCACACCTGGAGACTGGTTAGGAGGGGGATGGACAGGAGGAAGCTGGGGTTCGACGGACCTCTAAGCATTTCCGAAACTCCGGCAGCCTGTCACCCACTGAGGCAGTGGTTGTCCCCATCAAGAGGCATAGGGCAAGAAGGAGAAGAGGGAGGCCCCCAATGTTTCGTAGATACCTCAATATCATCCTGAATAGTGGCAATTGGAGTACTGGGCCAAGCCTTGGATGTTATAGTTGACTCTTGGGAGCAACTCTTGTTTTAAGGAGATGCTGGTCCTACGATGCACCATCGACATAAGCGGCGCAAATCCACATCCAAGAATAGTCTAGCGCCATCTTGAGCGGCTCGAACCGTGGAGAAAACTGGTTCTCGAATCATAACGGTCATTTGAATTTTAACGGGCATTTACAGTGGGGGAGATAAAATTTCAGGATGTAAATAAAAAGATTAGGTTCCCCCCAGCCCGTTAAGTCTTGGCATCGTACATTCCCCACGCAAACACCCCTCCATTCTCTCTTTCTTATATTTCTCTCACCGCAACAAAACCTTCTTGTATAAACATCTTACTTCTGTTTTTGCAGCGCACCCTCCCTCAATACCCTTACCTACCTACCCCTACGATCTCCAACTATGGCGACCGATCTCAAGACCCTGGCGCCGTCCGAGGCCCATTACTTCAACAGGTGCGTGCATGGAGATGTTGGAGAATTTGTAGACAAGCTTTTGCTAATATTCTTGCCAGTTACAACCACCATGGTATGCACATATACAGCGCCACTTCCCCCTGTCCCTCTCCGCTAATCAGACTTTTGCAATAAAGGCATTCACGAGGAGATGTTGGTAGCTATGCCCCTTTCCCAGGTGGCGGAAGTCCCTTATCTGACAATTTTCTCAGAAAGATGAGGTCCGAACCAGGTCATACATGAACGCTATTGTGCAGAACAAGCACCTGTTCAAGGACAAGGTTGTGCTCGATGTCGGCTGTGGAACTGGTATTCTCAGCATGTGAGTTCCTGCCCTTTGTCGCTCACTATGCGCCGCCACTGACTTCAGTCTCCAGGTTCGCCGCCAAGGCTGGCGCAAAGCACGTTATCGGTGTCGATATGTCTACGATTATTGGCAAGGCAAAGGAGATTGTCGAGGTCAACGGCCTGACCGACAAGATCACTCTCTTACAAGGAAAGATGGAGGATGTTGTGCTCCCATTTGACAAGGTTGACATCATCATCTCTGAGTGGATGGGATACTTCCTTCTCTACGAGTCCATGCTGGACACCGTCCTCTGGGCCAGAGACAAGTACCTCGTTCCCAACGGACTGATCTTCCCCGACAAGGCCACCATCTTCATGGCTGGCATTGAGGACGGTGAGTACAAGGATGAGAAGATTGGCTTCTGGGACAACGTCTACGGATTCGACTACTCTCCCCTCAAGAAGACCGCCCTCACTGAGCCCCTCGTCGACACCGTCGAGATCAAGGCCGTCGTCACCGACCCCACCGCCGTCCTCACCCTCGATCTCTACACCTGCACCGTCGCCGACCTTGCTTTCACCTCCCCCTTCGTCCTCGAGGCCCGCCGCGATGACTTCGTCCACGCCCTTATCGCGTGGTTCGATATCGACTTCACCGCCTGCCACAAGGCCATCCGCTTCTCCACCGGCCCACACACCAAGTACACTCACTGGAAGCAGACCGTCTTCTACCTGCGTGAGGTCCTTACCGTGCAGCAAGGCGAGAAGATCAAGGGCGTCCTCACCAACAAGCCCAACGAGCAGAACCCGCGTGACCTCGACGTCAAGATCTCGTACAAGCTCGAGACTGAGGACGTCACGAGGACGGCCGAGGGCGCCTGCGAGTACAAGATGTGTTAGAGGGGGTGTTTAGTGGTGTTTTGGGACGGCACCTAGCAGCTTAGAGCGCGGACCGTTCCCACTTGATCTATGTGTTTTTTTTATTTTGCGGAATGTGGATGGATGAATGAATGCGTTTTGTTATTTAGATTGGCGTTCAGATGGGCCGGGCATAGGGATAGCTCCTACTTATGATGCATAGTTACGGTACGACATAATGTCACGAACCAGACTCGCGGTTGCATATAATAGTCGACGCAGCCTGAAAAGCGTCTTGACTGACCATTGAGTCGGATTAGAAGGAATATAAATGATTGATCTAAAAATAAATCGTTTTGCTATATGAGATGTTGGAGGAAAGTGTCGAAATGACTGCTCGGTGAGATTCATGTGTAGTAGTTTAGGTAATACTAATACTGTTGGTAGTATTGTCGGAATTTTTCATGTGGGACAATGATGCTGAGATTCTTAAATCTAGATTTCCGCCATGCTAGTTAAGGAGATGCAAGGATTGCCGCTTTTGATCATCAGCAGCCCAGTTTCCTATCTAAAGTTACTTATTATTTAAGTTATAAGCTAGCTTAGAGGTAAGGCTAGGTAGAATATAAGAAAGTATAATTTTTATTCATGAATATGAATATAGCCTAGTATTCAAGTTTATATTCGAATTGCTAACCCTGTATTAATTCGGCGATATATTTTATATATTTCCCACTATGCACACTGAATTTCTCCATTAAACCACTATATCCCCCCAAAAATATAATTCCATAATAAATCCGTGGCGCCCCCCTTACCTTATCGATCTACATCTCCACGATCCGCGATAACTCTAATTTTTTTATTCTGCCAGGGATCCCTCCGCGACGTCGGGACTAGCCGCCGATTTTTTTTTTGAAACCTCCCCGACATCACTTCCCTCCCTAACATCCCCCCCCAATTGAACACCCACACACCTCACCTACGCAGCGGAGGACAGCCCTCACCAATCCCCTCACGATGAGCTTCCTACCGCGCCTCTCGCGCACCCCCCTCGCCCTCCGTACCCTCACGCGCCCAACCCTCCCCCGCGCCCCAGCACGCCTCACCCGCCTCTCCTCCACGACCAGCACCCCCCCTCCCCCCTCCCGCATCGTCACAGCCCTCAAGCGCCTCGTCACCACCACCTTCCTTACCACCGCTCTCCTCATAACCTACCTCTCCGCAACCGACACCCGCTTCACGGCGCTACACCGCCATCTCATCGTCCCCTCCCTCCGCTACCTTGTCCCCGACCCCGAACGCGCCCATTCCGTAACCCTGACGGCCCTCTCAACACTCTATACCCTCGGTCTCCACCCCCGCGAGCGCGCCCACGCTGCCGGACCAGATCTGAGCACCACAATCTTCGGCCACGTCCTCACCTCCCCCGTCGGCACCTCTGCCGGAATCGACAAGAACGCCTCCGTCCCCGACGCCCTCCTCGCCCTCGGCGCCGCATACACCGAAGTCGGCGGCATAGTGCCTAAGCCGCAAGCCGGAAACCCCCAGCCGCGCCTCTTCCGTATCCCCTCCCAAAACGCCCTGATCAACCGCTTCGGACTCAACTCCCTCGGCGCCGACGCCGTTGCTGCGCGTCTCCGCGAGCGCGTCCGTCGTTACGCCATCTCTGCCGGCTTTGGCGGTGGTGATGATGGCGAGCGTCGTGTCCTTAATGGCGAGGCTGGTGTACCACCGGGATCGCTGGCGGAGGGGAAATTGATGGGTGTGCAGATTGGGAAGAACGCGAGCACGCCCGATGATATTGACTCTGTCGTCGCGGATTACGTGTACTGTGTTAAGCGCCTCGCGCGCTACGCTGATGTGCTGGTTGTCAATGTCTCCAGTCCCAATACCGCGGGGCTGAGGGACCTCCAGGCGCAGGCGCCGTTGACGGCGATTTTGAAGGCGGTTGTTAAGGCGGCGGGGGAGACGGATAGGAAGGTCGTGCCGAGGGTTATGGTGAAGGTTTCCCCTGATGAGCGGGAGGCCAAGCAGGTAGAGGGAATCTGTAACGCGGTGTGGGACTCGGGCGTTGACGGAGTCATCGTTGGAAACACCACTAAGAGGCGGCCGGCGCCCGTTCCGGCTGGGTTCATGCTGCCCGCGGACGAGGAGCGGATACTGAGGGAGGAGGCGGGCGGGTATTCGGGACCGCAGCTGTTTGAGGGGACGGTGGATCTGGTGAGGAAGTATAGGGAGGAGTTGGATAAGGGGAAGGGTGGGGAGAGGAAGACGGTGTTTGGGAGTGGGGGTGTTACGAATGGGAAGGAGGCGTTGAAGGTTTTGGAGGCAGGGGCTGATATGGTGCAGGTTTATACCGCGTAAGTTTCCTTCTTCCTGAGCGCTTTTTGTTTTACTCGCGAAGCCCTTTGGGGGATGTTTTCCGAAGACATAATAGCTGACAAGAACCAACAGACTCGTCTACGGCGGCGCTGGAACGCTCACAAAGATCAAGCATGAGATGCGCAAGGAGATTGACCGCAACACACCGCGCAGCGACTAAACTAAACTAACCTCCCACCTCCCTTGAGGAAGACGTATGTGAGAAAGAGAGAGGGAGAAGATTATACCTAGAGTGTTGTATCAAGTAGCCTAGACATTGTATAACAAAAAAAACCAACAAAGTTTCAATTACCATCCAAATTAATCATCGGATGAAGCAAGTTGTCCTTCAACCCGGGATCAGATGAGCAAGTAGCTTCATATATTATTCTATACTATATAGGAAGGTCCCTTTGGTTGTTGCGTAACGTGTACTAACTCGATCAGTATGGCGCAGGTTGCATGCCTGGCAGGGGCAGCGTCTCCCACCTTAGATTCGCCCATGGCGTAAAGCAAATTAACGCATTTCACCACTATAAAATCAATACAAACATCTCAATCCATCCCAACACTTCAAGAAACATGGCCTCCTCATTCAGCTCAGAGCGTCTAATCTACCGCGGACTAGAAGGCACGCCGCGCGACAAAGCCTTCATCCTCTCCATCCTCTCCGACCGCACCAGTTCCGAGAACACAACAAACTACCTGGTCAAGCCAGCGTCTTCAGCGGATGTAGATAGTTTCATGCGCGGATTCCGCGAAGCTTTCCTCGGAGTCCTGGTCTGCACCCCCAATCCCTCCGTTCTGTAAACCCCGAATATCATCGGATACGTAAATCTCCAGCACACTACGCATCCGCACCATAGGAGTTGTACGATGAGTATTCGGATCCGCCCAGAGGCGCAGGGGAGGGGTTATGGGTATGTTGGAGGGAAAAGTATTTGAAGATAGAGGGATGAATTTGCGCGCCACAGCAGCCACAACGCTGGTCGATTTCTCACGGTAGTGGGGGCTTAAAACTCGGATGAGACCCTTATATATATAAGGCATAGTATGAGTTCTATGATGGAGTTATGGCGATGGGATCTGTTGCACTGTAAAGGGAAATGTGACGGGGTGTCCTATGTAAGGGGTTGGCTTGTCCAGCCAACCAAAGCCGTTCCCCAAGGGGCATCAAAACACAGTTACTAACCCGCCAATTAGTCAATCTAGACTTTGCGCTTCCCCCGAAGAACATTAAACTCAGATAATATTCCTCAATGCGGCTCCTTGATCTCCCACGCGAGCTTCTACTAGTTATTGGACGCGAACTCCATTCACAAAGCGACCTAGCAACATTCTTAAGGGCAAAGCGATACCTCTACAGTTTACTAACCCCCGAGCTCTACCACCGCCGCGATGGAGCTCCGAAATACCTGCTCTGGGCGGCAACGATTGACCGACCCGAAACTCTAGAGAGAGCGCGGTCCCTTGGACACCACGGTGCGGATTATACTGCAGCACGTTTTACGCGACCGGATTCGCTGAAATTGCTGATTGACGCTGGTTACGATGTCAATCTGAAGAGTTTCGATTGCGGATACACGCCGCTATACGAAGGTTGAGCAGGAGGCGCTTAGATGCCATGAAAGTCCCGCTCGACGGAGGTGAGGATGCGAATGCTAAGCTGGACAATGGAACCACCCTGCTTCATGCCGTCGCCGCCGCCAAGGAGGTATTTGTTGATATGGTGCGGCTCCTCATTGAAAAAGGTGCTAATACGGCAGCACGGGATGGCCATGGCAGGAGTCCGTTGGATGTGGCTATGGCAGCGGGAAATTATGATATTAAGGAGTTGCTTTCAGGAAATTGGCCTGTTGGCTTACATCTAAACCCTGAATAACAGGCGCCTTATGAGCACCTAGAAAGGCTGATAGGTGCAGGGAGGGGCTGGAGGCTGGTAAATGAGAATGATCGAAGTGAGCTCTGCACCCATATATATATATACCCCGCACCTTTTTTTTAAAATAACGGAGACTTATCTTTGCTTCAGTCCCATCTGTGCGGTTAAAAAGGGGGATGAGATGCGATGTATTTTGAGTAGTGAGGGCATAGTTCAGCAAACCAACACACCATCTACAGTCGCGCCCCGAGATGATGAATTCACACAAGTGACCCGCTGCCGCACCCCTAGCGAGGGGTGCGAATACGTCGCCGACGTCGACGACGTAATTGCGTGCTACAACTATCTCGTGGCCCTCGGCGACTATACCTGCAGAGAGCGCGAGCTCTGCAGGATCGGCAGCGCTAAGATCACGGGTATAAGCTAGAACGGGCATAATCGTCGTAACCAACTTTTCGCTTCGCTCAAGGTTGGAGGAAGCGATCCGCGCGCACGAGAAATGGAGGGGAAGCGAAGTGCGCGCACGAGAAAAATTGTAGTCCTAAGTACCTCCCTATAGTAAATTGTATGTAAAGGTACAAAATTTCACCATTTTAAAAAATTATCATTTCCTCATTCCCATGATCACTCCCATTCCCGCTCCCATTTCCACTCCCATTCTCATATTCGCCCTCACTTTCGAGGGTTTCTGGATCAGGAATTGGGAGGCCTAATCCCTGAAGAGTAGCCAGGCTCTTCTTCCGGAAACGCTCTTCTTTCCGGGCCTTAATTCCAGCCTGGTGGAGCTGCTTCTGGGCCTGGTTTCTAGCCTGGCGAGCCTCCCGGGCTTCTTTGGCTGCGAGCTTCTGGGCTAGAAGCTCGGCTTTCTGGGCCCGAAGCTCGTGGGCTTCGGCAGCTACGAGCTCACCTCCGTTCTGAAGCCGGGCCCGGCTTCGGCTCGCCCGCTTCTTCGACTCCTCCACCTGCCGCCGAGCCACCCATAGGTCAAGTTCTTGGAGCCGGCCTACCGCCATAACCTCTTCAGCCCCAGTAAGCCAGTTCGTATAGCTCGTACGTGAGGGGCTACTAAAGGCCTCCGGAACCCGGTCTTTCCAGCGCTGTAGCCCCTCTTCAACCCCCCGAAAAGTGGAGGGTTTAGGGGTAATAGGCCGTATTGGTAAGGTAGGCGTAGGCTCTTCTGAGGCTGGCTAGTAGGCTGCGAGTATGTACGTAGCTTCGTGAGGGCTGTATTACAGCTTATTGGCCAGATTCCAGCTTTCCGGAAAGCTGAGAGTATTGTAGACTCCTTAAAAGTCTGTTCCCGGATTTTGGTGAGATCTCTCATAAATGAGGGTAGGTCGTATGTAACGTCCATATTCCGTATGGCATAGAGCACAGCCTCTCGGTGCCAGTGCTTATATGGCTGGAATATTCCCACATCTAATGGCTGTAAAATGTGTGTAAGGTGTGAGGGAAAGGCGAAAACGATGATGTTATATTTGTCTGCTGTAATGATGAAATCATCGCTCGTATGGCTTATATGAGAATCAAGGAGTAGAACCCTGGGATTCCCATTTGCATATGGAGCTGTATGCACTGCAAAGTGCTCTAGCCACCGTAAGGCAAGCTGGCTATTCAAATAGCCAGTATCAGAGAGTAATATCAGTTCTTTGCCTTTAAGATTTTCTGGGTACCAAGAATCCATATGGATTTTACCCGGTACAATAAGTACAGGTGGAATTACTCTTCCTGTTGCAGATACTGTCTCCATAACTGTAATAGACGTACGATTCTCAGGGCTTGGAGTATAGAGTTCTTTTACTGCCTGTGGTACCATAACTCTCTCACCTCCAGGAATTCCAATCCTAAATCCCGTTTCATCCATATTCCAAATTGACTCCGGTAATATATTGCGATCCCATATAAATTGGAAGTATTTTTCAAACCATTCAATAATCTTAGATTCGTCTTGGGCTTTCGTACGCTGCTGTGCAATAGGCTTTGTAGTGATAAAATGGAATTCCGGAAGCTGATTCTGAATATATTTAGTAAGCCAGCTCTGTGACGGTGGAGGTAATGGGCTCCGGAGCTGGCAGACTGCAGTAAATAGCATATTCCTATTGGCTCCAAGCCCTAGGTAATATTGCTCGAGGATCCATTTCTTAAGGGCCTCTGCCTGAGCAGTAGAGAGTACCCTATTCTGCCCCCCTTTACGTTGCTGTGGGTTCTGAATACGGCGCTTGATGCTTCCTCGTAGAGTTGATCCTGGGATCTTGAAAATACGACTAGCAACACGCCTCGACTCAGAAGGATTTTCTGCGAGCCACTCACGGGCATTTGATATAGGAGTCCCTTCCATTAAATGAATTACATCAGGTTACAATATAAATTACTATGTACAGCTATGGAAATGGTTTTGTTGAAGAGTAGCGGTGAACAGACGCACGTTTCTCGTGCGCGTACTTCGCTTCCCCTCCATTTCTCGTGCGCGCGGATCGCTTCCTCCAACCTTGAGCGAAGCGAAAAGTTGGTTACGACGATTAGGCTAGGAACCCAAGAGATGGTTCTATGGGATTCTCTTATGTCGACTACAGTTACCAAGCCTGGTTAGTCATGGAAAGTCTTGGAAAATGAGAGAACTACACTCCTTTAGCATAAATAGGATTGCCCTTTCCTTAAGAAAGGGCAAGCAGGCAATACAGTAAATCGACTAGCACATACTTCTACGTCTTTTCCAAGCTTCCAAGCATTGATCTTGTTATTCTCTGTTTTTGAAAAGTCAGTGAGGTGCTAACCTCTGACTTACCCCTGAGTTCTCAGACTCAACATTTGTTGCAACTTGTCTAAACCACTTCACCACATCATACACCTGATTGCTGCGTTGTGGAATAGTCTAAGCTACAACCCTTTGGCTCTGTTTCCTAAGACAGTGTGTTGTCTTAGTAAATTCATCCCTTCCTTGGGTGGCTAGATTCTCATATCTGGTGCACCCACCATTACATCAATCCCCTTAAGTACCCGAAACGGGTCCGACTCGGCTAACCTGCCCGACTCAGATCCTTTCCGTCACTGAGGGACAGGCATCCTTACACTACCCCCCCTCTTAAGAGAGTGTTTGTCCGCGAAACACACTGTGAGAATCATTTCCGCAACATCTCCGAATGGTATCCGTGAGAAGAGCATTCTGTGTTGGCGGTAATTCTGTTTGTAATTGCATCTGTAACAACCCTGTTTATATGCCGTGTCAGGAAGGTGCGTTGTATGTCATGCTAGAGTTGTGCTGTATCGACTCCGTTTAGTGTGCGAAACCAGAGTTCGCTTTGTTCGCTCTGGGGTACATGTAACGCTGACTTCTAAACGATAGAAGGCACAGAGGTTCTCTTGCGTAAAGGTTTACTTATCAGAGGAGGCAGGGGATCAGACACAAAGGCTTCAAGTAACACGTTACTAGTATATAACAAATACTGTATTGAGTTGAGCACGAAGCTCCTATCTAAGGAAATACTATCTACTTATATAGTGGCGTCGTGCCTAGTGGACTCCTGGGAACTCACTCGAGTCCTCGGAGTCCTGGACTCTTAGGATTCTTCTCATCATCCTGCGAGTCCGTCACGTGCCTAGTGGACTCCTGGGAACTCACTCGAGTCCTCGGAGTCCTGGACTCTTAGGACTCTTCTCATCATCCTGCGAGTCCGTCACGTGATACTTTCGGAACTACTATTCCCCGCTGCCCCTCCAGGTACCAGGGCCGGTCTCATGCGACCTCCCTCCTTCCTGTCCTGTAGTTGGCCAGCCTTCTTGTTCCGTCGTAACACTCGCTCCCTTCCCCTGGGCATTCGTCTCGAATCCTATAAGTACGTCCATGTCCCCGGGACTCTGCTGCTCCTCAGCGATTCCTTCAACATGCAACATGCCTACTGACACTGCCCGCAAACTCCAGGAACGCAACGATCTTGTCCGTCGAATAAAGAACCACGGATACGAACTACCCGAAATGGATTCTTGCGCGAACTGCGTGAGGCGAAACGTTACTTGCGTGTCGTCTCCAAATGATTCACGGCGGTGCGCCGAGTGTATTCGTCGCAACTTGAAAGAAAAATGTGACTGTATGGGTCCTGAGCATCCCGACTGGGTGAAGCTCGAACGGGAGGAGGATCGCCTGGATCGCGAAGAGGAAGAAACCCTTTCGAAGTTACTTCGTCTGCGGAAGCAGAAACGCCTCATCCGAACCCGTGGTAAAGATATGCTCCGGCGAGGTTTGAAAACCCTCAACGAGCTTGATGCGGCAGAGGAGGCCGAACGTGTGGCTGCTGAGAAGTGTGACGCTGTTGAGGCCGAGGAACAGGCAGTTAGCGCTGCCTCCTCGTCTGTAATCGGGACCCCCGCTTCCTCCGATCCACTGGCCTACTCCCCTGCATCTTGGGATCAATGGCTGGCGGATGGCGGCGTCGATATTCCTCCAGCAGTTCTTTGCTGATGTTCTTTGTTGGTTCCGACGAATTATCCGTAGGTTCGTAATTTTCCCATTTTATCAAAAACTCTTCTCGACGTCCTACTAACCTCCTGTCTAGGATCGCTTCGACCTCATATTCGATTATCTCATTCTCGGGTTGGAGTTCGGTGTCGGTCGCAATGGGGTATTTCCTCTTGCTGGTTCCAGTAGTGAGACATGAAATACCGGGTGTAGTCTAGACTTCTTGGGTAGCTGCAGTCTGTAATTAACTGAGCTGACTTTGTTCAATATTTTGAATGGTCCCAATTTCTTGAAGTCCAACTTTGTGCTTGGTTGTTTCGTTTTGATATGTTTCCGGAGTAGGTATACTTTATCCCCCTCCTTGAAGGCAGGTTCCATACTGCACTTCTTGTTTGCGTATGCGGCGGATCGTTCATTTAAGAATTGGATGTCCGTCGCAAGTTGTTCGTGGAACGATTTCAGTTGTTCCACCACGATCAGGGCTTGTTCAGCTCGTGATTCATCCAGTCTTGGTTGCCTATATGCTTCTGGCTGGTAGCCATAATTGGCAAAGAACGGTGAGACTTTCGTTGCTTCTGTCATCGCGCTGTTATATGCAAACTGTGCGATGGGTAAGATCTGAACCCAGTTATCCTGTTGATGATTGACATAGCTTCGCAGGTACTGTTCAAGGGTCTGATTTAATCTTTCTGTTTGGCCGTCTGTCTGGGGATGAAAAGCTGTTGATAGCTTATGATTTGTTCCCAGTAGCGCCATCAATGATTTCCAGAATTTCGAAGTAAAGAGCTTGTCTCTATCTGAGATGATTTCTTCTGGCATCCCATGATCGGCTAATATGACTTGAATGAAGGTATATGCGAGCGCCTCAGCGTCGCTAGCTTCTAGATATGGTATAAACTTCCCATATTTCGTTAGTCTTTCCGTGATGACGAGGATAGAGTCGTATTCTATTCCTGTTAACGGGTCCTTGGAGG